TTCCGATTACAAGCCAAAGGCAATCTGATCTCGGTGATCACGATCAAGACCATATCGGATCGCAAATATCAGAAAACTCGCCCCAATCATGCAGACCACCATAATGGACAATCGCAGCCCTGTAACTAGGATTTTAGAACCTCTGAGTGTGTCGCGACCCTATTTAAAGGTCACGAGCTTCGTCTACTCGCCCAGGCACTAATCAATTGATAGGGACAGTTGATATTATTAAACAAGAAGAGATGATTCCTCCCGGGTCACTCCTGGAGTGATCCGGTGTCTATTTTATAGCCTTAACTATGTGGCCTCGCCTAGGGTGATGAATCAGTCTCATCATCTGTGATCGGCTGAGTCGCATAAGCATTGGCTTTGAGTGACTGTGGTGTGATCACCACATCATCCTCCTCTTTAAGAAGGGGTAGCCCTTTCCTGGTAACCATGGTCTTGGGTGGCATCGCTGTGGTCCACGTGCTCAAACGATCATGGTGCACCAGTTCCGCAACTCGGCGTCCTTGTGGTGTCACAAGCTTATATGTGTTGAACGGAGCACGTTCCCACACCATATACGGGCCGAGCCATGGAGGGTCCAACTTCTTCTTGGCCATATTCTTCACCTTGACCCAATGTCCAACGTCATAGGGTTTCCCCGTTTTTGTCGCCTTAGAATAAACCTCATTCATTCTGTGTGCGGCGGCAAATTGACGTTCGCGAGCGATATGGCGGGTCGAATTGACCTTGCTCAAGCGGAGGACTTCTTGGGCATAGACATCACGGTTGTCCTTGTTGTTCCAAGAGACCGGTGGCATACTATCCAGTGGTAGCCTTGGTTCTTTTCCGAACAACATGAAGAACGGGGACAACTTCGTCACAGCATGCATTCGAACTCTTGTTGCCCACACCGCCTGGGGTAGATATTGATCCCAGCGGTGCTTGGCATGGAACGCAAGTTTCGATAGCATCTGGCCTACCACACCATTGGCACGTTCGGTCTTGCCATTGGTTTGTGGGTGGTAGGATGATGTCTTGAGGTGACGAACATGGTTGCGGCGAAGGTAAGCACTTGTGACCTCACTAAGGAATGCAGAGCCACGATCAGACAGGATCTCTACTGGGGCACCGTACTGGAGTGCGATCTCACAGTAGATGAAGTCGGCAACCGTTTCAGCTGTAGCATCCTTTGTAGCTTTAGCCACGATCCAGTTTGATGTGTGCTCGATCGCCAGTAAAATCCAAGCGTTTCCTGACAATGTGCGGGGCATAATGCCAATGAAATCAATGCCCCAGCGAACAAATAGCTCAGCCGGCAGCACTAGCGCATTCATCGGGGCCTTTGACTTGTCATCTCTGCCAGCAGTCGCTGCCTGACATACTGGACATTGGGCAATGATGTCTTCCACATATGAGCGCATATGAAGCCACCAATGCCGCAGACGCATCAAGCCGTACACTGAGGATACACCTAGATGTGCGAAATCCAAGTGATAGGCCTGGACAAGCGCAATGCGCGCTCTTTCCCCCTCTACGATGGGAAGCCAGGTCCTATGCTTCTTGATAAGCAGCACGTTCTGCTTGGACAGTCGCAAATTGGGCAATGCACGTTGTACTCGGTTGACCTCTGGCTCAGTCACCTGCTCCGGCGGTGGTTGCTTCAGTATCAGAGCTCGGGCTGTCAGCTCCCACTTCTCCACAGGTGTTAATTCCTGCTTCGTAGTGGCCACCAGTGTGGCGAGATCAAACCGACGGGATAAGGAGTCAGCAACCACGTTGGCCTGGCCCTTCAGGTATACGACCTTGGGTGCTACGCTCATCCAGCGCTCTAGCCAGCGGGCTATGCGACCATGGGGATTTTGCTCCGCGAAGACACCAATCAGGGACTGATGGTCAGTATAGACTGTAACCTCGTAACCGCGTACAATGTACTCCCAGGTTTCGAAAGCATAGACGATGCCTAGCATCTCGCGCTCTCGAGCCGAATAGTTACGTTCAGCTGGTCGTAAGGAGCGACTAGCAAATGCAACCGGGTGTAGGAAGTCGCCATAGGCCTGGGCTAGAACAGCCCCAATCGCGAAAGAGCTTGCATCGGACTCGATCACAAATGGGCGGTCCCAGTCCGGCGCCTTCAGCACGGGTGCTGCTGTCACAGCCTTTTTAAGGGCTGCAAAAGCCAGCCGTGCGTTGGCAGACCAGTTGACGTCATCCTTCATGGTCCGCTCGTGGGTCAGTTGGTAAAGCGGCGCAGCGATCGATGCAAATCCAGGTACGAAACGACGATAGTATGAGCAAAGGCCCAGGAATGACAGTACGTCGCGTGCTGTATTCGGCAATGGCCATTTCTCAACCGCTTCGAGCTTGTCCTGACAGGGCGTAATCCCACAGTCAGTCACCATATGGCCCAGAAACTGTACCGATTTGGCAGCAAAGGTACACTTTGATGGCTTCAGGTGCAGATCTGCCTTGCCCAGCGCCTCCAGGACCAATCGTACATGTTGTCTATGTGTCTCCATATCCACCGAGTATATCAGAATATCATCCAGATATACCAAGACGAACTTGTCGAGAAATGGCTGAAGTACAATGTTCATCAACCGTTGGAATGTCGATGGAGCATTGCACAAACCAAATGGCATCACCAAGAATTCATACGCGCCATAGCGTGTGGTGAATGCCGTCTTCTCGATGTCGTCGTTGGCCATTCTGATCTGATGATACCCTGATCGGAGGTCCAGCGAAGAGAACACACATGCAGTACCAATCTGGTCCAGACAATCGTCGACCCGTGGTAACGGATACTTGTCCTTGATCGTCCGCTTGTTCAATAAACGGTAGTCGACACACATGCGGGTAGAGCCATCCTTTTTTCCAACGAGGATTATTGGATGAGCCCATGGTGACGATGACGGGCGAATCAAGCCTTGTGCTAACATGTCGTCGAGCTGTGCCTTCAATTCCGACAATTGCTTCCGGCCCATGCGATACGACGCAAGCGCATGCGGTGGGCCATCCTCTAGCCGAATAGAATGCTCGACCGACCGGTGAGGTGGCAGTTCTATCACTGGCGCGAATAGTGACTCGAACTCTTGTATCGTCTGCTCAAGTTCTCGATCCTGGCAGACCACCTCTACGCCATTTGGGTTTGCTGGTTGGCGCAACAGCACAACCCATGCGTCCAATATTTTCCGGTCCCGAACCATACGGTGTAAGCCATTCAGGCTAATCACTGATTCCGGTACCGCCGTAGTAACCGTGATCTCTGAGCGTGAGCCATTGTGTTCTAGAATCCACTGGTTAGACTGGTAATCGGGAGTTAACCGGTTTTCCAACCACCAGTCGTAGCCAAGTATGATGTCTGTTCGATTCAACGGCAGCACAAATGCCGTAACCGGAACACATAATGCACCCACCACGAGGTCAAAGTGCACCGAGACTGAGATCTGGCGCACCGAACCGTCAGCCAAAGCAGCTGAATATCCAGACTGCTGGACTGTTTTAAGGCCCAAGTCTGATACTAGCTTTCGGCTGACAAATGAAGTAGTGGCACCCGAGTCCAGCAACGCTCTGACTGGGCGCCCGAGAACCGTGCCAATGAGCTGTGGTCTAGTTCCTGACCCGATCTGCAGTGAGGATAACTGCACGATCTTCACCTTTTTTGTCGGTTTATCATCAATCAATGACTTACACCGACGTTTTGGGCTACTGGCATCCGATTCATCCCAAGGCTGATCCAAATGTGACCAGTCTTGGAAGGCATCGACAAACACATCGTCGCTGGTGACTGATCCTCCAGGATCAAATGTAGTGTCATCAACATGTTCGTCGAGATCATCTGCGGGTGACCTGCCTTCCCCCTCTGGCTCGCGAGAGTCAAAGTTCAGGGCTGGCAGTTCTGGTGTGGGCAACAGCGAATCCGTCACTGCTGCCCTGCACCTTTTCCCGGCTTCTTGGTGCAGTTCTGCGAAACATGACCAGGATCACCGCAAGCAAAGCAACGGCGTTGTGCACGTAGCCATTGCTTACATGTGGGGTGGTCCTTGGCCAAGGGTACCGAGATGGAACCGACCTTGATCCAAATGATCGAGCTACCCTTCGTGTATACCGCAGAAACTTCCATTGGTTCTGGTTGAGCTGGCAGACTGGATACGCCAGTTGCTGCTGGCTGCAACCCCGTAGCCTCTGCTACTGTCTGTTCTAACACATCGGCATTGTTGACTAGCCGTAGTGCTTCTACAAACTCAGTAGGCGCTTTCCGAACCAGCGCTTTATAGAGACTAGGATTCAGCCCATGCAGGAAATACGAAATTCGCTCAATGTCTGCGATATCGCTGCCGCCTACGATTTCTGCTTCTGCCGCGATATATTGCTGTAGAGTTTTACCCCGCTGGTTCAGCTCAATCAAGCGGTGTCGGAAGACATACAGGTGGTCAGGACGCGAAAGCATTGAGTCGAATTCTGCAATGAAGAACGCCGGTGTGGCCATGATCAAAGCCTGCCGCCCCGGGTGTCGGCTTAAGTGCGCGTCGATCATCGTCTTGGCCTGTCCGACTACTGCATTTCGTAAGTACAACGCCTTTTGAGGCAACGTGCCAGATTGCATTGTGTCCATGTACGCTGACCATTTATCTCCCCAATTCTTAAAGGTAACATTCGACGTCACCATGTCGTATGGTTCAATATTCGGTGCTTCGTTGGCATGGACTGTCACTGCTCCTGGTTGGTTCTGGCTGTCCATCCTCTGCTGGATATAGCCCACGAGACGATCGCCCAGGACAGGATGCTCGTTCAGCAGCTGCAGGAGTTGGTTGAACTGGGCCTCCTGCTGCTCAGAGGTCGGGTTAGCGTTGGTACTGGCATTAGCGTTGTTGTTCATGGTGCTGAAAAATGGAGTGGACGTAGACGATAGTTCTGAGGACAGAATAAGGGACTTGGGTGATGCTACCAATGTCGCGACCCTATTTAAAGGTCACGAGCTTCGTCTACTCGCCCAGGCACTAATCAATTGATAGGGACAGTTGATATTATTAAACAAGAAGAGATGATTCCTCCCGGGTCACTCCTGGAGTGATCCGGTGTCTATTTTATAGCCTTAACTATGTGGCCTCGCCTAGGGTGATGAATCAGTCTCATCATCTGTGATCGGCTGAGTCGCATAAGCATTGGCTTTGAGTGACTGTGGTGTGATCACCACAAGTGCATGGATTTCTCTCTTTAAATTACCTCTTTATTATCTTAGCAGCATTTGGCGGCTTTTCCTTTAGGACCTCCATCTAAGATACAAATAAACGCTCTTTCACCATGAGCTAGCCGGGCATCTCTTCTTCACTCCTCTTAGCACAGTAATCTTTTTGCACTCTTTTGCCGCCGCAACACACTGTTTGCTGCCTTGAGTATGCCCAGAGTATGCCCAGTACCACCCAGTACCACCCAACAGCCACACCACCAACCGCAACTGCAACCGCCAGCGCCATAGCGCTTACCCGTTATGCATAAATTTCAAATTTCCCTGAATTATTTGGAATTTGTGAAGAAATGGCAAACAACATTCCCCTCATTGCCTCTGGCAATGCACCAACCCAACTCGCAACTGCAAATGACCCGACTGTGACCAGCATTCCCATGGTGCAACACTCCCACCATAGTGGGGCTGCTGTGCAAACACCCCAAATGGCTGCCATGGCCACCGCTGGTGATGCCAAGAGCTGCCTATTCTTCGTCTGGCACTACTGCTGCCAGCAGCTGCACTGGTTGCAGATCTGGCGAGAATCCCGCAGGCCGTGGCGCCACTGCATTGGCCGTGGCGCCACTGCATTGGCCGTGGCAGCCGTTTGGGGCGTTTGCGCAGCAGCTCCACCATGGTGGGGATGTTGCATCGTGGGAATGCTAGTCGCAGCCAGGTCATTCGCAGTTGCGAGTTGGTTTGGTGCGTTGCCAGAGGCAACGAGGGGAACGTAGTTCGCCATTTCTTCACAAATTCCAAATAATTCAGGGAAATTTGAAATTTATGCATAACGGGTAAGCGCTATGGCGCTGGCGGTTGCAGTTGCGGTTGGTGGTGTGGCTGTTGGGCGGTACTGGGCGGTACTGAGCGGTACTGGGCGGTGCTGGGCGTACTCAGGGCGTAATCCGGGCGTACTCAGGGCGGCAAACAGTGCGTTGCGGCGGCGAAAGAGTGCAAAAAGATTACTGCGCAAAGAGGAGCGAAGAAGAGATGCCCGGCTAGCTCAATCGGCAGAGCGTGAGACTCTTAATCTCAAGGTTGGGGGTTCGACCCCCCCGTCGGGCTTGCTTTTTTGTATTTTGAAATCAAATGTTGTTAAACTTCTATTTTTTTTGCCTGCGAGCGAATAACCTCATCAATAGCATCAGCTTATGCTGTTAAAGTCTACTAATTTGATTTTTTTTCTTGAAAAAAAGGGAGGTAATTTAGAGCTGCTTATCTGCTCACCAATTACCACTACATACTATCCTCCTATTATTACTATTTTTTTTTAGCTAATAACCAGTAATATTAGAATGGCGGCCACTCTTAGGCATATAAATTTTAGTAAACTGTTTTGTAAGTACTTCATATTAAAACAAATTATTACTAAATATATTTAGTAAAGATATTTTTAAAAAAAAATATGCAGTATATTTTTAGCCATTCTACTAGAAAGAAAAACATCTATAGCAATAATATGCTAAAGCAATTAGTTACTAGATATCTATCTCTTAATAGCCACATATATATTACTTTGATATCAATAAGCATTCTAGATATTACCTAAGGGCTTGGTGGCCATTCACAAAAAAGAAAGTTTAAAGAAACTTAATATCTTAGGGGGTCATTCCTGGACTTGTAATTTTAGATATTTGCAATTTACTTAGTTAGATATTTGAATAATCATTTTCGGAACCATTTTTTACAACTAGATATGTTTGGAATAGATATTTATAATTATTGTGTCCAGAATGTTTTTGTGTGTATAATTGATTTTAAAAATATAAATTTTTTTTTTTGCCATTTCACCCAAACTACTATTAGCACCTTGGAAAAGTTTCAGTGAACATAATTTCAACCAGAAAGAAAATTTTTTATATATTTAGGGTTAATTATCATTGGGTAATAAAAGTCAATATCTCAATAGATGTGGCTAAGCAACTACAAGGAAATTATGTTCACTGAAACTTTTCTAAGATACTAATGGTAGTTTGGGTGAAATTTTTATTTCACTAAAATTGCCACTAGATACAGTATGCATAAACAATTAATGGGCAGATAAGTATCACTGTATAACCCCCTTATATCAGAATAACCAATTAACAAATAATAAATCATTTACTAGTAGTTGATAAATATTTTTAAAATCAGAATATTTTGTAATGGCCAAAAAGATATAAGTAGCTAGATTAACTAATAAACAAAAATGCAACAAAGGGCACTTCTCCAAAACCCCTATTGGCAACCTGAAAAATTTCAGTTGATTTCTTGTGACCCAACCTCTATCTCAGTAGAAGCTTATTAATTATGTATCAACTGAAATTTTTCAGGATGCTGATGGGGGTTTCAGAGAAGTATAAAAATAATAAAAGAATATATAGTTATAGAAGATAAAATATTTATTACCCAGTTTAGTAATTGTGAATGACCTCCTTTCTAAACCTAAACTACTTCATAGTATTAATATAAAAAAAGTCACATATAGAGCTATAACTAATATTAATAGATATTCCTGAGATAAATATCAATAACTTCTATGCAATTAGGAAACTCGAAGTATCCAACTCCAGTCGACCAAGATATATGACCAAGTCAGCTAAATATTCACAATCAAAAAGGGGGAGTAGCAAAAGAATCGTCAGCGACAGGATTTGAACCTGTGCGGGCAGAGCCCAACAGATTTCGAGTCTGTCTCCTTAACCACTCGGACACACTGACGCCTATTCAGATCAACCCAATACTTCAAGCTAATCAACTGCTGATTTCCTGGGAGAAATAATGTATTGATAAATGAGATCGATAGAGTCCCGTTTGAGTTTACATTGTCTTCTCACCATTCGCAATGACTGCTAGTAGTGTATGCCCACTCTAGGGTGTTGTCAGTAGGCTCATATACATATTGGGATTAAAAATTTTAATTGGTTTTATAATCAGGGAATGATATATAGTGGTTTTCTAAACCCCTTTATTCCATGTTTCATTCCACTGTTACTCTGTGACACCAACTTTAATATCAGGTGTCAGAGGGATATGCTCCAGCGGCAATGTCAACAGCCATGATACTGCGGCAAACGGCACAGTTGCAATGAAGACTTTTTTCAGTGCCAAAACATATGCGTGCACAAGCATTGTGCGGACATCATCCGGTAGACCTGAGTGGTAGATAGCTGCCTGGTCGTTGACCGATGCCAGAATCTGCGAGGTATACTGCGGGTTCTGGGCCACAAGGTCTGTGAGCTTGGGCTTCAAGGCATTCTGCAAAACGCTTTGTAGGATAGCGATGCCGATGCTGGAGCCAAGCACGCGCATGAAGAGGAACAGTGTAGTAGTGGCGGCCATGTATTCTTTGGGTGCAGCGGCTTGCACGACGATGAGGAGGATCTGGATGTTAAGGCCTAGGCCAAAGCCAGCTATCAGCATGTACCCGATTTGCTTACCCGAGCTTGTCTGCTCGTCAAACAGAATCAAAAGCCCTGTTCCCAGCACAAACACAGCGGTTCCCAGGATCACCATGGCACGGTACCGGCCGTACTTTGTTACGACGAATCCCGAGACAACCGACATCAGCGATAGACTGAGGAGATATGGCAAAAGGTGGAGACCTGAGCTGATGGCGCTCGAGTTCTTGACTATTGTGTACCAGATGGGGATGAAGAACAGGGGTGAAAACATGGCGACACCCATGAAGAACTGGCCAATTACAGAAAGACTGATATTGCGGTGACGGAACAGGTGGATGGGCACAATGGGATCGGCCTTAGTTCTCCACTCTATCACCATGAAGACGCCCAGCCCGACCACACCAAACACCAGCAGACACACAACGCGTGCTGAGTTCCATGGGAAGTTCTTGCCGCCCCAGGTCAATGCCAGCATCAGCATGACCACCGATCCAATCAGGACCAATGAGCCTAAGAAATCGACCTTGCGCAGCTTGGACATGAACGAACCTGTAGGCTGCGGCAACCGCAGCAGGAAAATCACAATCAGCAGCACTACGCCAGCTACGGGCAGGTTAATGAGGAATGCCCAGCGCCAGCTTGCCTTGTCGGAAAACACGCCGCCAAGCACGGGTCCAATCACGGATGCAAGTGACCACACGGCACCGAGCACACCCAAGTACGCCGGTCGCTGCTCTTCGGTAGTCACATCAGAAATAATAATGAACACCAGTGCGACCAGGCCGGCACCACCAATCCCCTGAAAGGCACGCCCAAAAATCAGCACGCCCATGGAGTTTGCCCACCCGCACACAGCACTGCCGGCAATGAATATGACGATAGAAAATATGAGCGTTGGAACACGCCCAAATGTATCGCTCAGACGGCCATACAATGGCTGCAGTGCGGTTGTAGTCAGGAAATAGGCTGTTGCTATCCACGTTGCGTCCGACAGAGCTTCAAATTGGTTGGCAATCTTGGGGATGGCTGTGGTGACGATGGTTAGATCCAGGCTGGCTAGCAGCATGGTCAGTGCCAAAGACACAAAAACAACAATGCGCTTGAACGTAGACATCTCGATTAGAGCAGCAGTGGCTGGAGGGTTATCAGAGGCAGATTCGATGGCTCGCTCGGACTTGAAAGATGCGGCAGCAGAAGCAATGGTACTTTGCTTCTCAGACGACATTGAGGGATCGAGTTCCTGCTTGGAGGTCATCGTAGGAAACAAAAAGTAAAGTCTATTAGTGTTGTAGTATAAATAGGTTTGTGAACAACAGAAGGTGTCTGCACAGCAAGCAGTGTGGCTAGTCTGCCAGCCCATCTATATATACGCCAGTCTTTCCTGATACTGGTTGTAGCATGCGAGTCCAAATTTGACAACCCTTGACGACTAGCAGGGAAGCTCACATATTCTAGAATGATTACGTGTATTGTGTTGAAAATTGCGGACGTGTGGAAAAGGAAGGCCAGCGAGTACAAAACTAGTAATGACCCCAGAACTCGGAGCCAGCGGCAGCTCCGAGAAAAATATAGGAAAAATCTAAAGAAAAGGACGCTTTTGGCATATCTCTCCTGAGTAAAAAAAACAGAGGCATCACCAAACAAAATGACAGCATGCTGACTAAAATTATTTTGGTGATTTCTGCATAAAAATGCGTGGGGCAGAGAAATGTCGACTCTTTTCCAGACAGTTTTTACCGAGAGCGGAAACGAACTCGCATACGTCTCAAGGGACCTGTTTTCCTCTATGTTCTCAGACCGACACTATACATCCAACATCAGCAGCATATGCATCGCTATGGCATCACTGATCCACAAAGAAGATTTATAGGCTAATTTGCGCGCGTGAGTCCTGGCAAGGCTTTGGCCTGTGGCCTCGCAGATGTAGCATCAGATGGCTGAAGCAAGTGGCCCGGAAGGAGCAATGTGGGCAGCTGTATGGAAACCATGCCATGGAGCAGTGCACACCACTCGACTGATCTGAACACGCCATGCTGTTCTTGAGAGTCTTCGAGAATTATTAAGATGTAGACGGAGGCGTATGTGATCAAGGGCAGGGTTGGACCTTGAGGATGGGCAGAGCCAGGCGTGCAGTAAACCAGAGGGGGTGAGCAGTCAGCGATCGATATTTATACCATTCCTGCCGAAACACCTGCTACGCGCAAGGGAGGGAGGGGTATTTCACCAATTGTTATTTGCTTTTCTGAAACGGATTCTTGGTGGCATTTTACCACAGAAGGGACAGCAAAAACAGAGCATCACAATCGCCGAAAATGATGCTGGAAACCCGTGCTTCTGTATTTGCCACTATGAGAATCCCGTACCCATTGTCGGAATGGCAGCGCCATGTTCGAACACATAAAAGGCAATGCGGCCACTGAGAGATTGATCACTGCAAATGCGAGCGGGACGAGGTTCTTGCATGTCTCATGCTGAGATGTACGTCGCAGTTTGGAGGGCAGACATGTGTATGCTGCCTATGTATTCAGGCGATCGGTGTGTCTCTTGGATCCAGAAGGCCCCTATTGATCAAATGGCCTGCACTGAAAGAGTGTGGTAGATCCGGCCCTTTTTGGGATCCGAGTGGCGATGGCGCCCAAGGACAAAAATTTCCAGCTCGCGCTAGCAGACAAAAATGTGCTGCTGACTTCTGGACGTCACACTTCATGTTGTCAACAAGCAAGGCTCTGCTGAGAACACCACGTGCCCCTTCCCTCAGCAGGCTTACTTTTCTCCTTTCCACACCTCACTTACCTGCTGTTTCACAATTGTTTTCCCAAATGCCATTGACCGGAGTGGACAATCACAGCCAGGACCTGGCACACACTGACAGTCTCGCAGCACCCGGTGCTGTCGATGCAGCCCCGGACTCAAATACAGGAGCTAGCCCACAACCACCTACGTCCGAGGGCCCTCTGGCCTTTGGTCTGCCCGCTGGTACGCAACGGGAGTACGTCAACCGACTGCCCTCTGGCCAGGTCTCTGTCGCCTCGCTAAAGTCTTTTACAGAGTCCGCTAGCGCGGCACCAAACAACCCCGAAATTGTAGAGCAGCTAGCCAACCGCACAGCAGCAGAGGAGCAGTCACAGGCGGTGATGCCAGAGGACCAGGAGAGCATTGCCAGCTCGTTTTACTTTGGGTCAGATGCCCACAGCAACACACTCGTGGGCGTGGCACCGACAGGGTCGCTGAGCCCACCGCATGGGTTTGGGCAGAGCGATGGCGCCAGCCTGCGAGTACACACTGGAAGCATCCGTGAGCGTAACTACCATTTGCGAGCCTCAGCTACGCTTGACGGCGAAACAGAATACTACGATGATGTCCGGTCCGGCTCGATTTCCCTGTATGGTCGCAGCATTGTGTCACGCCGGCGCATGTCGTCATTGGATGCGCTGGGGTTCTTGGACAACGACGAACTGGATAGTGTCACTGAGGGCAGCGAGGGAGATGCATCAACGACACGAGTTCGCATGGCCACAGATATGGCATACAACGCTCTGCGTATTGGCCCAGAAAACTCAATATTCACCGCTGGGGGAGCATCCACAACCACCGGCCACCGCGCTTTATCATTTGCAACTTCGAGCGACCCTGGGCTGCCCAGCACCGCGTCATTCTACGGTGGGTACTATTCCGAGGACGAAGATATTGCAAGTCTAATCCGTAGTGATGTGGCCGTGTACGGTGGCGAGGACGTAAAGTTCCCATTCCTGCCTGACAATTTCAGTGAGTTCAGTAGCTCTGCGGTCTACTCGCCAGGTGGCATGGACCAGGACCGCCGGTCTCTACAAAACCCAAGCGAAGGCGCCCCCAGCCAATCCGCGTTGCCATCGTCCCAGCACAGCCGCCACCGTGGCAAACTCACGCGCAGGACCACAAACAGGGCCAATGAGAATATCCTGGGCAACGCCGAATCGTCGCGCATGGCGAGGCAGAATAGTGTGGGTGCGTCGTCGTCGTCGCCGCATGTGCGGAGAACAATGACTAGCACACATGGGAGGAGGTACCGGAGGCAGTCGGCGGGCGAGGCATACCATGCGCCCGGTGGGACCGGTACCCAGGGAATGTCGAACCCGGCAAACATCCGGCCAAACGCTATCATGAGGTTCTTTAAGCGCATTTCTCCCCGAAACAACCAGCTGTAACAAAACAAAAGGGCGCTTATCCATCCATTTCGAGTACAAACCATTGGCACCTTATTTATTTGCAAGACATTAGAATGCAATGAGGCAGTCCAGCTGCTTCTTGGTGAGTGGTTGCAGAATTACAATGTTGCCAATGCTGCCTTCAGCTCCGGCCGTCGATGCCGTAGCCATTAGTAAAAGTGAAAATACAATAATGGCAGAAATAATGGCGAGCAGCAGAATGGTGCGCCGACGCCTTTATATACACAGAGCCTATTGCGATATACGCCATGTACGTTTATTGAATTCAGATTTCTAAACATAGACTCGCCCAGACTCTTTTATTTTTCCTTTGCATCACTCAGCGTAACCTTCTGCATCGCGTTGACAAGCAGATCATCTTCGTCCTGCTCTGCCTTGTCTTTTGCTGTAGGCGCTGCCGCGGGCGCCCGCCAATTCCCACTTGTGTCCGCCTTTTTGCCACGCAACTCGTGCGACTTCTCCAGCCGATCTTTGTCTAGGTTGGCTTTCTTTGGGAGTACTGGCCAGTCGCCTGCAGTTTTGGCTATCCTTTCTGCCTTGGGCGGTTCTGGGAAATTTTCTCTCTGTGGCCCCTCTGCTTGCGCTCGCCGTCTGGCTGCTGGCGGCACATACCTTTGCCTCTCCTCTATGGCAACAAAGCCAGTCCGGATTCGTCGCTCCTTGCGCAGTGAGCCGTCGGCGCGCCGCGATGCTGGGATGACGCGCTCTTCCTGCGTCTCTGTCTGTGTGCGTGGTTCTGTCATTGGGTAGAAGGGGCTTACAGACAATGAAAAAAGGCAATATTGCGCTACATTCCACAAGTCATTTGCGACAATCAGTTTTCGACAACAAAGTATGGCTTGATTGGCCAAACTGACCTCGCCCCTTGCGCAGCATAGCGGGTGCTTGGCAAAGTGCGATCGTTGGCAGGCAAGCTCATGGGCAATCCCCCCACAGCCAAACATGCTCAGAGTAGAGTGCGGAGGACAAGGGGGTTGTCCTCACTTCTCTCTGGCATACTCAAGGGAGAACCTGCATATAAATATCGATATTTTCTGTCCAGCTCTCCTCGTTTCCCATCTGCAAACTCGGTGTAAAATCTTCTTTTTTTGAACTCTTGATCATGGTTGACTTCAACAACTTGGCGAACATGGCCACATCTGCATACAAGCAGTACCAGGAAACTACTTCGGGCGACAGCAGTCGTCGCAACGACAGTGAGAACACTTATGGTAGCCAGAGCCGTAACGACAGCAACCGTCGCAACGATGACGACAACAGCTATGGCAGCGATCGCCAGAACCAGGGCTACGGCAACCAAGGCCGCAACGACAATGACAACTACAGTAGCGGCCGTAATGAGAGCAACCGTCGCAACGATGGCGACAACAGCTATGGCAGCGGCCGTCAGGACCAGGGCTACGGCAGCCAGGGCCGCAACGACAACGATAGCTATGGCAGCGGCCGTAACGACAGCAACCGTCGCAACGATGATGACAACAGCTATAGCAGCGGTCGCCAGAACCAGGGCTACAGCAACCAAGGCCGCAACGACAATGATGACTACAGCGGTGGTCGTCAGAACCAGGGCTACGGCAGCCAGGGCCGCAACGACAATGACAACTACAGTAGCAGCCGTAACGATAGCAACCGTCGCAACGATGACGACAACAGCTATACCAGCGGTCGCCAGAACCAGGGCTACAGCAACCAAGGCCGTAACGACAACGATAGCTATGGCAGCGGCCAAAACGAGAATAGCTACGGGGGAGACAACAACAACGGCCCCAAGCCCAGCAACTACCATGGTGGCAGCAGCTCTGGAAACAACGGCCGTAATGATGACTACAGTGGCAGCCAGGGCAACAGTGGAAGCCAGGGCAACAGTGGCAGCGCAGGAGGTTTTAACATTTCGCAGGCTGCGTCGCTGGCTTCAGGGCTCCTTGGTGGTGGCAACAAGAACAGCAGCAGTAACAGCAGCAATGGCGGCTTCGACATTGGCCAGGCTGCTTCCCTCGCTTCGTCTTTCCTGGGTGGTCAGCAGAGCCGCAGTGGTGGCGGAAACAATGACCTGTTCTCGACTGCCTTGAGCCTCGTCAGCGGTGGCGGGTTCAACCAGGGTAATGCCAGCAAGAGTCAGATGCTGTCTAGCTTCAGCAGCATCTTTGGTGGTGGTAACTCAGGCGGCAACAACCTGGCCTCTCAAGGACAGCAGGCCATGGGTCTGGCTGCTGCGTACATGGCGTTCCAAAAGTTCTCTGGTGGCGGCAACAACGACAGCAACAACAGCGGCAACAACAACCGTGGCGGCGACCAGAACCAGCTTATTGGTATGGCTATGTCCGAGGCCAAGAAGCTTTTCAACCAGCACTCTGAGGAGGGAGGCAACGCCAACGAAAAGGAGACTCTGGCTACGGCTGCACAGGCAGCAATGAAGCTGTTCGGCTCTCGCTAGCATGTTCTGGTTTGAAATATATATTTTTCTCACTCCAAACTCCAATTTCTTGGAACAAAGACTCAGAACCCTGTCAGTGGGAACGGCCCGCGCGGGTCGTCAGCCAGGTCGAGTCCGATCTTGCCCAGCGCGTTTCCTGAAACTGGTATGTCTTGCAGCTTGCAGTTGTTGGTCAATTGCGGCGGCAGCTTCGTGCTATTGGCGATCATATACGGCGCCTCAATAAATGTCAAGCTAAGGCCCTGCACGTCATGGTATGCCATATGGCAGTGGAAAAGCCAAACCCCTGGGTTATCAGCACGGAACCTGACCACCGCGTACGACAGTGGGGGAACAGTGATGGTATCACGGCGCATAGGGTACTTGCCAGCAAGCAGTCTCTTAGTTGGGTCCTTGTTCGTAGCACCACGGATAACGATGAAAAATTGATGTCCGTGCAGATGGAACGGGTGCGAGTTGACATCGTAGTTGAAGATCGCAATCTCGACATCCTCGTGGGTGTCCAATATCACTGGATAGGTCTTGAACCCGTACACGTCAGGGTAGTATGCCTGGTATCCAGTGGTAAGCGCTGTCACTAGCGAGGGGACCTTGGGTCGTACAAAGGTGCGGTTGTTATATGCGAGGTGCTCTCGCTGATCGTCGTAAATGGATGTGCGTACTTCCAGTGGCACCCACTTTTGCACGCCCGGCGGATCTACCTTGTCAATTGGAACTAGATCAATATCCTGGAAAAAGTCCCAACTGACGGTGCTCACAGAAGCATTTTTCAAGTGGGCCGTTGGCGAGTATTCGACAAGCCCCTCGAACGGAAGAGTCGCGCGTGCCACACCTGCCTGGATGTCCGTGAAAATGTCAGCATGGTAGATGTAGTTAGTGTCAGCTCTGCTCTTCGCGGTAACTAGCACTGAGGCACGCTGCCCCACAGACAACTGCATGCTACTGGTGACCTTCTCCTCGACATCGGTACCATCGACCTCGATAACTCGCATATCATGGTCCTCGATTCCGAAGCGAACCATACCAGTCCCCGATACGTTCATCAGGCGTAGCCTGTATGTCTTGCCTGGTGTGAACTTGAGCTTTGTCTTCTGGAGATCGCTTCCACCTGCACTATTCACAAGCATGTATGGGTGGAATGGTGATACGCGTGTGGCCTCACTGGTGCTCAGGAGCTGGTCCTCGATTTCGGCTGCTTCGCGGTGGTAGAAGGCCTCAAGCATCACAACCATGTCCTCATCGTACTTGTATACCTCCTTTGGCGGATGGCTAATGAGGGGTGTGCGCAGACCATCCAGCCACTGCGCCTTGTTGTGGCTGTGGATCCAGTACGTTCCCGTCTGCACCACGTTGATCTCGTATGTGAAATTGCTGCCAGGCGGGATTCCACACTCGGTTGCACCAATAGCACCATCGTAATAGTTTGTACCGTTCTGGAAGAAGCCGTGTGTGTGCAGCGAAGTCACCTCCTGTAGCCTGTTGGTTGCATGAATCACTAGCGTATCGCCCAAGTTGACATGCACCTCAGGTGGTGGCCATTTCCCATTAATACCGATTCCACGCCGCGAGTTCTCGCCGTCGGGGTTGATCTGGACGTACTCGATGTTCCAGTCCAAATGAACACGCTTAGCCAGGACACTGCCGAACGCTGCAAACGAAAGTAAGTAGACACCAGTTAGCTTCATCCTGCAGCAAAAAGTATATAACTTGGAGAAACGAGTTTGGTAGAGAGAGCGGAAGGACAGTGCAGAGCATGGGCATTAAATATGAAACTGGCCTACCACTTGCACCTGAGGAGAATGCGCAATATTTGCCCAAGGCTGCACCGAGTAGGGTTGTCAGGCCTTCTAAGCCATGCCTTGGCCAAGCGCCGCATGCTACTATACATGAAAGCGGAGGCCTCTGTAAACAAACGCCACAGCAGATGTGCAACATCAACAATTGCAATATACAGACAATGGAACCATCCACCATCTTCGTCAATGCGCCCCGTGTGAATATACAGCGAAACCCACCGTTAGTAGGGCGGCCAATTGGTGTGGAAAAGCTACATGCTCAGGATACATCGCAGACTGGTTCGCGCTGGCTTTCGGTTGAACAAAACAGATCTTTCTCAGCACGTATTCTCATACAGCGCTGCATTCAGACCTGGGATTCATGCAATGGGTCGGATAGCCCAACGAGTCATTGACTGGTGGCTATGCACGCATGGAAATAGCGTCCCCTCTGGCGCACGACACCTTGGGTTCGAATATAGAAATAGAAAACAGGGCAAAAAGATCGCTCTCGGATAGGCTCGAACTATCAACCTCCTGATTAACAGTCAGACGCGCTAACCAGTTGCGCCACGAAAGCTGACCTGGCTTACAAACCAATTTCTGAAAACATGAAAAATAGAATGTATATGATCCACAATGCATCTGCTACCGTTTCCATGATATGCAATGGACAAACCATACGGACCATGCGGTTAGATTAGAATATGCATGGCAGCATTTAGTTTAAGCACATGTTGCGTCAATGAAATGGCGGCAGCACTGTAGACTGCAAACTGTCTATAGTGCATAAAATGGAAGTCGTTGGTGTTGCCACTGTGTCGAATACATGCACATAGAGCTGGTCCACAGGTGATTCTTGAAGGTGGCGTTGTGGATCGTCAGCGGCTCCTGCTGAATCCAGACACATTGAGGACTTGGATAACAAAGCCAGTTTCTGCTATATATATGCATAGGAAGGCTGTTGCTGTATGCAGGAAGCACAGCGTAGACTGTGGCGGCTATCTACCAGCAAAGCAAAAAAACGGTCGGTTGGCAAAAAGCAGAGTAGGTCACCGCAAACGATGCAAGCCGAAAGGTTTATTAAAATACTCTGTGAACAAGTCTAGCTGTGGTACGTAAATGGACGGGTGCCGAAACTGCCTTGACTGCTGCTAGCGCTATAGAGGTATGTGAGGACATGGTCTGGACTATTGCCCTCGGCAGCACTAGCCAATGAATGGGCATTGCTTTGTGATTTTGTTGATGTATTCGAATAAAAGATGGAGCCATCGGGTTCGGTGCGGGTGTCTGTGCTGGGAAGCCTCTTGAAGAAATTGCGGAATGGCATGGTAGATGTATAGCTTGTACTGTTATTGTTGACAAGTCTATGCGAGCAGGGGGATTGGGGCATGCCTGTCCCTTAAATGGGCTGGTGCTCTGCTTTCTGGTGCATGCACATCGGTGCCAAGGGGCGTGCTACGTGCTTTTTGTGAGTTCGCCAAGTGCCGGGCCGGATAGGACTACTGCACACAGTCCTGTGACCAGCATATTCCAGAAGCAGTGGAGGGGTGTGCCTCGTGCATGGCGCTGTAGGTATATCTACACAAAACACTGCGGCGGGCTGCGGCAGCAAGGACACATGGACCTAACACCGGAGATGCTCTATCGATAGTTACTGCGATTTTTATTTGCTAGGGTGTGAAACGCTTGCTAGAGAAGAGATCTTGCTGAAGCCGCATTCGCACTCGTGGTTTTCTCTGTTGGTGCATGCGCGCTCAATAGCCATTATTCAGCTCTTGGAGACGGTATCTTGTCAAGGAGAGGAAATAGGAATGAACTAGCGGGTATTCGGGAAGAAGCGGGGTGGTGTTCCTCTGTTGCCCAGTCGAATCCAAAGCACTGTCGTTCACTGCGGGTGGGCATCTGCGATGGATGCACATGGCCAATCTCGGAAACTGACAGACCATCCGATTGCCAGCAGGACCACCCCTAAGGCAGCACCAGCGAGGGCAGTGGTGTCGACAGGGAATCGGTGGCTTAGAGTGGGGAGGCGCCTCAGGTAAACTTCGACGCAGCAAGGGAGCCTGTGGTTTAGAGTTCGCTCAATGAGACTGCCAGGACCCTTGCGGCCTTGCTTCATGGCAGGGCAGCTTGCATGTTCGTCGATAGAGCAAGTGCAGATGCGCTGTTCTTTGAGAGCCCAGTCTTGTTGTTCCGATAGATTTGCTGGCTCTCACTCACAGCGCAAACATAACCATAATCGGTGGATGGGGAGGCGGGCGGTGACACGCAGCAGGCAGGGGCAGGCAGAGGGAGGAATCTTTACCTTTTGTTGTTGACAAGTGCCTGGTTGCCGGCTCCGTGCTATAAGGCTGCGCGCTGCTTTCCGCTACTGTGGACATGCTCCATGATGATCGGATTTGTAGCCCTGCAAGCGGAGACCCGGGCCTGCGGTCGCCTGCCCCGGTCAAACGGGGAGGGGATGGCAGGTGCCCGTCATAGAAGAATCCATGAACAGCATATTAATTGGGAACGCTGGTCTATCAATGTCCTCGTATCTCACCTGCGGTGCTGACATCCTTTTTTCAAAATTCTGAAACCAGACTGAGCGGCATGATCCTGTCGACAAGAATGTGAAGCTACTTTGCGGACATTCTCAGGGGAGGACCGAAGCGGCTTTTCCTAGCAGCCCGGAGTAGGGGTGGTGTGGCCTGCCTTTTATTTTTCTCAATTCAGGCTCCCTCTTCATTTCCGCGCTAATAGGAATTCATACACTTTAACAATTCAAAAGTTTTCTGTCACAGGCCAATGTCGCCGTGGATAGTTCCAGCAGTATTCGTGCCAGTCGCACTCGGAGTAGGCACATCGTTCAAGGCACTCAGCAGCTCCGACTGGCACACGCGCCTACGCAAGCCCAAGTACAACGCCCCACACGCATCCTTATTGCCCGTGCTCGTGCTCCTGTACACGCTCCAGGGCATTGGATCATATTTAGTGTCGAATGAAATGGTGGTGGGCGACCACACAGCAGAGCTAGTTGCGCAGACAGCTGGGCAGGCGGGACTTGGATTCTTCTGGCTGCAGCTGACGTTTTTGGCGTTCTGGCCGCGGCTACTGGCATGCGGAGTGAGGCTGGCGTTGGCAGATCTGTGTGTGGCGGTGGTGGTGCAGGTGCTGGGGATGATCCAGTTCTTTCGCGTCAGTGTGGCGGGCGGGTTGCTGATGCTGGTAAGCTTGCTTGGGTGCGTGGCTTTGGGCGTGTGGAATCTGGCGCTGGTGCGCAAGAGCTCTTAAGCTTTGTAATTTTTAAAATAGGGTGGGAGGAAATAAATCCCATCGATGGCTGGCAGGCATCAGTCTGGCCGCGAAAACAACCGCAGCAGACAGACAATAGGCAGGCATAAAGTGATGCGTATATTTTCCGATGGGCAGGATTGGCGGTGTGTTTGCTTATTTTTGGGCCCTATTACCAATCCGCATGTCTTGAAGCAAGGAAAAAGGGTGTGGAGACGATGGTTCTGGAGCGCACGGGGCGGGGGTTTGCTATATTTGGACGGAGAAACAAAAAGTGATGGTGGTTTGCAAGAGAGGAGGATTTTTTTTAAAAAAGCGTTCTACTGCTTCATGGCTTTCATATCAGCAGTCATGGAGGGGGCGGACACCCGTGGCCAGACCCAAGCATTTGCAGATGCCTGACCAATCATGAGGCCAATTTATTCGGGCAGTTTGGCCGCTCTTGTTGCCGCTGTTGCAAAGAGTTTTTCACCGGGTTCGCAAAATACAGAGGCAAAAATTTTAGGGACAGTTTCCAGACATCCGTTCTGGGTAGGCCATCTCTCGCTTTTCTTCTCTCGCGTCAATTAAAAATCCAATCCCACTCTTTTAAAAAGCGCGTACATTTTTTGCTTTAAACAATGGCTCACGACGGTTCGCATGTACTGGGAACGGTGATATCGACGAGCAAAATAGGCGACGGTCTGGCCCCACTGTCCATCGGCGGCTGCATGCCGCCGCGTAGCAGCACCAGCGGGCTGTCGCGGGCATCGGGCGACACATTAGCATCGTTCGATGAGCCACCGCTGACGGTGCAGCTGGACGATGAGGTTCTGGGCAGCGGGCAGTACGCGACGGTGCGGCTGGGGCGGCTGAGCACCGGGGGGGCGTGTGCAGTGAAGATCGCCCACAAGCAGGACCCGGACGCAGTGGAGCTGGCGCAGATCGAGGCGGCGGCGCTGGCGCGGGTGGGCGGGGCGCCAGCGACGGTGCAGTGCTTTGGAGTGGTGGACCTTGGTGCGGGCGTGGTGGAGCCGTGGGGGCAGGCGGCAGAGCGGATGGCCAAGGGGCAAGGGCAGTGGGGGGTGGTGCTGGAGCTCTGCCATGGCTCGTGCTGGGAGTTGATGCAGCGGAGCCGGGCGGCCATGGGTGCCGAGCTGTTTTTTGCGTGGGCGCGGCAGCTGACGCTGGCGCTGGCGGCTCTGCGCAGCGCGGGCATGGCACACAAGGACATTAAGCCGCACAACATCCTGGTAAGGCTCTTTCCGTGGCTGAATGGGGGGGGGGCAGATGACTGGGGTTTGTTCTAAACGACATGTGCTCTCTGTAGCTTGACAGGGCGGGGGCAGTGCGGCTGGCGGATTTCACGGCGGCAGAGTTTTCACCAGCAGCAGTTGCGGCGATGCGCGTCAGGTGGGAGGCATTCAACCCAAACTCATATCCGCCATACGTGGACTTCAGCGGCACGGTGCCGTATAGCGCGCCGGAGGCATTGAGTCCAGGGCTGGAGCGGACGGCCCAGGAGCTGCACAAGATCGACGTCTTCAGTCTGGGCGTGACGCTGTATGCGCTGTTTGTTAGCGGCCGTGATCCGTTTGCCAGCGTCAAGAGCGGGCTGGAGCAGATGCTGCTTGCGGGCCGCGGGGCTTTCTGGGAGTGGGAGGAGCGCCAGGCCCTGGCCGCTACGCCTAGCGCCCCACAGGAGGCATCCGGCGGCCTGGCGCGCAGTCTGAGCCTGGGCCGCCGGCTGCGTCGTCGCCAGGCGTCGCAGGAATTCCGTACGTTCCTGAGCGGCGAGCCGCTGCCAGCGGGTGTCGAGGCGCTGCTGCGAGCCATGACGAGCCCCAATCCAGACCAGCGCCCCGACGCGTCCGCCATTCTGCAGGCGCTGGACGAGATGGAGCTGGAGATCTTCGAGCCCTGAAATCATTCTATTTGCGTTATTTCTTTCATTTCTTTCATTTCCTTCATTTCTTGCACGTCTTTCCGATCATTTCCGTATACGTTCAATTCCATTTCTGTGTTTATTCAAAGGCTTCAGGATGGCCTAAGGTGTCTGCCATGCCAGCCAGATTGGCTCTTATCCGGTCCGCAGGATGATGTGTACGCCGCTGTCGGACTCGACCGGGCCGCTGAGCTCTCCAGGCTTAAGTGCCAGCACAGCCTTCTCGAACGCTGGCTGCATCTGCCCGCGGTCAAACCACCCCAGGTCGCCGCCACGACGGGCGCTCGAGCAGTCCGACTCCTTAGCCGCCAGATCGGCAAACTGCACCTGCCCCGAGGCAATCTGCTCGCGGAACTGCTCCACGGCCGCAGTAGCCTCCTGCTTGGTGCGCGTAATATTGGCCTCCTTCCACGAGCTGGGCTTGCGCGACCCCGCGTGCTTCACCAGCAGATGGCTGGCCCGCATCTTGGTTGTCCGCGCCCGCGGCTCCTCTGTCGGCGGCTCCCAGCGGCTCTCGCCCGTCGTCCGGTTGAAGTAGTATTCGATGCCGCGCGACTTGGACATGCGCACCTCCCACCCGGGAGGCAGTGCTGAATGCGACCCTTCGCCCTAATGTACAGCTGTTAGTAGCATGTGTTGGAAGCGACTGCACGAGGAAGCGGGGCCTGTGTGCTTACCATTGTTGGTTGTAGAAATGCTAGTGTTGAATTGGGAATGAAAAGAAGAAAAAGGTGAAAGGAAAAAGGGTATGCCGAATCGGCCTAAATTCACCGCGTTGGAATTTGTCATCGCTGCCCCTGGTCCTGCCTCCCCCCAGATATTGGCCGGCGATGGCTTACGGAGGCCGGTTGTGCGGATCTCCCTCCTGGCATGCTGTTATCATGGCCTGCCCCCGGAACAGTGCTTATATAAATACCGCCCAGTCCAGCCCGCGCTTATCTAGCTTTCTCCTTTACTTGTTCGCCTCCCATCTATTTTTCTACCTTCAGTTAGCTTTAACATGCTGGGCCGTAGACTCTACTCGACTGCATCGCGCTACATCACCTCCGCCAAGCCCACAAATGGCTTCATTGGCGCCATCGGCAACACTCCCCTGGTAAAGTACCTTCCTGAGTTTAAAATCCGACCAAGAGGGCAAAAGAAATCAACATCTGTGGCTAACAACGAAATCTCCTTTTGGCTAGATCCGCATCAACAGCCTAAGCAAGGAGACCGGGTGTGAGATCCTGGGCAAGGCCGAGTTCATGAACCCAGGCGGGTCGGTCAAGGACCGCGCCGCCCTGTTCGTAGTGGAGGCGGCCGAGCGCTCCGGGGCCCTGCAGCCCGGAGGCACGGTAGTCGAGGGCACGGCGGGCAACACGGGCATTGGGCTGGCGCATGTGTGCCGGGCCAAGGGATACAAGTGCGTAATCTACATGCCGAACACGCAGAGCCAGGAGAAGATAGATCTTCTGAAAATGCTGGGCGCCGATGTGCGGCCAGTGCCGGCGGTGCCATTCGACAACCCCGACAACTACAACCACCAGGCGAAGCGCTATGCGGAGACTCTGGAGAACGCGGTGTGGACGGACCAGTTCGACAATACGGCGAACCGCCAGGCGCACATTGAGACCACGGGGCCGGAGATCTGGGCCCAGACCCAGGGCAAAGTTGATGGGTTTACATGCTCCACCGGCAGCGCCGGGACGTTCGCCGGCACGACCAGGTTTTTGAAGGAGGTGTCGAATGGCCGTGTCAAGGCGTTTGCGGCGGACCCGCCCGGCTCGGTTATCTACAGCTACGTGAAGTCGCGCGGAAAGAGCCTGGATAAGGAGGGGTCGTCGATTACCGAGGGCATTGGGCAGGGCCGGATCACGGCGAATCTGCAGCCGGACGTGCATCTGATCGACGATGCCTTAAGGATCCCGGACTCGGACACTATCAGGACGCTCTACCGTCTTTTGGACGAAGAGGGCATTTACCTGGGCGCCTCGTCGGCACTCAATGTCACGGCCGCGTACGAAATGGCCAAGATCATGGGCCCCGGCCACACCATCGTGACTATTATGGCGGATGGCGCGTACAGGTACCAGTCGCGTCTGTTCAGCCGCAAGTGGCTCGAGGCCAAGGGCCTGGCGGATGCCATCCCAGCGCACCTGCAAAAGTACATTGTCCTCGAGTAATTGGTGATTACCAAATACATTACATGATCGCTGGGTGGTCCCTGAGTCCAAAAAAATATGTCACTTGAGTTGCCCATATGCACGATGTGCGTTTATCCGCTGTGCCAGATGCATTAAAGGAATGCAGCGCTGTAGCTAGTCACAAGCGAAAAAAACAATGTCCCTAATGCATCATGGTAATACGTGGTGGTGTGGTTTATATGTGCGCAGCACCGCATTCATTATTTGAGGATCAAAAAAATCAGCACATAGTTTCCAGTGCCTGCGGACATTCCCTGGGGATGCGGGGGCTTGGAAAAGGGGGGAAACGGCCAAGGCAAGATTACGTTGGCGCAGCTTGAAAAAGAATTGATGAGCTTCTAAGTGCTGCGCCTTGATTTTCCAACACAACCGCATCATTTCAGAAGGGGGAGGGGAAATCAGTGCTGCGCAAGAAAAGAGTGAAATAGTGGAATCATAACGGTCATTATACAGGGCAGCCACGAAGCAAGCCTTAAGCACTGTGTTATTTGTGAATTCTGGGTAAGGACATCAGGGCAGCCAGCTCATCAATGAGACCTGCGAGGTGACATTTCCGCAAGACACTCGCAAGCAAAACCTTGTGCGAATATATGCCCAGAAATCAAGGGGGAAACCGAGTGTTTAAACCCGCAAGTGCCAGCCTCATTCCCCTCTTCTTTTTGGTTTTTTTTTCTTCTTTCTTCCTTTGTCTTTAAAGTTCACTGGCAAATGTCTACCATGTATATTGTATCGCCCCTTAAACCGCACGCAGTGCCGATGGGCGACATCCCCACGCACATGTTCACCCGGGCCGCCCACCGGCAGCACACGGAGAAAGTGCTAATTGACGCGGAGACCGGGCAGGGATTCACCATCAACGACATCATCCAGACGTCGCAGCAACTGGCACAGGGCCTGGCACATATGGGTCTGGCCAACACAGTCATTGCGGCGTACGGGCGCGATCCACGCAATGTCTTTGTATACTATGCGGCGCTGCTCTCGGGCAATGCGTTCCAGCTGGTCAGCTGCCGGGAGCAGCTGGAAATTAGCCAGGCCAAGCTGGTGTTTGTAGAGGGCAGGCACATGAGTGACCTCGGAACTGCGGCCGAAATCATCGCATTCGACCGGGGGTCCCATGCCTTCCGCACCCTCAGCGACCTGCTGGCCAGCGGCATTGGGATTAAGCCCCGGGCTATGGCGCCCGAGGCTGCGGAGAAGGCGCTGGCGATTTTGGCTGGCGGGCAGCGGCCGGTGATGCTGTCGCACTATGGCGTGCTGGCGGCTCCCGCGGGCTCGGGCCAGGGGGTGGTGGTGGCTGGCATGCCGGGCATCGGCAATATCGCGCACCTGCCGCTTCTGGCCGGCTGCACTGTGGTGCAGCTGCGCGAGTGCTCGGCCCTCGCCTGTCTTGCAGCCATCGCCGCACATAACGCAAATGTATTGCTGGCCACCAACGAGCTTCTGCTGGAGCTCCGCAACGCCCGTAGGCGGGACGGCTGGCTGGAGCTCAGCGGCCGCGCATTCCCCACCGACTGCCTGCAGACGGTGTTTGTGTGGCAGATGCACGCGCCCGGCTCCTTCAAGCAGCAGATGCAGGAGCTTTTGCGTGCGCGCGTGGTCGAGCTCTACGGGTTTGTCGAGACCGGGCTGATTGCCGGGCTGATCTCCGAATCCCCGCCGCTTCGGGACTCGGTCGGCGTATTGTGCGCCAACGTCACCGCCCGCATTGTCTGCGACGGCCGGGACCTGAAGCCCGGGGAGTATGGCGAGATTTGGGTCAAGACGCCGCGCCTGATGATGGGGTATCTGGGCGGGTCCGCCGGGCTGGTCGACGGGTTCTTCTGCACCGGCGATTTCGGCACTGTGACCGAGGACGGCGTGGTGGTGGTGATGGGAAGAGTGGATGACGTCGTCAGGATGGAGGAGCGTCACGTGCCGCCCGTGGAAATCGAGCGGGCGGTGCGTCAGTGTGCGGGCGTTGCAGACTGCGCGGTGGTGCGGGCAGCAGGACCCGGGCATGACGTGCCGTTTGTGTTTGCTGAGCGCAGCGCCCCGGCTGCGCAGATCTCTGCAGTGCTGGCAGAACTGGCAGGTGCGTATCCGGGGATCTGCGGGCGGTTTGTGGATATGCTGCCGCGGACTGCCACCGGGGCGGTAGCACGCACTGAGCTCGTTTCGATGCTGTAGCAGACATTTTTAATTCAATTGCTAGTCAAACCTAATGCTCCTCGCCCTGGCGGATGTCGCTCATGTTGGCGGTATTGACTGCCGTGCCAATGAACGCCAGCTGCTGGAGTGCCGTGACGTCGCCGCCGCCCAGGTTGTCCTCAATGAACACCGACAGACTGTGGACATTCTGGAACCGCACAAACCGCAGCCCCACCACACCGCCCTTTTGGTAAGTCTCCTCAGTCATCTCCACCGCCTGCGTCTCGCTGCCCTGCTCGGCGTCGTCAAATCCCACGTCGCTGCGGTTAGCAAAACAGCCGCAGGGTACGCGGAGCACGCTCCAACTCGGCGCATTTCAGCATCAGCGAGTGCAGCTTCACCGGCTGGTTGAACACCACGTGCAGAACCATCTGCTCGTCGACATCGCTTTCCAGCACCGAGTCGTCGGCCTTGAACACGTTGGCCAGCGGGAAGTCGTCGTTCTGGTTCAGGCACTCGCTCTGCGTCGCAATAACCGTGCTGGTAATGTCGGCGTGGCCGTGTACGCCGTATGCAGACGCTGCCGGCGCCGAGTCCTGCAGTGCCGCGTCAATGGCCGAAATTATCGCCGGCTTGCTGGCGCCCCGCACCTCGCCCACCTTGCGCCCGCGCCGGAACAGCTGCAGAGTCGGCGTTGCCGTGATCTGGCACTGTGCCGCCACTTCGCCGAACCGCTGCACGTCCACCTTGTAGAACCCAACCGAGCCGTATGTCTGCGATAGCTCCTCCAGCACCCCGTCCACGATACGGCATGGCGCACACGTCTGCGAGTAAAAGTCCACCACCACCTAGCAGACAAATAGCCCCCTTTTTAAGTGTTTATCTAATTTCAGGCCTAAATTATGCCCCGCCCAGCTTGTCTTGTTCTCCTTACCAGCTTGCTCATGGACTCGTTGATAAGTTGCACAAACTGCTCGGCTCTCTCGACATTGACCGCCATTGCTTCTATTTTGCTGGATATATGAGATATTGTTAAAAAAAAAAAAAACGCCAGTGTTGCTAAGAGACGCATGCAAAGGAAACGGCAATGACGCGTGCAAAGCCTCATCAGTGGTGATCTGATCAGCAAAATTTACTCCTCGACATAGACCAGAAAGTCGCGGCGGCCAAACACGCGCTCGGCCAGCGCCCGGCCATCGTCGGTCGGCTGCGTAAACGCCAGCTGATCCAGACCCACTGGACATCCATAGACAAACCGCATCGCCACAGCCCTGACCATCTGCACACCCACGCCTCGCCGCCGCTCCCCAGGCACCACCCAAATCCGACTGATCCCGCACACGACCCGGATAAACCCACCCTGACACTCACTCAGCCCAGGCACCAGCCGCCTGGCCTTGTCAATGCGCTCGGCCAAAATGCACCCGCACACCCGACCTTTGTCAATGAACAAAAACACCTTGCGCTCACCCAGCACATCCACTTTGCACGCACCCAGGTGCTCGTTGGCTAGGTTCAGAATGGCCAGCGCCCGCTTAACTATGCGCTGGGGGCTGTGCGCGTCGACAATCTGGACAGAGCCGTTTGCACAGACTATGCTTTCGCAGTCGTCGTGCCAGAGCAGCGCCTTGTCCTGCCGCCTCTGCCACGCCCGGTGGAACTTTTTGTGCAGATGCTCGTCGTCCGTGCGTCCACGCTGGTACGCCATGCCGCATTGCTTGCAGGGTTCTGCCGTCAGCTGCTTCTGCCCGAAATCCAGGAACGTCTGGGTTTTCTTGCGAACCACCACCGCCTCTATGCCCGGGGCCTTGCTGGCTGATGTGCTGGTGGCCATTGAATCAAGCAATGTAATGTGCGTGCGCCGCTTTTTGCTTGCCGCCTGGTCGCTGCGCGTTGTCCATGCCATGGCTGGCCTTCGTGCCGTTTGTGTGCCGTACGTTACTTTGACTCGGGCTCGCTTTGGCGCATGCGTCGTTGTCTCCGAGCTCATTTTCTGCCTCCCCCTCTCTAGTGAATTTGTACAAGGAAATTAAAGGAAGCTGAAGAAACTCGAAAGAAGTGAGAGACGTAGTGTAGGTAAAATCGATCTGCTATTGCTAAAAAAAACGCGAAAAGGCAACGGTCTGGTTTCGCGTAATTAGGCTCTGAAGACAATTGCACGTGATCTTATCACCTAGCCTATTTCTTGATCTATCTTCATCTTTACCTATATATTTGTGAAAAGGGTGGGTTTTTCGTTCTATTTACTTATTCATTTACTACAACCTGAAGGCGAAGACTGTCATATCTGCCGAGGATTTCGTTAACTGGAAGGACAGGTCAGAACTGTCGAGCGCAGATTTCGGTGATATAGTTAGATACCATATTTATGATTATCTATTGCATAATGGCGATATCGAGCTACATGGCGTGCGCAAAATGAATCAAGTAGCGACATACGTGGATACCGAGCTGATGACAGCATACAAGAACAACATTGTGTTGCACTATGGCACTTGCCTACAGCGGATTCTGGCCAAATTGGTTGATATTCGCAGCCGTAAAAACACACTGCACAGTACAATGGGCAATGTGTCCAAGGCTGAGTTCAATAATGCATGTCAAGTGTGTATTTATACACCTGCACAGAAGCTCCACCAGGAAGTTGCCTCTAGGCACCCTGGTCTCAGTGTGCTCACCCCACCGATGCTTGCAATCTACAACAAGCTGGCACCAGTCCTTAATGCCTATGATGCCAAGTACAGATTCGCCAAAGACAGCCGATACTATGATGCCAAGGCAAATCCACTTAAGCATCTGCGTGCATACATTCGCCTATGCCAGCTTATCGAGAATGAGCAGCTTGGCAAATCTCCCCCCTAATGCTTGCCTCTGCGGACATCATGGATTCCAGACCATGTGCGCTTGGACAAACAAATAATCAAGCAGGTGTTTGTTTCGAAAACACGCGAGCAGGTTACCAAAATCAATGCAGCAAAGAGGGCAACAACAGAGGCAAGGAAAGCAGCAGAAAAGGGCGAAAAATTGGCCAAGAAGGCTGCACACGAAGCAGCGAAGATGCCATCAGATGCAACAGAGGCCACTGCAGCAACTACAGCAGTAGCAGCTGATTCACTTGCTGGTGCATCGGCGGCAGCAGCAGCAGACATTCCGGCATGTTCCCAACCCACGGCCCTACCAGAGATCGAAGAACCCAACTGTGAAGTGCCATGGCCTTCTCCGCTGTACAAGCGAGTCATGTAAGCAGGCCATGGCACAATACAGGCGGGCCTATTCGTCTCGGCTCTTGAACCGCGATCTCGCAGCAGTTCTAAACTTCAGACTCGTTTTCCAGTCACTCTGTGATTCAGGCAGTATTCCTGAACGGTTCCGTTGCTCTACGGCCATTGCTGCCGATGCTTCTGGCGCCACTCCGGCAACAAAGAGGCCGCGCAAGAGGCGTGCAGCAGCAGCAGGCGATTCTGTTGCCAGCAGCAGCGAACCAGCGCTGAAGCGCCTACGCTGAGCAGGCCACCAAGGTGGGAGATGTCCATGATCGCCATTGCACCAACAACCATCCGATACGTTCAAATGACCGGTTCGCCGTGATGCTCTTATCGATGTGTCAGCCCATGCTGACTAGCAGCCGAGCCCGCATCGCGAGCAGAGTATTTCTAGTAGGCGAAATAGCGACTAGTCTGCTTCTCACTGTACCAGCAGATGTAGCAGGTTTACTCCTACAATCCACTGTGTGCACAGGTGGTGCATCCACAGTGCCGGCGTGGTTTCTGCTGTAGACGCCGAATACTTTGTGAATAACTAAGCCACTACACAACTCACCAAACAACATCAGTACCTGCGCGTTTGCAGCACATAAAGAGGGCGACTCTAGACTGTCAACTGTGGTGTGGTAGGTCCATAATGGAACAAATGTTGCTTGATTTCCTGGCAAAAAAAGTCCACAATGCCACGGTGGAGGTGCCAATGCAGCCATGCACATCTGCGGTGCAGTGCCAAGTGCCAGTATGGTGGCAAAACTATCAGTTAGCACAACTGCAGGCCTCGCCAACAAGTGATCGGCCGCTAATAAGGTTGATTGTAATGACGGACACTGCAGCTGCGAAGTATGCTAGAGGCAGAATTGGGTAGCTCCAAAAGAGCTGAACAATGTTACATAGGTCATTGTTGGCTTCAAGCGCGCATATTTCTGCTTGCGCACAAAAGAGGTAAATGTTGGAAAAGAGAGCTGCTTTGGCCTATGCTTGTCCTTGCTCTACCTCTATCATTCAATAAGAAGATATGTACTTTTATCGTAATGGCCATTTATGGACCGCTCTTTTGCGCCAAAAACAATTTGTGTATCCGCGTTCGTGGTCTTATCACTTGGATAGGGATCACTGCGAATTCTGGCTTCATACCGATGAACTGCAACTATAGTGCATTGCACATGTGCACTACATAATTCTGCTCACACCTCGAAAGCCGTTGGGCACGATTGATGCCAGCACCCTCTGCTTAACCAAGCCATGGGCGATGAGTTCCTACACTTCAAGACCCCCGTTTGATGCTTGTCACAGACTATTTCATGCATATCACTACAGGGTTATTGGATTTATAGACTTCAGAAAATACAACACTATTGGCTTATAGAGTCCAACCGGCGGTGCAGCATCTCGTTCAGCTGGCGCTCCATGGAGAGCTCCTGCTGCAGCCGTCTCTGTGTATCCTTTGTCGAGGACAAGAGCAGCTCGAATTTAACTTCAATCTGCCCCTCCATGATATCGCGGGCCGGCGAATCCGGGGTTCTTTTCCACTCGGCGATCAGCTCATGGATGTAGTCAATGTCGGATTGCGAAGGAATCTGCATGGTCGGTTATTTGCGAATATATGGAATAGCAAAAACTGTGGAAGATGGTCTGCAGAGTAAAACTATGCTCAGGTGAAGGAGGGGGTCTGTAATATGATTTATATGGCAGGTTTATTACACCCAAGGCACCGGTGGAGGTCCCCGAGCACGAAAAAAACAGGCCCAAAGGTTTGTCGGAACAGAAACACAAACACGGTCAACAAACAAGCTCATGATGAACTTGCCTGAGCCATGTGGGCTCTGTTGGAGAAACAAAAAATAAAAGATCTGCTCAGGCATTGCTGAGTATCTTTTTGGAACAGCCAGGTTAGATGTTTTGTGTCGGGGAGAGTAGGCAATTAATGAGCTAATTTTGGTTGAAGGCGTGGACCTTTACAAAAGGAAACCCTCGGCAATAATGCTCACGATGCCATCTTTTGTCCTAGCGCGCAAGGGGCTGGGCACTGCCTTGGAGGGATGCGTGCGACAGATCCCGTTGTGGGAAACAGGGAGAGGAGCTGAGCGAAAAGAGAAGTGACAATGGCCGGCAACAGGAGTGAGGAAGAGGCGATGTTGTGCCAATTCATCGTAATTTCGGGAGGGGGCATTATTGGCAGTTTATGAGCCTGCTGGTTATTGCGAGAAGAAATTACCCTGTATATCCAGCTAGTGGGTTTCAATGGCTTATCGCTCCAGCTTTACTGAAGCTGCAAGCTTACACGCATAGCGAGCAGTTCTGGACCATGGTTTGGCCCATTAGTTTGATTGACCGGTGTTTGCCGGATATAGCGAGGGAATGTTGCTGCGGATAGGCTGGGGGTGATTCCAAAAAAAAAAACAGGCAAGCACACGGCGTGCTGGAGGAGCAAAGCCCAAAATCACACAGCTCGCAACATCGCCATTGCACGCACTTTGATTTCGATTTCGCTTCAGGCAGCTCTTTTCTTTTTCTTTTTCTTTGCCACTCTTGTGTATATCTGCTCTCATTTGTACTGATGGAACTGACGTTCTGGAGGGAGTCAATAACGACGTTGCTGGCGACGCTGGAGGGCGCGTTGCTGGGCGACAGCGATCAGCACACAGGCAGCAGTTCCATGCATCACGAAACCCGCAAGCACGCACGCTACTCGACCAGCGACACGTTGTCTGATATGGAAATGCCCGGGGAGCCAGCGAAGCGGCGGCGGAACAGCGGCGACTCGGAGGAGCTGGCGCGGCGGGCGTACAAGAACCGGCGGCTATCGAAGACATTGTCGAGCCAGTTTGCGCGCAGCCTGTCGATGAGCACCGGGCAGTCTGCGGGCAGCGTGGATGTGGATCACAGTCCGATGCATATGGAGGGGTACGTGTCGCTGTCATCGGTCAGCTCGTGCTCGTCGCTTTCATCACTGTCGCCGTGGTCGTCGGACGCTGCCTCGACGCCACATTGTGGAATCCTGGACTACTCGGGCATGCAGCGGGCGCTGGCGAATCCAACTGTGAACCGGACAACGAAGGCGCGGGAGAAAAGCAAAATGGCGGCCAGCGGGGGGCTGCAGCTGGCGTCCAGCATGGAAATGGACAGCAGCGATGGCGGCATGACGGCGAGTGCTATGGAGTCGAGTGTATGTAGCGAGCTGCGAAACACCTCGATTGCATTCAATGGGGACGTGTTTTCGGTGCTATTCCGTGCGGCACCCAGGGACCTGGGGCTGGCCAGCCGCGAGGAAGTGGACCGGGTGGTGGAGCAGTGGGCGGAGCAGCAGGCGGACTCGCATGGCTCTGAGACGGCATCGCAAATCATTACCGGGCTGCAGGACCGGCTGGCGCAGCTCGAGGCCCGGCTGCCGACGATTCTCCGGCGGCTTTCGTGCGACCACCGGCAGACGCAGCCGGGGGAGCGGCTGGACGATCTGTACAGAGCGGTCGGCGAAGTAGCGCATATCGGCGGGTGGCTATACCGGCGCCAGTTCCCGTACCTGCCGGCGTTCTTCCCCAGCCTGACGCCCCAGCTGCCGCTGCTACAGGAGCTGATCCGTCTGTCGCACATCAGCAACGACATGCAGCAGCTTGTCGCCTGGACGCCCAAGTTCAGCCGCTCGCTGAAGGAAATGTGCAATGAGTATGAGGAGCTAGTGCAGGAGAAGCGCGAGGTATTCGGCGACATGCTGTCGCAGGCGGGGCTAGCATGGAAGGCCATGGGACTACCGGTGGACAATGGCCTGATCCAGCACACGCAGCAGTGGCTCGAGTCCACAACCGAGCTGTGTCTTGCGCGGATTGCGCGTGCATATGAGCGGCGGGCGAACTCTGCAGCGGCCTTTGGCAAAGAGGACATCAGCATTGACGACCTGGCGCTGTGCAGCAGCCAGCTGATCCACTCGGTGCTTGCATGCTCGGTGCTGTGCGGCCGCTACCCGGCGGCTCTGGCACCGCATCTGCTGTATGTGCTGGCCGAGTACTCGCACTGGGCGGTCGGCAAGTCGGCAGCACGTGCCAGCGCATGGCATGGCAAGTCGCTGGACAGCCGCGCCATGCGGTTGATGCGCCAGTGTGAGACGCTGGTCAAGCTTCTGGCGTATGTGCGTGCGACACTGGGCGACCGCATGGCTATGGATGCAAAGGCTGGAGACGCAGCTGTTGCAGCGCTGGAGTCGCTGGCTGCGTCGCTGGTGGAATTGAGCTGGTCGCTGGCCGAGATCTTGGCTGCGTACCGCCAAGACGGCCGCTTTGCGAATCCGTCAGGCACTTTGCTGCTGTTTATTGACTTTGCCGTGCGCTTTGCAAGGCGGGCGGTTGATTTTGGCGGCAGGTTTGCTGCTGCCCACCAGCGCCTGCATCGGATGCAGGCGTATCTCAAGAGGCTCGAGTCTGCGCTGGCCTAAGCGGATACCCCAAAACCCTTGCTGTCATCGCCACATACTAAAAAACTGTGGGTGATTTTTTTGTTGCCCCTGCCAAACCACCACTGTTCTATACAATTACCCCCTATCTGCATATAAATTTTAATCTCATATCACCTTGCAATGAGCGCAGCCCAGGAACAGCAGCCGCCATCGCTGGAACAGCCACAGAAAGCACAGGCCACCGGTGTGCATATTGACCGAGTGACCCAGCTGCAAGATAGCATCGACCAGGTGAGAACCCTCCACTTCATTGAGCACTCCTGACGCAATGCTTCTTGCTGACCTGATTTCCTCCCACCATTCGTTATTAGCTTGGTCTCATGCTCGTCAGCAGCCTCGACTACCTCCACAAAAAAGCCGGCATGGTGCAAGTAGACCCGAGCATCCCGGTAACGCAAAAGAACATTATGGCGGACGACGCCGACGCCTTCAGCGCACGGACAAAGGAGATCGCCACCGACATCTGCCGCCAGGCGAAGAAAATCGATGTGCTGATTGAGGCGCTGCCCGGCATTGATGCTTCCGACAGCGAGCAGAAGCGCGAGTTCGATAGACTCAATGAGGAGAACCAAAAGGCAACCGAGGAATTGGAGGCCGCGAACCGCCGGGCCGAGGAGCTGCTGGACCAGGTGAAGGCTATTCTGCAGGCTATTGCTGAGAACTCAGGGAAGGTCGCAGGCCTGGGGGCTTGAGTGAGTGCGTGTGGGAGGCATTGTCGCCAGTACTGTGAAGGGTGGCCGCAAAACAAGCGTGAAAAGGGCTGGCCAGCATGGCCACACGTCATGTGCCTAGTGGCATTAATGGGCATTGCGGTAGCTTTTTGCCTGCCCTCTTAATGCAGTGAAAGCCCAGGCGTGTCCATGCCCCCTTTCTGCCTCGGCCACAGTGCACGTGGGCTGCGTCTTTCTGATTCCGACCCGCACTTTAGAAAACCTCCTCGCTGTCTCTCGAAACCTTGGCAGCCAAGGGCCGCCGTTCTTCTTCTCTTGTTTCTTCACTTTTGAAGCATTATATTTTTTGTTCTTGTAAACTACCTCGCAACCGTTCTATATTCTATTCGTTAGAGACCATATGTTTGGCCTTGTAACCAGAGTCTTTTGGTAAGTTCTGCCAACCACAAACCAATCCCAGGGAGCAAACTCCGCGCTATGACGCTAAACCTTGCTCTGCACCGCTGTATAGTGTGAGTGTCGGGTACCTCTACCCGGCGTACAGGTGCTTCAAGCTCCTGCGCGGCGGCCCGGCCGCCATTGGAGCGTCGGGCGAAGATGCGAGCCAGCAGGGCGACGTAGTCAAAGGGGTGTTGAAATACTGGATCGTCATGGCGGGATTTACCGCAGTTGAGTTTGTGGCCGACACCTTCATATTCTGGCTGCCCTTAGTTGGTCTGACCAAAGTGCTCTTTGTCGTCTGGCTGGTGCTGCCTGGCATACACGGCGCCGAAATCATATACGACCGCATCGTCGAGCCCTATCTGGTGCAAAACGAGGACACATTGGACAGGTACTTCCGCCAGGCGCAGCGGGTAGCGCAAACATCATCACATTCAGTGTCAAAGAAAGCGTACGATAGCTGGCTCGGGTATGTGCAGAAAATGGTGGACAGGCAGGGCGAGTCCACTGCGTCGTCCAGTGCCGCGGGCAGTGGCAGGGGCCGAATCTGAGTGGGCTGCTGCAGACGGTCTCGCAGAGGCTGCCGAATGCCTCGCGTGCTGCAACCTACATCGCCAACCTGTCTGGTGTGACCGAGGGCCCGCCAGCGCAGGCCGATCAGGCCAGCGGATCGGGCATTGCCTCGCTGCTCACATCCCTGGCCATGTCGTTCACCTCGAGCTCGCTGACTGCCGTGCCCGAGGACCAGCGCCTGAGGGACATTCGAATGCGCAAGACCCAGCTACAGGGCATTGTCTCGCAGCTGGAGTCGAGCGAGCGCGAAATCATGTCAAAACAAGCCCCAGTGAAGGAGCGCCCGGAGGACGAAAGCGGGTTTGAGAAGGACGCGGTTATTGTGAGCGAGCCAGGCAATGAGAATTCGTCGGAAGCGATGCCACAAAATGCGGCCGAGGGAGATCGAGTGCCACCGGCTCGCCGCTGGTTCTGGTAGTTTGTATTCCTCTGTTTTATAGCATCTTCTTTATGTGTCGGGTCTGAGTGCCATCCCTCATCTGTGGTGTGGCTCGTATATGAATTGTGGTGATCCATGAGCGACTTGTTAGAAGTTTTGGCAAATGTGTTGTTTTTCGGAAAAGGGAGGCTATCTACTGAGTCCGCTGCGTGATCGGGTCGTCAATATCGAGCATCTTGCACAGCTCGTCGGTCTGCGGGTTCGGATACAGTACATCTGGCCTGCGCCCCTGCCACGGCTGCGAATCATACGGGTTGCCGCCATAGTAGCCACGCCGTCCCCTGGTACTAGGGAATATACGGCCATTATGTCCGCGGGTTGCCAGTCCGAAATGGGCCGAGTCGGGAGTTCCAGGCTCAGGAACCGGTGCCATTGGGACAAAATTGCAAGGAATCGGGGCACGGCCATTTACAACCACATTCCGATTCACCCATTCTGTCTCCCTGGCAATAGCTGAATCCGGGAGCAGCGGCAGGTCCAGAGTACCGGTGCTGCGCACGTCAGCCGGCAATTGGAAGGGCGATTCGCTGAGGGGCAGGTGGCGAGTAGTTAGCCGCAGAATAGCGAGCCACTCGGGGTCGTACTCGAGCTGGAGTGGGTGGTCGGCGTGGTCTTCGGGAACGTCAACCTCGATGATCTCGAGGAATTGGCGGCGTGGAAGGCACTTGTCCAGAGCCAGGAAGTCGGTCGGTCGACCAGGAACCCGCGGTGTCCGAGCTGCAACCGGCTCGGTAGCAGGATTACTGGTTGATGCAGCAGCAGCGTCACCAGCAGGCATACTGGCAGGCGCAATGGGAGCAATTGCAGGATCAGTTGCAGGCGCAGCAGTGCTGTTTCTTGGTGGAGGGAGATTGAGCGCAAACCGCGGCCGACTGGCTGGCTCTACTTGCAATGGCGTGTCGTCATCCCCAAACAGATCCTCGTCATTGACCACGATCTCATCTGCATTGGCTGCAGCCACAACTCCGGCCGCTCGTCCATGCCCACTACTGTTTGGCGCAATTGACGTCCACCCTTGGCTGTATATCGACTCGCTGGCGCCGACACGCGCAGCAAAGCGCACATGCATGTGGGCCGAGAACCACCACGCCGGGCGCAGGTGCTCCAGCAGCAATGCATTGGGCGGCGACCCCAGTCTATTCTCATTGACCTCTGCGGTGAAGAACGGCTTGATCCTCAGCAGCCCGTTCACGTCGCCAAACTGCTCAATGCCCAGCGGCCAGTCGTGCGAAACAACCACATCCAACGGGCTCCGGATCTGCAGCATCTTGAACACCTCAAACGACCTCACATGGTGCATAGCCGACCGCATGTAGCTTCGGAACGGCGGCCGCTCAAACACGCCTTTTTCAAAGTTGAAATCCTTGAAGATGCCTGTGATCCCGCCAATGCGCACGCCGCCAAACCGCACAACGCCGGATGCGCCCATGTAGAATATGTTGGGCGCCACCCAGCCGCCAAAGTAGAGCTCACGCATGTGGTTGCTGGCCTCATGGTTGCCGCCTACGAATATGGTCGGGATTGGTGCTTGGCGCTCACCCGTGTAGTAGCGGTAGAAGCCGCCTAGCTGCTTGTATTTGTCTGGGCATGACATGCATTCGAGGTCTGCCACGTTACGGACGGCCTGGAAGTCGCCGCAGATGATTAGAAGGTCGACGCGCTTGTTCATGCGTTGCTCCTGTATGGCGATCTGCCGGTAGATGTTGTCCAGCTCGCCATGGCAGCATCCCTCGACCGCGATCGTCAGTTTGTTTCTGGTCATTGCGGGTATGTGAGGGTTCAGAGCTGTGAGGTTTGAGTTAAGAAATAATCGCGCTTGCACATGTCACCGCCCCGCGAAGGCCAAACCAAAGTGAATAATGCAATAGTGCGGAGTGAAAATGCACATACTTATGGTTGATGCTATGTTTGATAGGGGTGTTTGTCTTTTGAGGAAAACCACGAAGCTAGTGAAAACTGCCAAGAGTTATACGGGTGTGATACATGTGGTGGTGGTTGCCGGGATGTTATTTGGCCTAACCATGGCCATGCCAATCTGCAATCAGTATATAAAAGGTGTAGAGTCGCCATAACTAACAAATCCCGCGATAGGTTGATAAATATGTTCAACACTCAAGCATATACTGTATACCACGCTCCTTATTAGCAATGAGTAACATACCGAGCATGGACAACATGATTTCCTTCAACCACAAGTCGATGTTTCTAGGGCGAACAATAACTGGAGGCGCGTTCGAGAAGTGGATTAATTCCGGTCCGTGTGGTGGGCTGCTGAAGGGATTCCTGGATGCGCTTGTCGAGGACCACAGCAAGACATGGTCATTCCAAAGCGTGAGAGCCTGGTCCTCAAGCAGCCGTGCGCAAAGGGTTTACAAGGATGGGTTTGCGTCAGCATATACACCACCTGCATCAAGCGACAGCAGCGGGAAACCACACACCGCATTCACACACTTGGTATCGGGATATTCCGCGACCAAGCCGTCAGACATCCCACACTTCTGTGAGGCATGGGGGGTACTGCATTTTGGTCTTCTAGGTAGCCACTACGGGTTTGGAAACACCTTTGCACGGATGGAGTATACACGGCTGCTTTTATCAGTCCAGACAATTGCGCTGAGTGTCGCTGCCTCGAGCGGCCAAGTCCCCGGGCTGCCCGCGGTGTGCAGTACACTGGCGTCAGCCATAGTCAGTGGCCTTGCGCAGGCGCAGTACACCACCACCTTGGTAGCAAACACCGCCCATGTCACCCTTCGCGGGTCCTCGCTGGATGGGCCGCATCGGACTCTTGGGCCACGCGCTGCGGACCTCGCGCCAAGTGTTGCAGGGCACAGCCCACTTTCATGGGCCATACGGTTTGCCAGCAATGACCACGGGAGCATTGCAATTCCAGACTCAAACACCGAGGGCAAGCTCATCTGCGCAGTTGCGCATCTAATGGAAACACCTTGCGTGCTAGCTAACACGCGCGACGATCTCAAGCAGGAAGGGGTATCATTCATCATCTCAAGCCCCTTCGCCTAGGCTTCAGAACTAACATCAACAGCATTCCTGTATTATCGTGAGACCTATTGCCTTCACCTAATGTTCGGGCCAGGATTTACTTGCTGCTTTCTTTGCTTGGCTTTATTCATGGTGAAGCAGAACTATTCTTCTTTCATTAGATAATAGTTGATACAGACAGTGGTTTCTAGGTTTGCTCTCACTGTTGGTTCTGTAATTTTATGCCAATCTGAGAAGCACGTTTGGTCCCGGGATTGCTATCCTTCTGGGCTTTGTGCTTGTTTGCCAGATGAAAGATATATTTGCCAGTACCTGGCGATTAAGCGAGGAACCACACACTTCATTAGTTTACCTGTTAACTTGGGGAATGAGTGGTTATCGAATACATGGAAAAATAACTTCTCAAAATTGACTGAGGGGAAGAAGGAAGGCTGGTCGTCTGTCTGGGTCTTTGTACGTATGCGTTTCGGCCTTGTCTATGGTGGCGTAGGGGGACTCCGGACCCCGAATGTCAACACAGACAATACCCATCATCAGAAATGGCGTTTCTTCCTGTAAGAAGGCGTTTCAAGATATTGACTATATATGAGGGAAGCGTATCTCTTATGAGGTTCCAGTTGTGGTCCACTTCAATCTGCGTAATAGATGGACATATGTGGAAGAGTTCATCAGCAAATTGGCGTGAACCTAGTGCGGCCAATAGGCACTTTACCCTGAAGGATCTCCTGGCAAACCTGAATGTGAGGTTTGTAATGCTTAGGAATGGGAGGTCACTCGGTATGCACTGCTTTCAGAGCGGCTTTTGGACTGCAAAACATGCTTTTTGTGTCATACTCCATCCTGACTCCCTTGATCAGGCCACAAACTTCTAGCTCATGAGCCGAGTTCTGATCATGATGGCCACCATTTACAGATTTTTCAGGCCTGAGGTAGTAGATAATGTGTTCCAAAATAAGAACAGGGGACTATGAACAGTGGGCTTCATGGTAAGACTAATAGGAAGTGCGATTTAAGGAGGAAGAGCTAGAGCTGGGGCAAACCAGAAACCTTGAGATGAGATACAAGGGATATTGGAGGTGGAATGGATAAAAGACAAATACCGTAGAGAGGAGCCCAGACACTTCGCTGGACCCAACCGGCTTATAAACCCACCTGCTGGCGACATCTTGAGCCACATCACTTATGTGCATAGCAATCATAGCCCAGCCTGCTGTTTCTGTGGGTTCCGTGCCTGGCCATTTGCAGCTCAGGACGCAGCCATTATTCAGAGGAAATCTCTCAAACTCAGTAGGCTGCGTACCCCCGCCGGGGCACCACTATGGCGAGCAGAGGCTGTTTCAGCCAATTTGGCGCAGCCGAATGTAATGTAAAAACGCTCTGCAGAGCAAGTTTGGTGACACTTTCCATTGTTCGTAGCAGCTCCTAAATATAATTTTAGCATGGTTTTATTGCTCGGGGCACGTATTCGGCAAGTGCAGCTCACAGAAGAATATACAATTCATAGGAAAGGGAGGGCAAGTGGGAGGAGGAAAACTTCCTCGCTCCCTGCCAAAACCCCTTGGCAGAGCATGTTAAAAGCACGGCAGATTTCATTCCTTCCAAAACCTTTTCTCCTCGTTTTTCTTCTAAAAAACCTCGCTACATATAACATTCCTTCCACCATACTCTCATTCGCAAGTCCTTTATTTTTACCCATGATTCGACCACATTAACCCGCCAAATACCCTATTCCTCGCAATACTTGCACTACCGCCCTCCACCCTTCACTATTTTCTGAGCCAGTAAATATTTCATCATAGCTTGCCGCTCTGTGTTTTGTAATGGCCTATTTCATTGATGTAGTCTGCTACCACACTCTTGTCGAAATAAGGAAACTATATTGCTTTTTTGCTGCATTTGTAATTCGTAACACCACCGCACTTTTGCACAGCACGTTTTGGACCTGCCTTTGCAGGTCTCTAGTCGCTGTTCGGTCTTTCCTCTCGTCTTTGTTTCCTGCTGACCCCCGCATGTTAGTTCTGGTTTTTGCCTGGTGTCAGTATGGGTCCAGCTTTCGAAAGTCATATGCCCTGTGTCTAGGTATTCTCTCGAGCAATCTGGTACTGGGCAAGGGGGATCAGCGCCTTGAGGTGTCCCGGGAAGGTGGTGATGGTTGGGATTCCACCTGGCCCAGTTGAAGGGGTACTGTAAGGGTCCTTGGGCGTTGTTAATCCTAGCGCGGAGCTTCTATGGTCTGGTATACCTTTACTTTCGCTATGCAAAACTTTCTAGCAGGTCAGTTTTGCATTTGGATTATTGAGGGCGAGCCGGGGACTGGGACGCACTGGTGACTAGAAATCTGCAAGCGCTGGAGCAAAATGTCCTGTACAATTGTTAATGGCAATGGTGACACTTCTTCGGCTCCAGATGTGCATAAGCGCTTCAAGGGCCTGCTCATGACAGTAGACAATTTCTGGCTGCGCTACTCTACGTATGGTCCAGAGGAATAGCGAGGTTTGGTACGTCAATAGCTGCGGCTGGTGTTTTTAATGGCTTGTATTCGAATATACCATATTAATCATCAATGGCCATAGCGGAAGTCGGGATGGTTGTTTTCCATACCGTCTATCTCATCTTGAGACATCTTCGAGTTACAGAATGGATTGGTTTTGTTCTACATGTTTTGGTGGAACAGGAAAATGGAGCTACGTAGGTGAATACCACCACTAGACATATCCTAAACATGTGCATGCTGTGACCAAAAAGATAGCGCGGCTGGTCCTTGTGGATGATGTACGATGTCCAGAGTGCCTCCCGTCTGCCAAGCATTGCCTCGATAGTACTCAAAGTCGCAGCATATGTTGGACCGCCAACGTTGCCGATCAGCCATCCAATATCAATACTACGAATGCCAAGCAAACACGCATGCCAATATCCAGAAAGCGATAATCTGCACTGCGTTGTTGACTGCTGGCTCCAGAGTAATGATAATCAGATCCCACCACGGCCTAGGCTAAACGCTTACATATGTAGTTCTCTGGTGATCAGAGGACTACATCTGGCTCTAAAGATCACCAGTTTTCTTAACTCAGTTGTTTTACGCTAGGTGAAGGACACATTGACCACCGCCTGGCATGTAGGTGGAGCCCCTTCACTCTTTCATTGCATCTTTATACGTTTAATACATAGCGTACAGAATCCGCCATTTAAATATAAAAACTACCAACAGGAGTTCTGCCATATACGCGGTTCACGCCTAGATATTAGCCTAGAAATTACAACAGCAGCGGATACAACTCTAGCTAGCAAGATAGCCCGTAGTCGCTGCATATCTCGGCTGCTGCTGAGTGCAGCTACCTAGCCCAGCTCACCTCACTGTACAGTCCCACTTTCACCAACCTGATCTCAGGTTGCAGCACTAAAAGAGCTTGGCTACGTTCATGGAAGTCCTAGGCAACCCCTTTCCTGCCAATGATCTCTGCATGGCCTGCACTACTCGCCACACGACTGCTGATGGAAATATGTGAGAGAGGTGAAACCACGAAGCTGGTATCTCAAAGTGCCCCACGGCCCACCTGGTCGCACCAGACACACTCGGTCGTCTCTTGCCACTATGCAGCTGCGCTTTCTATTATCAGCGCCTAAATGCCTGTGTTTCCTGAGTGCAATGTCTTTCTCGTCAATACTGTGCGTCCACATGTAACAACTATTCTGGAGAAAGTGTTCAGTCGATTTATCCACCTATGGAAGGATGGTCGCTGTGTATTTCAGTGCATGTAGTGACACATTCCGCATCTTTGTGATAAGAATATTCTATCTAAAATGCTGTTGGAGCAAAATCGCACATACTCAACGCTGCAACTGAATAAGACAATATTATATTCGCTTTACATGTGTGGGTGGCATGTTGATTCTATTCGCCTACTGACTGATCATCGATCGTCATTGATGAGGAGCGCGACTGCCTACCCACGCCCTCGATATACGGATCTGGATCAGGCTCTTGGCGCTGTGCAGTGTGCTGCACTGCCTGTCTGGACCTTGAGTTAGTCCTGCCCCGCGGCCGACCAACTCGGTTAACGGTGTTTTCCTGGGCATGGAATCTCTCCAAGTACGCTTGATAGGCATGGTACTCTGATGTTTGCATATACGCTTCCATCTGTTGTTCATACCGCGCCTTATCCTGGCGAACACGCTCCTCGTAACGCTCCTTGGACTCCGCATCCAGGGCACGCCACCGCTCGCTTTGGATCTTCGACATATTCCCAAACTCGATGCCCTGGCCCTGCAGCTCCTGGTAGATATCGTCGCGAAACAGCTGGTACGCTGATCGCCATTTTGCAGGGCCATGAATGTCCTTCTTTGGGTGTCGCTTATATTTCCGCTTCGACGATCCAGGTGACTGCGGTGACCGATCCTGTCTGGTTTGCGGGTAGCTTGTCTCCGATGTCGGCAGTCGTGGCGAATGTGGGTCGACGCCGGGCCTCCTGTACGGCGACGCCGTGCTGACATGTGAGCTGTGGCGAGACCGTGTTGTACGACTAGGCGCAGATGACGCTGATGACAGACCGCGCGGCCTTGGGCTAAGCTGGCTGGTGGTTATCACGAGGGGCCCAGGCACAAACCCTGCTGGGCCCACAGGCGTTGTGTCTGTACTCGGCCGGTGGCTAGTCTGGTGTAACGGCGAAGTTGTCAACGGATAGTTTAGAGTGAGAGGCGATGGCCGCTTGTAGGTAAATGTATCACGTGAGGGAGTGCTGAGCGACAGTGGCGGCGAGGACATTCTCCCTGGATAGGGGGTCCTACTGGAACCCTCTTGGGCAGGGGTCGTGAATGCAGTTGGCCTCGATACATCCTGACGCGGCGCACTTGGTGCCTGATCTCTATGGTGGGATTCAGCTGAATCCTCAGCGCCAGACCGGCGTGGGCTGTCTGTCAAACGATACTGGTCCAGTTGTGTGATGCGGGGATGGCCCTGTGTATGGCGTCTCGATACTGGGAGCTCAGGGAATGGGAATGATGTTGATTGCGCGCGGCCAGGATATGTATCGCCTTCACTTGAGGTAGGCGATATTTCCAAGTCTTGGAATTGGCCAGCTACATGTAGTTTAGTATTCAGTAAAGTCAATACATAGTGTGGTAAATGGCACGAGCATTTTCAGACAACTATTGGCCAAGTACTTACAAGGCGAGTGGGCGGGGTGTGGTGAATGTCCGGGATGGCTGTCTCGTTGAATTTGAGCCGGGTAGCAGATGTCCTGGGCTTTCCGCACGAGTATCTATATAAAACAGTGGTGCAAGGTCAGTTGATATGCTTGTCTTTAGATGGGCTATGCGAAGCAAAGCATATTGCGCAGAGGAAAAACATGCGTTAAGGTGTTTAATTGCTACTAGCGAGGCAGGGCAGGTAAGGTATCTGGGCGAGAGCAATAGGATAGACCCACGACGTGCAAGATGAAAGGCGGGTTAGGTTGGCAACAATAGTATAAGCGCATCTCAGCATTTTCGGGAATAATGATGCGATGGCAGTGGGAAACTGGCCGCCGCAATACAGCCCTGCTCGCTTCACCCCAACATATATCTGAATAGAGCACGGAAAATGGGCCGCAATAATGCCCTTGGGGCGATTCTGGGACACACATGGCGCCCGAGACAATGCCGGCTTTGACTCTGCTAGACAGAGCTCTGATACGAGGCAAAGAGGAGGGCGCTGATACGCATCACAAAGTTGCCAAGGCATAAATTGCCGCATTTGGTCGAGTGCATTTCATCCAGCCACCACCATCACCATCAGGGCACGCGACCGGGATATGGACATAGGATTGGCGGCGGACATAGCAGGTTTTGCGCAAGCACCTGCCAATTTGCAAAGCGCAGTGGCCAGCAGCACAAGACATAGAACCAGCAAGGCGCTCACCCGTGCTCTCGTGCGAGCAAGAGTAGAGCTACTCCAAAACATCGTGAATAATGGCTACCGCAACAACACCCAGCTGCACTCACTGCAGAAATGACACTCGCAAACCCCTGGACAAGAGGGAGCGGGACTCAGCAATAGAGCCCTCCCTGCCGCGTCTGTTTGGCTTATGCGAGAGGGGTGCAACCACTCTGTGCGGTGCTGCACAGTGCCTGTTTTTGGAACAATGTGGCCCGTGAGAACCGAGAGGCGAGAAACCGAACCAGCCAAGCGACAAACTCTGAGCAGGCTGGGGGAGAAACAAGAAAAGCTGCACTTACCCTCCGGTGTCCACGTTTAACGCCGAGCGCTTCAAAGTCGGCCTCGCGCATTTCAGCAATCTACGGTGTTTTGGCAGAGGAAAAATGGCTGGTTAGTTTGGTATAGTGGGTAAGCACACTCTTTGTGCGCGCTGGTGTGGGGGCTACTGAGGTGTGCTGTACTATCATCACTGCAACCGTGGCCATGTACCGAAGGCATCAACCTACCGCCTGAATCCTGTCGAAGCCCTCGCGCTCGAACGTTTCCAAGTACTCCAAGAGGTCAATGTCAGTAAGAAAGTCGCTCAGCTCTTTGGATGTGCGCTCCATGGCCACTCTTCTATCGCCAAAGAAAGGAAAGTCAGGTGTGAGATTATTAGCACCAAAACAGCATACTAGGCTGAAAGAACAGGGGAAAGTGTGCAATGGGGGAGTTGCGGCGTATATTCAGCAACATGGATAATGTGAATGGCACGGCAAGCTGGGCCTCGATAGCCTCCCCATGTCTGCTCTGTGGACAGCCGACAAGCAGCCACAGGCAGACCCAGAGCACGTCTTCCCCATTTAAAAGCCATCGCCCTACGTGCCGAGGCAGGTATCATTTGTGGATATCGACTGACCAGAGCTACTTTGGAGGATGTGATCACCAGACAGAGAAATGCCGAGCTTCGGCACTAGACCGGCAGTTCTAGCACTGGAGAGTGGCATGGTTCTGTATTTAAATCAGTCGCTTCATTGGCTGCGACTGGAGGCGCATTCTGTCTCCGCCGCAGCCTGTAGGTGATGGCAGCGGCTCCACAGACAAGAAGCCAGCCCAAATTGCCTTCTCTCCAGCGACTTTTTGTCGTTTGCAACATCGAGGAAAAAATCTGCACTATACGACTGCAGACCCTGAACATGTATGCACGCACAAAAGTCCCGCAGCTCAAAAGCAGAAAGCTCCCCACCAGAAAAGAATTTGCATCACAGAAGTCATCAGTCGAGCATCAGACCCGTCACAAGCCTGCCTGCACCGCACGTAGCATCAAAAGGTGGCCATTACATACCAGTAAGACCTCTACTAAGAAAGGGGATGAAAAGAGGAGGGGTGAAGGACGAAAAATGTACAGGGATATAAAAAGTTCGAATATAAACTGGGAGGAGAAAAAGGCAGAGAAGAGAACGGAAACAACGGGAATCCAGGGTGGTCAGCCAAAAAAAGATGGTCACATTCGCCAGGTTTTATTTGATACCTGGTCGATTTTTTCCTTCACGCCCTTTGCCCCACCTTCTTGCCCTCCTTGTTTCCGACGGCGACGAAACCCAGCAAGTGCGGCGCCATCATGCCGGAACTGCGGGAAATTGTGCGAGGGAGGGGGTGGCCGAACCCGACCTGAGGGGGTTATGAGGCAGGGAGACCGGCCTCGTCACCATTTATTTTTTATTTAAGAAAACAATGCAATGCGTCGCTGATGCCCAAGGTCGTTTTTCACCATGCGAATAGTAGAAAGAAGGGGGAGGCGCAAAGAAAAACCATACATATTTGGGAGTGAAAAAAGCGGTGGACACATGTACAGCCGAGCCTTTTCTAAGCCAAATGCTCTGCCCAGACGACATGTACGGCATTTCCATGTTCTGTTCAGTGGGTGCTGCCTGACGTTGGCTATTTCCTAGGATATGGGCGATATACCAGCCAATCTGGGTCACTGCCCACTGTGGACCCTGTAGAATTTTATTAAACAGGGTGGCTGTTTGGTGCCTGGGTTTGATACATTCAACGCATCTCCAGCTCAAGACCAATGGCAGAGCTGTCGTGTCCGTCACTGTTACTGCAGCGCCTGGCCATCTATCATGTGGGAGTACATCGACGCCACGGCCTGGTCCCATGATACGCCGTGTATATATCCCCTCAAGTCGCCATAGCGACGGAGTGCTGAGCATATTTGCTCCTCCCCCTCTTTGGGTCTACTGCTCGGCGACTGGCATTGTAAACAAAACCGCAAGCATAGGCTAATAAGGCGTCGGTGGCAATGAAGCAGGGATGTCCTTTGACAGGCAAATGCAAACAGTGAACGGTTGATTTATTGGAGCAACAGCGAAGTCATGCTTTCCAGCAGCACAATGGGCGAGGGAGGGAGACAAATTGCCGATCTCCTCTCCACACAGTTGGTGATGGCTCCAATGGGGGATCCAGCCGAGGACCGGTCCTGCAACCTGCCATGGGTCCTTTAACTGCATGGCTTGGAGCCGATCCCTCCCTCAAACCCCCGACCATCCATTTCCACGAATGCAAACAAGCGCACATGGCGAAGGGGAATATGCATTTTTAAATTCAGCCCTTGATAATACGATTCACCATATTGAGACATGCCTCAGGCTGATCGCCGGGTGACATGTGGCCAGCGTTCAAGATGACCCAGTGCGACAATCCGCCGCCCTGGCGCATGTAGCCGCTGAGCTCGTTGCCGATCCACCACTGGTCGCGATCCGCCAGCGCAAACTTGTGCTTGTTTGTCCATTCGAGTTCGTTGATCCACAGTGTGTTTCCAGCCACACCGTCGCGGAAATCAAACTGGCCCTGGTTCAGGTTTACGGGCATGCGCTCAAGCAGGTACGGGAACAGCGGAGCGGTGGTGCGCATGATATCCTCCATCAGGTGGTAGTAGACACCCCAGTCCTTGCCATACGCAATGTCTTCGCTGTGCAGCGCCTTACGCACCACAGGCTGGTTCAGGCCGCGGTCCAGGTACGTACGCTTGTACTGGTGGTTGCGCTGCCGAATATCGTACCAGTTGATGCCACCAGTGACATTCTTGAAGTAGTCGAACATCAGGTTACGCGCATCGGTGCCTCGTGCCAGATCGCCCAGCATTGTATGGTTCAGCGCCTTGAACGCCAGAAGGTCGACTGTGTCCGCCTGGTTCGCATCCAGCAGCCCCCATGCGAATCCAATACCGCCGTGTGCCAGGATCTGTAGCGGCGGATGCACCCAGCTGTTGCCAATGGACAGCCCCTTTAGGTTGATGCGCTCCAGATGCCCCTCACCAAGCTTCTGGTTCTGCTCGTCAAAGTACACACCTATGGCTGGCACGAACTTGCCGCCATACGACTCGCTGAACACGAAAAACTCGTGCTCGCGCAGCTCGGGCCGGAGCGCATAAAACTCTTGCATGAACTTCCACATGTCTTTGCCGACTGCACGCATGTTGGTGACATACCCGTCCCTGAAGTCGCCTGACTCGTCGTTGCTAAGACCAGCCTTCTCCCAGACGGATCGCTTATCGTCACGCGGCGGCTTTGGGCCAGTGTAGCCCGCGTTGACAAAGTACGTGTCGGCTTCGTCGTACACATGCGGCTTCACAATCTCGCGGATACGGTCCATTTCATCGTAAACAAAGAATTCGTTGACCCGGCTGCCAAAGTTGTATCCCAAGAGGTGGTGAGAATGGCGCGCCGACATTCCGTCGATGAGCCGGTTGACAAATGGATGGAGTTGCGGTGGCCACGCTGCTTTTGGGTGTATCAGCTCGCGCATCACGCTGCGTGCCTCGCCGACAATGTGCTCTGTGGTCATGGGAGAGGATATGGACGCATACTGGTTGACATCCCCAGGGTACTTTTCGCGCCAGGTTGCAGCGTTGTCAGGAAGCTGCTTAGCACTCGGATACAGGTCATCTAGCGTCAGATTGACTGGTGGCTGGACAGAGCTGAACCCCGTGCCTACCGGTTGGTCGACCACCAAGAAGTTGTACTCGTTGGCCCAGGTGATGTTACGACGCGTAAACTGCCCGTCATCGGTCAGCTCCAGCGGTCCCATCTCAGTAAACAGACCGATCATGGAGCTCGAGCCGGGCCCGCCCTGGATCCATAGAGCAAGCGGCGGCTTCTCAACCTTGGGCGCAATGGCGGGGAAGTACCAGTAGAACAATTTTGCCGTACCGCTGTTCTCAGCACCGCTGTCAGGTGTGAACTGACGCACGGTGATGTGGCCTGCGTAACTTTCGTGCAGTGGCTGCTCGCCAGCCTTGTAGGGAAGACCTGCAACGCGGTCGTTGGTGTGTTTGTCTTGGGATGGTGCTGTTGCCGCCGTGGACACAAGCGCCAGCAGCAATGCTGTGGCCGCCTTCGATGCAATTCGGACACGCATTCGGGAAAAAAAAATAGCAATACCGAAAAATGTAAACAGAGTGTGAGAGGAGGCAAGAATGCCCGCAGGCAAAGGCAGCATGAGCTGCAGCACCCAATCCAGTGCGGAATGCAGGGGTGTGGCTCTCAGAGCGAAGGGCAGGTTTGCTTGTTTGCTCAAAAGCGCACATGTGGCGATACGTCCACTGATATCCTCAATTGGACATATCCAAATATGTGGGATGCGTGGTACTTGGGCGCTGGCGCGAACACGCATGAATTCTCTTAACACAAGGCCCACACTACAGCCAGTGCGGCCAGCGGTCAGCAGCAACCAATCCTTCGCCCGTACTAAAAAAAGATCTGCACAACGAGCCCAACAAAAGCGCTGACGCTCTATAAATACAGAATCTGGTGCTTTGCACTGAAGCCCTTCAGGTTATTTTTCTCTTTCTCGCTCTTTTTTTCCTCACTTTTTGCCCCCTCCCCCTCTCTGTATAAACAAAAGCATAGAATATGAGAAGCAGCCTGCTGTGGAGAACCGCGCTGCTGGTTCTGGGGCTCCTCTGCCTCATGGAGCTGTCGTTTGCTCAAGACAGTAAGTTTACCATATATTCACTCAGCAACAATGGCCCTTGTTGGCACCGGAAGGGTAGAGTAAGGTACTAATGGGCTGTGGCTTCCCTCCAATTGTTTGCTGGATCTGTCAACAAATGTAGACAACGACAACAAGGACAGCAAGGACAACAACAACGATGTATCGCCAACCTCCACGAGAAACACCCGGTCCACACCGACGCCCACGCCTACCAAGTCGAACTCACGGACCAAGGCGGACGATGCAACCAAGGACGATAACAGCGCTACCGATGACAATAAGGACGATAACAGCGCTACCGATGACAATAAGGACAATAAGGAGAACTCTGATGAGCAGACAGCAGACGAAAACTCTGGAGACCATGCTTCCAGCATCGATGAGGCTGAGATGGAGTCCGAGTTCCCCGATATTGGCACAATCAGTATCACGACTCCTGACGCTGCAGCTGGGGTATCGGTCATGTTCCCAATCGGTGGTGATGTCGAGATTGGATGGAAGATTTCGAACACCACCTGGCGCCCTCCTAAGAAGATCACAATTTGCGGGCGTCTCCCACCTGGGTACAACAGGGACACTAATCCTTACTCGTGCGACTGGATGATTGCGACCAACATCAGCGGCAGCGCTGTCAACGTCACATGGAACACGGTGACCCACGGCCCGCCTGGACTGAGGTTCTGGGAATCTCAAGGCTATTACCTTTACATTTTCGATAGTGATCTAGGAAGGCCTGCAAACCTCAAGCCTGGTCAGGCAAGGGAAGCACCGCTGAAGTTCTCGATGTACAACTCGCGCTACCAGCTCTCGAACGAGGGCGTGCCAAAGGGATACAACCCAAGTGCAGCTCCACCATCTGTCAAGGTTCACATGTGGGGCGTGGTAGGCGTGGTTGCGCTGGCGCTGCTTGGCGTCATGGCCTGATTCCGCAATATCGCCCTTGGTACATTCCCATTCAACATTCCCTTTCCTACTTTACTACATAAACATTACACGCATATTTAATGGGTTCCTACACGTCTTACATGCACTAGCGATGATAGGCTTCTTTGTTGTGACGGACGAGCGCAAGGGACGCCACCTCCAGCTGGTGTTGGCGCAGAGAAGAAGAGTGCCTCCCCTGGCCTATATTTGGTCCATCACATCCGATTGTTGTCCTGGCCAAAATGGGGAGTGGCCGGGCTGATGTGTATTGCAAAATTTCTAAATACAACAGCGCAAGGCCGAAAGCCCCTACTGCCCACCGCATTTTGCTGCCTTTCTCTCGCAGCAGCGAGCTAGCTTGAGCTGTGAGCTGTAAACAGCATTTACTGCAGCGCCTGCTCGCCCTTTCCCGGGCCTTCTGGTAGTGAAAAGTCCTGGGTCGTTTTTCGCCACTTCTCTCTTTCTTCTCCTCTTCGCAAACTTTGTTTTCTCTATCCTGCCTCATATCGTATATCACCTAATATCTCTTCCCATCCCCCGCTCCATCCCTGCTCGCTGTTCAACTCTGCAGGCAACTGGACATATCCTTGTATCTGGCAAATCCTACTAACTTGCAGCCAAACACGCGGGGATTTGTGTCAACCATATCATCCCTTACAGAATGGGCTCGACTCACGGAGCGTCGCGCAAGCTGGCACTGGCCATGCTTGTCTTCTACCTCGCACTAGCGCTATGTGGGTGTATCGTGTCTGCCGCCGACGGTAAGGTCACTTCTTTTTTTTTTTTTTTTTTTGAATCGGCTCTGCTGTTCTCCGCATGTGGTGTTTACTGGTGAGCGAGTGTGAGAAGCCGCATTTTCTCCCCTCCCCACCTGCACTGCTGGTGTGGCATTGTCTTGGGAGGAGGTTTGTTTTTGCTTTCTCTATCGCGGTGGGAGGCGTGGTGGTATTTGGAGAACAGAGTGATCTGGGAGGAGCCAGCACGCCCGCCTGAATACACAGCGCCTCTCTCTCCCTGCCACGCTATGACCTAGCGTTAAATCTACACCCCGATGGAGCCTCTATATTGCTAACGCTGAAGCAAGCACTTTGTAGCAGCGGCTGATGGTGGAAACGGCCAGGTAGCGGCTGCAAAAGATAGCCCAGCCGATGGTGGAAACAAACAGGTGGCTTCAGCGAACAACGACCACGCAGTGGCAAAGGATGCCAGGCAGTATCGAAGGATGGCCAGGCTGATGCTAAGGACACCAAGGCCGAAGGCAAGGACAGCAGTCAGCCAGCGGAGGGTCAGAAAGCACCGGCATCGGGCAACTCGGACGCAAGGGACGCAGCGATCAGCATCAATGCGGCAAACGGCGGCGATTCGGCGAAGCCGTCGGCGACCACCAACGGTTTCGGTATTTCGCTGAACAACAACAACGGCAATTCCGCCACGCCCTCCAAGAGCACCAGCTCCTCGAAGGCCTCCTCATCCAGCAGCAGCAGCAGTTCGAACGGACAGCCGGGCCGAATCGTCATGAAAACCCCGCCCCGGGCCGTCCAGTCGCCGCTATTCGAGATTAACTCCATCGTCAAGCTTGCCTGGGACTACGACGACAACATGAAGAAGGCGCCAAGCAAGATCTCAATTCGCGGGCAGATGCCGAGCACGATTACAGAGCCCGGCACAGGCAAGCCGCTGTACTGGTACATTGCCCAGAATGTCAGCGGTAGTGAGAAGGCGTACGACTGGAACACAGTCACGCAGAGCCCGCCTGGCTACACGCTGAGCGAGGGTGCTGGATACAAGCTGTTCATCTACGATAGTGACATTGGATGGGAGAACAGCACCAGGGTATCGGCTGGTAAGCTGTTCCAGTTTACGCTGCCGTTCGCCATGTACAACTCGCGGTACGCGCAGTCCAACGATGGTGTGACTTCGAACTATAACCCGAATGCAGCCACTCGTGCGGTATCGCTGACGGTTGGTGCGTGGGCCGTCATCCTTGGAGCAGTGCTGACAGCCTGTTTCATTCTAGCCCCTTCTGCTACAAACTAAACGATCTCTTCCCATATTACCTTTTCTTCCAAATCTATTTTTCTTTTGATATAGCATAGAACATGTATGCTGCGGTGTACCCGACATCCGGGCCATATGCGCAAAAGAAAAAAGCCATCGCCATACATTGCAACCTCACTCGCGGTGACAGCATGGTTTGACAAAGCCAACAGCAATTTATTTCAAGCTGCCAGCAATTACTAGAGATATAGATGTAAGGCTACGCACGTTGGCTTAGGCGTAGTTGAGGCGGAAGATGTCGTTGTAGACAAAGAACCCGTTATCGTCAACCAGCTGGAAGCTCTGGGTGTACTGCATGGGCTTCTGCTCATCGTCGATCTGGAGCTGGCCAGTGACGGTAATGACTATGGCAGTGACGCCGGGCAGCGAGGGCTGGGCGTCCATGGTGGTGACCTTGTGGACGACCCGGGTGAACGGCAGGCTCTACAGGGTCACATGATTTAGCAGAGCACCGCTTGCTTTTGGCTCAGTGGCATGCATATTCGCAAAGCCTCAATGGCACTTGCTGCTTGCACTATAACTTACCACCAGCTTCTCCACAATATCGTTGGCGCCCTTGAACTGCTGGCCCTCCCACGACATCATCGACACGTCCCTCTACACAAGAGCTGGTGTTTAGTAAATTGGGTGAGCTCGCAAGCCAAGGGGCTGGGCGCGCTTTCAATTCAGGTTGGAGCTTGGGTTTCAACGTACGTAGAGCGGGGCAAGGCCCTTGCGGTCGGCGTCAAAGGCGCTGTAGTAAAAGTCGACAAACTGCTTCGCAACGGTATCGGCGTCGGCCATGGTTTTCAATGGGGCTTCTACGGATGAGTCTCAATCGAGAATATGAAAGAGGGTAATTGAGAGGAGAAAAGATGGGCGAAATTCTGGCCTGCTAGCAATACAGGCGTATAGGTTTTTCTGTCCGAACCGCAGGCATACGAAATTTTCGGCTAGGCGTTGGGGAGTTGCTTTGCCAACAATCGCCCACGGCTCTTTCGCTGTGGCTCACGCTTCGTCGTCGGGACAGCCAACAGTTGGGCTTTTTTCTTCTTTTCTCTGCTTGACTCTAGCAAACAAGAGAACCTTTTATATTTTTATTGCCAACGGCCGCTGCCCACCACAAGCTCTACATGGACAGCCAGGATTTTTATGTGGGCGATGCAGGCAACACACAGTCGTACTACGAGTACAGCGACTTTGGCGGCGACTCGCAATCGCAGCTGCTCGATCCGCTGAGCCAAAATGCAGGCGCAATTTCCACCGACGTTGGCGACACAGAGAGCATTGAAGAGCTGCAGTTCTCACAGCTCTCACTGGGCGATGCACACAGCCAAGTGTACAGCAGCGAATCGGAATCCGATCAAGAGGAAGAGCCGGGCAAGCAGCCCGATCACGCGTGCTCGTACTGCGGGATCCACAACGAAAACAGCGTGGCCAAATGCCTGTCGTGCAAGCGGTGGTTCTGCAACTCGACAGGGAATTCATCGAGCGCGCATATAATCTGGCACTTGGTGAGCGCCCACCACAAGGAGGTGCAGCTGCATCCAGACAGCCCGCTGGGCGACCAGACGCTCGAATGCTACAACTGTGGTGTGCGCAATGTGTTCTCGCTGGGCTTTATCCCGGCAAAGAGCGACACAGTGGTGGTAATTCTGTGCCGCCCGTGCGCATCGGCGCCCTCGTCCAAGGACGCGCTGTGGGACCCAAGCCAGTGGCAGACGCTGATCCACGACAGGAAGTTTGTAAGCTGGCTCATCAAAGTGCCCTCAACCAAGGAGCAGATTGCAGCAAAGGCAGTGTCGGCCCAGCAAATCCGCCATCTGGAGGATGTCTGGACTGGCAATTCGTCAGCAACGCTGGGCAGCGCCGATGCGGACGATGCGGCGGATGTGCAAAAGGTCTTGCTCAGATACGAGGACGCCTACCAGTACCAGAATATATTTGGCCCGCTGGTCAAGATCGAAGCCTGACTACGACAGACGCGCCAAGGAGGCGCAGACGGAAGACGGCATTGCGGTGCGCTGGGACACGGGTTTGAACCGTCGCAAACTGGCGTACTTTCAGCTGCCAAAGTACGAGCTTGGTGAGGTGCGAATCGCAATTGGCGACGAGCTGCGCCTGTCTTACTCTGGAGCGCTGTTCCGCGAGCCCTGGAAGGGCACTGGGTACGTGATCAAGCTGCCCAACAGCAACAGCGACGAGATCTGTGTGGAGATGACTACGATGGATGCGCCGACGGAGATCACTCAGGACTTTTCGGTGGACTTTGTGTGGAAGTCGACGTCATTTGACCGCATGCAGAGCGCGATGAAGAAGTTTGCTGTCATGGAAAACTCGGTCAGCGAGTACATCTACCACAAGCTGCTGGGGCACACTATTGAAAACACCGAGCTCAGCTTCCGCATGCCCAGAGTGTTCAATGCCCCTGGGCTTCCAGAGCTTAATGCATCGCAGATTGAGGCTATCCGGTCCACTCTGCGCAGCCCCCTAAGCCTGATCCAGGGCCCACCCGGGACTGGCAAGACTGTCACGTCAGCTACGCTCGTTTACCACTTGGTGCGTGCCAACACTGGCAAGGTGCTGGTATGTGCGCCCAGCAACGTGGCTGTCGATCAGCTCACAGAGAAGATCCACAAGACCGGCCTGCGTGTGGTGCGGATCACAGCCAAGAGCCGCGAGGAGTTGGAGTCGCGCATCTCGCACCTGGAACTGCACACCCAGGCACTGATGAACGACACGATCCCGGAGCTGCAGAAACTGCATCGCCTCAAGATGCAGATGGGCGAGCTGAGCCGGCGTGACCAGGACCGGTATCGCAAGCTGCGGCATGAGGCTGAGATGGAGATCCTGCGGTACGCTGATGTCGTCCTATGCACATGCGCAGGAGCCTGGTGACAAGCGCCTGGCCAAGTTCCAGTTCCGCACAGTGCTGGTGGACGAGAGCACGCAGGCGTCAGAGCCCGAGTGCCTGATCCCGTTGGTGCTGGGCGCGCGGCAGGTGGTTCTGATCGGCGACCACCAGCAGCTCGGGCCTGTGATCACTAGCAAGACAGCGCAGGCAGCCGGCCTTGGACAGTCGCTGTTTGAGCGCCTGGTGTTTTTGGGCTTGCGGCCGTACCGCCTGGTCGTACAGTACCGGATGCATCCGTGCCTGTCCGAATTCCCAAGTAACTTCTTCTATGAGGGGTCGCTGCAGAACGGCGTGACGGCGCAGGAGCGGACCAGGAACGATGCAGGTATCCCATGGCCGAATGCAAGCAAGCCGATGATGATGCTGGCGTGCAATGGCGTCGAGGAGATTGCGTCCAACGGGACCTCGTACTTGAACAGGGCCGAGGCCAACGCGTGCGAGAAGATCGTGACGCGAATGCTCAAGGCTGGGGTCAAGCCGGAGCAGATTGGAGTGATCACGCCGTACGAGGGCCAGCGCAGCTGGGTGGTGCACCACATGGCACAGGCCGGCTCGCTGGTCAGCGACTTGTACAAGGAGGTCGAGGTTGCCAGCGTCGATGCGTTCCAGGGCCGCGAAAAGGACTATATTATCATGAGCTGCGTGCGCAACAACGAGCACCAGGGGATCGGGTTCTTGAGCGATCCGCGCCGTCTCAACGTGGCTCTAACGCGCGCAAAGTATGGCATGATTGTGCTGGGAAGCCCCAAGGTGCTCAGCAAGAACCCGCTGTGGCACGAGCTGCTGTCGTTTTACAAGGCCAACAATGTTCTGGTTGAGGGCCAGATTGGCAATTTGGTGCAGAGCGCCATCCAGCTAAGTCGCCCACGTGCCGCAAAGACCAGCCGGTCGCTGGGCGAGCGTGGCATGGCGCTGCAGGGTACGTCGGTGGCAGCCGCAGCCAGCAACAACCGGCTTGCGAAACTAGTTGGCCGCAGTACTATGCGGTACATTCCGCCTGACCTGGATATCGACGGACCTGGTGGCTCTGCGCGCACCAGCAGTCGTGCAAAGCAGGCTGGTCCAAAGCAGCAGCAGCAGAGCCAGGCGGCCGGCTCCTTGTACGATGACTTCTTTGGCGCGCCCATCACCCAAACCTCAATGTTCACGCAGTCATCGTATATGGATGGCGGCTACAGCCAGTTTGCCACGCAGCCATACGACTTATCGTCACAGCCCGACACGGTGGTGCTGGGCCAGAACGGATCCGAGGAGAGCAAACCAGCCGATGATCCCAAAGAACACGTTCAATCCCAAGCTGCATGCATCCATTATGTTCAGCCAGAGCGACCGGGTGCAGCTGGGCAGTGATGAGCAAGGGACCGGTGCCAGCGCATCCAAGGATACGAGGCAGACGCTGGCCAGCTCGCAGTTCAACACGGCATATACGGGCAATGGCAGCCAGGCGTCCCAGGCGTATCTGACCCAGGACCCGTCGTTTGGCAGCTCCCAGTTCACGCAGGAGTTCATGGGGTCGCAGAACTTCACTCAGTACTGAGTTTATAAGGACCCTTTCTTGGCCCGGCGATGGCACGTCCTTGGCGTCTCGGCGAGGTGCAGGATGCACGCCATATCTGGGTGAACCTGTGACCTTATCTCGCATAAATTCGCTTATCTACTGGCGACGGTACTACCAGAAGTCCTCGCGAATTATCAAGACACGGTCTGCTACAGCCGATGCGCTCTGCCGCTGTGCGAATCCAAGCGGGGAACAATAGAAGGCAGGTAGCTGTGGATATTCAGACCCAACCACCTGCCTGACACCGCACTCGGCATGTTGGCAGGGCGGCGGTAGGCAGTCCGGGTTGGGCTAGAACAAAAAATTGGCCGTTGCTGTTTACTCACACGCCTCCACTTTCTTTTTTCTTTTTCTCATCGCTGGATATTTGTGAGGAATGGCGGGCAGTGATGTCACATAAAGGAGCAGCAGCAGCTTCTGTGACACGGCTCTTTCGTCTCTCCTCGCCATTACTTTTCTGTTTCATTTTCTATTACCCTCCTCCCGCACATAAACTATTAGCACACACTACTACCCTCGTGCATTTTCACTTGAATGGTAAGCCTGCCGTTGGAAATAGCTGAGCTAGTCTGCCAGGCAGCAGATCGACCAGTGCTTGAGACTCTGGGCCAAACCGACCACACATGGCGGCAGCTAGCACTGCGCGAGCTCTGGCACACGGTTGGAGATCAGCGAGTGGGCGCACAAAACCACAGCCGCAACCATCCATGCGCAGTATGGACAGTACGTGCAGACAATCGAGTACAAGCGGCAGCACTCGCGCAGCATGAGCAATTCGCAGGAGCGCCGGCGGAGCTCCGACGTCAAGTCCAAAACGGAGATTCTCTGCGACTGGATATCGCAGCCGTGGCCGCTGGTGCACCGGGTGGCCATTGGCGGCTGGCCGCCGTACAATGTGCGGCGCGTGCAGATGGCCATGGCGCGCGGCTGCCCGGGCCTGCGGGTGGCGGTTCTGGAGGGAGCGTCGGCGGCCTGGGCGGAAACGCTGCGCATGGCGCTGCTGTGGCACCCGGAGCTGAAGGAGCTGCATGTCACCGAGGACCAGCGGGCATTGCTGCCGCCGGCGGCGGACACGGTGGGACGGCCTGCCAGCACTGGCGGGTCCGCCAGCCTATACGGGGCCGGGCCCTCGGCGCTGACGCACCTGACGGCGCCGTGTCTGGCCGACGCGGTTGCGCAGCTGCTGGCGCAGCTGCCGCGGGTGCTGCCGATGCTGCAGTCGCTGGATCTGCGGCAAATCGATGCCGGCGTTGCTTCCCGCCTGCACATCAGCCTGCCGCCGGGCATTTTGCATCTGAAGGCCAGCGGCCACCACCCGCTGAGCGCACGCATGTTCCATCCGGTTATTCGCTCGCTGAAGACCCTGGTTGTCCGTGGGGTGCGCAGCGAGGAGGCGGCATGCCGCGAGCACGAGCATTTCTGGACCCCCTTGTTCCAACACCCGTGGGGGCGGCTCGAGCGCCTGGTGGTGCCTGTGGCGCGGCCCGGGCTTGGCCCAATGGTAAGCAGCCAGTGCCCCGCGCTGCTGGACCTACAGGTCCTGCAGGCTGGCAGCATCATTGATTTCCAGCGGAACGACCAGTGGGTTGGGTGCCTGACGCAGATGCCCCGGCTGCGCAGACTCGATATTGCCAGCTCAAATAACGAATACGAGGGATGCTGCCTCTCGTCGCACTTGGTTGAGGGGTTCAAGTGGCAGCCGCAGTATCTGCACACGCTGTACTTGTCGCGGCTGTGTCCTGTCGCTTAGCGGCCTTGGAAAGACTGCTTGGCATGCTGCCGTATCTGCATACTCCTGTGGTTCTCATTCGATGCGACCGATGTGCTTGACCAGCAGCCTTGCCGAGGCGGCACGGGCGGCGCAGCTGCCCAAACGATCAAAGACTCGCATCCAGTACTTGATCATCCACGCTATCCTCACCAGGCCCTGGCGGCACCCCCGGAAACTGCCTCCCCGCATATCGCGCAATTCGACCTCCAGGCCGTGCCAAGTGCCGAGAGATGCGATCTAGGCCTGTACCATGTATCCCCACAGGCCACTGCCTTGGCGTACTCTCTAGACAAGTTCCCATCTCTGAGCCAATGCCGTCTGCCCATGTTCACATTTCCCGACGAAGACCGCCGGTGGCTGCAACACAAGCTCCCGGACATTGCGTTCAAGAAGTATGCACCACCGTATTGATAGTTGTAGATACAAGCATACAACATGCATATGTAATCACCCACCAAAGCAGCATTATCAGTAAATCTAACACGTGGAACTATTAAAAATGCCAGCAGGTCAGAATTGGTCCTCAGGGGTTGCGAATCCGCCGTGGCTCGACATTGTTGGCGACGCCTGGTTCACCAGCGGTGGCGCCTGGATGCAGCAGCAACAACGCCATTCTGCATCGACGGCGACTCTTGAACTGGCGACACGCCGGCGATTGGCACCTGCGGCAGCTGGGGCTGAGGCGACATCCTGTGCCTGCTGTACTTGCTGCTGCTGAAGAGCCAGGTTGAACACAGCAGGCAGCGGCGACTGGGTGCCGATCGGCGTGTGGTAGTTCTGGCCGGTCATCTTCTCCAGCGTGTCCTCCAGTCGCTTTCTGCATCTCGCACGCATCCTTCGTACACCATCGACCCCTTCCTCGTTGTACTGTGCGCGCATTGTCAAACATCAGCTTCCAGTCCTTGTGGAAGTCCTCGACTGTCAGGTAGTGCGCCGACCTGACCTTCTTGCGGATGTTTTTCATGGCAATTGGGTGGCGGATGATCATATAGTAGTCCGGGTAGTCCCGCTTGCTGGGCACCTCCAGGAACAGGTCGCAGCGCCGACGCTGGTATTCGGGGTCGATGCACGCCTCCACAGCCTTGAACGAGGCTTCGAAGACGCCGTTGAGTTGGGCACGCTCCTCTGCCGCCAAAGGATCGACTGCACCTCCCTTGCGCCGGCCCTTGCGACTGCCCCCAGACGGCGTCGCTGCCCCGGCAGGTGTGCTGGACCCAGTGGCATCGTCATCCAGCTTCGCCCGCTTGCGCCCGCTGCGACTCCTGCCGCCGGAGCTGGGTGTCGCGTCTCCTGACTCGGCCATCACAACGTCGCCAGTCTCGTCGATTGCTGTGCCGCTGCCGCTGGGCGTCTGTGCCATGGTGCTGGTGCCGCTGCCGCTACGGCGAGGACGGCCGCGCTTGCGAGGGTTGCGTGCGGCACTGCCGGTATCGCTAGCTCCCTCGGACGGCACATCGTTGTCGTCGCCAACAGATACGCTGTCGATGTCGCCGATCTTGCTGCGCAGGTGTTGCTGTAGCAGCTTCTCCTCCTTGCGCTTGCGGGCGCGCTCCTCCTTCTCGCGCTTCTTGGCGAATGTAGTCGTCCAGGTCGACATTGTCGTCTTCCAGCGCATCGAGCCACTGCTCCTCGGACAGGCCGTCGTCGTAGTACACGCGCCTGCTGTTGCGCGCCTTGTCCTTGACCGCCTCTTCTTCCTTGCGCTGCCGCTCCAGCTCTGGGTCGTAGTCGTGCCGGTACTCTTCAGGGCAGTTCGGCATCAGTGAACAGCCGCTCAGGCAGTCCTACCAGGTGTTTCCGGCATCCACCCACTCGACCTTCTCTTGCGCCCGCCGCTCCTCGTCCATGCGAGCAAAGATGACCCGTTCCTCGTCACTGCGGGCCAACAGCTCGTTGAGGTCCTCATCGGTGTTGGCTCCGTCCTCGCCTTCACTGTCCTCGCTGTTGTCGTCCGCCTTGAGCAGCGACCGCAAAAAGTGTTCGCGCTCCTCAGCCGTACTCTTCTGGTCAAACTTTCCCGGCCTGGATAATCTTGCCGTCGAGGTCGCGCTTGTACTCGGCACGCGCCAGGATCTTCTCTTCCACAGAGTTGGTCGTGATCAGCCGCAGAATACGCACCTCGTTCTTCTGCCCAATGCGATGCGCACGGTCCATAGCCTGGCTATCCGCCGACGGGTTCCAGTCAGAGTCGAAGATGACGACCGTATCGGCGGTCTGCAGATTGAGACCCTGGCCACCAGCACGCGTACTGAGCAAGAACACCTTGAATGGCGAGTCAGGGCGAGTTGAACGTGTGCATCTGCTCACGGCGCGCATCGTCAGACGTCGAACCGTCGAGACGCAGCGAGCGGATGCCGCGCCAGGTCAAAAAGTCCTCCATGATCGTCATGATCTGGGTCATCTGGAAGAAGATAAGCACCTTGTGGTTGGTAGCCAGCAGCTTGGCCAGCACGCGGTCCAGCAGCTCAAACTTGCCGGCAGTGCGGTACAGCAAGGTTGTTGTTGGTGCGCGTCGGGTTGATGCGCGCCTCCACTTCGTCGTAGACGAACGGGTGGTTGCAGATCTTGCGCAGCTGCATGATCATAGTTGTTGAGGCTGGCGTTGCTGCTGCGACCGCCAGGCTTGTCAATGCTGACGCCAGGGAACAGCGTGCCAAACTTGCGCATCTGGTGGTACAGCCGCGACTGCACGGCCGACATGCTGCACTTGATGACGTGCTCGACCTTGTCGGGCAGATCGACCTCGACGTCCTTCTTCATGCGGCGCAGCAGGAATGGGCGCAGCACCTTGTGCAGACGCTTGATAATCAGAAGCTGCTCTTCCTCGTTCAGCTCGATCTTGTCCTGTCCTCCAGCGCCGGCAAACGGCGTGTTGAACCACTCGTCAAAGCTCTGCACCGATGAAAACACGCGCGGCAGGACAAAGTTGAGCAATGCCCACAGCTCAGGCAGGTTGTTCTGCAGCGGCGTTCCGGTCAGAATCAGGCGGTACCGCGTGTTATAGTACGTGGTCAGAATAGTCGCCAGCTTCGACTGTGTGTTCTTCAGGCGATGGCCCTCGTCAATAATCATGTGGATCCACTTGATCTTGGCCTAGCATTGGCCTGGTCCTTGATGATGTAGTCGTAGGTCGTCAGCAGGACCTGGAAGGCTCCACGGCGGATCTGGTTCTGCAGCGTGCGGCGCTGTGTGGGGTTGCCCTTGTATCCAATGACTGACACCGACGGCGCCCACTTGGCAAACTCGAGGATCCAGTTGGTGATGGTCGACAGCGGCACAATGATCAGGAACGGGCCATCCTGCTGCTTCTTCTCAATCAGGTATGTCACCAGCGAGATGGTCTGGATGGTCTTTCCGAGACCCATCTCGTCAGCCAGGATACCGTTCAGTCCTGTTGTTGTACAGCGACACCATCCACTCGAGACCCCGCAGCTGGTAGTCCTTCAGCTGGCCGCCGATCAGGATGGAGGGCTGTGCCACGATAGGCTCCTTGACGCGATGGGCGACTGCAAAGTAGTCGCGGGTCTGCGCATCGTCCGGATCGTCATCCTACAGCCTCGGCGTTGTCCTGCAGCCACGACGGCACAGGCTCGTTGGCACCGACGGGGTTGCTGTCGGTAGGCCTACCGATGCCTTCTGCTGGCCCACGGCGTCGATGAGCGAGCTGAGGAACTGGTCGGTCTGCTCCAGCAGGTGCGAGATACGCGTGTCCTTCTCCTTGTCGACGAGCTTCAGGTACGCCTCTTCGTCACCGGCCTTGAGAGCCTGGATACGCTCGCGGGCAATGCGCTCCTTGCGCTTCTGCTCCTCGCGCTCTGCGTGCGAGTGGAATGTCAGGATCGATCGGCCGAGCTTTGACATGCGCTGCTGGTGGCCCTTGTGCCACGCAACAAGGTTCGCGCCATGGTTGGTCATGGCCAAGAGCTGCTGCCGGTGCTGGTCGACCTCGCGGCGCTCGCGCTCCTGCCTCTGCTGCCGCTCCATCTTTTCGGTCAGCCGGGCTTCGCGCTGCGACTGCTTCTTCATGCGACGCAGTGCTGTGCGATCGCCGGCCACACCAAGCTGCGAGGCACGAGTGATTCCGCGGACGACCTCGGCCCGGAGCTCACGCTGCTTGTGCCGCAGGCCTAGCGCCTTGAGTTCAATGATTGATTTTAACCGAGCACTCGACTCGGCATTGGTGATCAGGCCCGGCCGCATAAACAGACCGCCCTCCTGGGCAATGTCGATGCGGTCGTCGCTGATGTTGGCAGGCATCTCCGACAGCTCCTTGATCCGGTACTCGATGCGCGCATCGCGTCTGCGCTCGCGTTCCTGGGCCATTGCTCGCACATCAATGCCAATGGGCGTGATGCTGGGAACCAGAAGCCGCTGCAGCTGAGCAGCCTGCTCTCCGCCGTGAAGCTTCTCCTTGAGGAGCTGGTGCGGCGAGACAAAGTTTATTCGGCTGGGGCAAGGGCGGCAGTAGGAGCTCGACCTTGAAGCCTGAGACATTCGTTCCGTTAGCTTTAAGATTCGAGTGCACTGAGCTGACAACACCGCCGGCAACGCTATCGAGTCCCTCTGGAGGCGTGTCAAGGAGCCGCTTTTCGTCCTCGGGAATGCTGCTGGCCCACAGCTCCTGGCGCAGCTGCGGCGGCAGGGGCTGGTTCTTTGAAACAAGCCTGAACGCATGGATCTGTTTGCGCAGTGTGGCGATATCGGCCTGTGAAAACTGCGGTGGCGGGACTGCAGGCTCCTTGGTCTGCTGTGACTGCTCTGCTGACACTACCGCCGTGACTGTCTCCGATGACTGTGATCCATTGGTGGTGCTTCCATTCGTAACTGTAGGCAACGTTGGCTCTGTTTTGACAGGTGTTGCGGACCCAGGTGTTGGTTGCTGCTGCTGCTGTTGTAGTTGCTGTTGGAACTGTTGCTGCTGAGCAGCCAGCTGGCGAATAAATGCCATGAGCTTGGCCATCTCTGGGCTGTTCTCTTCCGTCGCCCCGCGGGCTCGTAGCGCCTGGACAGCCTGGACAACCTGGCTGATCTTTTCTCTAGCATCCAAGCCCGGCTGTTGCTCGCCGCCTCCAGCAACGGTGCTGACCGGGGTTTGTTCTGCCGCTGTCGCCTGCATTTCGCAGAATGCTACAAAATAGAAAACGGCTGCTCTCAGCAAAAGGCGCGTTGATCGTGAAGGGGTGCGAAGGGAAGAAGCGACGAGTGCGGTGCTTACCTGTCAAGCGGGCAAATTGGAGAAGGGTGTGAGGGGCTGGTGAAAAAGCTGAAATTGAGTCGAAAAGAATATACGCTGGCAAGCTCTCAAAAGTGCTAGGGCCGAGCGCAGGTACTTTTTGGAGGTGATCTAGAAGTACCAGGGGTGGGAAGATGATAGCGCACGAGGCGGTGCTGTTATTTTCCAGGCAGAGGTTGTCCCTGGCGACGCGAAAAAAAAATGAAAAAGTGAGGAAAAAGCTGTTTGGAGCTGAGTGCCACGGATTGCGAGTGAGTGAGAAAAGTGCTTAAAATTGGTGTCCCGCACAATACAGCACACCCTTTGTCCAAGTCAGCTGCACTGGTGATTGGGCCAATTATGGCCACTGATTTCCACGTGAATCCAGGGCTTCCTCCAGACCAATCATGGCATCCAGACATGTGTGTCATTTGAAGGCAGAGTGCGCATGTTAAACGTGCAGGCATGTGGGTACGACACGCAGCACTGGGGTCAAAAGCACATATGGGGGTGGTGGTTAGATAATTCAGACGGATATCTGCAAAACCACGAAGAAGCTAGCTGGAGAGGAAGAAAGAAATCAGATACAACCGCACACCTTTTCACTCGTTGTAGGTGTAGATGGCCTTCAGCTCCGTGTAGAAGTCCAGGCTCCACTTGCCGTGCTCGCGGCTAGTTCCCGAGCAGCCCATACCGCCGAACGGCATCTCATCGTCCCAGCTGAGCCAGCAGTTGCCCCAGACCATCCCAGAGTTGATCTGGCTTTGCACGCGGGCCAGCCTCTGCTTGTCTTCGGTCCAGACAACAGCGCCAAGGCCGTACTCGGTATCGTTGGCCAGAGCCACGCCCTCCTCCTCAGTATCAAACGGCAGGACGGCGACAACCGGGACCAAAGATCTCCTCCCGCATGACACGCGACTTTTGCGAGATGTTGGTGATCAGGGTCGGCGCAATATAGTACCCGCCCTCGAACCCGTCAATGGTGAGCTTTCCGTCGGCAGCAATATTCTTGACAGCCTTGTCGGCCGGGTTAATAAGGAACTCGACGTTTGCACCCTCCTGCTGCGCCAGGCGGATGTAGCCCGTGACCTTTTCCTGGTGCTGGGCGCTGACCACAGGGCCGTAGAAGGTCTGCGGGTCGCTCGGGTTGCCGACACGCACCTGCTCCAGCACCTTCTGGCGGAAGGCGTCGAGGAACTTGTCGTAGATGCTGCGCTGCACATAGACGCGCGATGTGCACAGGCAGATCTCGCCCTGGTTCTGGTACGCACCGCGGATCGAGGTCAGCACGGCGATGGTCAAAGTCGCAGTCATCGAAGATCACCGACGGGTTCTTGCCGCCGAGCTCCAGTCGAAACGCGCTTGTAGAGGCCGCCAGGCCATAGCGCCAATCTTGGAGCCGGTCAGCGAGCCGCCAGTGAATGAAACCGCACGCACATCCTTGTGCTTGACCAGCGGCGCACCAGCATCCCTGGCCAGTGCCGAACAGAATGTTGATGACGCCGGGAGGGACGCCGGCAGCATCGATGATCTTGGTGAGCAGGTAAGGAGTGACGCTGGTCAGCTCAGTCGGCTTCACAATGACGGTGTTGCCCAGGGCCAGGGCGGGGCCCAGCTTCTCGACATACCATCAGGCACGGGAAGTTCCACGGCGTGATGCCGACGACAACGCCGGCGGGCACGCGCTGCGTCCTCGAGTCGAAGTTTGCGCGCCTCGGCTGAGTAATCCGACGATGTTGTGACGACGCCGTTGAAGCTGTGCGTGTACTCCTCGATGCCTGCCTCGACGTAGTCGGAGAACTGGCGGAAGTAGCCAGGAGCACGCCGGGAAATCCATCATGGCTGCCGACTTGACCGGCTTGCCTTGGTCAAGGGACTCGAACTCAGCCAGGAGCTGGTTGTTGGCTTCAATCAGGTCGGCGATGCGGCGCAGGTAGGCGGTGCGCTCCGTCCACGGACAGCGCTGCCCAGGCAGGCTGTGCTGCCTTGGCCGCGGCGACTGCCGCATCTGCATCGGTCTGGACCCGAGTCCGGGATGGGGGCAATGGGCTGGACCCGTCACTGGCGAAAAGTTCGGGACGGTCTTACCGTTGCTGGCATCGAACCACTGGCCGTTGATGTAGTTTTGGATCGTCACATCCTTGATGTCAGTTCGGGAGGTTCAGAGTCGACATGGCTGGGCTGAAAAAGTATTGCTATTTGATGGTTGGAAGAAGTATAAAATAAAGGTCGGAGCTTTGGTTTGAGGGTGCGGTGCGAGTATTGGTGGAAAGAGTGGCCTATTTATATGAGCTTAGGTGGCAATGAAGTACAAGTGCGCCAACAATGCATTGTTTCCGTATAAGAAATGGGAAGGATGGCGAACATTCCGCACGACCAAGCGCTCTGGACGACCACCTTTGGAACGGAATGTAGCATTGGTGTTGGGTGAAGACTCAATGCCACTCGGGATGAGGGGGCGGCTGTGGAATCCACGTCTGGTGGAGCATCTTTTGGTGCTAATGGTATCCCGCGCCCGCATTGCCCTCGGCCTCATTGCAGCACATGGGGCAGCATGCCGTTCAATCCTCCTCATCTGTGTCCTCTACCTCAGCATTTTCCTACGCACTGGACTACTGCTGGTTCGCCCCTTAAAGAGGCTCATGCGCGACTGTCCGCTCCCTAAAATAACAAGGCTGCATGCCCATCTCCCCTTAGGAAAAAGGGACAGGGGACAGGCGGCACAAAAATCCATGCGGATGCCACAGGGATTTGCAAGTGCTAGAGGGACGAAAGACAGTAATCGACGTTCCGGCTAGCAGGAGCATCCTGTGCGCGCTGAGTGACCTGGTGACGCTGTAGTGGCCAGCACATTCCAATTGGACAAGGTGAGGGTATTGGTGCGTGCACGAAACGTGTTGCAGGATGAGAAGCAGGGAGCACGGACGAGCATTCGGGCCCGTCAATTTGCATCGACACCCATGTGTAAAAAGGCAGAGCATTTGTAATCCAGACCCAGCCCTCTGTACGCCTATGTCAAATGGGCCCGGATTATGAATGCAACCCTGTATGCCAGGTACTCGAATCCCACCACATGGCACCAAAAAACCTGTACTCCACCATTTTTGTGTTTGCGAGGTCCTTGAGCGCCTCTGCAAAGTCATTGCAGTTGGCATGGACACCTGCAGCAGAGAATTCCTGTGAATGGGCCCGTACATACAACAAACACTGGAGGTATTTGTCGAATGCTGCAAACAGACGTGCGCGAAAATGCGCAATACATAAAGCGACAATGTGCCTGGTTCTCACGGCAAATAAAAATTGGGGGATGCAGACAGCATATTCCGCTGCACAGCATATGCATGTGGTTCTCAAGACGTCTAGTGCAAAGGAGCACCCAAACTGGGCATTCGTTTTTCTACTCGGTGCTCCCTTCTTGGCTATATGCGTCGCCTGCCTCCTGGCTAGCATATGAACCTACGTGAGGTGCAATTTTTCCGCTGCACAATGCTCCAGAAAGGGGGCAAGAGAGACAAAGGCGGATAAAACAGGGTCCGAAGATGTGCAGTTCCAGGTGACGGTGCATTGCATTGCCAAATAGGAGTGAATGTTTTAGAAAAAAAATCCCAGCCTGAAGGTGCCTAGTTGGCCGCGTCCTCGACTTCCATCCGGTCATCGTCCTCGTGGCAGATCAGTCGCCGAATGCCCATTTCGCGGGCATGATATGCTGTAGCAGCAGCTGGAGCTCCTGCTGGCGCTCCGGGACGGCATCATCAACCACCATACGCATGACCTCCGAGTAATATGCATCCAGGCTACTGTCGATTGCTGTCCGCAGCTTGCTGATCCTCCTGCATGTAATCTCTGCGAATCGCATCCACAGTGGTGGGGGCCACGGGCACCGGGTGGCCGAGCCTCCTGGCGTTCTCGGCGACGAACTGCGGGGCCAGACGCACCGTAGCCATATAGTTTACATAGCCTTCGGCAAAGACCTCCTCAGGGCAGCAGATACAGGCTGGGCATAGTCATGCAGCGGCTGTGCCAGCTACACATCAAGCATGCGGTAGAGGTATGTGTTGGTCAGCACGTCGCGCAGCACGCTGCCAGGCACCTGGCCGCCCTGCAGCTTGGCGTGGATCGCTGGCCAGTCGTCCCTGGTGAAGGCACGGCGCCAGATTGTCCGCAACGCCGACTTGTAGGCCTGGTCGGGCAGGCTGAAGCTGGCTCGGCTGAGCACGTCCAAAGCCAAGCTGCTGCGCTCGTCCAATCCGCTCGTGTGCTCGTCCAATGCGCTGCTATCGGCACCAGACGTATTCGGCACATTGTCTGGCAACGTCAGCACATCAATCAAGTCCTCAACAGCCAGCATCTTGCCGTCCCACGAACGATACACAAACTCGCGGTAGACTGCGTACAGCGCCGGCAATTGCTGGCGCAGGATCAGCTGTGGTTGACAGCACTGCAGCACTCTCAGCTCCTTTGCCGTCATCAGCCAGCTCGGTGTGGGCACGGACCAGAGAGGTAAAGCAGTTCAAGACCTGGCTCCTGGACCTCACACATGCCAAGCATGTCCTCGAGTCGTGCGTGCGCCTCGATGGCAGTGTCCATGCTGTTTCGGCGGAATACCCTGGGACTCGTCGGTAAAGAAGGCCAGCTTGCTGAGGCTCAGCATCGTGCGTGCCTGAGCGACCTCCTGTGCATCGCGGCCAGCGCGGATCAGTCTCTCTGCCGCTCTCCCGAAGTCGGCCATCTTGACATCGTGGATCCAGCTGATCAATGGCATTACGCCGTGCTGATGCGCGTCAATGTACTCCTTGAGCCATGCGTCGAACGACTCGTCGCGCGTGTTGAGCAGGCTTGCCCATGCCCCGCGGCGCTCGTAGTACTCGAATAATGCCCCAGCAAACTCTTTGCCGAACATGCCCACATATACGCGCACACGCTCCGCAGCACGCTGCGTGTCGGTAGTGAATGTCAGGACAGCCAGGACCCGCAGATCCTGGTATTCCTCGGCCAACCGGAATGCAGTGGACGCTCGGCCGAGAGGAACAAGGAGGAGCAGGATGCGCGACCGCACACCCTCGTACCGCCGAGTCAGGTCGTGCACCTCGTTTGGACTGGTCGCCTGCAGCAGATTCAGCCGATCAACAAAAACGCGGAGGCACAAGTTAGCCATCATACCGATCTGATTAATGGCCTCGTGGAGCAGCGCCAGCGGCGATGTGAACGGATCGTCGTTTGCCAGCGGCTTGTGTGCATCTGCTTCGCTCATGTCCGGAAGATTGGCAAGGCTAACGGAGACGGCATCATCCAGTACGCTGGTGCCGGTTGCGTTGCCATCTGCGTCCTCATCGCCTGGAAGCACTGTTTCCTTGATCCGGTTGTAGAACAGTGCGCTGTGCTGGCCAGAGATGTCGCGGCACAGTCCTGTACGAGTCCTCGAGACGTGCAGCTAACATGTCAATGGTAAGAATGGTGTCGGTCCACCGCTCGCAGGAGCCAGATTCCTCCGACTCGTCAGCTAGCCCATATAGCTCGGCGTTGCGGAAGCGGTAGTTGTACGCAGACTGCAGAATACAGATCAAGATGCGGTTGCCTTCGTATGCCACATGCTGACTGTCGATGATGCCACGTGCGCTTTTCTCTAGGGCGCGGCGCATGGAGGCTAGCATGCGATGCATAGTAGCCAAAAGCCCACCCATTGACGCAACATGGTGCTTAAAGAACAGGCGGACTGGATCCTTGCTTTGCAGTCCGAGACCATCCAGGAAGTGCGAGGCCACCTTGGTCAGCAGCTCGGAGGACGGACTGTCCTGGTTAGACCAAACCTCGCTTTGGTACCCCCACAGGGAAAGGGCCGCTCCCAGCTTCTCTGCATTAGCGCACAACTGGACGCGCGCAGTCCTAGAAAGCTTGTCCGAGAGCCTGGTTGGCAGCAATAAACTTCATCACAGAGTGAGCAAAGCGGTAGCGCTCCCTCAGGTGCGCGCCCAAGTCCATTCTGTCTGCGATAAAGTGAGAGCTGCTGTCGATGATTGACTGCGACACCTGAAGCGCCGCGTTCTGCAGCGCAGTGTCAACGCCCCTGGCATGCGAGGTAATCTTGAACGAAAGCGGATTCTGCGCGTTGTCCATACCAAAGAATACCGCCTGTTCAATCTGGTGTTGGAACGCACGCTCTGCATCTCTGGGTGCTCTATTGGCCTGGGCACCGTGCTGAGCCCATGGCCTGGATCCATTGATGCCCATATGCGAGTCAGCACCGACAGATGGGCTGGCATTTTCCTGAGGAGCTGCCAGTAGCCCGACCGATCGTAGAAGTGATCTCAAGCACGCCGGCATTGAGGCACATAACTGACAGCGAGCTATCCGCCGATGAGTGGCTTGGATACGGGAACTGTGCCACTGTGTCGAACCCAAGCAAAAAGTTCTCGTCACGGAACATGATGGTCTCCTCAAAGCGGTCCGAGGCCTAGGGTGGGCACAGCAGAGGCGATGACGCTCTTGCGCATAACAATATACAGACCAGGGCCGCCCTGTGGTAAGACCAGACGTGGGCGCTCAGGGCCATCCTGCTCGAGGGACTCGGCCTGTGCCAAACTCCAATGGCTGGAGCAAGAGTAGCTCGGGCTCTGAGGAGCCATGGCTGCTACGGAGCACGGCAACTGCTAGACGGGTCTGGCCAATCAGCCGAGGCGCGTGCAGGCCAGCCAGGATGCACACATCGCCTTTGCGCGTAACCGCGATATCAAGCAAGGAGACCTCAACATCAGCACCGATCTGATCCGCCTGCTGCACGGCTCAGCACCTCCAAGACGTCCATCGAGTATATGTACTTTTCTGGATAGGCACGCGAGACGACCCACTTCTGCAACTTCTGGTGCGTCAGGGCATACACCTCGCGCGAGTGGCGGATCTCTGTGCGGCCGCCTGCTGCCAGTCCTACCAGCGAATCGCCCGATCCAGCGACTGGTGCGTCAAACGAAGAGCCACCGAGCAGAGACGACATGCGGCTGAGCATACCGGCACGCGCCCCTGTACTCTTACTCAGCAGCCGCGCACCGAGCTCGGTCAGACCCTGCGAGTTCTGAAGAGTGACCTGGTACATGAAGCCCTTTTTGGTCGAAACCACATGGAGGCCAGGGTACACGTCGAGGATTTCGCTGCACTGGTCATTGATGTCGGTCAGGCCCAGGTCCTTGCTGTGAAAGCGCTCGGTGCCGCCCAGCCCAAATACAATGTGGTCCCAGTACCGAAGCTGTCCAGTGGCTGTGCATGCAATAACGCCAACGTCCCCTTGCTGCGCGCTCGATGGCACCAGGGAGATGATCGGGGACTCAAATATTGTCGCGCTGCTCGGGTCAGGCATTGCCAATTGGTAGACGTTGTTGACAGCACGGCCACTGCCAGCGTACGACCATACCAGACACACTGTCGGTGTGGCCACATAAGCAAACTTTGCCTCATCACTCACGCCCGAGCTTACAGGCACACTCGCAAAGTCGATTGAACCCAGATGCTGGCGCACAGCCTCAGGGAACCCTGCTACTTCAAACACCGCATGCTTCTCTCCCTGCATCAGAACGTGTGACACATCGGGTGGTGCCTCCAGCGCGTCATCCAGCGACCCAGCCGCGGCCAACTGCGCATATCCGACTGGCTCGCCATATGGCGACAGCAGAGTAGACCCAGAGTCAGCGCCTGTGGTATCCATGTCCTGCGTCCCGTCGGTAAACTCCCACGATGGCGCGTCCATTTGCTCATCATCCGACATCCGGGCCTCTGCCTGCGATGCACGTTTAGAAACCGATGAGACCCAGACCGGCCGCTGTACCTTGCTTCCTACTGCTTGCCTTTTGCTGGCTGGCGGGTCGAACGGTGTCGCGTTCTGTGTCGCGCTGCTATAATCTAGAGCTCCTGATGCTGTGTGCCGCTTCTGCCCAATGCTGTGGTCTCCATAGGCCTGCTGCTGCTTAAGCTTCTTGAGCTGGTTTTTTGCTGCTGCAAATGACTGCCTCCCGACTTTCGGCTCAACAGAGGCTGCGACAGGCAACGTGGCAGTCTTTGAGCGCTCTAGGGTCTGGCGCCGCCGGGGCTTTGCGGCCGGTGACAGGAACATTTTGCTGGAATTGAAATTAAAGTGAGATTGTTTGAATCAAAACGGAAAACGAATTGAGGCAGCACGGAAGTGTTTGTCCACGCAACTACATAAAAATATTCGAATTTTGTAGAGCCGGGGCCTTTTTTTCGCTTGCAGAGTCGCGGCTCGGCTCTCGGATGGCAAGCTGCTGGGCTAGTGGTGCGACGACCTGATCTGGTCGATGGTGCTAGAAATGGATTCAGGCGTGTTCTCGTCGGGGACAAGGCGCCTGTCGATGGCCATAGTGAACACGGGCACATACTCCTCATAGAACTCGTGGTCCGGAATATCTGCGGAGACATCAATGTCTTGACCGCAAGCAATGGCCGTGAGTCGCGTCCAGCATCGGGCGCAGTTGACTGAGCTGTACCCACCTCCACCCAGCAAGAGCGTCGGAATGCCCCAGCCCAGCACAGGCCTTGATGGCACCAGCATACGCGTCGGTGGTAAGGTTGAAGATTTTGTAAGGGTCGCCAGCTAGTCCCGTCGCTTCCGCACTGGACAACCACCGCTTGCGGGGCAAATGACGACCTGGCGAGACCCGTTGCCTCTTCAAATGCCTGCAAGAAGGACTCATCGTTTGCCCCTCGCTCCAGGGGCACATTCAGGCTGAATCCCTTGCCCGTTGCCTTTGCCGTCAACTGGTTTATCACCGGTGTTTGGATAGAATCCACGATCATAGTGGTGCAGCGACAGCGTCATAACCCTGCTGCTGTACAAAAACGCATCCTGGACCCCATCACCATGGTGTAGGTCCATGTCGACGTACAGAACACGCGAAAACGTCTTGTTGAGTTCGAGAATTCCAAGCACTATGTCATTGACATAGCAGAACCCTGACGCCTGCTCGCGCTTGCAATGGTGGCGACCGCCCTCCCAATGTACTGCCACACCTGCGTCTCCGTTCGCCAGACACCGGGCCGCACTCACAGTCCCACCGGCTGCATACCGCACATGCTGCTCGACCCCATCAAACATGTAGCAGTCGTCGAGGAGCCCGTACTCGGCTAGCTGACTCTCGCCATCACCCTTCGCTGTCGCTGCTGTCTGCAACATCGCCTGTGGAAAGCAGGCAGTTGATGTAGTCTTCCGAATGAAAGTCTTCTAGTTCCCTGTTTGTAAGCGGCACTGGCGCGATGACTGTGAGCTTCTGCTGCAGCCCAAATGCGTTGATGAGCGCATGCACTCGTGATGCGCGGCCGATATTGGATGGCAATAGATCTGCTGCCTTGATGCTCTTGCTAGATCTTACAAGCACAACTCTGCGTTCCAGTAGCCATTTTAGCTAGGAATATAATATAAAGAAAGTGGGAGCTATGTATCAAATATGTGACATCTCCTAAGCACTATGCTGTAAGCCACTAACTGCATGCATTGCCACCGCATTGTTCTTATGACTTTGCGTTGTGGGAGATACAGGGTGTAATCCGTGTCGTGATCTGGAAAACAATAAACACAAAGATAAGAACACAAAATAAGCTATTCGACATGCGGGCAAAGCTAGAGCCTAGCTTTCTATACTCAAACCACAAAGGATATAATACTCTCTCGGAAGATTGTGAACATGGGAAGGTTGGCTATAGTTATAAGGCAATCGGAAGGACCACGTTTGGATCCTAGGATTGCTATCTCTCTGAGATTTGTGTTTGTTTGCCAGATGAAGGGCATACTAGCCACCACCTGGTAATTAAGTGAAGAGCCACCTACTTCACTGGTTTACCTACGTTCTGCACTTTTCAAATATAGGCAGAGGAAATGCCACCCATGAAAAATTCACGCAGACCGGAGTCTTGCCTTACTAGTAGTTCATGACAGCATAGCACCTGGAACTACACCACTCAAATGACTGACTGGTTATGTACCGCGTGGTCTTACTGAAAAATATATTGTTGATGAAAAACGAAACTACTCCAAAGAAGCGTGGGTACTGCTAGTCGTCAGACGAGCAGCAAGCTCGGCGAAGTGTCTGTCTCGCATGGGTCGGCTCTGGATATGACCACTTTGTTACTGAAAAACAAGTGAAATGTGCGGACTGCTGGGCACCACAAGGCTAGAAGTACTGCTAACGATATCAGCCTGATATCAGCGACTTGGATCTACATGTCATAGCCTACTAACATGATTTCTGGCGCTTTTTGGCTTGGCATGCTGAGTCTGGTTTGAATGGAATAAACGGCAAGCAGGATTACAGATAACCAATGTGACCTAATACCAAATGCTCATTCTCTGTCGACCAGTACCACTGACTCTTGGCTACAGTCCGGAAAATAGTCCATTTGTCAGCAGGTTGCAAACTATCAACTTATCCGCGGAAAGTTATCGGGTATTACAAATTCAACATGGAATTACTGTCAGCTGCCAGACAGATGCTGCGGCAGCTATGAGAAAACGATGAAATTTGAGGCTTAGGAACAGACTGGGTAGCCTAGGGGGTCTAGTCGCATTTAGCGTTGCTTGTCTTCGAGTGTCCTCGCCTATGCTGTTCACTGCTGGCGCAAGGAACGGTTAGATGCTAAACACTGGTCTTGGCAAAAATCTTGAGCCAAAATCGGAAAGGAAACCTGATCTTATCTAGCAGGCGATCCACACTTGTAGGTATCAAAAACGCTTCTGAATAACAGGTTTTTGGAATGCGTGAAATAGTTTCGTTTCGACTCTGGACTCCGGATGTTTGCCAAGATCTCCAGTTTTGGAGACACCGTATGGGCTGGCAAAGGTTTGTTTGGATGAGGGGGGCAGGATTAGGGCAACACGGTCCGAAAACCGTCCAGACCTCCAAATCTTGCCAAGAGTTTTATTATCGTTTTCCTGCCATTCCTTCCTCAGAACAGGAATATAAGAAGCCTTTGCCATTTCAAATATCTGCCCGCTACCACCAACAGCTTCCAAGGATTATATCATTTTCACCATGACCCTCGCAACACTCGTCAACACTATTCCAAGACACCTGTGATGTCCAAGACCAACACCGACAGCAAATCGATGGTGATGCTGGGTGCTTCTGTTCAGTCTGTTGCAGAATTTGCATACAGTTTTCTCAGCAAGATCGACCCTTCTACACCCTCTGCCACTAGCCAAATTGATCACATCATCATGGACCATCGCAACGCGCACAAGGACGATGACGCCAGCGTGCAGAAAATTGCTATCGTGACTGGTGCTAACTCTGGGATCGGATTTGTAACCGCCAGCGCGCTTGCACGGGCTGGATATCATATCATCCTAGCGTGCCGAAACCCGGATCTAGCGCAAGAGGCGCTTGACACGCTGAAGCGCCAGACTGGGCTCGAGACCTTTGAGATCATGCAGCTGGATTTGGCATCGCTGGAGTCAGTTAGCAATTTCGTCAAGCAATTCAAGGCCAAGTACGAGACGCTGGACATCCTGGTTAACAATGCCGGCGTGATGATGTGCCCGTACTCGCAGACCAAGGACGGTATTGAGATGCAGTTTGGCACCAACCATATTGGCCACTTTGCGCTGACAACACAGCTGCTAGATAACCTGAAGGCAGCCAAGGGCGGTGCTCGCATCGTCGTCGTTGCATCACTGGTCGTATATCCTCACCACTGGCATTGGATTACAGCGCGATTGAAGAGGAAGCCAAGTACGACCGTAACAATAACTACGCGATGGCAAAGCTCGCCAACATCATGTTTTCGAACGCACTTGCGCGCAGGCTCGAGGGTACGAACGTCACTGTAAACTCACTGCATCCGGGATCGATCAAGACAAACTTGACACGCCATGTGGGCACAGGTGCTGTCATGGACACCCTGACTAAGGCGCTATTTATCGATGCACAAGCTGGCGCACTGACCTCAATTTATTTGGCTCTATCACCAGAGGTTGAGGGTGTTTCTGGAAAGTACTTTGCGCGATGCGGAGAAGCCAACCCACACGCAAAGGCACTGGATGAAGCTGAGCAGGACAAGCTGTGGGAATACTCGGAGAAATTGGTTGCTGAAAAGTCAAAGTAGATTCAGAAAATATCATGTCATTTTGAGCATATCTACTTCATCTACCATTAGGTTTCCATATAGACACAGCCTTTGTAGCATAGCGAGGGTGAGGCCATATGTCCAGCATCTATCATCTTTTTTCCTTCCTTTCTATTCTCAAAGCACAACTTTCAAAAGCCTCACGAATCGAAACATATTGCAACCAGTGCACAGTGTCTCTTGTTGAATTACTGGTAACCAAAAGTTGGAATATCGCCTGGCGTAAAGATGCACCTCTGGTATAATTGCATGCTGAAGAATTCGACGTGCTAGATATTTGGACAAAGCTGAGTAAAAATTACTTTTCCCTGGAAGAATTCAATCAGGCTGTGGTTTCTGACGAGTTTAAACAGAAGACTCACAAGCTTCAGACAGATCGAAGGGAATTGTGCCCGCAGTTCACTGAGAGGGCCACGATCAACGCATATCAAACTCATGTGCGACTGGAGAAAGTGCATGTGCGAGGTTTCTGTTTCTACGCTGAGACTTCGAGTGATATGTAGCAAATCATCGCATTCGCATTCGTCGTCACCATCTAAATCCACTTCTCTACATTTCTCAAGACAACCTGCATGTATAAACCAAATGCAGCAAAACTCAGCACTCCAGTACAGCGAACTAGTCAAGTGGAAAAGTTGCTGCAGCGCTATTAAAACGCTGGCTGCCTGTAGAACCTTAATCTTGACCGATCTTAGGTCCAAGATGCGCATGTTTTGACCAAAATCACTTGAAGTGAACCGAAGAAGGCCGAATTGAATGGAAAAATTGAAGTTCCACTTTACAGTAGCCACTCGTCCAAGTGCAAGCACGATCAGAATATATCTGCTGAGCACATGTTGAGTGAGCTGATAGTAGTGAGGAAAATCAACGTAGTCAAGAGTTGAGCATCTGGTGACTTTGAGCATACCCCTGCCTTCAATGATCGCAACAAGGTCTTTGTCAGGGCAGATGGAAATCTCTCCAAAGTGCCTGCTCATTTCCTTGGAAAATGACGGCGTTCGAGTAGGGGTATTTGCCATCTTTATCTTTATCGTTATCTTTATACCTATATACATCTGCGTGCATATATTCGCCTATGCCAGCTTATCGAGAATAACCAGCTTGGCAAGTCTCCTCCCAATGCTTGCCTCTGCGGACATCATGGGTCCCAGGCCATGTGTGCTTAGACCAAGCAAGTAATTCGAAAAGGCAGGTTACCAAGATCAGCGCAGCAAAGAGGGCAGCAACAGAGGCAAGGAAAGCAGCAGAAAAGGGCGAAAAATTGGCCAAGAAGGCTGCATACGAAAGGTATATGACCACATCGCCAGGCTCTTTAAAGGCCTATGACCTAAACGGTTCAATAGCGCAAGATGTCAAAGCAGTATTCTCCAGCGTCTCTGAGTAGTGCTGAATCAGTTCTCCAACAAAAGTAGTCCCACTGATATTATCAATGCTGATACATCAGAGTTGCACCGAGCTTGTAACTGCGATGAAGATACTGTCGAATGATTATAGTTCAACTTGTTGCGCGCCCGCTGCAGCTGTCCCTGACGTCGACATGTCAGCCAAATCAGGTGACATCAAGCTAGGCGCCAACGAGAGCCCCGCTGCAGCCTACAATATGGAGGTAGAGTCTAGCCTCTGATAAGTTGCACAGACGGCCGTATTGAAAATACCCCTGCACAACTCGCCTATTCCCTTTTCTCGCTTTTCTTCAGTATTAAATATAACCTTCTAGTCCCCGCACATTCTACAAACACAACAAGCTGAAACCCCTGAGACTTTGGAGAAAAGTCTCTTGAAAAGGTGTTTGAAATGCTGGCGGTTTGGTAGGGGCCAACTAGAATCCATGTTACGCAACTCGAGTGAGCTTGCATTTGGGAGGTGTTTGTCGAGTCGATTACAAAACGCACCAATGTTGCTGAAGCTAATGCTTCCGGCAGGAACAGGTGTGTGGTTTAGGATGCTAAAATTAAATGCGAGGCTTTTGATGCTGGGTAGTGCCACGTCATCAGAAACAACAGATCCTAGATTTGCAAATGGTTTCTCATCAAAAATGCTAGTCAACTGTATGTGGATATTCAGCGGTTTTACACGGTTGCCTAAACCTAAGCCAAGCGCATCTTCAAGAATGCACGGCATGGAAACGTCGGCAGCACGAACGCTTTAAGCAGCAGGAGCTGCCTGCCTGACACCATATCACATCCTGGTATAAATCAGTTAAGATTGCGCAGCGCCAGCTGCGACAAGCACTGGCTAGCAAGAGTATATACCCGAGTTCTGAGCAGTTCAGTTTCTGCCTAGGGTTGTACTTGTCTGCATTATGGAACTGCTGAATGCCAGCTGACTAGTTCGATGATAAGGTATGGCAGGTGTTGTGCTGGTGGTGCCATTAGAAAGATAGAGAATGGGTGGCAGATATAAAATCTGTAGTGTTGCAAAGTGAGATGGGAAGAGTGAGGGAAGAGGGAAGAGGGAAGGGCCTGTTTTCAGATAGCAGTATGTAAGGAGCCATCTGTTGTGCTACAGTTCTAAGATTGGCAACCTTCAACTGCCACCACTGCAGATTTTTTGAACTGGTAGATATTGATTGGCAACTTGCATATACAGAGTTAACCTGGTAAAAATTGACCACGTTGTGAAATAATGGTACCTATGCCACACTACTCGAATGTCTAGCTGCGGACATGGCGCCTGCCGAGATTTAATACCAGTGTCAAGGCGAGTAGCTAGAGATAATTGGCATAGAGTGGTGGGTATGAAAAGTCCGATTTTCCAGACGCGTATAGTTGCTGCGGCTATTCGTATTGGCTTGCAGAGCTACGTGGATAGCATCAGTGTGAAACAAAACTGTGCATCTTTTGCAAAGCAACATGTAGATAGTATAACGAAAGATATGAAGACGCTACCAGGTTCAGCAGTTGTTGGCCCGACGGTACGCAGCAAGGTCGCTGATGGTAATCATCTTCAGCCCGTGCTCGGCAGCAAAGACCTTGCAGTCGTCTCTCCGCTTCATGGTTCCGTCATCATTGACGAGTTCACACAGCGCACCCGCCATGTTCAGGCCCGCCAGCCTTGTCAAATCAATGCTAGCCTCTGTATGGCCACCGCGCTCCAGCACACCACCGCGCTTCGCACGCAGCGGGAGAACATGTCCAGGACGGCGGAATGACTTTGGCTCAGCGTTCTGGAAGTCACCAAGCAGGCTGATGGTGCGGCTGCGGTCATGAGCAGAGATTCCGGTAGATACGCCCTCGGCAGCATCGACGGTGATGGTGTACTGGGTGCGCAGCGGGTCGGTGCTGTCCTTGACCATCAGGGGAAGCTCGAGCTCGTCAAGGCGGTCCGGGTGCATGCCAACGCAGATGTATCCGCTGCTGTAGCGGATCATGAATGTCAGCAGCTCGGGCGTGGCCTTCTCGGCGGCGAAGATCAGATCGCCCTCGTTCTCGCGGTCCTCGTTGTCCATGACGATTACTGCCTCGCCATTGCCTAAAAGCACAAATCAGCGGATCAGCAGTCAGTGTGGAGTTTTCACGTGCGCTACTGGGTCTCAGAGGTAGGGCCCAGGCCGATGGGCATGAATTGGCCGGAGTGCTTGGCATAAGCAAGAAGGAAAACGGTGGGATACTTACGAATGGCGTCAAGTGCAGATTCGATGGTGTCGAAATCGGACTTTGTCTGGCTGTTGTTAATCTGTGCGGGCATGGCTAGATTCTACAAGTGAGGGCGAGGAGGATCGAGGCAAGAGAGGGTTAGGTGACAAAAGATGACAGGTGTGCTGCTGCTGGTCAATGGTGCCCTGCGAGTGATAAGGTGACTCCCTGTGGAGGTCACAGCGGTTTACTATTGACATTCAGCTGCCCTGCATGTTATGGCCAGCTGACGTGTCTGTTTGTTGGCAGGCATCTTTGCCTCAAGGCGTTAACTGCACTGCCCCCTTCCCAAGAAATAGTTGGGGAGTGGAGAGGCTGGCAGATATAGGGATCAAGGGAGGCTGGGCGCTTGGAGAACGCTGCGTGTGCTGTATTACCTTCTATGTGCCTGTGTGTGGGTGTGGGTGGTGTGTGGGTGTGTGGGTTTGGTATGGCCGAAGCGCAAAAAGGGATCAAGGCTGGGAGAGAAGACAGGAGAAAAATATACTGTGGAGTTGAAAAAGATAGTTTGAAGTTTGTGTGATCGTTGCGGGTCCAGAGGGGAGGAATAGGGGAGCGAGGCGCACGGCTGTTGGGTTATATACGGAAGGCAGTCCGTTGCCCATGCCCGGCGAAGGCTGGCCATGCCTGGCACTGGCCAGCTGCTGAATAATTGCACACGAGAGTGTTTTCGAACTGGCCGGATTTAGTAATCGCACTGACAAATCAATTAGCCAGTGTGATCCGGGCGGAATGATTTTGGGAGCAGAGCGCTAGCACGCCCAAACGTGCGCTGACCGCTGGCAGGGTAAGGGTAGTTGCTGGGCTGATAAATGCAGTGTCACCGTGTTGCGGCCGTTCCTGCGCCCCAAGATATAAGAGGCAGTGAGTGTGGCCGGTGGAGGCGCTTCAGTTCATTTCACCAAATCACAAACCACCACTTTTCTTGCTTTTTTTTTCCTTCTAACCAGCACTCTCAAGACTTTACCATGGCCACCGTTCTGGATCAACTCAAGAGCTACACGACCGTCGTCGCCGATACGGGCGACTTTGAGTCCATCGCGCAGTACAAGCCCACCGATGCGACCACCAACCCGTCGCTGATTCTGGCCGCGGCCAACAAGCCCCAGTACGCGCACCTCATCGACGAGGCGATCGTGTACGGCAAGAAGGAGGCCACGACAACCGACGAGCAGGTCGAGAAGGCGTTCGACAAGCTGCTGGTGAACTTTGGCTCGGAGATCCTCAAGATCGTGCCTGGACGTGTGTCGACAGAGGTCGACGCGCAGTTCTCGTTCGACACAGCGGCCAACGTGCGCAAGGCCATCGAGATCATTGACCTGTACAAGTCGATTGGCATCGAAAAGGAGCGCGTGCTGATCAAGATTGCGTCGACGTGGGAGGGCATCCAGGCCGCGCGCGAGCTGGAGGCCAAGCACGGCATCCACTGCAACCTGACGCTGCTGTTCTCGTTCGCGCAGGCGGTCGCATGCGCTGAGGCCGGCGTGACGCTGATCTCGCCGTTTGTGGGCCGCATCCTCGACTGGTTCAAGGCCAGCACCGGCAAGGCATACGCTGCGCACGAGGACCCCGGCGTCGAGTCGGTGTCGGCCATCTACAACTACTACAAGCAGCACGGCTACAAGACCATCGTCATGGGTGCGTCGTTCCGCAACACCGGTGAGATCAAGGAGCTCGCGGGCTGCGACTTCCTGACCATCTCGCCGGCGCTGCTGGGTGAGCTGCAGGCTGAGCAGGCTGACCTGCCGCGCAAGCTGTCGCCCGAGGCTGCCGCTGCCGCTGCCGCCATCCCCAAGGTGACGTTCGACGAGACTACGTTCCGCTGGGCCCTCAACGAGGACCAGATGGCCACCGAGAAGCTCAGCGACGGCATCCGCAAGTTCAACGCCGACGCCGTCAAGCTCCGCAAGATCCTGCGCGAGAAGCTGTCTGCTTAAAGACTCATTAACGGGCTTCTTTCTAGTTTCTGAAATGTATCCTCTATGCCACACCTACGCTCCCCAAACTGGGACCGGATGTTAGCACGCCGGTGATGAGGCAATCTCCTGCCTCCGCTCCTGCTATCGGAGCATTTTCGCCTTCCTCGTGCCTGGGCGATTTGCAGAAGACCGAGCTTCTTCAACGTTGGCTTTGACAATTGGCTGCAATAATCCCGGACAATGGCGGCCAAGCCCAAAGCGCACGGGCTGGTGCATGGTCCCCACGCCTGTGCAGCAGCAGCAGCAGCAGCGTTCTTTTGTCAGGACATAGAGACATATGTCAGCACCACTCGGAGGTGTGTATGGCGACCCTCCGGCTCATGTAGCCTTGGGCGGTAGTGTTCCCAAAAGTGGCATCTTGACCACCCCCGTGCCGCAACACATTAGAAATTGGAGGCGGGTATCACCGGTTACTGGCATTTGTAATTGACTGGCTGTCCTGCGGTGTTCAGCCTGGGTTTGGCTATTAGCTGGCAGCCGGAAATTTCTCTGGCCAGCGATTGGCTCCAGGGGCGCGAGGGATCTCCTCATGCGCCTGGGCTCGAAGCTTACAGCAGTGGAGGGCGTGTTTTAGTCAGCTACCAGGGGTGGGCTTGATAAGGACCACCGCTCTACCGCGACACGCAAACCGCTGGCAGCGCTTGGAATCGCCTCTCGCCCCAACAAGCAGCGCGTATTGCCACAACGCCATTGGCAAGCAAAAAGAAGATACCCGCCCTGCGCGCCCTAAACCGATTTTTGTCTCCTGGCATGCGGGTCTGGCCAGAGGGATTTAAGAAGCCGCCATGGCGCCCTCCCCTGTGGCCTTCATCATATAGCTCTGTATTTAAAAAACCCATCCCCCTGCTCTTGTTTTTTTTCTCATCTCCACTTACTACCCAGCTTTACCACCTATACGATGACTACCGCTGTTGCTGATTTCGGCCTTATCGGCCTGGCCGTCATGGGCCAGAACCTGATTCTCAACATCAACGACCACGGCTTCAAGGTGTGTGCGTACAACCGTACTGTGGCCAAGGTCGACAACTTCCTGGCCAACGAGGCCAAGGGCACTGAGATTGTCGGAGCGCACTCCATCGAGGAGTTTGTGGCCAAGCTGAAGCGGCCCCGCAAGATCATGCTGCTGGTCAAGGCCGGTAGCGCCGTCGATGCCTTCATCGAGACCCTGCTGCCGCACCTCGAGGAGGGTGACATCGTCATTGACGGCGGCAACTCGCACTACCCGGACACCCAGCGCCGGTACGAGTACCTGACCTCGAAGAAGATCCTGTTTGTGGGCTGCGGTGTGTCGGGCGGCGAGGAGGGCGCGCGCTACGGGCCGTCGCTGATGCCGGGAGGCAACCCCGAGGCGTGGCCGCACCTGAAGCCGATCTTCCAGGCTATCGCTGCCAAGGCGCCCGACGGTGCCCCGTGCTGCGACTGGGTGGGCGAGGGCGGCGCCGGCCACTTTGTCAAGATGGTTCACAACGGTATCGAGTACGGAGACATGCAGCTGATCACCGAGGTGTACCAGCTTCTGCGCGACGGCCTGGGCCTGTCGGACGACGAGCAGGGCGACATCTTTGAGAAGTGGAACAAGGGCGTGCTGGACTCGTTCCTGATCGAGATTACCACCGATATCCTGCGCTTCAAGGACACCGACGGCCAGCCGCTGGTCGAGAAGATCCGCGATGCCGCCGGCCAGAAGGGTACTGGCAAGTGGACCGCCATCTCCGCCCTCGACTACGGCATGCCCGTGACCCTGATCGGCGAGGCTGTGTTTGCCCGCTGCCTGTCGGCCATCAAGGACGAGCGCGTGCGTGCCTCCAAGATCCTGGCTGGCCCTGCCCATGGCGCCTTCACCGGCGACAAGGCCCAGCTGATCAAGGACCTCGAGCAGGCCATGTATGCCTCCAAGATCATCGTACGGCCCAGGGCTTCATGCTGATGCGCGAGGCTTCGGCCCAGTACAAGTGGAACCTCAACTACGGCTCCATTGCCCTCATGTGGCGCGGCGGCTGCATCATCCGCTCGGCCTTCCTCGGCGACATCAAGCACGCCTTCGACACCAACGCCAACCTCGAGAACCTGCTCTTTGATCCGTTCTTCCAGGAGGCCACTGCCGCCGCCCAGTCTGGCTGGCGCAACACCATTGCCTCGGCCGTGGTCATGGGCATTCCCGTGCCTGCCCTTGGCACCGCCCTGTCGTTCTACGACGGCTACCGCACTGCCCGCCTGCCCGCCAACCTGCTGCAGGCCCAGCGCGACTACTTTGGCGCCCACACCTACGAGCTCGACGGCCAGCCCGGCAAGTGGATCCACACCAACTGGACCTGGCCGCGGTCGGTAACGTCTCGGCCACGACCTACGATGCGTAGGCACCTTTCTCTAACTTTAATTCTCAAACAACACTTCTACCTTAACAAGCCATGGCTTTCATGTGTGCTTTGCAGGAGAGGAGACATGGCAATGCTGTTTGTTTGACACTGTTCTACACTAGTTTTGCTTGACCTTGTTCGTACGCTTGGCGTCGTAGGCCTGGAACCGCCGGTCGGTGCCAAACACCCGGTCCCACCACCTGAACGTCGATGCAAAGTTATCGACAAACGCCATATGGTGGTAGTCATGGTGGGCGGCACCAGCCCAGAACGGCAGCCAGTGGTTCATGGCCCACGGGAAATCGTATCCGCAATGAGCCTCGACGGTCTGCCACAGCCTGGCAGCGATCCAAATCAGCATAGTCGTGATATGCACCTGCTCGACAAAGTAGTTGAACAGCAGCGGGCCTGCGATCGTGCCCTGGCCGAGGATTGCGGTCTCAAGCGGATGCGCGTACTCAGCAGGCGATGCCAAAGGGCGCCGTGTATTCATGGTGCACCTTGTGGATCTTCTTGTACAGAATGCCGTAGTGGAACGAGCGGTGTGCCCAGTAGTGGTAAAAGTCCTCAATCACGAAAAACACGCACACCTGGAACACCACCTTGGTCCACTGGCGGAAACGGCACGCCGCAGTCGAACCCGACCAGGTCGGCTGCCGGCTTGAAGAACATCATCATGGGCAGCTGCACGAAGAGCTGGCTGAAGATCAGCGACTTTAGGCACTTCCACCACTGCTCGTTTGAGATCTCGCGGTCCGGCTGCAGCTTGTACTTTTGCAGCGCCTGGAATATAGTCGGCAATCAGGTACGGGACATACCGGCCGTAGTAGAATGTCTGGTGAATCGTGAATGCGATAATGCCGAATACCAGTGCCTCGTTGCGGCCCTCGAAGAGCGAGAGCCATGTGCGCTCCGCCCACGCCGGCGTGTAGCCGGCAGGAATCACCTTCGACATGTCGCCGGTCGTGTTGAGGCCTGCGAGGAACTTGTCCAGCAGTGTGTCGGGCAGCGTCGCGTTCGTTGCCATTGTCTTGGGGGTTTAGGATGAATATAAAGATAGAGGTATGCAAAATAAAAACGATGATAGTGGCGAAGAGCGGGCGATGGGGGTTGCGGCTGGGTCTTTATAGTCCGCTGGTACTGTCTCCCAGTCTCCTGAGGCATTGAGTACCAGTGGTGTGTGTGTGCTAGTCCAAGCAGCCGTTTCCCTCTGTTTTGCAGTTGATGAAAAAGGCTGTTCCGGTACAACCCATCGGACTTGCCGAAGCACACAGCTAAGCGCAGAAAGGCAGGGCCGCCAAGGCAATGCAATGTCCGGTATATCCCCCTCCACAACAGCGCTAGAACGTGCTGCTCGGGTGCCTGGAATCATGCCACTTCCAACACATCTGCAATGTAGTTGCGTGAATCGGCTAGGTCCGTTTACCGGCCAGACGATGTCGATCGATTGCTTGGTGGTTGAGCAGCAGATCTGATGCGGTTCGGGTGATCAAGCTCATGCAGCAGGGCTTTTCTGCATGTGTCGTCGGCGAATTCGTCGTCGCCTTCTTTCCTCGTTTTTCTCTGCGCATTTCCCTTGCTCTTCACAGCTACCATGTCTGGCATCTTCACATTACTCTACGTTGCATTGCTGATGCTTAATGCAGTGGCCATCTTGAATGAGGAGCGGTTCTTGGCGCGGAGTAAGTTTTCCCTCCCGGCAGCACAGGGGCAGTCGGCTCGAGTCCGACAGCAAGTCTCCCATCGGAACTAACAGGTGGATGTTCATTTTGTAGTTGGCTGGGCACGCAACAGCGCAGATGTCTACGGAGACACAGAGTCGGTCAAATCCAAACTCATCAACCTGATCTCGGCAGTGCGGACGCTGATGAGGAGTAAGTCTCGTTTATTCTGTGACGTGGAAGACGCTCCGCACGCCTTTTTTGCTAACATCCATACCTACGTGTAGTCCCACTCATCGCCATAAACGTTCTTGTAATTGTATACGAGCTCACCATCGGCTGAACACAAACATCGGCAGCGTCCCCACCACCAATGCGTTCCTGTTTCCCAAATGACTTTGCCGTTAACCTTCTTAATATATCTGCTTTCTTCACCATTCCACGGTCTATCTTGATGAATCGGCACCAGTATCCAGATAGGTAAAGCGGACTAGAGTATTTTCTGGCACCAGGAGGATATATTGTCGGCCCTTTGCTCGCCCGACAGCGCCTTATCTTTATTTTGCTGACCTGCAATCTCTGTTTGTATCTGTGCCTTGCGCTTCTCTTTTTCCTTCTCTATTGCTCGTCTCTGCTTCTAGAATTCCACTCACTCTTTAACTCATTCGCAAAACCTCCGTTTTCAACCAACGCTGGACCCCTGGTTTTCGTGGTACACGTTCTCCGACACACTGGTCTGTAAGGGATACTCTGGGTCTCTGTGGAGGAACGAACTGTTTTCTTTTAATAGTTGTCATTTCGACCAATTTACAGCCTCTTTATAACATTGCCCGCTCTACTTGAGCCTATTGCTACGCGGCGGTCCCCACCGAACCAGCGGCCTTTTGTACATATATATATATTCTACTACTGCGACCACAAATAGCGGAAAGCCGTATTGTGTTTTGCTTGTTTTCTCCCTTTAACACATGGCGCTCTCCGGCAGTTCGGCAGCAGGCACCAGCCAGTCGGATTCCGGTGACAGTATCCTGAAACGAACGTCAGGGTTCGCCTGGCGACAGAAAGTCGGGCGGGACCATGACATGGAAGCAGATTGCGAGTACTGACTCGGGGCAACAGAGGTGGCGGATGGCCCTATACGAGAACCGCACGCTTGCGTCGGCTATCACTGCGGCTGTGACTGGCATTCTTGCCGGGTACCCTGTAAGTGCTTGAAATGGATGCAGCGCACGACATCACATGTGCACTTTGTTCTTTGCTGCTGTTGCTAACCCGCCTGTGCAAATTCTCCGCCAAACAAACAAAATGGGAGCAACGGAGATGTTGTAGTTTGACACTCTAAAGACGCGGATGCAGACACACCACTACTCGTCGCTGCTGACATGCTTGCGGAAATCCCTGGCCGAGGAAGGGCTCCTGGGGCTGTATCGCGGATTCCTGCCTCCCCTGATGACGACGTCAGCAGCAAAGTCTCTGTCGTTTTCGGTCTTTGAGGGCACAAAGCAGTGGCTGCGGGACCACGATCCGCTAAGGGGCATGCGGTCAATTGTGCCCGACTTCCAGCGTACGACGCTCGGATCTGTGGCTCTGACTGCGGCCCTGTCGGGCAGCGTGGCGGGCACCACAATCGCCGTCATGTGCTGTCCGCTGGAGCTGGTCAAGATCCAGATGCAGCTGGCGAATCTCCTGAAGAAGGAGATGGAAGGGGCAGTAAAGCAGACGCTGGGGCTGACAGGCAGGCAGAGCGCGTCGCCGGCGTGGGCAAGGTCCAATCTGTCGGTGTGTCGCGAGATTTTCCGCCAGAAGGGCGCCCTGGGGCTTTACTCGGGGCTGCAGCTGCACATCAGTAAGTACCAATTACCACAGCGAGGCATGCGCGTCTTGGGCATGTCGCACATCCGTGGATGAATGCCAAGACAGAAAATACTTTTTGGACATGCACATGGTCACGCACCGCTTGCATGACTTGTGATGTTGCGCATGGGCAAGAGCACTCAACAGATTTTTCTCTTTCTGGTAGTCCGTGACCTGAGCGGGACCGCAATATACTTTGCGTCCTACGAGACAGTCAAAGAGACGCTGCGGCGGCTGACGGGATCCAACCACACCGGGCCGCTCACGCATATGCTGGCGGGTGGCACTTGCGGCGTTGTTTCGTGGCTCATCATTTTCCCCGTGGACCTGGTCAAGTCCACGATGCAGTCGCAGATTTTGAAACCACGCAGCACATGGGCGTTCCAGAGCTCGTGGCAGTGCGCGCGCGACATTTATGCGAAGCTGGGCATGTCGGGGCTTTACCGCGGCATTTCGGTCAGCCTGATCCGAGCATTCCCACTGCATGGCCTGAACTTTGTCGTATACGAGTGGGCGCGGGCGACCATTTGCAAGCTGGCTGGGCGGCCAGAATAGTCTATATTTAGAACGCATTTTGCTATATGGAAGGCATCAGATTCAACTGTAGGGGCGCTACTTCTTGATATTGCGCAGCCGGGACGCTCTTGGCCAGGGCGGTGCAGCTGGCCAGTTACCATCTGCCAGAAACACAGTCCCCAGATGATTTGGGGGAATGCCAAGACTCAACAGGCGTGATTTTACTAATTGGTGCCAATTGCGTCATGGGTTCATCCGCAACAGACGAGATTTGTCGCGCACATGCAGCCATTTACGGAAGAGCCGGGTTGTGGTCGTTCTAAAAATAGCCCGGGACACGCTCAAGTGGCAACGCAATAATTGTGCCGTTTTCACAAAGGGCACGTCGTCATGGACAGGCTGGGAAATCAAGCGCTTTTTTCCGCCAGAGTATCGTACTGCGATTTGTTTTTCGGAGGGGTGCTGGTGGTCGGACCAGGGGTTCATCGCCCTCCTCCCGCTCTGCTTGCTGCCACACACGCGCGGGTGTTTTGGTATAAAAAGCTGGCCACTGCCGGCTGCACGCCTTGCCTGCTTGCTTCAGTATTCTCTACTCTTTTTCTCCAGTCTTTATCAGCAAACACTTCATCAAAAAAATGTCTTACTACGGAAACCAGGGCGGCTATGGTGGTGACCAGGGCTACAACCAGGGTGGCTACAACCAGGGCTACGACCAGGGCTACAACCAGGGCGGCTACAACCAGCCCCAGGGCGGCTACGACCAGGGCTACAGCCAGGGCGGCTATGGTGGCAACCAGGGCTATGGCCAGGACGACTTTGACGAGAACGCTAGCGTTGACCAGCTTGCTCGCCAGTTCCTCGGCGACTCTGCCAACGCTGACGCCCTGAGCGGCCTGTATGTGCCCGAGACCAGCGCCCGCGACCTTGGCGACTTTGATCCCGATGACATTGAGCGCAGCTTCCGCGAGTTCCAGGATGCCGGCGGCGAGGGCGAGCGCGGCCTGTTTGGCTTCGGCAACGGCCCGGGCAAGTCCAAGAAGAGCCACCAGCTTATTGGTAAGTCGAGCTATTCACTGCGCTAGCGCTCCTCGGTTTTGCTTTACTATACCTGTTGCAGGCGGCGCAACTACTGTCTCTGTGCTGCCCCTGCTCCGCTCTGTTGATTTTGCCAAGGCCCGCAGCGATGTATCTCCCTGCATTGGGCTATCTGTATGACGTTGCTTGCCTTTCTCCACAGTTCTCTTTCAGTTGCCTAGGGACTGTTCCATCCAAAGGGTTCTAGATTTGCCTGTCTTTGGAGAGCAGAGCCTCTTTTTCCGGCTCGGCGACATGCGCCTATTTTTTTTGGCTCTCCCACTCTTCTCCTGCGACCTGCCTCACTCAGGCGTGTGAGGCAGGCTGCTCCCGTGGATGGACAGCATGCTCTTTTCTCCAATGCCCTCCCGCGATTCAGCTGACTGACGTGGTGGGGCGGCATTTGCGCGCTGCTTTTTCCCAGCCTATTGTGGACACATGCAGCGCCTTGTTGTTGGGGCGCACGTTAAACCGACACTACATCCAACGATACATGCATCACTAATCTGCTCCCACTTGTCGCTTTCTAGGTGGTGCTGCCGCATGGAGCGCTCTCTCGTGGTACCAGCAGCGCCAGAAGAACCAGGGCAAGAATGTCAAGCACTCGACCATGAAGAAGCTGCTCGTTGCCTTCGCCACTGCCAAGGCCATCAAGTACTGGGAGAAGTCGGGCGGTGCCCAGTCTGGCATGCCCCGCGAGGTCGTCATTGAGCAGGCGACCCGCGATGCCGCCAACCTGGCCGAGACCAAGTTCGCCGATGACTCGCAGCCCAAGTACTCCTACCAGCAGCAGCACGGTGGCGAGGCTGACACCTTTGACAGCTATGGCGGAGGCAACCAGGGCGGCCACCAGCAGGGTGGCTACCAGCAGGGCGGCTACAACCAGGGTGGCTACCAGCAGGGCGGCTACGGCTACTAAGCTCGCAAACTATAATTTTCCAGTCTATTTTCCAACTCCATCTTCTCGATATTTAACCTCGAACTTTCTCGATCGCCTCTCTTGAACGAAATAGCCTTGGCACGTCGCAAGGGCTGAGCCGCCCGGGCTGAGAGCCACTGCATGTGAGCCGAGCCGAAAAGTTTTGCACCGCTGGCCCTTTCCGATCGGTGCTGGGAAGGAAAGCGGCATGGCCCCCAACCGCGCCGGCCAGCACGCATAAAAAATTAGGCTGCTGGAATTCGACAGCCCGCGAAAGGTGGATTCAGGCCCTTCTCTACCACCTATTTATTTCTCTTTCCAGCCTTTTCTGTTGCCATCGTGCTAGAATTAACCGGACAGCGGACGCCTCTACAGCTATTAAATACATACTAGTTTCCGGTCCGCGTATTGCTTCTTGCCCTTTTTTGAATCATCTCATTTCAGGCGAGAATCAGAAAGAGAATTGCACACCGCGTCTAAGCACATCCGGCAAAAGAGCCTTACCCAGATTCACGCAACCAACAACAAAAAAATGTCGCGTTTCTTCCGTGGCGACGAGTCCTCGGACTCTGATTCAGACTACACCAGCTCGTCGTCGGGCTCTGAGTTCTCCGATGACGAGACCAGGCAGACACCGCAGCAGCAGGGCGGTAGCCGGTTCGCACGCGCGATGGTGGACTCTGATTCCGAGGACGACGTCAAGCGTGTGGTGAAGAGCGCCAAGGACAAGCAGATGGACGAGGTTATCGAGCTGTCGCGGGCAATCCTGAAGGCAATGGGTGCGGACGAGTGGCACTCGGTGTCGGGTGACTTTGACAAGGTCAACAAGGTCGTGCCGAAGCTTGTCAAGAGCCTGAAGGGCCAGCCGCTGCCGCGCTCGTACATCCGCGCCCTTGCGGGCCTTGAGGATGCTGTCGAGAAGCCCAAGTCCAAGGCCGACCTGAAGAAGCTGAATGCTGTCGATGCCCGTGCCCTGAACCAGCTGAAGCAGCGTGTGCGCAAGCACAACAAGTCGTATGCCAAGCAGATTGCCGAGTTCAAGGCCAACCCAGTCAATTCGGAGGATGAGGATGGCGATGCTGACACCGAGGAGGAGGAGGACGAGGTCGAGGAGCAGCCTGCCCGTACTGCCTCGCCAGCGCCTGCTGCTGCGCCTGCTGCCGATGCTGGATCCGACTCGGATGACTCGTACTGGGACTCGGACGAGGACGAGGAGTCGTCATCGTCTGAGAGCGAGGACGACGGCCAGGTTGGTTTCCAGCGCTGGCTGAAGAAGACGCCGACCAAGAAGGAGGAGGAGTCGACGAAGCTGACCAAGAAGGAGAAGGCACAGAAGAAGGTTCAGGCCTCGCAGCAGCGTGCTGCAGCTATCGCCGCTGGTCCCCAGGACGACGACGAGGAGGAGGACGACGGGTTCACCACTGTTGGCAAGGGCGGCAAGAAGGCCCAGGGCCCCACGTACACGGCCGAGACCCTGAACAAGCACCTGCGTGCGGTCATCGAGGCCCGTGGACGCAAGAACACGGACAAGGAGGAGTCGATCCGGATACTCGAGACTCTGTACAAGGTGTCTGCCAACGCTGTCCAGCAGGTCAAGGTCCTGATGGCCATGGTCTCGGCCCGCTTCGATGCGGCGCCGGTCGTCTCTGGCTACATGTCCATCCCGGCGTGGGCCAAGGCTCAGGAGCACCTGAACCAGCTGCTTGAGGTCCTCGAGGCCAACCCGCAGATCCGCGTGTTCGAGACGGCCGAGCTGCAAGACGAGGAGAGCGACATGGGCTACAAGGGTGAGCCGATCGAGCTGCGCGGCTCAATTATTGCCTTTGTTGACCGTCTCGATGACGAGTTCACCAAGTCGCTGCAGAACATTGACCCGCACACGACCGACTACGTCGACCGCATGCGCGACGACGTGCCGCTGTACACCACCATTGTGCGTGCGCAGCTGTACTTTGAGCGTGCCAGCGTCATGGACAGCCAGTGCCGCATTGTGCTGCGCCGCCTTGAGCACCTGTACTACCGCACCGACCAGGTCAACGCCCGCGTCGAGGCAGTCACTCTCGAGGCACTGCCCAAGGGCATCAACGAGTCCAAGATTCTGCCCAGCGCTGTTGTCAGCGACATGGCCGACGGCACGCACATGCTGTGCGCGTTCCTGTACCAGAACGCCGAGCCGCTGCTGCGCACGCGCGCCATGCTGATGCACATCTTCAACCATGCACTGCACAAGCGCTACTATGTTGCGCGCGACCTGCTTCTGATGTCTCACCTGCAGGAGAACGTGCAGCAGGCAGATGTCAACACGCAGGTGCTGTACAACCGCGCTCTGGCGCAGCTGGGCATGGCGGCGTTCCGCATTGGCAAGATCCAGGAGGCGTTCCAGCACACGCAGGAGCTGATCTCGAGCGGCCGCCAGCGCGAGCTGCTTGCACAGGGCATGAGCCAGCAGCGTATGCAGCAGCTGTCGCCTGAGCAGGAGCAGCTGGAGAAGCAGCGCCAGCTGCCGTTCCACATCAACATCAACCTGGAGCTCCTCGAGTGCGTGTTCCTGACGTCGTCGATGCTGCTGGAGATCCCGCACATGGCTTCGGCCAACACCAACGCCGACGCGCGCCGCTCGGCCATCAGCCGCGTGTTCCGTCGCATGCTCGACTTCAACGAGCGCCAGGTGTTCCTGGGCCCGCCCGAGAACACGCGCGACCACATCATGGCTGCGTCGAAGGCTCTGGCAGAGGGCGACTGGGAGTCTGCTCGCGACCTGATCAACGACATCAAGATCTGGTCGCTGCTGCCTGAGGCGGAGGAGATCAAGAAGATGCTGGCCAGCAAGATCCAGATCGAGGCCCTGCGCACCTACCTGTTCACATACTCGACGCAGTTCGAGTCGATTGGCATCCAGGACCTGGCGACGATGTTTGGTCTGGGCTCGCCCAAGGTGTACTCGCTGCTGGCCCGCATGGTCTACAACGAGGAGCTGGCGGCGTCGCTGGACGAGGTCAGCGGCGTGCTGATCTTCAATCCGGCCAACTTTGAGGCCTCGTCGCGGCTGCAGCAGACTGCCCTGGCGCTGTCGTCCAAGGCCGGTGCGTTTGCAGACATCAATGAGCGCGTGTTTGAGCTCAAGATCGGCGGTGGCATGACTGCCAATGAGCGCGACCAGCGCAACAACGAGGGCGGCCAGCGCGACCGTGATGGACGCCAGGGCCAGCAGCGCGGCGGCAAGGACGGCCAGCGCGACCAGCGCAACAAGCAGGGCGGCGGCCAGCGCAACAACAACCAAGGAGGCAACAAGGGCCGCCGCCAAAATAACAAGGGCGGGAACCAGCAGCGCAACAAGGGCGGCAGGCGCTAGGAAGCGATCCGCTCACGCTCGCAGACCACCTTATTGTCTCTTTTACATTTCTCTTTTGACTAGCAGAATAAAGCCATAAAGGCTTGGTGCGCTAGGCTGTGATCAGATCCGGTGATCGAGATAAGGGCTAGAATATCTCATCTGGCGCTGGCTGCCGTGGACTGCGAGGGGCTAATTCGGCGCAAATTGGGCAGGCTCTTTTTCCACCCCCGTCAATTCAGCACTCTCAGTAGTTATTTCTCTCGCACCAATCTATACACCACAGAGGTTGTATCATGTTCAAAAAGTTCTGGAACGAGGTCGGCAAGCGCGTGTGGGTGAATGAGTACAAGGATTCAATGATGCCGCGGACGACGTTCCGCAGCCCGGCGCCGGTGTCGCAGCCGCCGTACAAGAAGCCCGTGACGGCGGCATCGGACCTGAGCAAGAACCCGTACTTCAAGCGCGACACCCGACGCAACTATCCGCGCACAGCCGTGTACACGCAGCAGGATGTCGGCCACCTTTTGCTGGGTGCGTCGCAGATCGCCAAGCTGCCGGAGGTTGCGCCTGCGGCAGAGGGTGCTGAGGAGACGGGCGTGCCGAGCGTCGAAGTGAGGGACGTGGCCGAGGCGCTGGCGAAGCTGCAGGAGCCGGTGTTTTCGCAGGAGAAGCTGCCGCCGGTGCCTGGTGCCCCGTACAAGTTCAGAATCTCGCCAGAGCAGGTTGTGGAGGGCCCTGGCGAGTACTACCCGGTGTACCGTGTCTTTTAGATGCAGAGGTTGGGATTCTGCCATTGCAATATCAAGAGTTTCTGTTTCTGTTTCTGTTTTGTGGACATGTGGTGGTTACAGTAGACAGGTCCATGTATTGACTGATTATACCAGAGGATGGCATGGTGAGATTTAGCTGCGCTTGGTGAATAGCCGAGCAACCTCGACGAGGGACGGAGCCCGCAAGCCCAGCACGCGGGCCGACGCGACGCCCACAGCGAACGCGGCAGCAGCAAAGGCGGTGCGCACAGCCCTGTGCAGCCACAGGGACTGGCGCTGCCACCTCCCAATGACCGCTGCATAGGGGATGGAGGTGAAGCTGACCATGGTGTAGAGCGGAATGATGTGCTTGGGGAAGACTCTGTGCAGCAGGCCCTCAAGGTGCTTTCTGGCCAGATACGCATAGTCGATGACCTTTGCGCGCATCTCGACGTAGTTGTCCAGGGCCAGGTCGACGATGGCCGAGGCATCCTTGGTGCGCTTGCTCGAGTACGTGTCGAGAGCACGCAGGATCTGGTCGTCGGACATGCCGCTAGGTGGAGTCTGTGGTGGAGGCAGACTCTCTGGCAACACTCAGCATGATCTTGTCGAGCTCCTCGATATCTTCGAATCCGCAGTTCATGCCCTGGCCGTAGAACGGCACCATGGCGTGGGCAGCATCGCCAATGACCACAGCCCTGTTCTTGTATGTGTACGGCGTGCACTTGACGTACATCAGCGAGCCCTTTGGGTTGACCATATATTCGCTGGCAACCTTATCGGCGCCCATCAGATCCAGGGCGTCAGGGAAGTTCGCGCGGAAGAATTCCACCGCATCCTGCCCGGTCTTGAGCTGGTCAAAGCTGTGCCACGGCCATGAACAGCGTGACCGTGAACGACTTGTCCTGGTTGGGCAGCGCAATCAGCATGAACGACTGCCGCGGCCAGATATGCAGATGGCTCGGTGAGATCGCAAAGTCCCCGTTGCGCGGCGGCATCGAGAACTCGCAGTAGCCGTGCTCAATATACGTCTGCGAGTAGTTCAGCATGACCTTGGCCATCAGCCGCTGCCGCACGCGGCTGTAGGCGCCATCGGCTCCCACAATCAGGTCGCTATCCTACCGCCACGCGCTCGCCCGACTCAGTGTTGCGCAGCACCGCGCGACCCGCATCGAAGTCCGCCTGCTGGAACTCGTGGTTGAAGTGCATCCGCACGTTCTTGTACTGGGATGCCTCGTCCAGCAGCACGCGGATCAGCGTGCTACGACCCACTGAGTTGATGGCCTTGCCGAATACATCGTAGGCCTGGCTGGTCTGGGTGCCATCCAGAGAGTGGATCATGCGCCCGTGCATTGGGATTACCAACGCCTTGACGCGCTTCTCGAGCGTTGGGTCCAGCCGCCGCAGCGCTGAGAACCCGCGCTCGGATATCGCCAGGTTGATGGATCGGATGCTCAACCAGGTTCTGGTTCTCCGGCAGCCGCAGGTCTACAAATGCTTACCCCGTTCGTGCAATGTCATGTGGATGCTTATCAGTTGACTGGTGGCGAATAGGCTGAATTATGCTGCGGCCTGGCCCTTATCGATCCGGCTTCATTACGGAAGACAAAATTGCTTACCTGGGCGTTTCTCATACAGATCAACCTGCCATCCGCGCTTGGCAAAGTAGCAGGCCGTCAGCGAGCCCACCAAACCGCCGCCGATAATGACTACGTTTCTCTCGGGCATCTGGATATCGATACTATGGTAACGGAAAAGGGAGACGAGGGTGGTACCAGGCTGTTTGAAGGTAGCGGTCAAAGGCTTGGAGAAAACAAGTGTGACTAAGCAAAAATGGAATTATAAATCTGGGTTGGAGAAGAAAAGTGGTTTCCGGACAGGCCGGAGGCAGATGCGCGGGTTTAACAAGGGAGAAAGGCCCGGATCGGACGGGCGTGAGCCTGCCATGCGCTTGGCTGGGCTCCCCACCCAGAAGTGGCGGCTGTTGGCTGAAAAATAAATAAGCTGATCTAACCACTTTTCGCAGAGACGAGTGTGTACGGCAATTTACATCCAGCCCACCAATTCGGCCATCCTGCTTTATCGATGCGGTAATGTCGGAGAGGGAGTGCTGTGTGACAGAAATAGCCGCTATATTGGCGTTTGCTTGTCGAACTGAGCAGCACAGCCCTATCGATGAAACAACCCGTTCGAGCAATAAGGACCGGCACCGCACCCATCCTTTGTATATCCCGCAGCCACACATGCTTGTGCTGGTACTGCAATTTCCTCCCGCAGGATGCATTATTTGTTCGATTGGTACCAATACTCCCAAAAAGGGAACTGCTTTGAGCATTTATGCATACAGCCTCACACGTATACACATCTGGCACATATGCAGTGCCTCCCATGGCCTGCTGGAAACCCGTTCACAAAAGCCTGTAGCCATGCTGGCTGGTAGGTGTCGTCTCCAAGCAGGATGCGCCTGTGTGTCTTTTCCGACCGTCCGGACAGATCCTCTCCGACATATGGTGCAACCGCCACGGCTAATTTCGGGCCTGTTATCTTCAACAGGCTTGATCAGATCCACAGACCGATTTTCACTCTTGGCGTGGGCGGACCTAGCAGTTGCGCAAGAGCTCCAAACAGACACGTCAGTGCAACACCGTAGGGGAGAGACGGAATCCGACCCAAGTCCGCGCCTTCCCCCACCCATTGAGGCGTGCTATGCTTTGTCAACATCCTCCGTCCCACCGACCGATCTCGCCTCCAGGGCAGCAGCAGTTTTTGGTGCGCAAAGAGCTATCGAGGTGCTTTCATATGGCAAATAGCTCCGTCCGGGTTCTCCGGGCACATGTGCCCAACAAAAACTCCACCTCATGGCATTCGGTCGGCGTCAGCGGACTTCGACTGATATCGTCGCCAAGAGAGGCCAGATGCCTGCAGCCCATATAAAGTGTGTATTGCGTGCCGTCTAGGTCCCTTAAAGCGCCCTGATCCGCATACAGCGTTCGTTTTTCTTCTTCGCTTTTCTTTCTGTGTCTGCTACTTTTTCACACTACAATTTCCTCAGCTAACCCGTGCTGTCCTAAATTTAAATAACAATGGCTGGAATGATACTCGAATCCGGCATAGTGCTGGTGCCCATGGGCGCAGCAGCGCTGTACATCATCGCTCGTTCAAACACCCTGCTTGTCATCTTCTCGATCCTCGCGGCCATCAGCGCATCTGTCATCATGCGCTTGCGGTATCACTACGCATCGGGTGCCCGGGTCGACCTGGTTGTGCGCAAAGCCGAGGGCCGCCGGGACAGCGCACCGCCACGCAACATGCCCAAGACCGGCAAGAAGAGCAAGAAGATCAAGAAGCAGGACAAGGGCAACAGCGACGACGATGGTGAGTTCAGCGAGATCGTCCGCAGTGCCCGCGACCACCGTGACATTGACGACGAGGAGGTCGAGCGCAGCGGCGAGCTCCTGGCAACAGTGGTCACCAGCGACAGCACAAAGTACGACATGGATCTGTACGGATCGGGCATTTCGTTCGACCACCGCTGCTTCTACATCGAGGGCAAGCCCGTGTGGTTGCTGGCAGCAGACTTTGATTACTGGCGGATCCCGGCCGCCGACACCAAGGTGTCTGACGAGGCTGCTGTGGCCGCGTGGACGCGCATGCTGCTGCAGCTCAAGGCTACGGGATTCAACGCTGTCCGCATCCGCTTCAACTGGGCGTTCCACTCGCCACGCAAGGGCCAGTATAATTTCAAGGGCGTGCGCAACGTTAACAAGCTGCTGACGCTGTGCGAAGACCTTGGTGTCTATGTGATTGCCTGCGTGGGTCCGTACATCGGTGATGACGTTCAGGCCGGCGGGTTCCCGTTCTGGCTGGTTCAGCGCGACCACGTCCGCCTGAGGCATCTGTGGCACGCTGGAATTAAGCGGTGGGACGATCGTTATGCGGCTGCTGTGGGCGAGTGGTACGACAATATTGTGTCGTTGATCGTTGGTCATGAGGTTGTCACCAAGAACGTCCGTGGCCGCGGCTGTGTTGTCCTGGTGCAGCTCGATAACCATCTGGAGGAGCGCGGCGCCCTGGGCCTGCCGCTGGCCCTGCAGGATGAGACCCGTCTGCTGGCACGCATGTGCCGAGAGCGCGTCATCCGTGCCCCGCTGGTCACTAACAACCTGAACTGGCCTGCCGACTTCACATCGCTCTCGTCTATCGCGTGGCGCGCTGTGACTAAGCGCCTGCGTCGCCACAAGCTTATTGGCAAGGAGTTCAGGACCGATATCTCGGGATTCACCCTGCGCGATATAACCGCCAACCCGGTCGACATAAACGATATTGCTGCTGTCACAGGCGGTGACAACTCGCCTATGGTTGCGCTGGAATTGTACAAGGGCAGCGAGGGTAAGGCTGGGCTTTTCAGCATGCAGATCGAGACAGCTCTGCGCCAGGGCCTGGCTGCATTTGCGCTGCCTGGGTTCGTTGCTCGTAGCACCTGGGGCAACCTCGACAGCCCGCATCTTGCAGCTGATAGAAATGGCGCTGACACCTATGCTGGCGTCAACGCTGACGGCACGCCGACGCAGGATGCGCGCACGGCCAAGCTGATCCTGCAGATGGCTCGCGCGCTGCAGTTGCAGGTGGCGGCCTCGGATGCTGTCAACTCCCGGCCGTGGATTGCGCGCACGCAAAAGCCGACAGTGCGCAGCGTTCGTGCCCACGGCTTGCCGGCCACGGCCGTGAAGGTCCGGCGCCAGTGGGAGTACGAGGCGGCTGGCCGCTCCAAGGTGATCGGTGCTGACAAGTCATCGGAGCAGTTCTCGCTGGTGACGTTTATCGATAGTGACGCGAAGCCTGGCAAGGAGATCGCTCTGCAATATGCGCTTGCCGACGCGCCGACGCTTGGCGGCACATTCAGTTTCGCAATGACTGCCACTCTGGGACCACGCAACCGTGGCATGTTTGCTGCCAACCTCAACGTCACCACCACCAATGGCGACGTCGTGAATGTTGTCGCTTCTACGAAGGAAATCTACGCCCGTGTCGCTCTGCCGACGGAGAATGCCGAGGCATGGGTTTGCGCGACTGAGGAGGTCCAGAGCGGGCAGCTATTTGTTCTCGGCGAGTGCACTGTCACTGGCCACGCGGACGTGGAGATTGTTGATATTGAGCATGCCAAGGACCACAAGTTCAGCTTTGTCATGCCCAGGCCTGGCGCAGGCATTGCCAAGATCACTGCTGCAAACGGCGCATCGGATTGTGCTGGTGATGGTGCCACAGGAGGCCCTGGACACCCTCGTTGTCAACTTTGGTAGGGATTCATACGGCATTGCGCAAAGTGCCGTGTGGGGTGCCGACGGTATCATGGTGGGTCCCAATGCTGGCAGCGTCGATATTGCGCACATGCCGTATGCAGCCGAGACAAAGCTGTACATGCTCTCGGATGCCCAGCCCAGCCTGCCAGCCAACAGTGTGCTGTCCAAAGCCGATGGTGCGGAGTCCCTATATGCAGGTCATGCATTTGTCTGGCATCTCTCTGCAACCAACCCGCAGCCCATCGTGTCTGCAGCTGTTCAGGGATTTGAGAAACGCATGACAAGCTTCGACGACCTGCCCTGGAAGCTGTTGCCGACTATGGCTGATCTCGAGACAATGGATCAGATCAACGTAATGTCGTGGCAGCGCGATCTGGGCACATTTGCCTACCAGGCCACGGATATTGGCCGCAATGCCAGCCACATCCTCTACCGCTGCCAGGTGCGCCTAAAGCCCCAGCACATCAAGGCGCCCAAGATCGAGCTGCAGCTCAACGCCCGACACCGCTGCACTGTGTGGGTCAACGGCCGCAACATGTCGGGCCATGAGACTGCCCACATGCCGCAGGCGCCAACTCAGTTCAAGAGATGGCTGGAAGCGATGCGGACGCCCGGTGCCCTGCGTGGCCCCGACCGTTGGGCAGGTACAGTCACCTATGATGTAACCAAAGCCATGCGCATCTCAGGCGCCGATGACAAGGAGGGCGCGCTGAACGAGGTCTTTGTCGTTGTCGAATCTTTTGGTGTGGGTACGCAGTCCGACGGTTACAACGATGCGCACGCCCCGCGCGGCCTGATTGCCGCGTACTGGCACGGATACAATCTGATCGGAGAAGATCACGATGACTCGGAAATTCACGACACCAACCACGACCACCGCACCGAGCAGCTGCGCACGCGCTGGGATGTGTGCGGTGTCGATGTCTCGGAAATTGCCCAGACGTACAACTCGTCCGGGTTCCCTGACGAGCACCAGGCTGATGGCTGGTCTACGAGTCTCGAGCGCCCGCTTGCAGACACTGACGAATACTGGTCGACACGCCTGGACGTCAAGGTTGACAATGGTGTGCATTGGTGGAGATGGGACCTGAAGCCTGCCGAGCAGGCTGACCAGCCTGCGTATCTGCATATCGGCGGCAGGGCTGTTGTTTATGTGTGGGTCAACGGCGTTTTGCTTGCCAAGCACAGGGCTACTGACACGCCGTCGTGCGTGCTGCTGCGTGGCGGCAACAGCGGGCTCCTTGGTGTGCTGCGCAACAGCAAGGGTGCGGACAAGGTTCAGCTCATGGCATACGGATGGGCGGAGCATGCCGATATTGGCCCGAACATGGAGGCGGACCCAACAGTTGGAGTCGATGTATCTATCACCTCAGCTCCTGCTGCCAAGAACTAGTGGCGTATCCCTTTTTACCAATGAACTGCAGTTAGAAAAACTTGGATATGTATTTCGATAGACGAAAATGGTAGAAAGTAGTGAAAGTATATGGATTCTGCTCCTTAGAAGGTGTGCTGCGCAGAGAAAAAAGTATGTAATTCTGGTACCTGATCCTCGTGTGTAATAATGTCCATCCATCGATAGCGCCGCAATATATGCAAGTGTAAGCATTATCCTCCACAAAAAGGGGGTCATGTGGTGTGGCCGATGCTTCGCCGCTGAGAGACAGCACATTGGACGCTCCAATTCCACGTCTGCTACCGCTCCGCTAATTCGCTGTTTGCCATGCGTTTGCTCCCAGTTCCGCAAGGGCGTTTCTGCGCTGCCTTGCCGAGTCCTTACGACTCATCTTTCCGCTGCTCCGGCTTAAAGGTGATGTTTGTAGTAGGGCTTTTACTGGTATATGTTTAGGACAAATCGGGGCCGCCAGGAAGAAGAATGCAGGTACATCTGGCTGCGTGGGGCATGGGAGGGTATACATCGAATGACAGGAGCGATGTGGTGAAGCGAATGACGAGTAATGGTAGGGAGGGCCTAGTGGTCGGGGGATAGATGAGCTTATACGCACTGAAGGATGTCCGACCAGGAGATACAGCCTAAATGCTCCGCAAACACCTTCCACGAAGGAGCAGGGGTTTAGCAGCTGCACGAGTCGCCGCAGCCGCAAGAGTCACCGCAAGCGCAAGAGTGGCCGTCGTTCTTGTACATTGTAATGGAGCTGTGGAGGGTTTAGCTTAAAAGGTGTGTGGTGTGTGCTGTCTGTGGGAAAAGAGCAAATGTTGGTGGTTTGGTAAAGCTGGGAGCGCCTGGCTCGAGGATTTGCCTTCATTTATAGTCCTGGGATGCCTACTCCGACAGTCGCAAGCCTCCGAATGCCCACAGCAAAAAAACCCACCGACTTTCACATACCTGTAGGATTTGCCAGCAGGCATACTTGACACCCCCTCCCCCTAAACCACGCCCACTGCTCGGCTGTTGACCCGCCAACCAACGCCTGATAAGCGAATTTGGGGATGTGTCATGCATGACCATGTAGCCTCCTCCGAGCAGCAAACGCACCTCCCTCACTTCGCCTCGCTTTGTCTGCAATTGCAGCTGTTGGTGGCCTCGCCGGGTGGCCCATTGGCCAGATGAGCAGCGACCAATGGGCCACCACAGGCGCTAATACTTTACGTAAAGCCAGCTGCAATGTGCCTTGGCCCGCAAGTCACGCCAGCGCAGACATCGCTGTTCCTGGCCTGAATCGTCTGAAAAGCAGATACCCAAAGGGATCTGCCCGGCCAAGCGCACTCTTGCCTTGGGCCTGGGGAGGTTCTCTATTTTAGTGTTGGCAAATAGTTTGCCTATGTCAATCCTCGGCCTGTCCAGGGGTGGGATGCGGGCTCCATGAGCCGCATTGCTTTCCAAATCCGTTGATGCCTCGCGTCACTGAGTCAGAAAGTTTGTTCGTTCTATATGCGCTCATTGAAGTCTGTAGACATATATTGCAGTGCAGGGATAGCACTGTAGAGCGTATAGCGCGTGGATCTTTGTCCCCGGTAAGAAGCTGCAGCCGCCAGCAGGTCATTCCCACTGCTCTCCCAAAAATAAGGGAGCCACTCTGATGCTCAGCGAAAAGTGCAAATTGAATATTTCTGCCACTGGCAATATCCGTGCAGATTCGCTACACCTTATCTCCACCATGTCTGGCTCTCCGTTCTGTTCCCAGGCTCCATTGTTTGGCGCCACCTGACACTGTCGTATTGCGGTATATGAAAAATATTTTTCTTAATGCCCGCCTCATTGCTGCTGCGGTATTCTCCCCACTCCCTGCCTCGTGCAAAAAACAATTGGGCGTGGTTTCTCCCGCAACGACGGATGATAAAGTACTCGGATTCCGGCTGCTACCGCATGTGTATGCAAGGTGACATCTCATGGTCATGTGTGACATTGATTTGAGTACGGGAGTATGTGATAATCAGATAATAAGGTAATCGCCGCTCTAACTGCTGTTCTAAAGTTAGAGACTTGACGTACGAAAATGCCTTTTTGCATAAAAGCATTTGACCATGAGTACTGCTATATACGTTGTTCACATTATGTATTAAACATATAAAGATGCAGGGAAAAAGTGAAGTGAAGTGAAAGGGCTCCACCTACATGCCAGTACTCTGGGCCAGCAGTCAACAACGCTGCGCGGATTATCGCCTTCTGGATGCTGGAATACGGTTTGCTCCGCATTCATAGTATTGATATTGGGTGGCTGATGGGCAACGTTGGCAGTCCAACATATGCTGCCACCTTGAGTACTATCGAGGCAATGCTTGGCAGACGGGAGGCACTCTGGACATTGTACACCCTCCACAAGGACCAGCAGGAAAACAAAGACGAGAGGAGAGACCGGACAGCGACTAGAGGCCTGCAAGGGCAGGTCCAAAACGTGCTGTGCAAAAGTGCGATAGTGTTGCGAGTTACAAATGCTGCAAAAATCAATATAGAAAGCTTCCTCACTTCGATAAGAGTGTAGTAGCAGACTACAGCAATGAAATTGGTTATTACAAAACATAGAGCGACAAGCTATGATGGAATACTTACTGGTTCAGAAAATAGTGAAGTCTGGTACATCCGAATGAATGCTGAAACCTGCACTATATTTATTCTTCGGCGCGCTAACCCGCTTTTGAGAAACTTGTTGAGCAGCGGTACCAACAACAGATGATATTGCAAAGTATAGGGGTTCCAAGGCTCTTCCCTTGTTCAGTGTAGATGTGATGGAGCGGTACCAGCCTATTCTACACTGCCTGGTTAAACTTCTGCAATAAAACGGAAAGAAATGAGGATAAATGACATTCATATATACTAAATTAGATCTTGTCCGGGTTAAATCTGATCGGAATGCCCTCCCACGACTTGTAGTAGTTGTGGTCGCGCTGCTTGTGCTTGGCTGCCCACTTTGTCAGTCTCAGCTGGTACATGGACTCAAACATAAACATCATAGAGTCTTCGCAAATGCGTCTAGGGAGCAACTCGTGCATAGTTGCAATTTCCACGGTCTTCGTATCTGGCCCATGCGGTGTCATAGTGGAGAGTAGACAAGCACCACCAGGCAGGAATCCGTCCTTCTTTGCCTCGTACTCGCCATGGATCAGACCCAGGAACTCGGTCATGCAGTTGCGATGGAAGAATGGCGGGCGGAATGTGTGCTGCTGTACTTCAAAACGCGGCGGGAATATGATGAAGTCAGCTACAGCCGTGCCTGGATGAACCGACTTGCAGGTCAGGACGGTGAAAATGGACGGGTCGATGTGGTCGTAGCTGACCGAGTTGATGACGTTAAAGTTTGCCAAGTCGTACTTGTACGGGGCGTAGTTGCCGTGCCATGCGACCACATCGAAGGGCGAGTGGTCCTGCTGCGCAGCAAACATCTCACCCTGGTACTTGTTGACGATCTCCCATGAGTCGCTCGTGTGCTCGTACTTTGCCGTCGGCGTCTGGAAGTCACGCGGGTTTGCCAAGCCGTTGGCACCAATGGGGCCCAGGTCTGGCAGCTCAAAGTGGTTATCGTAGACCTCCAGGATGTATCCGCGGCTCGGTCCGTCCAGCAGGCCGACGGAGAAGCGGATGCCGCGCTGGATCACGGCGATCTGGTTCGGCGCCACCATGATCGGGCCAAGCTCGGTCTGCACGTCCAGACGGCCCTGCTGCGGCACAATCAGCAGGTTACCGTCCGAGTTGCTGAATGCACGCTTATCCATGCTCTCCGTGGCTGCATAAATGTGCACGGCCAGACCGCTCTTCAGGGCGGTGTCGCCGGCCCCACCGATTGTGCACAGACCGGTGACAAAGTCGAGCGGCTCCGACTCGGGGATCTCGAACGGCAGCCAACAAATTTGGGTCGGCGTGGTCACAGTATTGTTGGTATCAAAGTTGCCGATAACCTTGTTCTGAATGGAGAGAAACGGCTCAAAGGGCCTGTGCATGGCCGCCGGGTGGATGCGGTACAGCCACGTGCGCTGGTTGCCAGCACGGCCCACGGTGAAGGCTGTGCCCGAGAGCTGCTCGGCGTAGAGCCCGTACGGGCACACCTGGGGAGAGTTTTGGCCTATAGGCAGTGCTCCTGGGAGAGCCTCCGACGAGAAATGGTTGCCGAAACCCGATTGGTATTTATACGGGTCGCTGTGGGTGATGGTAGATGAATGCATGCTGATGTGGTGGATTAGAGTTATACGTGTTTCGCGAATGAGATATGTACCTTTTGCCCCTTCTCAGCTTTCCGCTTTTATAGTTTGCCTGACCCAACTAACATGCAAGCAGATGTACGGGGTAATCGTTCATGGTCTCACACCATATCTCCAGCTATTATTCTGTAGCCAGTGTAATAACTGGCAAAATATCCTGTGAAGTATAGTATGGCTATAACTGCATGCTATTTGTATAGTGCTACACTATTCATTCATAGCTACTAGTGGGTGGGGATTGGTATAAAAGAGGATATATTGTGACAGTTATTAGGTGGCGGAAATCCTGTGGCTGCCTGCGTTGTTTCATCTTATTATGTGGCGGCTAGGGTGGGCACCGCTACTAACACTAGGGCCTGTGAGCGAGCGCCGAGCCAGGCGTGCAATGGCGTGCGCTCTAACACCTCTGCAGACTGCAGTTTTCAGGCTAGTATCGCAGCGAGAGCAACGTGTATGACAAGACTCCTATCTGAAATCGTTGTATCTAATTGACCTCTCTGTATGCTATGAATTAAAACTACAAGAATAATGATCAGCAAGTAAAGAGCCCAGACTCAACTTATGTGTCAAGTGGTGGCTAACGTGTCTTTCGCCTGGTGCACAACGATAGAACCCAGAGAGTTGGCTACGTTTATAGTCCAATGCGGTTCTCGGATTGGCAGAAAACTAGACAAATAATGAAGGCATGGAATCCGACCTATAAACCAGACAATGAGGTTCTCACCTGCCACATTGGGCAAGTCGAATTGACGTCATGACATTGTGCCAGAAGGAACAGGGTCATATGTCTATCATCTGCCACTCTTTCCTTCTTTCTTTTCGTTTTCTTTTGTTTCTCTTAGTAAAACTTTGTATACCTTAAACCCCCAACTATGTAGCAAGCTGTTGCTCTGTGTATAAAGTATGCGTCGAAAAGCATTTTCGTTGAACCTCCAGAGATGAAAGAAGCAACCCAGGTGACATAATATGCAGCCACTATCTCACCAGAGGCTATAAATCACCATAAGAGCTTCCTTCCTGAATAAAGGCACCGGTAGGGTGCACGTTAGGAGCTTTGGCAACAGCTCGCTGCTCTTCTAGCTCGGCTGGGCGTGTATCCATCGACTCGGCTCCGCAATGGCATGTAGTACTTGCTCTGGCCATCATGTGGCAGTGTTGCGAATATATATTCTTGGGGACTGTAGATATTACTATGCCATGTAAACCCGACGAAAATGCATATTCACAACATTCCAAAAAAAAAAATAAATGAAAGAAAAATGGAAGGGAAAGGTACTGCTGGGATCAGGTGACAGTTTCGAAGATTTCGCAGTCGTGCTCGTACATAGTGTAGCAAGAACCCCGGGATACCGATTGTGGCTAATGACACTATCAAATACCCGATGATGTATCTACTACTTGCGCTTCTGTGTGGGGCTCGTTGACGGTTGGTGAGTCAATTGACATTGCGTCATCCACACTGGTGTCGCTGGGCACACAGCGCTGTGATTCTTCAGCTAATTCAGTGCCTTCGAAGTACCAGGTTCCGCATATCCGTAAATGTAAATGATAAAGCACTACTGAAGAAGGAAATGTAGTAGGCAGAGACTATGTACGCAGATGCTATCTATATCGTGGCCATGCTAGTACATAGAAGAGATCTATGCAACTCACAAACTGGGATCAGTAAAAGTATGGAAATAGCGAGACCACAAACCCGAGTCCATTGAATGATTGACCCAGCCCCATGTCAGGTTTCTGCAATTGTGGAGGGTAAGTACATAGACAAATGCAGGTGTTTCCAGGCAACCAGTCAAACAAACCTCCCTACTATCATCAGCCCCAGTATATTTCCTCATTGCGTGAAAAGCATGCATTTTTGTGCTTCTGCATCTTGGGTCAGTCAATAGTACTGTGGTGGACTCTTATACCATGGAGCCTCCTGTTACCCCTGGCGAATATCTACTATTCTGTACTAGAATTGCTCTGCTTGCGATCGAGCTCGGCTGCTAGTCAGCATGGGTTGACACGTTGATAAAAGCATCACAGTGAACTGGTCATTTGAACGTGTCGGATTATTGTTGATGCAGTGGCGATCATGGACATCTCCCATCTTGATGGCCTGCTTACATGACTCGCTTGTACAGCGGAGAAGGCCATGACACTTCACAGTTGGGTTCTTCGATCTCTGGTAGGGCCGCGGGTTGGGAACATGCCGGAATGTCTGCTGCAGCAGCCGATGCGCCTGAAAATGAATCAGCCGCCACTGCTGCAACTGCAGCAGTAGCCTCTGTTGCATCTGATGGCATCTTCGCTGCCTCGTGTACAGCCTTCTTAGCCAATTTTTCGCCCTTTTCTGCTGCTTTCCTTGCATCTGTTGCTGCCTTCTTTGCTGCGTTGATCTCTGTAACCTGCTCACATGTTTTCAAAATAAACACCTGCTTGATTATTTGCTTGTCTAAGCGCACATGGACTGAGATCCATGATGTCCGCAGAGGCAAGCATTGGGGGAGATTTGCCAAGCTGCTCATTCTCAATAAGCTGGCATAGGCGAATATATGCATGCAGATGCTTGAGTGGATTTACCTTGGCATCATAGTATCGGCTGTCTTTGGCGAATCTGTACTTGGCATCATAGCCATTAAGGACTGGTGCCAGCTTGTTGTAGATTGCAAGCACTAGTGGGGTGAGCACACTGAGATCAGGGTGCCTAGAGGCAACTGCCTGGCGGAGCTTCTGTGCAGGTATATAAACATACACTTGACATGCATTATTGAACTCAGCCTTGGACACATTGTCCATTGTACTGTGCAGTGTGTTTTTGCGGCTGCGAATATCAATCAATTTGGCTAGAATCCGCTGTAGGCAAGTGCCATAGTGCAACACAATGTTGTTCTTGTATGCTGTCATCACCTTGGTATCCACATATGTCGCTACCTGATTCATTTCACATACACCATATAGCTCGATATCGCCATTATGTAATAGATAATCATAAATATGGTATCTAACCACATCACAGAAATCTGCGCTCGACAGTTCTGACCTGTCCTTCCGGTTGACGAAATCCTCGGCAGATATGACAGTCTTCGCCTTCAGATTGTAGTAAATGAATAAATAAATTGAACGAAAGAATCCCTTTTTCACAAATGTTGCAGGGTCAAAGGCATCATTGTCTGCTAGCTGATGGAGTAATATCCATCGTGCAAGCAAGTATGTATGCTCTTTGATGATATTGACGCTGTGTACAAATTGCTCTAGGCGGGGCAACATAGAATCACGGAAGCCAATACCACCAAGTGATGTCTTTATGACAGTAGTGCTGCGAGTAATATTCATTTGAGAAATTCAATAGGCAGTAAGAAGAGAAATGATGCTGTTCAGTTTTGCCTTATTGCGTATGCATAGCATTAAGAACTTTTTATTAAAAATGATCTGGCTTGCATGGTTCTTGGGGTCCTTAGCACTGATACAGACTCTTGAATAAGTCTATACAGACTGGATCCATTGTGGCCCAAATACCACTGCTTACGCATGTTCATGAGACAAATTAATTTATAAAATAAATCTATAAATATTGTATGACTACTAGAAGAGCTATATGGCCTTATTCAATAGGTGCTCATAAATAAATATCCTAAGAGTATTGCGCAGCCAGTGATGACCACCATGATGACGCCATGGAGGTTATCAGGCCGACCGACAATGAGAGCAGCTCTTGCGCTGAACTAATGGAGATAAGGTAAAGATAAAAGATATTCTAAAGTTCAGTCTCATTTGTACTGTCGTTGCAATGGGTCTTATGCATCTTCGAATGGAAGTCGACACTGCTTATCCAGCTGATAGTCAGCACACAGTAATTTTCCCAATGTAAGCATCTACATTTTTGCATGTCACATGCATACCACATGCGCTGCACATGTGTCACCGTGTCAGGATTCTCCGTTCACAGCCAGTAGTGAATGTCGAACACACATTACACTTGGAACGCATATATTTGCATAATGAACAGCATAAAGAGAGGTGCTATAAAGTAGTATGCGAACCGCCAGGAAAACGTGTGGCAGGAAAGGATAAACAATATACATGAAGAGCGCACACTATTTTTGGATCGTCTCACTCGGGGATATGAATGGTGACGTTTCTTCCCATCTTGAACTGGCACTCGGGACAGATGTGGACCTTGCGCTTGAACATCTTGAGCTGCAGGGGCAGCGCAGCCAGCGGATACGCAGCAGCAGGTGCATTAACAGCGACCACGACTGCGGCGGCAGCTGCAGTTGCGACGATGCTTGTGGTGCCAATTTCGCGGGAAATACGTGTGCGCACCTGGCGCTTGCATTTTGGGCAGCGCACGTACGCCGGATTCGTGTTGACCTGGGCATAGGCACCCTGTGGCAGCGACCGCGCGCCGCGCGCGCCGCGATTAAACACAGCGTTCGGGTCGTCGACAACGCTGACTGCCGACGGACACACCCTGTTGTCGATGTCGGTGCAGATTTGCGTGATCAGACCGACCAGGCCGTGGCGGTTGTTGGCAAAATTCCAGGCTGCCGGGATGAACGCAGTCGACTGCGAGTACCGGTTGTAGTTGCCATGGCGGTTGTCGCGGCGCTGGCTGGCGGGGGGCTGCGCGCCGGTATGCAGCTGCACGGCCATTTCATCATAGCTTGCTGCCTCACCGCGCACCCCGGGGCTGCTGTCGGCGTGACCCGCATTATCATGCCTACTGTGTCCATTGTGGTTCTGGTCCTCGCGCGATTGCCTGTCGCTTCGATGCTTGCGCCTGTGCTCAGTTCCCGAACTCCTACTGCGGTGGCGCTGCTCTTTGTCTGCATGGCTGCTCTGGTGGCTGCGAGACGACGAATGCTTTTCCTTGGATTGGCTGCTGCGATGCTGCTGGCTGTCGCTGTGACGGGGACTCGAGTGCTCATCTCTGCGTTGGCGGCTCGACTGACCCTCGTTGTGGCGGCGACTCGAGTGTCCCTCTCCATGGCGGCTACCTGAGCGATGCTTATGCTCAGAGCCCGCACTAGGGTATTGGGTGTCAGGAGTATACCCGTGGCTGAAAGTGTTGGCGGAGTACGCGTTTTCCCCGTAGCGGGCTTCAGGGGGATACTCGGTTTGGTATCTGTAGTTGGCAGTGGCCATCGTGTGTCAAATGTGTCTGGTAGGCTTTAGGGCGCTTGGCATATAACGTATTTGCAAAGGCTTTCGGTTTAAAAATAAGACGAGAGAATAAACTGGGATGAGTGTGGATTCAGAGACAGAGAATAGGGCGCTCTTCTTATAAAACAAAGGTGGAGAAAAGAGGGATGGAGATGGGGGCAGGGAGTGCGAAATTACAAATGGACAAGAGATTGCCAGGCGTGCATACCACTGCCTTCGCTGCGCTGTATCAAAGTTGGGGATGCCGCCCAACAAAAAGAGGATATGCGAACATGCCAGCCCAATGTATGCGGAACCACCTGCGAACAATACATAGGACCCGTGTAGTTGCGGAATTACGCCAAGAACCAAGACCATGCCACACATTGCAGTATGGATTTTTTGGACAGAGTGAACGAGACCCGAGTCCCAGGTTCGAGTACCTGATACTGCGATGGCACCGGGGCAATTGGGAACCACATGATGTGCTGCCAGTTCCCTTTTCAATACCCACCAACAGTACACCTGACGTGCATCGGGACGATCCGCTAGCATCTTCGGGATGGGCCGCGGCCACCATGACACTCTATTCCAATATGGTGCCATGCACATCCTGTCAAATTTGAAGTTTATTATCCGAAAGGACAGGAGCTGTCTTTGCGCTGCGCGTTCAGGCATGCGCTCAAAAGGCAGATCTCATACACGCCTGCATGACTTTTTTTGGCATATTCAGCCCCCGCACATGCGCTAGTATTGACGCAGCTACAGCGCCCCCCATCTAGTCTTGCGGTGTGTCGGCCATATCGTCATCCTGCTGGCTCGACGCATCGCCCTCCTGCTTGGCTCGAATATGGCCCCACCCACCTCTCCCCTCGTCATACTCCTGCCGGTACTCGTCTCTCACCTGGCCGCCCGACTTGCCGCGTCCAAACTGCCTTCCTTCCTTGAATCCGGGATCCAAATCCGTCCGGATAACCCGGTCGTCGAGCTTGGTTCCGTTCACGTACTTCATGCACTCGAGCGCGCTCTCGTGAGTGTAGTACTCGACAAAGCAGAACCCGCACGGCGTCTTCTGGTGCCGGTCCAAGCCCATGATGATGCGCTTCACCTCGCCCGCCTTGGAAAATATCTCATAAAGCTGCTCCTCCGTGGTGTAGAACGAGAGGTTGCCGACGTACAGGGTCGACGACTTTTGCAGATCGGTTTGCCACTGCGACTGGGTGCCCTGGTATTGGTGGTCCTTGTAGGTCGACGGGCGGTCGAGGCGGGGGACAATCGTGAATGTCTCGGTCTCCGGCTGCAGGGCTGTTGCTGATGGCTGTGACCATGGTTTTTGAAGCTGTGGGGTGGGTATATATTGGCAATGCACGGCATAACGGCTTTTAGCAGCAAAAGTTGAAATACTTTGTATCACGCGTGGCCGGATTATGGGCCTGCTTTCGCCTGCCATGGGGCAGGAGGGGTTTAGTACCCAAAGACCTGGCACAGGTTCCGCACCGTTCGCACATGCACCAGCGGAATTCATGGTTGGCTGGGCACCATGCATTGCGCATGTGCCGGAAAGACAACAAAAAAGGAATGCCCTTCAGAACCCGGTGGCATGCGATGCTATGTCTGAAAGGAGGGTGAGGGATATTTGTTTGAGATATAGAAAGAATTGAAAAGAGGTAAAAGGCTGTCTGGAAGAAAGCATGGGTTATGTATCACAAATAGGGGAGGGAGAGATAGTATAGAAAGAGAAGGGGACAGAGGAGGGCAGACAGCAGGTGGTTGAGAGGAAAAGAGACTGCTTGCTCGACGATAGTGATGAGAAGATGGTGTGTGCATCTCTCGCTTCCCTGCGCACCACAGGAGAGATTGGCGGAGGTAGGGAAAGGAAGTCGTATCGTATCGTGAAACATGGGAATGTAGAGAGGGGCTTGGTGCGAAGAGAGCGAGAGAGGCACTGCGCACACAAAGTGCAGGTTTGTGCACCAAGCAAGTCGAGCAAGCCGTGGAGAGCACGTTTTAAAGGGGGTGTTTTTACTTGTGTAAACAGAAATGCCCGACATCCATCGGCAGCGACCTCTCTTCCCTCGCTGGCCTGCGGTTTGGTCCTTGCTGGCTTCCTTCTGCTCTTAGACGCTGCTTGACGAGCAGCAGCCAAACGCCGACTTGATCTTAAACATGAAGCCGTGCTTCTCGTTCGACTCGTGGTGGCGGAGGCCGGTGCCCTGCGCGTTCATCACCGCAGCGTCAGTCGAATGGTGGTTGAGTCCGTTGCCGGCCTTGCCAGCCTGCTGCGCGTATCCGCCATTGCCAAGCTTCTGGTAGTCGGTGGGCTTGGCCTCGGCAGCCGGGGTGGTGTTGTTGACCTGGTCGCGCGACACCTTGCCAGGGGTCGGCGTGGCCGACTGGTCCAGGTTGGGAGTCGACTGGACGCGGCCGTTGGGGTCAAAGCTGTGCATGGCCTGATTCGACACGTGGTTCTGGTTCTGGGCCTTATAGGCGCCGGATATGCGCCCGCCGCGGTGGCCGCCGCCCTCCTGGCGCGCAGCCGACACCGCAGCCGAGCTGGCAGCGTAGCCGTAGCCGTTGTTCAGCAGCATCCAGTCGTAGACGCCGTCGTCGGTCTCGCCCATGTTGGTGATCACGCTGTCAAACAGACCGCGCAGGTAGTTGTAGTCAGGGGTCTCCTCAAAGGCATATTTCCGGACCGTCGACAGATATGTGGCGAACTCTTGTGGATACCCCTCGCACAGGTCGCGCACCGGCGTGTGTTGCTTGCGCTCGCCAATCTTCTCGTACTTTTGCTTGTTGGTGGCGGCCTTCAGGCCCTGCCACGGCAGGCTGCCGCGCAAAAAGTACATGAACACGTGGCCCAGGGCCTCCAGGTCGTCGCGCCGCGACTGCTCGCGGCCCAGGTGGGTGTTGATGCTCATGTAGCGCGCGGTGCCGCTCAGGCTCTTCCGCTCCCTGTAGGGGATGTGCTGGTGTGTGCGTGGGTCACGGTACTGCTTAGCCATGCCAAAGTCAACCATGAACACCTTGTTCGCCGTCGATGTGTGCGGCCGGCCGATCAAAAAGTTGTCGGGCTTGATGTCGCGGTAGATGAGGTTGTGCTCGTGCACAGCCTGGATGCGTGTCAGCATGTTCTTGGCCAGCATCGCCACAGTCTTTGCCGAGAAGCGCCGCCTGCACATGTCAAACAGATCCTCGAGGCTAGGGCCCAGCAGATCGATGCAGAGCACGTTGTACAGGCCCTCCTGGCCAAAGTAGTAGACATTGGGGATGCCATCTACAATACAATGGGGTTTAGTGGTAAAAATGCGTGCATGTCGCATAGGTAACTGCTGGTGCCAAATGGTCTTACAAGCTTTACATACCTGTGCCAGACAGAATCCGGTAGCTACGATACTCGTCGCGGAGCTGGGGCGCCTCGCTCTTTCGCGGTTCCTACAGACAAGCACGGTGTTAGCTAAAGCTGAAACAAAGGGGAGCATTCGTTTGGGCGATGACGCAGCCGCGATAGGCTGGAAGAGGACAAATCAGTAGTAGCAATGCCAATGATGCGTGTGGGGGAGTGGGCATTGAGATAGTGGTGTGTGGGGGGTGGGGTTGGCAGTCGCCGCCATTCGCTACGGGTCATGTCTCCACCACCGTGCAAGCACCGCACATCGCAGACCCGACGTGAGAGGAGGGACCACATGGGCAAGAGAGAGAGCGAGAGGGCCGATGCAATTAATGAAAGCCGCCGCCGCCGCCACCTGGCTGTCTTTTGTCTACTGAAATCAGTAGCAATAAAAAGAAGGCGGCCAAGAATCAGACAAAGCACATGCAAAAAAGAGCCAGCGACAGAGGAACAAACTCGCTCAATGCAACCGCATCCTGGGAGGAAAACTCTTTGACACCCAGGGCGCCACCGGGCATTTTGCATGAGCCGTTCCTGTCCTGCTCACAGTGGAAGCATAAACAACCACAACAACGACAACACGGCCCAGGATATAAGAATAAAAATTGACGCAGTAAGGGTACTTACGAACTTGATAGCCACCGGCCTGTTGTCGAGAAGGTTGGTGCCTAGGTACAATTTTGTTGGGTTAGTTGCTTGGTGCTCTGCGTTTTTCCCATGGGAGGAGTGGTTCTGTCGAGAGGGGCCCTACCTTCGTAAATAACACCAAAGCTTCCCTCGCCGACCCGCTTGCCGACGCGGTAATGGACGCCAACCACATTGGGGCTGGCATGCTGGAGCTGATTGCGACGGGTCACCATTCTCTTGTCGTTGGCACCAGGCTGAGCACGATACTTTGAGGCCGGGGTTCGCTTGCTGCATTCCGCTGGGAGAAACTAGAGATGACAAAGTGTGACGTGAAAAGCTGGGCTACTCTTTGCTCACGGAAAAAGTCCCTTTCAAACGAGCTTTGCAGCGCTTGGGCGAGGCTTTAGTAGAATGGAATTTTGTGTCGGGAAAATGAGAGGGAGAAAAAGAGGGGTGGAGGAAAGGGGGCGGAGGAGACACGGAAAGTTTCTCTTTGCTAAGCTCTCTGGCCTAATTGTTCTTCCGAATGGCCCGTGGTGGTTGGAATGGAGAAAAATAAGAGTATAGTATGAAAAGTATTCAGGAGCTAGTCGAAGGGAAAAGAGAGAGCAGGCGCCGGCCAGTGCCTTTGAGGGTTTTTGCTTAGTGAATAATAAAAGTGGAAGTGTTTGGGAAAATCGCCCAATTTTTCCTTGGGCGCCAGGCGTGCAAGGACAGGAGTAGTTAAAAATAATAACATGGCCCCTGGCTGGTGCTTGCCGTGTGCATGCCACCCACTGGCTCGCGCGCGCTTTGGGGGCAGGTGGGCTTTGTCAACACCCGGCCCCTCCCTTCCCCACCAGCCCTCTCTCCACAGCCCACGCCATGCCCGCAAGAAGAGACATGGGCCACATGGCGAAGGCTGACACACCTCCTATCTCCTCCCTGCAAGTAGTGCATGTTCGCCCAAGCAGAGGACTGTGACACAAGATCATCATTCCATGGCGGAACCTTTCTGCTGTAATCCCGGAGGACGGGGCATTTTTCCAGCTTGCAATCAGCGAAACGTCGAATATTTATAGCGGACCCGCCGATCTCGCATCGTTATCAGCTCACTCAAACGGAGCCAACTTTGAAGCCAGTCTCGCGCTGCGCGGGCTTGGGCAATCGCAGCAGCGACACAAGCGACCCAGCCCGGGGTGATGTGCGTGGCCAGTGACGTACCGCGCCTTCCATCTACATGCATATACATACACATCCAGCGGTGCGGGGGAGGGCGAGTGATCTCTGCCGCAACACGCCCGCAGTCTGTTTGGCCGTGCTCCCGGTGATGTTTATTCGCCTATACTATTCACTAGAAATTGCTGGGCTGTGCTACTCCTGATCGTACTGGCTGTTGACCGAGTGGATCCTCAGCGATCCGCTCTCGCCACCCGTCAACAACAGCTCGTTGTGCCAATCGATCGCCAGCAGCTTCTTGCCCTTGTCCTTGGCGTCGGTGGCCGCCACCGTATACAGGGGAGTGCGGCTGCGGATGTCCCACACCTTCACTGTGCCGTCATGCGAGGCGCTGGCCAGCATATACGCCGACTTGGGCGCCCAGGCGACGCCCGACACAAACCCCTTGTGGCTCGTCAGCTTCAGCTTCACCACGGTGCTGTCGTCAGACCGCGGATCCCACAGCCGCAGCGAGCGGTCCGCATGGCCCGTGGCGACAAGCTTCGAGTGCGCCGAGTAGTCCAGATCAAGCACCACCTTATCGCACAGATTTGTCGACAGGTTGACGCCCGACGCGACGTCCCAGGCGCGCACCGAGTGGTCCCAGCCGCCCGAGAACACCTGCGACTCCTGGTCCTTGTTGAAGCACACGCATGTGACCCCGCCAACATGCCCCGCCAGCGTGCCGATGGCCGCCTTCGTCACCACCTCGCCCATCCGGCTGCCCTTGCGCTTCTTTGCCTGCGGCTGCTCGCCGACCTGCTCTGACTCCTTCGGCACCGCCAGGCTCCAGAACCGGATTGTTGCGTCTGCCGACGCCGTCACAAAGTGCGTGCCCGACGGGTTCACCACCACGCCCTCCACGCTGTCGGTGTGCCCACGCGCCGCATAACAGTGCCCGCTTCTGCCCGTTCTTGTTGCCCCACGCAATTGCTGTGCGGTCCTGAGAGCCCGACAGGAACTCAACCTTGTGCCCATCCACCGCCTGCACACACTTGACCGCAGAGTCATGCACCTTCAGCTCCTGCTCGCACTCGCTCTGCGCATTCCACACCCGCACCACGCCGTCATACGAGCCGACGACGAACCTTGACGAACTCGAGGCCGATACCGAGCTGATCCAGTCGTCGTGGCTGTACGAGGCGATCTCTGTCGGCGGCAGCATCGACTCCACATACTCGAGCGTCAGGATGTTCTCTGCCGACAGGCTGTGCTCCTCCAGGTACGACGCAATGGTGCCGCGCAGGAACTGTCCGTCGGCCAGGAAATCAAACGGCACCCGCTTCTCGTTCCCGAGAAGGTGGTTCACGATCTCTGACAGCCCATACCGCTGCACACTCTGCGGCACCATCATCGGGGCGTCCGAAACCGCATATTTTTCCTGCTTGGCTACCAGCCGAATCTGAATTTGTGCCGCGTCGCCGTCCATTTCTGCAATTTCTATATACTGTTTGTGAAGGGAAATAGAACAACCTGCATTTTTTTTCTTTGCTAGCAGCCGATCTGCCGAAAAAAAAACGAGAGAAAAAATAGCTGATCTGGATTTGGTGATCAGACTGCAATTACCATATATGCCATCGACATGCCGTTGACATTTGGAACTGATACCGACGGCCGTGTGGGCACGCAACAGCGCCTGCGCCGGTTCAGGCTTATATGAGATGACTGTGAAGAAGCGCCGATTGTGCTCCATGTGGAGCCCATTGGACACGCTTATATTTTCTGCGCACTACCCAGGGGTCCGGATGAACAACCGCCCCCGTGTGTCTCGTGAACCCTAAAACTAGCACTCCGCCTCCCAGGAGGACAGCACCTGTCGGCCACATTTTAACCAGAGAAATTGTTAATATACCCGCCATATGCGCTAGAAACACCTGAAAACTATAGACCCTATTCCGCGTGCCGCCCGACCAGAAAATTACCTTGACCACATATTGCCCTTCCAGAGCACCACACCAGTTCCCCTCCTTTCTTATCTGCATTCGACACTTGCATTTTTATCCTGCGCACATCTCCTGGCAGGAAAGGAGAGACACTACATCTTCTATCTCTGAAAGAATGACTGGCCGCAGCTCACACCACAAACAAGACTCGTTCTCAGCGCAGCGAGTTTTCCGATCTGTTCACTTTTGACAGCAGCGGACACCCGCGCCGCTCCCGCAGCCGCGTGCACAAGTCTCCTCCCACGGGCCGTCCAACGCGTCCACTGCCTGTGCACTCGCTCGACAGCTACCACGACATGGGTCCACGCCGCGGCCTCAGCACCAACCACCGCCGCTCTCCCGACAGCTACAAGCCGCGGCCCCCCGGGCTCCGCGACCACCACAGCCGCTCGGGCTCGGGGTCCCGCCGCAGTCGCATCTCCCCCTGCATGCCGCCTATGAGCCCAAAGCGGCCGAACGAGAAGCAGATGCCGCCGCCATACGACGCTGCATACCATCCTCATGGAAGATGATCTGGACGAGGAGTTCGAGGATGCACTGCGCAAACGGCGCATCAAGCGGATCGTCGTGTATGTCATGTATGCAGTTCTGGCAGCTCCTTGTGATACTGGGCTGCTCGCTGACAGGATACTTCTTGAACCCCCGCACGCCCACTATCGCCCTGCATAACGTGTCGTCCCAGGAAATGTCCGAGAAGAAGTTCAAACTGCTGGGATCCAAACTGCAGTTCCACATTGACCTCACCTATCGCGTCCAAAACGACAACTACTTTGATATGTACATTGACGACATCAGCTCCGCCGTATTCTGGCCAGACACGAAATTCGCCCTCGGCGGCGGTCGCCTCAGCGGCATTAGGGTGCCCGCCAGACGGATCGCCGAGATCAGTATGCCGATTACCATCCGGTACGACGTCAAGCGCGGCCCGCCACCCATTCTTCTGGGCCTGGTTGAGAGCTGCGGACTGCACGATGCTGGCATTGGCGAGATGAACCTGGAGGTCGAGCTGCAGTCAGACTACCGCACAAAGATGAAGCAGTCGGCACTCAACACCGGCAGACAGATCGTCACGGTAAAATGCCCGGTGCGCCATCTGGCCAACCTGCAGATCGGTGACGGAACGTCGGGCAACGTCGGCGACATTGTTCGCACCCTAAACGCTTAGCCAGGCAGAGGAGAGGAGCGTGGGGCAAATGATTGCGTGCTTTATTCTTCTACTTTGTTTGGTCGCTGGGCCTCAGCCGCCGTTTCGACGTCTCAACTTTTTTTTTATATTTTCTAGCTTTCTTGGGTTCCCAAATTCCCTACTTTTGCTCTTCCTTTCCCCTCAATTAAATTTTATTACACACAGCTACCAATTCCAACCTGTAAATGAACGTAATAGACCTGACCTTTGAGGACGAGGGCGATAGCACCGCCACCCATAGCGCCGGGGCGGAAACACACGACCTTACACGCGAGCCTTCGGAACCCCCTGTCGACCTCCATACCAGCGACAGACGACCTGTACGAGGGCTCAAACGGAAGCGGCAGAGCAATGCAGTAGAAGTGATCAGTCTCGACGACAGCCAGTCGCAGCTAGAGTGTGTTGTTGAGCTAACAGACTCACCGGTCCATGTCCCTGACAGTCCGGCGCCAACCGGCGATGCGCCAGAAAGAATGCAGCATACACCGACGAAGCTGCGCAGGGCAAAGAGACCCAGACCAGACACTGCAGCGGTAGGTATACAGGCACACAGGGCAAATTCAAAATGCAACTACCACAGGCTAAACGTGTTCTTTCTATATTTGCTGCTTATTGTGATAGACGGTGGGGTTGCCGCAGCCACAGTCCCACCAACCGGCTAGGACAATCACACCCAGACTACAGAGCGTCTATATGACACACACCAGCACAACATCGCCCGGATTCGCCCCTTACTCAGCCAGCCCGTCACAGATCCGACCACGGTCACCACAACCGCCTGTTTCGCTGCAGCCATACTCGAACAGCACAAGCCGAACAGCATCGCGGCCGCATACTACCCTGCCGCAACTAGCCATATTCCAACAACCAGTCACCATCAACACCTAGACAGAACACACCTCGACCACCTGAGACATCGCGGCTGTGCATGCTGGGACAATTGCGTGCCGTAGCCATGATATCGAGCACTTCAATCTACTTCCGCGAAGGCGTGCAAATGAGCATTCCTATCGTGCTGCAGATGCACCCAGGGACATCGCAGGAAGTTGATCTCTTCGACAAGCATGGCAGCCTGGTCGGCACCCTGGAAGCAGCTGTGGCCCGTACAGTGTATATACTACTGAAGGACGACCTGCTCAAGGTCACTGGCGTTATGCAGGGCCCACTAAAGCACAAGGTGGTGGCAGGCATCGTCCTGTCGTTCTACGTGGTTCAGAGCTTGGCCCGCGACATCATTGAGGCACTCGAAAAGTCCAACATCTACCTCGACCAGTCATCAGACGAAGCACAGCGCTTGTTGAGAGAGCTTGACGCGCAATGCAATCCCGGTTACGCAGCATCTAAACTATCGCTACAGCGACCCGATGTACGCGGAAGATGGACTAATGGCTGACCGCAACAACTCTGACGTGTCCATGCCGAGCGTGTTTGCCGATATGGGCCTGCACCCGATCCGGGTAGATGGCAGCATGGGCACAGGCTACTCGGACATCTACCAGCGGTACAGAGACCGGATGCGTCGGCCAGGTGGCGGCGGCCCCAGCCTACCGGCCAACCTGCGCGTCGAACGGCCCGGCGGTGGCACTGATGGAGACCCAAAGGTGCGGCTGCGCAATATCAAATCGACATTTGTCACACTGCTGGATCTGCCAGAGAGCACTCAGCCACGCCAGGTCCTGACGCTGTTGAAGCGCCACCAGAAGCAAGCACTCTATTTCATGGAGCACCGCGAAACCCACGGCGTTGATATCGGGTCACTGGAGCCTGCACCTGCAGAAAAGCACAAGTTCCCCAAGCTCTGGATGCCGATCGCCGGGACATTGGAGAGAACCGGACAGCAGCACTATAAGAACGTGCTGACGCATATCAAGTGTCTGGAGATGCCCAAGTCGGTGCTTGGCGGCATCCTGGCCGACGATATGGGCCTTGGAAAGACGCTTTCGATTATCTCCCTGGTTCTCAAGCTGCCAAGCCAGCTGAAGCGGTGCCACCGCATGAAGTTCATTGACGATGGTGGCAGTCAGACACAGACGTCGAGTAGCGGAATGAGCAGACGGAAGCGGCAACGGCAGCGTGGTCGTGCTAGGATTGCAGGTGGGCGATCGGCGAAGCAACAGAGAGCCATACGATCGGCCAAAGGCAAGGAGCCCGATCGCGGCGAAGGCGACGGGAATGACAGCGACGATTTCTTGAGCATGGATGGACCGACCCTGGCAGGCCGTGGGCAAAGTTACGACCTGCTATCGGATTCCGAGGAAGAGGGCTTTGTTGCTGACCCCCTGCTGCTGCCACCGCGCAAATCTGGCCTCATAAACCACAATGCTGGCTCAAGCTCCGACGCAGGCGGCTCGTCCGATCTCTCTGACATACCGACACCCGACGCAGACTTTGATTACCGCGACGACATTAGCTCGTTTAGCGAGTCGCCTAATGAGGATCCGGATTCGGACTCGGGCAGCGACAGCGACCTGTCTGTGAATCGCCCGATGACACCGCCGCCAGAGTACGAGAACATGATGACCAAGAAGAAGGAGCAGTGCGAGCGCACATTTGACGAGAACTACCACGGCCGGTACGCAGGTGGCACGCTGATTGTCTGCCCGCTGTCCACCATGGCCAACTGGGAGGAGCAGCTAGCCCTGCATGTTCTGCCAGGAAACTTGCGTGTGCTGTCCTACCACGGCAGCAGGCGGGTGCGCAATCCCAAAGCGTCTGTGTCAGTACGATATTGTCCTGACTACCTACGATGTTTTGCGCAGTGAGTACACCACGGAGACCAAACAAATGGTTGCCGTGACCACTGACGACGACCCGCAAGCATCACGGGTGTTTGATGACAGCACAAGTGAGGAGACTGACACGCAGTGGTACCAAATCCCCGAAACCCCCTATGTCTCTCCCCTGCAGGCTGTGCACTGGCACCGTGTAGTGCTCGACGAGGCTCATACCATCAAAGAGCGCCGTACAGCAACCAGCCATTCGGCACATGCCCTATCCGCCGACCGTCCGATGGTGCCTTACCGGCACACCAATCCAGAACCGCCTCGACGACCTCTACAGTCAACTGCGCTTTTTGCGTGTTGTCCCGTTCAACAACTGGAAGGTGTGGCTCACGTATGTTGGCGCCCCGTTCCACGAGAACCTGCGGCAGCTGTCTGGAGACGGACTCGAGAATTTTGAGGAAGGGAACATCGGTGCCAACCGGGTGCAGCGGTTGATGCAAGCATTGTGCTTGCGTAGGATGAAGCAGCAATACGACACTAAGACGCAGAAAACTATGGTCGAGCTGCCCCCCAAGTTTGAGGTCATCCGGTGGCTTGACCTGGCCGACGGGGAACGGCGGCTGTATAATATGGCTGAAGACGTCGCCAAGAACAAGTACCAGGCGATGGCGAGCTCGGGCACGCTGCTGAAGAACTATATCCATATTCTCAAAATCATCCTTGCGTCTACGCCAACTGTGCACACACCCGAGGCTGTGGTCGGAAGATAAGTGGAAGGAAGCCAAGGTCCTAGCCGTCGATACGGCCATTGATACACAGGAGCAAACGCAAGTGCAAAGCCAGCAGTCGAGCCAGTCCTGCGGCACAGCCCGAGCAGCAGCCCAAGGATGAGAAGCCGGTAGCAAAGAAAGAGGAGAAGCCAGCCAAGGCTGAGGCCAAACCAGAACTCGACAGTATCAGCACCCGCGTTCTGTCGCACCGCACCAACGTTAACCGTCGGCAAGCAGCGCAACTATGGATCTCACGCCAGCGCTCACAAGGATACATGGTCAGATGCGATTACTGCCGGGAGCTTGCACTGCCGCCAACATTCGCCATGTCATCGCACTCGCGCTTTGCTCCAACTGACTACCCAGGCCCAGCAATCACAAGATGCATGCACCTGGCGTGTTCCCAATGCCAGCATGTGCTGCTGGGCGCTGTGCCAACGAACCCAGAGCAGGAGGCGATCTGTCACAGCAGCGACGGCGACTCCCTAATCGAGTGTATGCTGTGCGATGGCATGCTGGGTATGCGTGATATCCTGCATCTGCCTACGTCGTTTATACAGCAGAGCCAGCGCATGATATCCAGTGGCAGCTCGCAGCCTGCTTCAGCCGCCGTGCCGCCGCCGAGGAATGAACCGGCACAAGAGGAGCGGCAGGATACAGAGCAGCAGGATGAGATTACGCGGCTGTGCAGCGAGTATGATACCAGCACAAAGATTCTTGCACTGATTAGCGATCCTGGAAAAGATCCGCAACCACAGCTGGATCTCGGACCCAGACTTCCGGGTGGACCAAGGCCACTCGATGGTAGTTGAGCGCGTAGCTGAGCTAGCCGAGTCGCCTGAAACTGCCGAGAAATCTGTTGTTTTTTCGCAGTGGACGGCCATGCTGAACCTGATCGAGCCCCAGCTCAAGCGGAACAACATCCGTTTTGCTCGCCTCGACGGCACCATGTCGCGCATGCAGCGCACAGCAAATCTTGCCAAATTCAAGAACGACCCCGGCGTACGAGTCCTCTTGGTCTCACTGAAGGCAGGCGGCGTTGGACTGAACCTCGCGTACGCCACGCACGTCTTCGTGATGGATGCGTTTTGGAATCCGAGTGTCGAACACCAGGCTATTGACCGAGTACATAGACTCGGCCAGACCAAGCCGGTGTCTGTTACGCGGTATTTTGTCAGAGACAGCATCGAGGAGAAGATTCTGAAACTGCAGCAGCGCAAGGGCAAGATTGTCGATATCTCGCTGATGGACAAGGAGAGGGCACAGAACCCTGATTCTTTGCTGGTCGGCTGAGAACGAGAATGAGGAAGAGCTGAATATCGGAACCGGTGCTCATTCGCGTCAGCAGCGGCTGGATGATCTAAGCATGCTGTTTGGGTGATACACGTTCTGCTATCAACATCCCAATGTAGTCATATGCCAATTACCGGTGTCCGAACAAACGCTTCCACTGCGTATTCTCACTGATGGACAGTGGTAGCCGGTCGAAAGGGCTCTGGTAGGGATAGAGAGCAGTCCTGCCTTGCATGGCAACAAGAGAGACATCAACGACCGCCTTCGAACCTATCTCCTCTTCTCTTATTCTCAAAGTACAAACGTCCTTTTAAAAGCCAAAGCACACAACCCCAGAAACCTACACCCTGAACCATAGTGTACGCGCATACATGGATGTTTGTGAACAATCAGCAACATGATATATAGATCCACCATCTTGCAGTATTACGTGTGGGGTTAGAAGGTGACATCGAGAGGATCGACTAGCATGTCAAGGAGAGTAGCTAGCAAACGAACTATCTCCCAACCCTCAACAGACTACATCACTTTCAAAGCTCAGTGAGGTTCTGAAGCATGGCTCAAGAAGCGGGTTTCCGCAGCCGGAAATATCCCAGTATGCGCGTTCATGACAGCATAAGCAGCCCCTTCAGCAGTAAACTCGAGCCATGACGTGCATATATGCTGTTCGATACCCTACGTATTGGCACATTCGTACAATATAATAACATATCGACACAACGCATAGTACGATGATTTCAACGTCCTTGTTGTTTCCAAAAAGAAAGCTTTTTATACCCTAGTACACCAATTTAGATGTTCGAGGGGTACATCATGACGCGGACCGAGACACCCATGGCGCGCGGGGGCAGGTTGTGGCGGAACTTGGCGCGGACCATGCCCGAGTTACCGTGGGAGCGGGTAACACGACCCCAGATGCAGCGGACGTGCGAGCCGTTCTTGGCGGTCGGGGCGCGGTAGACGAAAGCGACGCGCTTGCCGAGGTAGAACGAGGTGTCCTCCTTGACGGCGACGTTCTCAATCTGGAGGAGAGCGGTGCCCTCGTTCTGGCTGCGCTTACCGCGCTGGAATCCAAGGAACTTGCCCTTAGCGTAGAGACTACAGTATGAAAGGAGAATGCGTGCCAATTTAGAAAGTGTCCGATAGACTGCCTCTGCGCAGCGCCGTTTTCGAGGTCCCGCTGTCACGGCACGGCTCAGAATAACGCTCTCTCGCTGAGCTCGAATCCCAGGGTCTCAGCCTCATTCCGGCCAGCGCATTCCATCTCGCGCTTGGTTTACTCGAGGGAACTGCGAATTCCTTCCCCCAACAAATTCGAATTCTCTCCCTCGAGAACCTGGAAATTCGAGTCCGCTGGAAAATATTATCCTCTGCTCTCGACCGGATCCATTGCCCCTCGAGCATCCATCGTCTGTCTGAACGCGCGAGACTTACCGAGTGTTCTGCATGTTTATTCCTAGCGTCAAATGGAGATATGGAAAAAGATGGAACGTATAGTTTCACTGCCAATGGATTTGACAAAACAGCCAGATCACTTCAAGACCCATTTTGAGATATTGATCCACTGATTATATCGGCAGCAGTGCTGATTGGTCTGTGTGATTATATCATAGCGCTGGCGTAATCAAGGCGGGCGTTGAAAACGAAATGTGCAAATAAGCAGGCTGTGGCTAAAGCGTCGGACACATTGCTGCATCTGCTACACATGTTGAGGGACTTGGCATGTAGTCTTGGAGGGCCCACGCTGTATAGAGTAGTTGGGTTTTAATGGCAATGTTGAGCAAAGCGCAAACTGGATACAGATGTGCTGCACTATTCTTTCCCTTAGCGTAACAAAGAGGACAACAAATGCTTTCTTCAGTTTACAATTCTCTTTCGCACCGACTGTATGAAACCAGTACCGACTTAGTACTCGACTCGCATCACCAGCCAGGCGTTTTCGGCAACAGCCCTGTCTTTTTGGCTAGCAACCAACACATGTGCGACAAATAGCAGCACTATATTGAGGAAAAGAACCGAATCATAAAAGCACAGTTATGAGAGTCTAGAGGGAGAGCCTATCCACGCCTTCATTGCTTGAAGTAGTTCTCAGGATCGTCCATAGCGCCAATGTATGTCGGCGCCTCGGATGGGGATGAGTGGCCGGTGTGCGCCTGCTGGGCAAACACATACTTTGAGCGCGACCAGCGCCACCTCTCTTCGTCATTGCGCATAACCAGCACAACCATGCCAGACAGCATCGCACCCATGTCGATGATGACAAAAGAGAACAGACAAGTATACACATACGACAGGTAGTCCTGGGCATACGACTGCACGACCCGCATGCATCCGTATGAGTCTTCGTCGCAGCTCTTGGAGGCCAGCACGGGGCTGTCTTGTGGACCCAAGTACCCGCAGCAGCTGCCGTTGTCCTGGAACACCTGCTTGACCGAGTCCGGCCACAGCATGCGCCAGTTGTATGCGTACATGTCGTTGGCGTCCAGCGTGCGGTACCACACCCAGAGGCCCACAGAAACCTCGGCCAGAATCAGGAGCACGATTGTCCAGTTGTAGAACTGCAGAAACCGCTTGCGCCGCAGTGGCGCTAGCGACCCGACAATGCCTGCCAGCGCACTGATGATGATGTAGGCGCCCACAGCATACAATGACCTTAGCACATTGTCGGTTACGATAACAACGCGCCGCGATTCGGTCGCTGTGCGGCTAAAGTACACGGGCACCACGATTGCTGCCGCGCCTGTCAAGATGTACATCGTGGTCATGATTGAGAACGCCCATTTCACGCCTCGCTGGATTTGCATAGGCCCGTTAAGATCCAAAACGCCCATCGTAAAAGAGATATGTCGTAACTGGAGAACACAAAGGAAGTAGAAAAAAGTAAATGTTGTAAGCTTCAAGGAATGAACAGGAAAAATGATAGTATGTGGGGGAGCACGAAGGAGATAATAAAGGAGACCAGCACCTTGCTTCCTCAAGAGAACGTTAAAATAGACAAAAAGCTGAATGCAAAGGAGAAAGAGATGCGAGGCGAAAGAAAAGACTGGCCCTCTTTCGCTGTCGGCCAGCGATAATAATGCAGAGGGTCCGCATGGTGGTGACAACAGGCAAACTTTTGCACCTCCTTTGAAGATTCGCGGCTCTTTCTATTTTTGTCGCAAAGCTGGATCTGCGAATAGCCCGGTGAGCCGACTTGCTGCTTTCAAACCGCGCTTTGGCTCATCCGGGAAATATGCTAGCAAGCGTCCAGACTTTCATTTACCGGCGTGGGCTTAGCCATGCGGTGCGTCCTCCCTGCAGGCAGGGGTGGCCGGCTCCCAAATACAGAAAACACAAACAAACGCTTTGTTGCAGGCTGTTGGAACAAATGTAATTGGCGAAGAAATAATACACTCATCCATACATCATCATGTCCTTGAGCTCGCTGGCCGATTTTCTGTCCTCCTCGCGCTTCTTCTCGAGCCACGACGGATCGTCGGATGGCAGCTCGTGCCGGCACATCGGACATGTGTTGTGCAACTCGAGCCACGGCTTGATGCACTCGCGGTGGAAGTAATGTTTGCATGGCAGCCGCGTCAGCTCACAGTCTTCGGCAAACTCGTCGTTGCATATCGTGCAACTTTGATCTACAGCGCATCTGGAAAGTTTAGCACAAGCATTCTCGGCAACGCCCACCTCAACAAGCGCATCGCTGCTTACCACTAGTGTCGCTAGCCTTTAGCACCGGCAGGCGTCGAATAAACTCGCGCGAAGCAGGCGGCGGGCCCGTTGCATTGGCGCTGGCCTCCTCCATCAGCTGGGTGATGATGTTGTCCAGGAACTGCTGGTGCTCGGACCCGCCCTCGTCGTTGTCGCGGAACTCGCCAAACATGCGTGCTAGGTTCAGGTACCGGTCTGGCGCCGCCATGCTGGCCACGGGCGTGTGCGGGTTGGTTGAGATGTTCATAAAGTCGTCCACTACCGAGCTCATCCACCGCCCACGCACAGCTGACCCTGCGCCCTCATCCTGGCTGTCCTCGTGCTCTTTGATTCCCAGCTCTGCTACAGCACCAAAGGCAGGAAACACAAAGGCTTTTGAGTGGTGGCATACTGCCCTCCGCATATATACCGTCGAGTGTTGGGAAATACGTACAGTAGTAGGATGCCATGGTGTCGGACTACAATGTTTGCTAATAGGATTGCGTCGAATTTCAAGCAGGGAGGTCCTGAATTGTTTTATTGTCGGGAAAAGTAGAGCAGAAAAGAGAGAAAAGTCTGGGCGTACAAGCACTCGCGTGTGCAAATAAACTCGCATTGTTGGTGGTGGCGTCCTCTGGCAAGTGCTGACGTATGTCTCACCTCGCCAGGTGCAGACTCCGACTGCTAGCGACTTGATTTGTGGAGCTCCGCAACACATATATTCAGGGATGCTGGATCCCAGCGTCTGCACATAAAGGGGTGATTATTTACGACGTCATGTAGGTCTTGGGGTCGATGTTGGCGGGCAGCTCGGTGACGTTGACCTCGAAGCGCTCCTGCACCGACTCGAGCACCGACTTGTCCTCCTCGGTCGAGACAAACGGTGATGGCGAGACCCTTGGTACCGAAACGGCCGGCACGGCCGACGCGGTGAAGGTACGCATCAGCCGAGTCCGAGATATCGTAGTTGATGACGATGTTGACGCGCTCGACATCGATACCACGGCCAAAGATGTCGGTGGCGACCATGATGCGCTTGGTGAAGTCCTTGAACTCCTTGTACTTGGCGATGCGCTCCTCCTGCTGCATACCCGAGTGGAATGCAGATCGACGGGAAGTTGCAGCTGTTCAGCAGCTTGTTCAGCAGCTTGGCGCGCGACACCGACTTGACAAAGATCACGACCTGGTTGAACTCGAGCGAGTCGAGCAGGTCGCTGAGCTTGCGGTTCTTGTCCTTCTCGGTCAGGGTGACGTAGTACTGCTGCAGACCGTGCAGCGTCAGCTTGGCCTCGTCGTCGACAAAGATCTCGCGCGGGTCCTGCATGAACTTCTTGCACACGGGGCGGATCTCCTTGCTGAGCGTAGCGCTGAACATGAGCACCTGCTTGTTGTGAGGGGTCGCAAGGAAAATGTCCTGGACGTCGCGTCTCATATCTAGAAAGTTGGCAATACAATGGAGCAGTTAGTAAATATGATGGGGTTGCAATGCAGCAAAGGACACAGGCATTCTGGGGCTGCTGTGCGGGTTAGTCAGATTAAATCCTTCACATGTAGTGATCCTGTGAGCTTATATGCGGATCTTTTCGAAGAGCTGGGTTTAATAGCAATATCATCACTTAAACCGCCGACAGCAATGGGGACACATTGGGCAGAGCAACTTACCAAGCGAGTCAAGGACCTTGTCGCACTCGTCAATGACAAAGCTGTTGACCGAGCTCAGACGCAGCGACTTCTCGCGCACCAGCTGGAGGACACGGCCCGGAGTGCCGACAACGATGTTCGGGCACTTCTCCTTGTCGCTCAGGATCTCCTGGTCCTTCTTGATGGCAACGCCACCGTAGAACACCTCAGTCTTGATGTCCGGCAGATACTTGCTGAACCGGACGTACTCGTTGCGGATCTGGAACGCAAGCTCACGCGTGTGGCACAGGACAATGGTTGACACGGCGCCCGGAACCGGCGTGATCTTGTTGAGCGTTGCCAGGACGAACACGGCGGTCTTGCCGAGACCGGACTTGGCCTGGCACAGAACATCGTTACCGTTGATGGCGGCAGGGATAGTCTCCTGCTGGACCTCCGACGGGTGCTCGAAGCCGCAGTCAACGATGGCACGCAGCAGCTCGGGCTTCATGAGGAAGTCGCGGAAGCTGGTCGAGTGCACACCAACATAACTGCCCTTGTTGTCCTTGCCGTCAGCCTTGGGGGCAGCGGCGTCGTCAGCCTGGGCGGCGTCATCACCGCCCTCGGCGACCTCAGCATCGGCGGTCTCGGTGGTGGTGGTCGGCTGGAGAGCCTCCTCCTCCTCCTCGTCGTAGTCAATAAGATCCTCAGCGTGGATCGGCCATGGTTAATAAAGAACTAGTCAGAAGGAGCGGCCACAAAAGTAATGTGTATGAGAGCGAGAATAAAGGAGAGGAACGCAGCGAGGTGTTTGGGGGTTAGTAAAGGGAAAAGAGAGAAAACGAACGGCTCCTCAAATAACAACAAAGGACCGAGAAGCCAGAGCGAGCCAGGTCACAGCCGACGCGTCCGCCGTGCGCATAGGCGCGTCGGCGCCAGTCTTGGAGATCAGGGCAGCCGTAGACACCGGGTCGTTTGCCCAAGATCTTACGCGACCCCATAGGAGCCGCGCGAAGTCGCGTCGAAGACGAGGCGTGATGTGGTCCACGCGTCACCGCATAGGTGTTTCTTGGTCTTGCTCAGCTGGAGTCTCGGGCCTGAGATACTAGGCTGGACATACCTTTTAGGGGTTGGTTGGTTGGTAGAAAGGTGAACTTGTGTGAGTAGGGAGTTGTCGAGATTTGACAAGATGAGCCCGAGATTCAGAAAATGTAATTGAGCGGATAGAAAAAAAGGTGAATAAAATACAGAGAGCGGAGTGGTATTCAGAAGAAAAGGCGCGGCCAGCATCGCCAATCGACGCGCGTCCTTTTAAACCCATTTTCCTCAGCCGTCTCAAGTGCATCCAGCGAAAATTTTCGCAAAGTCGTTTATTGAACCGAGCCGGCTAGTCAGAGATGCACTGCGAGCCGGCTACACGCGGTTAACCCTGACCCACGCATTGGCGCGAACGATAAACGCCTTCATCTGCACGTCGGTCTGGCACCCGGGCTCAACGTCTCCGTCGTACTCTTGGAATATGCTGGCCATGGTCTGCATGCCCTCGATCGCCTCCTCAAGCGTGCCTGCAGTGATTTTCATGATCGAGCGGGAGTCGAGATTCCAGTATCCGCCCATGCGGCCCAAGATTTCGCGGACCTTGGTCAGACAGACAAACTCGGATTCGAGGGCTATGCTTGCTTGCTCCAGGCTGAGTACCTGGGCGTACGAGAGGTTGTTGATATGGACAATTGACATTTGATACAGGCGTGGATAAAGTGTAGAAATACGATGCTGAACTAGAAAGAGCGGCTGGCCTTCACCGGAAATAAAAGCAGGGTTTAAGACTGGCCACGCTTAGCATGGCCTGATGATAGCGTAGCCTGTTCCTCGGCCCTTGTCCTTGTGTAACACACCGGACCGGTACCCGCCTATAACATGTTTGTCATTATAGTCCGTGCTTTCGGCGCTCTGATAGAGAGACCGTGAGCAAGCCAAGCAGGCAGACATTGGAGGATAGTGGGTTGCGACGGCAAAGTTGGAGTTACCACTATCCCAAGATCTATGCATGATGCCGACTACTGGGTCCGATCGCAGCCATGGCGGTGCTCTTTCCAAAGAGCACTTGCCTATTGGCACTGGTGCATATATGTCTCAGACCACGACCGGGGTTCCTGGCTATGCAACATTCTTATGTTGTGCTGTCTGCGAGCCGGCGCAACATTTCCAGATCACCGCTGATTAGCGTATTAGCCTCCAGGCGTGATTGCTCGGGTGGCTTACGCGCGTGGTTGGGAGCAGAGGGAAGTGCCAATTTTCGGTCCTCTGCTTTTTTAACCACCAGTACTCAATCGAAATTAGCCAATTGCCCTCACTCCTGTATATAAATACCCGGCAGAATGGCTCCACGGTCGAGACTTTCAGATATAACACTTCGGGCCAACAACAGCCAGCAGCACTCGGCGCGCCAAATAACTATATTTGATGCACTGAACGCTGCGCATAGACGCAACAAACGCCAGCGCCAGCAGCAGTTGTCAGCCGACGACTGCGAAAATATCGATGGCAATGCACATACGCCAAACAAAAAGCCGTCACGGAGGCCACACCTCTACGTTCGCCAAGCAGACAGCAGCTGCTACTCAGCTTAAAAGCAGCACAGCTATGGACGTTTGCCCGCCAGTACAGTTGGCTCCATAAACGGATGGTTCCTGCCCAACACAGCCAGTTCAGGACTGTGTAGTCCGCGGCAGGCTGTTAGTATGCGTCAACTCCAGACCACCAGTATGCACCGCGTGTCGACTGTACAGCTGCTTGGAGTCACTTGTCTCGCCCACCACCAACATGTTTAGACTGTATGCGTCAGACGACACACAGGTCAGTGTACTACCGCTGGCATGCAAGTACAATAGCAGAGGCTGGCTTAGACAACAGAATGGCGCTGGTAGACGAAGGTGGGTCGATCAGCATCTTCAATACAGTCAGTCATAATGATGATGACAACGGAATGGTGCCGGCGAGTCGATGGCGCGGCCATGACAACGCGATATTTGACATCAAGTGGAGACACGGCGATGCGCAGCTGGTGACAGGCGTCGGCGGATGAAACGTGTCGACTTTGGGATATCGAGCAGCAGGCATTGCTAGGCGAGTTCCGCGGTCACTCGCAGACTGTGCGGATCGGTGAGCTGGCGCCACGGACGATGCAAACTGCTTCGTTAGCGCATCACGCGACGGATCGATCATGATGTGGGATGTACGTTGCAACAAGAGCAGCGTCCGATGGCCTGTACACATACCGGCCAGTTAAGACCATCGAACGTGCCCACCATGGCGTTGTTCGTGCAACCAAACCCCACCAACCAAAGACTAAAAGACACACCGGCAGTGTTACCAACGTCCAGTCCTTGGCTCACAATCCAAACTTGATAGCCTCGGTAGGGTCAACTAATGCAATGGTTAGGTACTGGGATATGAGGAGCAGTTACTCGACACGCTCGACGCTGGCCCTACCTGTTCCAGTGGCAACCTTCGCTTCTGCCTGCATCATCCAAGCGCCCACGCGGGGCGTCGTCGCTGACACTGGATCCTGATGGCACCCGCCTTTACAGCGCCTCCAACGACAACACAGTCTATGTACACAATGCTTTGGCGCCCGGGTACCCGGTGGCACATCTGACTGCACCCGAGTTTATCTGCGACAGCTTCAACATCAGCACATCAGTGAGTCCATGTGGTCAATACTTGGCAGCCGGATCCACAAACGGCAGCGTAGTAGTGTGGGAGCTGGATCGGTATGGATTCAACAGCAGCAAGCGGCGGGTTGTGCTGCAGGGCCACACTAAAGAGGCTAGCTGTGTCGCGTGGTACCCGCTACAGGACCGCACCCAGCTGGTGACATGTGGAGACGACAGTGTGATGCGTGTGTGGGATATTGATGCGGAGCTGGCAGAGCAGGGGCGGAACGATCCGATGAAGCGGTGCCAGTGGGGATTGGCCTCGGTGCTAATCAGCAGCATGAGTAAATGTGTGAGTAGCGCTCTTTTTAGCAATGCTTCTGTGGAAATGTGTGTTTTCTAGAAATTCGCGCATCCTCTTCCCCATTGTTTGCAGCTGCCCATTGAAGAATTGCGTTATTGAATGTGATGATGATACAATCTCCTTACATGGAAATGCCCAAGTCCAACGGATGATGCGCAGCCTGTGCATGGAGGGACAGGCAATCATTGCGTTATTTTTCCTAAGCCAAGGCAAAGGCGTCCTGGTGACTACAAACGTCCATTTTAGGCCGCTATAATTTAGATCCCATGTCCCAACCATGCATGGCTGCTAGAGAGGATTGCCGGCGGTTAGCAAATAGCAAATGGCTTCAGAGCAAATGCCGCGATATGCACAGTGTATGGGCCTTGTTTGACATGGTCGAAAGAAGAATTCACCAAAAGAACACTTCGATGCAAGCAATCTCTCGTCTCAGGCAAGTACATAAACGTCTCACACCTGCAACCTCCCTACCCGGCAGCCCCATCCTGTATATTCCGCCAACAGGCACTTTTCCTATTCTATTTCCAACATAAATACATTTTAGCCTCCGCTATGGCTTCGCTGGTTACAAGGTTCTGGCGCACAGATCCCGCAAAGGGCGATACAGGTAGTGAGGTTTCGTGGAACGAGCGGTCCGGATGAGCTCGCCGATTCTGCTTCAAACACCCCTAAGCCTATCGGTCTTATCTCAGCCAACCTCCGATCGGGCATCAGTCTGATGATCGGCTCTGGTATCTTCTCCACGCCAGCTTCGATTCTGCGCCTGGTAGGCACGCCTAGCATGGCCCTCATTCTGTGGATCCTTGGTGGCATTATCTCATATGGAGGAGCAATGGCCTTCATTGAGCTTGGGCTAATGTACCGCAAGAACGGTGGCACCATGCGGTTCCTAGGCCACATGCGTTCCCAAAGCCGACGGCGCTATTTGGGTACCTGTTTCGCGTGGGTCATGATTGTGTGCATCCGGCCCGGCGCTATTGCTGCAAACGGCCCGGTTATCGGCAAGTACTGGCTATATGCTGCTGGCGAGGATCACAACACTGGCTGGAACGCGCGCGGTGTCGGCTGGGGATGCATCACCTTCGTTACTGCGCTCAACATCTTCTCAGGCCAAGTGGTCGCTGCGGCTGATCAGCCTGTTATCAGTCGTCAAGATCATTGTTCTTCTCATCATCATCATCACTGGTATCGATCGCTGCTGCTGGAGGCATCGATATCGAAAAGAACGACAACTGGTCTCGCGGGTTCCGTGGAACCAAGAACGACGCACACTCCTACTCATCGGCGCTCACTAGGGTGTTCTGGGCCTACGATGGATTTACGAACCTTGGTATACTCACTCGGTCGAAGCTGCGCTAAACCTGAGCGCAATCCTGCCGTGGTCCATTGGTGGTGCTGTTGGGATCGTCTCGTTCCTGTATATAATGGCCAATGTCGCTTTTTTCTTCGTCGTGCCGATTAATGTGGCTATCAGTAGCGAAGAGATCTTGGCCGCTGAGTTCACATATCGCGTGTTCGGAGACAACGTTGGACGTATTGCGCTACCAGTGTTCATTGGGTTGTCGGTTCTTGGTGCTATCGCCTCGCAAACCTATGGTGTATCACGCCTTCTGGACTCAGCCAACGAGGTCGGGTTCATTCCATATGGCCGCAAGATCTGCGGCAACAACAAGCGCACAGGCACTCCGATCGCATCGCTGGTTATCATGTATGTGCTGACCATGATCTACCTTCTGGCTCCGCCGCCTGGCAAGGTGTTTGACCTTCTGGTCGACTTTGTCCAGTGGAGCACATGGCTGTTCTACGGCCTTCGCTGCTGTGGGTGCGATCGTCCTGCGGTTCAGGATACCGCACCATCCTCTGCGCACATTCAAGTCGTTCCATCCGCTCAACGGTCTGTTCATTCTGTTCTGTGCCTTCATCACGGTCATGCCGTTTGTGCCACCTGAAGGTGGAGACAGCGGAGACCCGTACCCGTACTATCTGTCACCGCTACTGGGTGCTCTCACCACACTGGCCGGAGTTGTCCCTTGGTACTTTAGGATGTTCTGGTGGGCTGACAAGACCGGTGAAGACTACACTCAGTGGATTGCTGAGGAAGAGAGAGGCTGAATAGAGTGAAATTATACTATCCAGCTAGGTGGGCTATAGTACTTGCTAATATACAATATCCTTGACTAGCCACCTTACAGGCAAGAGTATGTAGACACCATGGCGATAGCCTTTTAGCCGCTACGCTGCTCTCAAGATCGCTGGAGCTAATTCGCTGATACTGTCGACGAAGACATTCGCACTATGCTCAGCACTCTGCATATTGTTTGCAAGTTGCTGCGGCCGTGCTGACCCCGTGCCACATTCTCCCTGCTTCTACAAGCTCCAAAGTGATACCTACGTCACTGCCCGGGTAGTTCAGGTTTGCATGCGAAGCTTTTATTTCCCGCACGATTGACCACGCACGCAACACTTTATAAAGGGCTGACGCGGCCCTTGTCTCCCGCATATCATCTCTACTCCCCTGCTCATCAGTTTTTTAATACTCTGTCATTCTGTCAGTGGAACACCATGCCAAACCACACTAGTAGCTACAACCCGATGCCATTTTACATGCCTCTCAAACTCGAGGACTACGACATCAGCTCGACAAATGGGTTCTTGCCTACCCAGGCCCCGCTGGCAAGGCTGCCCGACCCGTACTATGAGCCTTGGGAGAGGATCGTAGACAAGTTCAACCAGCATATGCTTGCCGGCCGAATTCGACCACTGGTGGATAAGGTAACACATCCAAAACGGGACTGCAGCACAGCACACGCTATGGACATATAGATTTGGGGGAATCTGTCATACTGATAGCTGAATGGATGGGGCGGTGGTCTACAATAGATGCCTGTTCTGGACACCGGAAAGCTGGCAACGATGGCTGAGTATCAGCGTGCATTCACTCTTCTGAGCTTTCTGGCCCACGCGTATGTGAGAGGGTATAACAGTGCCAAAACAGAGGGGGTTTCTCAGGTAAGAAGCACCATATGCACATATCTGACAACGCACTTTATATAAGTAGTTGTTTTTAATCATTCGAGTCATCCGCCAGCTTTGTAGACGTTGCCAGAATCAATCTCCGTGCCATGGGTGTCCGTAGCTAATATCCTCGAGATGAACCCAGTTATCTGCCTTGCATCCCTGTGCCATTGGAATTGGCAGCATCTGGATTACATGGCCAAAGACATGATGGATATTAGCAACCTTGGTACGCAGTTCACTTTTACTGGCTCAACAGATGAGTCTTGGTTCTATCTGATCCCAACAGCGATAGAGGCTAAGGGTGCACGCGGGATCAATGCGATTCTGCATGGAATCGAGGGTGTCAGGAACAACGACATACAACAAGTCACTTGGGCATTACACGACATGTCCCAGTCACTTCAGGAAATGATTGCCATCCTTCAGCGCATGTATGAGCGGTGTGATCCACACGTGTTTTATTGGAACTTCCGCAAGTATATGAGCGGTTGGAATGATGCGGATGAGTTTCCACATGGCCTAAAGTACGAAGATGCAAACGATGGCCAATTTTTCAAGTTCTCGGGTGGAAGTGCCGCACAGACTCCGCTAATGCAAGCATTCGACGTTGCTCTGGGCACTAGACACTATCCAACCTGGCGAGCGCGGCTTGCAGAGCTCGGTTGCGGAAGCGCGTCAACGACTGGCCACCATGGCAGAAGCAGAGCCTCAGCCGCCACCAGCCAACTCCTACCTGTTGAGCACTCGCGATTACATGCCGGCTGGGCACCGCAGGTTCTTGGAGGACTTGGCAGCCATCTGTATGATCCGCGAGTTTGTGCTGCTGAATTGCTCGGGTGCAGTGGTTGCTGAGAACGCGGATGGCAATCGGACGCATTGCTCTGCGTCAGGAATATAACCAGTGTGTCGAGTTGATGAGGGGGTTCCGCGATAAGCACATTATGATCGTGTCGCGGTATGTCATTGCGCCAGCCAAAGGCAGGACCATCAATGCAAGGACAGGCAGCCAGTGCTCGTGACAGCGACGAGGCCTCTGCTAAGGGCACTGGTGGTACCAATGCAATTCAGTTCCTGAGGCAGATTCGCACGGAAACGAACCAACACCGCTATTAACTAGTATTTTTCTGTGGGTGATGATATCATGCAGTAGCGCCAATATTTACACACTGGTATCTACCGGGTTCGGGCTATTTCGCGGTTGCATCACAGCGCTTTAGCCTCCTCTTGAGCCTGCTATAACAGTGTCTAGATTAGGCAATACAGTAGAGAATCGCGGGGGTTTGGCGGTAACTTCACAAGATCGGGTATTGCGCTGATGCTGCCATCCCAATGTCGCTATGCCAAACGAATCACCTCCGATGCAGACCGCAGTCTATGCGTCGTATCTGATTCACCTGCTGCGCCATGGACGCATTCCAGTAGCCTGGCTACCTTATCTTCAGGACCCAGTGTGCACAGCACTATGCTGCTAGTGTTTCCAGACTGAGGGGGATATCCAATGGCACGGCCCAGATATTGCGCCATCGCCTGGCTGTTTTTGGGACCACGAAAGGGGGTAAAAAGGTACATGGGCCCCTCCACGCAGAAAAGGAGCGAGGAGCTTTTCTGCAGGCACGAATCTTGTGCCAGCAAAGTCTGACCAAGCAGCGCCAAAATCCGCTGGCGTTGGGGATGCCTGGGGGTGAAATGGAGATCATGGTGCATAGCTTCTGGAATCGACCAGCCACAAGCCTTTGCTAGCGCCGTCGGGTACCTTGGATCTGCAGTGATACAGGCCAAAGCTCCTTGATCAGTTTGCGTTCCAGCTGTTGAGTCTGCATTTGGGGCCGGGCGCTGGATTTCAATTGGCTTGCGATAGGCGACATCGCCCGGTGGGTGCTGTCTGGTCTGGCCATTTTTCCCAACTGTGAGCCGACGCTTTAGGCTTACAAATCGCGCTCGCCAAGCATGTACGGGCGGATCAAAAGGTATGTAGCAAGAGGTCGTGAAGCATGAGCGTAAGGATCGCTAAGGAGTCTAGCCATCGACAGGCTGCCTAGTATATATAGCGGGTGAGCAGGCAGGCGCCTTGCAAGGCTTGTCTAGTGCATCCAGACTATCGTTTCTACCAGTTTATAATTTTTTTGTAAAAACTCGTGGCAAAGCTGTCGCTTGGCTCCATTTATTCTTCGATATTTATCTTTTTTATCATATCGCATTATCCATCAGCAAGCATCCTGAGCGGCATCAACCTCCCAGCCATTCTCTAATTCATCTCTCACACACATCTCCTGTCCCCTAAGCCATGACGGGGATTATTCACAAGCTTTGGCGCGAAGACTCCGCCGAAACCGATACAAACAACGGCAGCTGGGACGGCGCTGAGAAGGATGGACAGGGCATCGGCGCACCTCCGTCAACTGGGCCGAGGAAAAACATCGGCATCTTCTCTGCCACCGCGATGGGTGTCAGTCTGATGATCGGCTCCTGGTATCTTCTCCACGCCAGCTTCGATTCTGCGCCTGGTAGGCACGCCTAGCATGGCCCTCATTCTGTGGGGTCTCGGTGGCATCATCTCATATGGTGGCGCAACCGCTTTCATTGAACTTGGGCTAATGTACCGTAAGAACGGTGGCACTATGCGGTTCCTTGGCGCATGCGTTCCCAAAGCCACGGATTCTGTTTGGGTACCTGTTCGCGTGGGTCATGATTGTGTGCATCCGGCCCGGCGCTATTGCTGCAAACGGCCCGGTTATCGGCAAGTACTGGCTATATGCTGCTGGCGAGGATCACAACACTGGCTGGAACGCGCGCGGTGTCGGCTGGGGATGCATCACCTTCGTTACCGCGCTCAACATCTTCTCAGCCAAGTGGTCGCTGCGGCTAATCAACCTCCTGACAGGTAGTCAAGATCATTGTTCTTCTCATCATCGTCATCACTGGTATCGTCGCTGCTGCTGGAGGCATCGATATCGAAAAGAACGACAACTGGTCCCGCGGGTTCCGTGGAACGAATAATGATGCCCACGGGTATGCATCAGCCTTGACCAAGGTGTTCTGGGCCTACGACGGGTTCTCTAATCTGGTGTATTCGCTCGGCGAGCTGCGCAAGCCCGAGCGCAACCTGCCGTGGTCCATTGGTGGCGCTGTTGGAGTCGTCTCGTTCCTGTATATCATGGCTAACGTAGCCTTCTTCTTTGTTGTCCCCATCGATGTCGCTATTCACTCGGACGAGATTCTTGCTGCCGAGTTCTCGTACCGTGTATTTGGTAGCACATTCGGAAAGACTGTCTTGCCGGTCTTCATTGGGCTGTCAGTGCTCGGTGCCATCTGCGCACAGACATACGGCGTGTCGCGCCTTCTGGACTCAGCCAACGAAGGTTCGGGTTCATTCCATATGGCCGCAAGATCTGCGGCAACAACAAGCGCACAGGCACTCCGATCGCATCGCTGGTTATCATGTATGTGCTGACGATGATCTACCTTCTGGCTCCGCCACCTGGCAAGGTGTTTGACCTTCTGGTCGACTTTGTCCAGTGGAGCACATGGCTGTTCTACGGCCTTACTGCTGTGGGTGCGATCATCCTGCGGTTCAGGATACCGCACCATCCTCTGCGCACATTCAAGTCGTTCCATCCGCTCAACGGTCTGTTCATTCTGTTCTGTGCCTTCATCACGGTCATGCCGTTTGTGCCGCCTGAAGGTGGAGACAGCGGAGACCCGTACCCGTACTATCTGTCACCGCTACTGGGTGCTCTCACCACACTGGCTGGAGTTGTCCCTTGGTACTTTAGGATGTTCTGGTGGGCTGACAAGACCGAGCAGGATTACACGCAGTGGGTCAACGACGAAGAGGAAGCGGAGAAGCCGGTGCCAGGCGCGGAGCAGATAACCCATGTATGAGCAATAGATATTGAATGTAATGTAGATCAAGCATAAATATTGTGAATCGCTAAATGTCTTCGGGACCGGACCGGTCTATAACAACAATGCAGTCAAATTCGGGGCAGTCGGCAAACAATTCATCGTCATCGTCATCCAAAGCATAGCTGTCCTGGTACCTGATGCTCTTGCGCTCGCGCAGCGACCATGTTTTGACTTCTCCGTCGTCATCCGACACCTCGCCATCCCAGATCCTCCTCCGCGCCGACCTTCTAGCCGAGCCAAGCACCTCGGGCTGCAGCACCCCAGGCACCTTCAATTCCTCGACCGCCTGTACACCATGCTGCCTGACATACACTGACAGCTGGCCAGTGGGCCGCTTCCCGCGCTTGCGCAAGCAGAACGAACAATTACAGCAGCCGCGGCATTTCGGGCACTGCCAGGTACTATGGTCGATTTGATCGGCGTCCTCGCCGTACCGGATCAGCAGACAGCGCGTGTCGAACACGACATTGCAGTTGTTGGAGCACTTGATCTTCGGATCCATGGTCTTTTGCCGGCACTGGTGGCATGTGCTCCCCAGCGCCGAGTCGTACACGCGGTTGCCCACGATGCGACGCCCGGCGTCGTTGCGCCGCAGACGCAGAAGGCGGTGATTGGTCTTTTTGCGTGGCCGCGTCATGTACCCGTCGTCTTCGTATGTGGCGTCATCAGAGTATCTTACCGTGCTGCGCGCGCGGATCTCGTAGGTGCGTGTAAAGCCCGACTGCGATTTGGCTCGCGCCGTGCGTGGTTTGTCTGTGGCTGAGATGCCCAGGATGGGCTTGTCCAGGCCCAGAGCTGCCAGCATCTCCTGGTTTTTGCGGATCTGCTCCTGGCGCTGCTGCTCGTAGTCGCTCATTGGCAAGGGGGCTGTACAAAATGAAAAGAAAAAACAAAGCAAACGAGAATTTGAAATGGAGAGCAAGATTTAACGGGGAGAGCATCAAAGCCTAAATTTTTCTCCATCACTGCTTGAAAAAAATTGTGGCAAAATTGCTACGTTCCTTTGTTTTCTGGGCCAGGAGCCACAGCACCATGGATGATGCCACCAGGTCTCTGCGATGGAATCCTGGCCAGTGCGGAGCTCAGTACGCATATCTCTAGCTAGACACATATACAAGCTAGCTGCCAACAAAAAGGCATGCACTTGTCTCTTGGCGACAGCCCGGCTTGGCTGGCTGTCAAAAAGCCAAGGTGTAGCTGTCAAAAAGAACGGCAGCACCAGCTTGCATGCTCCGCTCTGAACACGTGACGCACTACCGCTGACTTGCCAGAAGATACGTAGTGGAGCTCAGCAACCTTTTTTAGACCTCTTGGCACGACACTCTTACTATTTTTCTCTCTGCATTCGGCCTTTCTTCTTGTTCGTTTTATTACACAGCTAATTTCATTTTTGTTTCCTTTGCACAAACCGGTCAATGTCAGAAGAGGGAGTTAGAAAGTGGCTCTTGGATATTTCTAAGCAGGTAAACGAAGGAGTTTGACAGGACAGATTGCGTTGGGACTCAGCAGCATGGGGAGGCATTGCACTAACCGGTGGACAGGTTTTGTTTTCTGTAGTTTGCGGACTCGCAAGAGGCGTTCATACAATTCACAGCAATCCGGGACAAGTACCCGCTGTTATTCCCAGCGTTCGCAGGACTATGTGTACGAGAACGGGCGGCGACAGGGGCCTGCTCTGCTTCCACGGGACGATCCCAGTACCGTACCACGGGGCAGTATTCAATATTCCCAGTGAAGTTCTGGTTCCCGCTGGAGTTCCCGACGCACCGGCCGATGTGCTACGTGACGCCGACGCCAGGCGATGATAGTTCAAGGCGGGCAAGTACGTGGATGACAAGTGCAAGATCTACCACCCGTATCTGGCCAGCTGGTCGAGCGAGTCAGTGACAGTGGAGCTTATTGCGCAGCTCATCAAGGTGTTCTCGGTGGAGCCGCCCGTGATATGCGCGCACCACGGAGCCGCCCAGCCAGACGGTGATGCAGCCGGCAAAGAAGCCGGAGTCGGCATTTGTCCGGCCCATGTCGGCGGTTGAAAGCGAGCTGGCGGGCGTGACGGCAGCGGCGGCCAGCATATCGGTGGACTCGGCTCAGCACGGACCTGGACCAATAGCACAGCCATCGAAGGCACACCCCTCGTACCAAGTTCAATTCTGTGCCTGGCAGACCACCCATTCCGAGCCTGAGCCCGCCGACAGCAGCAGCCCGAGAGCCCGCATGTGGAGCCGCAAAGAAATTCAGTCAGCAGCGAGGCAGGGAGTGCGCACGCGGTGGCTCAGCAGCCAGCGTCGCCAGTCGTGTCCCAACAGACAGTGCAGCCAGCATCCCCGGTGTCCCAACAGGCAGTGCAGCCAGCACCCCGGTGGTATCTCAACAGGCAGTGCAAGTGGCATCGCCGGTAGTGCCCCAGCAGACCGTGCAGCCAGCAGCCGCATCGCCGCCGCGGTCGTCGCTGCTGGACACAGACCCGGTGGATGACCCGCAGAAGCGGCTGATCGGATACCAGCTGGCGATATTCGACCGGGTGTTTGAGGCAGTAAAGAAGTCAAGCGAGAAGCACGCCAAGATGAACAAGGAGCTGCTGGACCAGTCGGCGAACCTGAACTCGGGGGCGGGGGTGATTGCCGAGGAGCGGCGGCAGCTGACGGAGTCGCAGCGGCAGCTGGAGGGCAACATCCGCGTGCTGGAGGCCAAGGTCGCAGAGCTGCAGGCGAAGAAGACTGCGTTCCCCGAGCCCGCGCGCGTCGGCGACGTGAGCAGCGTGTTTAGAGGCGCAGACGGCAGCCGCCGAGCAGCTGTTTGACCTGGCGGGCGAGATTAGCGCAGCCGACGACGTGCTGTACTACCTCGGCAAGTCGCTGGACGACGGCAAGCTGCCGCTTAACATTTACATGCGGCAGGTGCGCAAGCTCGCGCAGCAGCAGTTCATGGCCAAGGCGCTGGCCAACAAAATCCGCAGCCTGTGCCAGCTTGACGCGTAAGCCAATATCAGAGCTTTCGCACTTCTTTACTATCTTTTCTTTACCTCTGTATAAGATGTCATAGTCCAAGTGTCCGTCGAACGCTAGTTCCTTGTCAACCAGCAAAGAAAGAAAAAAGTGTCTACAGCACCGCATCAGCAGCCACCACTCCCACCCGCTGGCCATGGACTTGCGCGCGATGGGCCAGAACGCCTGCTGCAGAATCGGCGCCGGCTCCACGCCTGCCCTCTCGGCGCCCTTGGTGAACCGGTCCAGCACCCCACCAGGTACTCGAGCGGGCTGTTCCACTTGTCCTGCTCCAGGCGCTTCAGCCGGTCCAGGTCCTCGTCGTCTTGCGTGGCTCCGCTAATGCCCTGCAGCGCCGCCCACAGAGGCGTCCCTGTGGCCGCGTTGCCATCGGTCGGCGCCGGTGCCGTGGCCGCTGCTCCCGCAGACCCGGGCAGCGCTGTTGAGTTCTGGCGGATCATGGCCGCCTGCTGCTGCTGCAGAATGCTCACACGCAGGTCCTGCGGCAGCCGCATAAACTGCTCCTGTGTCATGCCCGGCGGCAGCACCGGTCCCACCGGAGCCATGTGCTGCGGCTCCTGGCTGGCGGCGGGCAGCTGTGGCTGCGGTGTGTCAGCGGAGCCCTTGCCTGTGGCTCGCTTCTTTGCGGCTGGCAGCTTCAGGTTGGCTGGATCCAGCGGGTGCTTGACGGCCCGCTGGAACGGCTCCAGCGCCGGATCGGCCGTGACCGCTCCCGGGTGCATATTGGTCATGGGGGTCTGCTGCGGCGGTCCGGCGTCATGCAGCTTCATGGTCTCCTTCAGGCTGTTTGCCCACTCCTTGATGATCGACAGCGACCGCACCAGTACCGTGTGGCAGTCCTTCAGCTGCTCGGGTGTCACCAGATACAGGTCCTCGGGTATCAACCGCTTCTGCTCCGTCACCATCATTTCGATTGTTAGGATCTGCCCGATGTGGGTCTCGTTGCGCATGGCCATGAACAGCGTCGGCAGCGACGATACCAGCGGCGTCACCAGCTGCTCGATCGCCGGCAGTGCCTCCCGCACCGCCGCCTTGGCTTCCTCCGACAGCACCCGGGGTTGCAGCCGCTCTACCTTGTGCTGGTTGATTTGTTGCCGCACCTTCTCCACCTGTGCGATTGCCAGGTCGGCCGACACTGACTCCTTGCGCGGCATGGCAGGGGCATCACGTGAGGCGTCGGCGTTCGGCGGCGTCGCCGGTTTCTGCGCCGGGCGGGCCACTGTCAGCGGCGACTGCGACGCCCGCTTCTTGCTGCCCTTGCCCCCCGTCAGCTTCTTCGTCTGGGCACCTGGTGCAGCTATCATAGCGATGGCCGGCGATGAAGCGGCGTTCGATAGTCCGTTCGACGCATTCGACACGGTACGCACCACCGGCACTCCTTGCTGGTGCTGGTGCTGCTGTTGCTGCTGCTGCTGGTGTTTGGTGCTGTTGCTGTTGGTGCTGTTGCTGTTGCTGTAACTGCTGTTGCTGCTGCTGTTGCTGCTGCTGTGCTCTCACAACCGCATGCAGGGTCTCCGAGTCAATCGCCTTGCCCACCACCTGCTGTGCGCCCGAGATAATCCGCATACATACCTGGCGCAGCTCGTTGGTTGTGGCAATATCGCCGGCCTGTTCCAGCTGCGACATCAGCACGCGTGCGGTGAACAGATTCAGGTTGACCTGCTGATCACGGTACGTAAACGGCACAGTTGTCGTGTCAAACGCCTGCCGCCACTGCTGCAGCATCTCGGCGCTCGGTGCCCCCTGCGGCTGCTGCTGGGGTTGCTGCTGGGGCTGGGGCTGCTGAGGCTGCTGGGGCTGCTGGGGCTGCTGCTGCTGGGGCCGCTGCTGGTTCTGAATTGCCAGCTGTTGCGCGGCCAATAACTGCTGGTTCTGTGGAAGCTGCATCTGCATCTGCAGTTGCTGCAGTTGCTGGAGCTGCTGGAGCTGTTGAATGTTGGCCAGGTTTTGGAATCCACCTGCCCCTGACACATTGGGCCGCACTGCCGGCCGCGGAGTCACTACCTGCTGTGCCGGCCGCATCGGCTGTGCCTGCGGTGTCTGCTGTGGTGTGCCCACAGCTGACGGCTGCTGAAGTCGCAGCTGAATCACATGCACCAGTTTCTGCAGAATGCTGTTATACGTCTGCACGTCGGTCGCATTCATATTCGGCCGCGCCATCTGCGCCTGAATATGCTGTGCCGCCAGCCGGATCACATCGGTCGAGTGCGCCTCGGGCTGAAGCACGATGGCCTTGAGCCTGTTTGCATCAAACTGAGGCACATTGCCCAGTGCTGGTCGTTGCGGCTGCTGCCCGGCTACTGCCGATAGCCGCTGCTTCAAAGTTGCCACTTGAATTTGCAGCGAGCGCAGGTACTCTTCGCGCGACGTCGCGCTGTTGTACAGCTGGCTCTCGAGCTGCTGCAGAACCTGGAGCGCGCTGGTCTGCTGCGCCGCGGGAAGTCCTGTCAGTGTCGCGTGCAGCTGGATAACTATCGTCCGTCGCATTTCAATCGGCAGCGACGCGCGCCAGTCTTGCTGCCCGAGGTTCAGATTCAGCTGGGCATTCATTCCGCGAATATTATAAAGTGTGGTAAATAAATCAAAAATGGTGCAGAAAAAACCCCCAGAAAGGAGAACGAATGAGGGGATTTTCGCCTGCACGTTTTAGTGGGTTCATAAAAAAAGTAACCGTGTTGGGACAAAGGAATCCAGAGAAAACTTGGTGCATATACTGAGTTACTACTGAATGCTGATAAAAAAACCACTACAATGATGCCTTAGGGCAAGAGTAATGCAAGGTTCCTGCTCGCTTGAAGGCTTTACCTGTGGGTGGTCCTGCAGCGACGGACACACCCGGAATGCCCGTGCCCACGGTGGCAGCGGCGAACGCACTCAGTGTAGCGGTCCCGCTTCTCAAGCGAATCCGCTGAGGCGACAGCGGCGATGGCGACAAAGAGAGTGATGAAGATCGAGGTGTTCATGGTAGATGTTAGTACCAAGAGCTATGGAGAGCCTGAGGATTCGAGTGGGATTGCTGGTGCTGCCTCTGCTCCTTTATAGCAGAATTTGCAGCGCATATTGCCTGGTGATCAGTATGTAGTGCATATCACATCACGATGAGTAGTCGCACTAATATCAGTGCGAGAGCACTCTTGGCATCATTAACTAAGTTCAGTAGAATTTCCTTGGGACCACAGTGGTAAATGACAGAATGGAACAAGTGGATAATAGCGAGTCTCAAAAGTGACAAGGTAATGTGGAATAAAGGGCACATTTACACACAAGCACATGGGGGTGTGATGCTCCCTATTGCAAGGATGGCACTGGGCGCATTGCCTTGTAATGCCCTACCCAGTGCGAATCTGCTTCATACATCTGAGAGCGCAGTACAATAAATGGAAATATATTCAGAAAAAGTCAAGAGTAATGGGGAAAAGCATGGGCGCCTTAGCATGCCTTCTCATACACAGTCTTGCGCCTGCCACCGTCAACCAGTCTCTTCTCGGGGATGGCATTGTCGGTGCAATCCATGCTGACGCCAATCTTGCTGAGCAGATTCTCCCAGTGCGCCGACTGGTCCTCTTCCTTGAGCTCGCCCTTGCCCGACTGGACGATCCTGTTGGCAAGATCCGAGGTGGAGATATTCTGCGGCAGCGGGTGGCTCAGGACATCGGCCAGGTTCTGGCCCTTGGCCTCGAGCATCTTCTGCGTAGCCCACATGACATCGCGCACCAGCCGGTTGATCATGTCCTCGGACGTAGCCTCCTTGACCACGACGCGCAGAACCTGCACGTCGCTCTTGTTGGGCGGCAGCGGGTAGTTCGGGATGATCCAGCCGCGCACACGCAGCAAGGTCGAGACCACATCCTGGTCGGCCATCGGGTGCTCGGCCTTGAACTTGTCGGTAAACGAAAATGCGCACACAGGCAGGCCATAGTTGAACGCATGGTTCATGGACGAGTCCCCGACCGACTTTACATTGCGCGCGGCATCCAGCAGCAGCTGGTTGGCGGCCACGCGGCTCTCCTCAGAGTAGCCGAGCATGCCGCGCGGGCGATGGATGTCGGAGATGCACTGGTAGATGCCGGTGGCCTCCAGTGCCACGGACAGCAGGCGGGCGTTGATTAGGCACGAGTTCATGATGCGCGTGTAGCCCTGGCGGCCAAACCGGATGAAGTTGTAGTACTGGGCAATCAGGAAGCACGCAGGGTGCGAGAAGTTCAGCGTGAAGGTCTTTTCCAGGCCGCCCAGATACGCCAGCTCGAAGGTCAGGTCATCGGGCAGATACTCGGCGCCACGCCACAGCACCCAGCCGATGCCCGGGTACGTCAGGCCAAACTTGTGGCCGGACGTGCTGATGGACACCACGTGCGGCACGTCAAAGCCCCACTTGAGGTCGGGGAAGGCAAATGGCGCCACAAACGCGCCCGATGCGCCATCCACGTGAATTGGGATATCCAGGCCGGTCTCCTGCTTGAGCTTCTCCAGCAGCGCCGACATCTCGGCCACCTGCTCAAAGTGGCCCGTGTAGGTGGTGCCCAGAATCACATACATGCCGATGGTGTTCTCGTCGACCAGCTCCAGCGCCTTGTGGATGTCGAGCGAGTAGCGCGAGTCCTCCGAGACCGGCACCAGCCGCGACTCGATGTCAAAGTAGCGCGCGGTCTTCTCCAGCGCGACCTGGGCGTCGGCGCCGAAAATAATGTTCGGCTTGGACGCGTCCTTGCCCTCGGCCAGGCGGCGCTGGCGCCAGCGCCATTTCAGCGCCAGCCCGCCCAGCATGATGCCCTCGGAGGAGCCCACCACCACAGTGCCGGTGGGCGGCTCGTTCTTGGGCGCCCGCCACAGGTCGGCCAGGAACGCCAGGCAGTGCCTATGGATGCGCTCGGTCGCTTCGTACTCGTCGATGTCGACGCGGTTCTTGCCCAGGTTCTCCATAATCAGCTTCTCGGCCTCGGGCTCCATCCACGTCGTCAGGAAGGTCGCGCAGTTCAGCGTCGGGTCGCCGTCGAATAGCAGCGAGTCGTGGACGATCTGGTAGGCGTTGCGTGCGGGCATCATGTTGGGCGGGAAGGCGCTGGTGTCGCCCGAGCTCTCGTTGTAGTGGGTGCCGTATGTCAGGTCGCTCTCGGTCAGCGTGCGCCGGCGCATGCTCAGCTGCCGCATGCCGGGGATCAGGTCGCCGATGTTCTCAGTCATGGGGTGTTCTTGCTAGTCGAAAGAGGTCTGGTGCAGTTGACGAATCTGTGGGTTTTCTCTTCTTTGGAAGCAAAAAATGCATTTATATCCACGAGCAAGGCCGGGGCCGCCCAGATGCATTCCTGTGCTTCTCGAGGGGGCAGTGACGTCGGCCGCATGTACTGATAGATCGAATGTATTCGTCAGGCCACATGCAAGCTGCAAGTGCGGACACGGGGACACCTATCACAATGCAGCGTTGCACAGCCGCATTCGGGACTGGCCACCAATATGTGCATAGTGATAATTGTAATACAGCAGTGGAGATGTATAAGGGTGGAATGCAGTGGTTCTCCCCCCACACAGGGGAAACCTAATCCTCAGTAGAAGCGGTTGGCAAGCCCGAGCTCGGCCAGCACCGCCGGCTTGGCGTCCTCCACACTGGCGCCATTCTTGATGCGCTCGCACAGCCGCATGGCCACCTCGAACTGCACCTGGTCCAGCTCGCCGCGCCCATCCCAGTCGGCAATCTCCCACACACGCCGCAGCACCTCGCGCCCAAGCCCCGAGTCGCCCAGGAGCCGGCCTGCGCTCGCTCCATCAATCACCTTGCGCTTCGGGTCGCTCTCGCGCACAAACACGCCCAGGTACTGCAATGCCGCCGGGTTGTCGCCAGCGCCAAACGGATTGCGGCTGCTGCTTCTGCTGCTCATGGCCGAGTACGGCGGCGGCGTCGGCTCCAGCGGCTTCGCCACGTCATCATCGGCTATGTCCAGCGACCGCCGCGCGTCGGTCGGGAACTTTTGCATCAGGCGCGGGAAGTCCACCGCCAGCGCATCGTCGGCGTTGCTGATAAGCTTCTGGCTGAGCTTGTTGAACTCGGCAATCTTGAACGCCTCCAGGTCGCGCTTGAACGCGTCCGGATTGGGGAAGTCGCCGGGCGGCAGATTGTACCGCACCTGGATCTTGCGGAACTCGCCGGGCAGATCCTCCAGCATCTCCTTGGCCTTCTTGCTTTTGCCAAACACCGCCGGCAGCTCGCTGCGCAGGTGCCCGATGATGTGCGCGTGGACGCGTGCCTGTCGCGCCCGCTTGACGATCTCGTTGACGCGTCGCAGCGCCGCATTCTTCGGAATGCTGCGCAGGTCGCGGAGCAGGTCGCGCTGCTCCTGCGCCAGCAGCTCGGTGTTGTCGGAGAATGTGTTGGGCAGTGGCGATTTGTACTGCGGCCAGAACGAGCCCAGGTACACGCGGTTGACCTCGGGCGTCGGAATGACCTTGCCCAGCGCCCACATCATCGCCCCGTACACGCGCATCAGCTGCTGCTGGCTCACCTGGTCGCACTTGTTGAGAACTATGCGCACCTTGTCTTCGTGCCCGCGCGTCGCCTGGATTGCCTGCTTGAACTCATCCGAAATGTCCAGCTTGTAGCTGTCAAACAACAGCAGAATCAGATCCGACCGCTCTGCAAACCAGCTGATGACTGACACAAAATCGTACCCGCGCTGCACCTGCTTCGATCCCGACAGGATCCCGGGTGTGTCAACTATCGTCAGGTTCTGCAGCAATGGGTTGTTGAGCTGCGACACCTGGAACCGCGACAAGAACTTGGTGCCAAACTTTGTCAGCCCCGAGAACGGCAGGTCCCCCGATACTGCCGCGGCATGGCCCGGGATTACCTTGGGCTCGGGCCCTCCCATGATTGCCACGAAGCGGTCGGTCGTCGGCTCAATCCCCACGTGTGCGCCTGGGTACGACTCGCCCAGCAGGTACTCGACGAACGTCGTCTTGCCTGTCGAGTACTGTCCCAGCAGAAGCACCATTGGCTTCGACCCAATGTCCTGCGCCGTCAGCGGTGCCGAGTGGAAGCCCTCGAAGCAGTACGACTGCTCCAAAGGCTTGATCTTCTTCGCATACGTCTTCTGCAGCTCCACCACTGTCTCCTGGTACAGCCGCTCCTCCGCCGTCAGCCCGTCCGCCCCCACCTTGACCGCGCTGCCCGACGGCGTCCCGTTGCGCGTCGACGCTGCCTCTTTGCCCTTGAAGCTCATGACAATTTATATAAATGCCTGGGAAACACTACTAAGTCTTATAAAAATGTACGAAAAAACAAAAAAGCACCCGCTTCGGAGTTAAAATAACAACAAAGGCAAACTGCTGCCGGTTGTCTCTGCCAAGCTTCCCCTTACCGCCATCTGCGTTGCACCAGAGGCCGTCCTTCCACCAGTGACGATGCTACCACTGCGAAGAAATAAAAAAACGCTGCCCCCCGCAGTAACCTCTAATTCACTACCCAAACGCCGGAAGGCTCTGCACTGCCCTGGCGCTCCTCACCCGCGTTGCCGGCGCTGACACGTCTGCCACCCCTACACCTACTGCCTCCACCAGCACACCGCCCAGCGCCCTGACAATCTCCTGGTCGTCTGCATCGGCAAACTCTTTGCCAAACTCCACGCGCTGCCTATACCCGCTGCCCGTCGGCCGCTTATCGCCACGCACCGCCACCTGCACTTCCACACGCGATACACGCCCCAGCGTATCAAGCGCCGACAGCAGCGCATCGCCGGTTGTCACACTGCCGCTGATCTCCGCCAGCCCCGCCACTCCCGCCAGCCCAAACAGCTGCTCAGCATTGACTCCCTTGAGGCCGTGCAGATTTGCCGATGCCACTGCCACTACGCGCTCCACTCCCGATGCCTCCAGCTGCGCAAGCAAACCGTCCACCAGCGCTGGAACGTACTCGGCCGCTGGCAGTCCATTGACAAACACAAATGTTGTGTCTACAGACCCTGCAGCCGTGCCAATGACAACTTCAATTTGATCCGTGCCTGGCACCCAGAACTCTGTCTCCACTGTCTCCTCTGCGGCCTCGTCTATCTGCGCCTTGACTGCCGTGCTGTCGTCACCACCGAGCGATCTCCATAGCCCAAGCGCTGCCCGGTACCCGCCCAGCCGCGTGGTGTCGGGGTATGCCAAGACGACCGTCTTGCCGAATTGTGTTGCAGGCACTGTGAATTGCATTTGTCTGAACGAATTATTTGTGGAGAAGCAGGCGAACAAGGCGTTGCGTAATTGTCCATCCCGCAACGTAAGCGCATCTAAACGGCTGATGCATCGACGTCGTTGATCGTGATCAATAATGCTGATCTAATCAGGCACATGGCCAGGCTCTATGCATAGGTTGACAATTGGGAATGGGGTTTAATATAATACCATATTTGGCAGAATATGGTATATAGACAACTCTGGAAATTTGAGTGCAATGGGTCGGCTCAATCATTGCCATTAGGATCAGGAGGTTGATGGCTTTGTTAGCCCTCAGAGAGCCCAGTAGCTATGAGCTTTATGGAATGAATATAACTAGAAATTGCTGAGGTGAAAAAGGGAGGATGGGCTATTCTGGCCCACAATGTTTATACAGGTGGGGATTTGGATCTGCACATGGTGGCGAGGGGCATGGGGTTGCCCGAATATCAACAGGTTTGATTGATAGGCTGGCACCCAGTTCAGGCGTTGACTTAATTGCGACCACCCAGCATCAGTGTCCACAATTCCACCATCGACTGTTTGAGGATCAGTAGACTGTTCCTCTCCAGTATCTTGCTCATGAGTATACTTGCTTTGACACCCTTCCATACGCTTTGTTGACCTCGAAACAGCAACACATTTCAAAGCTACCATACTAAACCAACCACATAAAAGCTTGACATCTTGGGCCATCCAGCCCTGCCTTTTCTCCCCAGTCAGTGCTCGATCCTACTTTTTCCATAAAGCTCGTAACCATTTGTTTTCATCTGAAAGGTTACCAGTCATCCAGTGGCAGAGAATATTTATTTCCTGATATCCTGCAGCCGATTTAGCTGGGAGCCACGCCAAAAAAGTGGAGAAGATTAAACGGCAGACTTCAATCTATAGCGTACAATACCTGTTGGACCCTCTATGCACACCAACAAACCAACACATTCAAGGTGTTCATTATGACGATGAATCAAAACAGCAAAGGTAGCCGCAGCAATCTGGATGCAGTAGCAATGCCATTAAATACTGGAGGATAATAACGCAGCTTACATATCCAATGCCTGGAATGTGAATGCCTCAATATCAATGTCGCACTTCTGTGCCATCGCTGGAGCGGTATGTTAATGGTAGTGTGTCTTATTCAGGAATCATGAAACACCGTTCTACACCTTGACAACGCTCTTGCCGAAGTTCTTGCCGTCATACAGGTTCAGAACCGCCTGAGGAGCGTTCTCCAGACCAGTGGTCTCATCGATGCGGTACTGAAGCTTACCCTCCTTGTACAGTTTGCCAACTTCAGCCATAAACTCGTCTTCAGTTGGCGTTCCATAATACCTGCTGACACGCACTCCCTGGAAGATAGCAGCCTTGGTCAGGATGTTGAAAGTGTTCTTGAGACCGTATGTCTCATCAGCAGACTTGACGTTATACTGGGAAATCATACCACAGGAGATAATGCGAGCACCAAAGTTGATGTTGGTCAGAGCAGCATCGAGGAACTCGCCACCGACGTTGTCAAAGTAGATGTCAATGCCCTCAGGAGCTGCTTGCTTGATTGCCTCGGTGAAAACACCGCATGTCTTGTAGTTGAAGGCGGCGTCGGCACCAATGCTCTTGACAAACTCAACCTTGTCCTCTGAACCAGCAACACCAACGACCCGCAGACCACAAGCTTTGGCGAGCTGAACGACAATCTGGCCAACAGCACCCGACGCCGAAGAAACGAGGATGGTCTCACCAGCCTTTGGCTTACCAACCGTGGTCAGACCGACAAAGGCAGTGAACGACGGCATACCGAAGACTGTAACGAAGTCGCGGGCATTTTCAATAGTGCCGGTGGGAAGCTTGCGCAAAGTAGCAACATCCACAACCGACTTGGTCTCCCAGGATGCTATTCTGCTGGAAACAATATCCCCTTCAGAAATGTCAGCGCTGGTTGATGCCTCCACAATAGCGACACCATCAGTGGTAATAGGCTTGTTAAGTTCATAGCAAGGGATGTAGTTGTTTGTAGCGCCGGTCAGACGACCACGCTGGTACGGGTCAACAGAAAGATAGAGGCTGCGGACCAAAACTTGGTTCTCCTTAAGCGAGTCCTTGGTCGGAGCTGGAGCAGACACGACCTTGAAGTTGTCGAGACTCGGGGCACCGCCTGGCGAGTACCTGTTGGCCAGGACGCGAGTGACAGGGCTGTCGGATGTCATGTCGAATGGTGGATGGGTAAACGATAGGTACTGGATGCGAATAAAGCCAGATATATGTAGAACTAGTATTAGAAAAGAAAACGAAGCGATTCCAAGACATGGGAAAGGAGCTATTTTATAGCGGATTCACACAGCAAGTTATACAGCCCCTTGTCAGGGCACACTTATTCCATTCACTGCTATAATGAACTTGTGGCGCCTGTGTTGTATGCCATGAATAGACAAGTTGCTTTAATTGTCCACCGTGGGTAGAAAATTTCTGGCCCCTATATAGTGCACCCTAGGTAGGAGACGAGTGAACTGTATGGATCTAATCATGGGGCTTGAATCTATTATACAGCAGCATCTGTCTGGTCTCGAACTATGATCTTGGCTCTGTCTGGTTTTGAATTTCAGAAGGCGCAGTGGTGATTCAAGTACTCATTTCAGATTAGTACGTTTAGAAGTATGTGGAGCGACTGATGTTACCAGCTGTGTTCTTTATGTGCTCACTGCTCTATTTCGCCATTAAATGAAACGGGTCAGTAACGTATGCAGCGAATAGTACGTTGGTTGCTGTATTTTTGAATGTTACCTGTGGATTAGCGAACGTTTATATGCTTTGTGTAGAAATGATGTGAATGGACCGAGGAGAAAGGGGAGGCTAACCGACCTTCTTGAGCCCAATGATGTGTGTGATTGGTCCGGTTTATGGTGGAATTGGAGTATAATGACACCCTGGAGTCGACAGGAAGGACTGCATGGTAGACACCATTTGCAGCGTAAACCTCTTGAGGAAATCTCTATGCATACCAACAAATCAACATATTCAACGCGTTCCTTATAACGATAAACCAAAACAGCAAAAGTATCCGCACCAATCTGGATACAGTAGCTGTTAACATGGGGAATAAGTGGTTATCGAATATATGGAAAAAAAAAAACTTTTCAAAATGACTGAGGGGAAGAAGGAAGGCTGGTCGTCTATCTGGGCTTTTGTACGTATGCGTTTCGGCCTTGTCTATGGTGGCGTAGGGGGACTCCGGACCCCGAATGTCAAAAGTAGCAATGCCATTAAAGCCAGGAGGATAATAACGCAGCTTACATATTCAATGCCTGAAATGCAAATGCCTCAATATCAATGTCGCACTTCTGTGCCATCGCTGGAGTGGTATGTTAATGGTAGTGTGTCTTATTCAGGAATCATGAAACACCGTTCTACACCTTGACAACGCTCTTACCGAAGTTCTTGCCATCAAACAGATTCAGAATCGCCTGAGGAGCGTTCTCCAGACCAGTGGTCTCATCGATGCGGTACTGAAGCTTACCCTCCTTGTACAGTTTGCCAACTTCAGCCATAAACTCGTCTTCAGTTGGCGTTCCATAGTACTTGCCAACAAGTATACCCTGGAAAGTAGCAGTTTTGGTCAGGATGTTGAAAGTGTTCTTGAGACCGTATGCCTCATCAGCAGACTTGGCGTTGTACTGGGAAATCATACCACAGGAAACAATGCGAGCACCAGTATTGATGTTAGCCAGAGCAGCATCGAGGAACTCGCCACCGACGTTGTCAAAGTAGATGTCAATGCCCTCAGGAGCTGCCTGCTTGATCGACGCGACAAAGTTGTCAGAGGTCTTGTAGTTGAAGGCGGTATCGGCACCAATGCTCTTGACAAGTTCGATCTTGTCCTCTGAACCAGCAACACCAACAACCCGCAGACCACGAGCTTTGGCAAGCTGAACGACAATCTGGCCAACAGCACCCGACGCCGAAGAAACGAGGATGGTCTCACCAGCCTTTGGCTTACCAATTGTGGTCAGACCGACAAAGGCAGTGAACGACGGCATACCAAAGACTGTAACGAAGTCGCGGGCGTTATCAATAGTGCCGGTGGGAAGTTTGCGCACAGCAGCAACATCCACAACCGACTTGGTCTCCCAGGGTGCTCCTCTAATATAGACGATGTCACCCTCAGCAACGTCAGCGCTGGCTGATGCCTCCACCACAGCGACACCATGATTGGAAATTGGCTTGTTAAGCTCATAGCGGGGGACGTAGCTGTTTGTAGTGCCGATTAGACGACCACGCTGGTACGGATCAACAGAAAGATAGAGGCTGCGGACCAAAACTTGGTTCTCCTTAAGCGAGTCCTTGGTCGGAGCTGGAGCAGACATGACCTTGAAGTTGTCGAGGCTCGGGGCGCCGCTAGGTGAGTACTTGTTGGCCAGAACGCGAGTGATAGATCTTGCAGATGTCATATTGGATGTTCAGCTTTGAATTATAAACTTTGTTGTGTGTGTTTTGGTATTCAAATGGCGCAGTGGTGGCTTAAATACTCTTCCCAAGCTAGTGCATTTAGATATATGTTTAGAGTGACCGATGCCGCCATTTGTGTGGGCAATGTGCTCACCGCCACATTTTGCCATAAAACGAGACGGTTCAACAGCACATGAAGCGAATAGCAGGCAGGGTAGTCTGCGGATGACAAATCATTAGGGAGAAGAAGTAAAAATGCGGTGTTAATGATGAGTGAATCCTCGCTTGTAATTAGTAATACACAGTCCACATGTATTTGTATTCTTTGGCTCGGCACAGGAACTCTAGGCTTCTAATTATGTGGTTTGATAAAACACTAATCGATTTCGACACGCCTGTCCCTGCCGTGCATGCATTTTATTGCTGCTGAAGAGAGCCACACTCATGCTAGGTCTTTATTAGATTCTTACCAATGCTCACTCCCAAGCGAATATTGCTCACTGCTCAAGAGTTGTTCTCTACTTCCTTGGTGTCATAAACCTTGTACTGGATCTTGCGTTCCAGATAAAGCTGAGGGGCCTCATTGGTGAAGCCAACTCAGCGCTGGGCTGTGTGGTGGTCCAAAGGAAGAAACCCCTGGGCATAGCACGTATGTGGATAAGTGCACCCAGTCTCTTGTTTCCATACACAGCATCGGATAAGCTAGCGCCAGTCTGTGAAGCCATTTGGCAAGAGGTGTCGTGTAAGGCGACACATCAGGAGTGCTGATTTAGATCAACCGATCAATTTCATGGAAGTAGCCTCAATGTGCCTTCTCTTCAGGCACTAAATTCGGATGCATCTTCATTCCCTCGCGCCTTCAAATTACTCTATTCTCACTCACATTTGTACACAAAAAAGGACGCGATGACATACTACACAGATTGGGAAAGTTTTGAGACGGCAGCATCGTCGCTGTATGCCAGCGCACCGCGGCAGGCCCGGTACACGGTCAAATACCGCAACTGCGATTCGCAGCTGATGCTCAAGGTCACAGACGACGCGACATGCGTGCAGTACCGGACGGAGCGGCTGGACGATATCCGGCGGATGGCACGGCTGCACCGGATCCTTGCGCAGACCGCGTCCCAGCGGCAGCAGGACATCAAGGAATTGTCGCCGATCGTGCCGGTGACACAGAAGCAGGAAGAGCCGCTGAGGGAGCTGCATGGCAAGAGTGCGCAGCAGGGCGGAAAGAAGCGTGGGCGTGGAAAGAAGCGTAACTGAGAGGGGTGGGCTGCGGATGGCCCCATGTCGGCATTGCGCAGATCGCACCAGCGTCTTTACATGGTCTAGCTAATGCTCGCTAATGGAGTTTGTTTGTCCTGGTGGGCTTTGCGAAAAGGAACCAGAGTGGGGAGGGCACAAATGCCTTGGCGCTGGTTGGTGGAACCGGGGAGAGAGAGCGGATTTGCGTGACTTCTGGGCCGAACGAGTATGCAAACAAGAGACGATCAGCCGCGTTGCAGAAAATGTGGGTGGAAGCTTAATGGTTAGGCGAGACTCGCATGATAACGGCATGTTTATAAGCGGGTTCATGGGTGAAGCGACCAGCAAACGCCAGTTTTTATTTTCTTCTTACCACGTTTCCTTTTAATACGCACTCTTACTATCACATATGAGTGCCACTAAACACGCGCCAGTACAAACAAGTAACCCGCAGGGCCGGCGCAGCAAGAGTAAGAAGCCAGGCGCAGCGCAGCGTAGCCGGGGGCCACCGCAGGTACGCGTGAGCGTGCGGGCGTCGTCAGAGCAGCCGTGCAGACGGTCGCGTAGCCGCACGCCCAGCCGCACGCCCGACAAGTTCTCGGACGTCTGGGCGCGCAAGCCCACGCGTGCCAAGCTCTCGCTCGAATCGATGTCGCTGTCCGGCCTGTTCCACTCCAAGAGCCAGAAGATCAAGACCGCCCGGAAATCCCCTGCCAAGCACAGCAGGCGGCGCAGCATCAGCGAGCCCGCCGAGCAGCCCAGGTATGCAATGCCAGAGCCGCGCACAAATGACCCGGAGATGCAGCGGCTGCTGGCGATGCTCCAGGGGCACATGCAGGCACAGCCGATGGCACGACCGCCGAGCATTTCGATGCCGGTGCCGCCGGTAGTGCAGCCGACGCGGGCCAGCGTGTTGGGGAAGGCCATCTCTGGGGGTCCACAACTGCGCCGGGCGAACAATGCGTCGCAGCAGTCGTTGCTGCACAACCAGGCGGCGTTGGCGGTGTCTCGCAGCACGCCGGTGCAGGACGACGAGCTGAGCGCATTTGGCGAGCCAGACAACGAGGTATCTGCAGGCCTGGCAGTGCACAAGCCCACGCAGTCGAAGACTATGCCGTCAATTCATAGCCGCATAGCCGAAGCTGCGCTGCTGCCCCCGCCCATGCGTATCGACCCCGATTCATGCAATGAGTGGGCGCGGCACTCCAGTGTGTTCTCGGATAGTGGGCGCGGGTCACACGTCTACACGGTGATCGGCAAGGCCATCGCCTCGGCTATGCTGGCACAGGACAACAGCGAGGAGAGCAGCAGCAGCGCACCCCGTGGTGATGTGGGCGTGCGACCGGTGCAGATTACGAAGCAGCGCACGACCGGCGACATCAACGAGACGCTGGTGCACCGCCGACGCACCGACGCCGAGCAGAGCAGCATCGAGTCGGCCAACGTTATGACGCCAGACACCTTCGCCACAGCGCGGCAGTACATGGGCCAGCCCAGCGACGCGCCTTTCCCAGATCCGCCTGCCGTACCACTGCCCGCCCGCCAGTCGTCCAGCGCACCGACGGCACCGCTGCCCCAGCCGCCTGCTAGGGATGCATCGCGGAGCCGCGGCTCTGATGTCAGTGCCATCGCAGTGCGCCACCACTTGCAGGTCGACGAGGACCGCGAGGAAAAGGTTGAAGGCCGCGACTCGTATGCCTCCGACGAGCAGCCGTTGCCGGAGATGGTGCTGGCTGAGTGGCTCGGGGCACCCGCCGATGCACCAACTGGCGCCGGCACAACGCAGGCGAGCACACCGCCACCGCGCCCGGCGAGCTTCGCGGAGAAGCGTGGTGTTGTGGAGGCGCTGTTGGCGCGCGTGGCCGATCTTGAGAGCCGGTTCGCGTGCGTCGAGGCGGTGCTGGGCGGGCTGGAGCACGAGCTGGACCAGCTACTGCGTGGCCGCACTGAGCCGGTTGTGCGCCGCGGCAAGGTCGTCGATCCAGCCGCTGCCCGGAAGCCCGAGGTGCGCGTGCGCGATAGCCTATCCGACTCGCCAGCTGATGCTGAAGACGATGGGTTCTGGCGCCGCGAGAACCTGACGCGCTACGTCAGCCAGTCACAGGCTGACTTTGACGAGGCCACCACGCAAACCCTTGTGTCAATCATGGCCATGCTGCGCGGCCTGTCGTCTGTCCGCCAGGCCAAGCAGGCCATGGCCTCCATCGACACCGTGCTGGCCAACCTCAACCTGAGCGACAGCCAGCTGCCGCGCTAGCTTCAGATACCAGCACACAGGGAGGCTTCGAGCGTGGAAAGCGACCCGACTCGACAAGAAAGCAAATGCTGAAGTGTTTTTTTATCAAGAGTTAGCTGCTCCTCTCATCAATGACAAGAAATGAAGGGATCTGTTCTTGGGCGCTCTCCTTTTATCTTTTGCTGCAGCATGTCTGCTAAGGTACGTGTGCTGTTGAAGATGTGCGTCTTCCGCAGCTTGCTGTCTCTGGCCCTGGCCCTGGCCACATCAATCCATTCGCTCCAGATGCCTTTTGTATGGATTGTTTATGCTTAGTTGAGCAACAGAATGAATGCTAAGTGAATGATACAGATAAAGTAAATAAATAAGGCAGCGCTGGCTACATCAGCTTGAGCGCAAACAGCAGCAGGCTGGTGACCAACGCCACGACCAGCACGCCCAGCGGGAAGACGTTCCGCTTGCGGACGTAGCTGCGCCAGTTGGGTGCCGCAGCCAGCAGCAGTGGCTCGTTGATCTTGTCCTTGACAGCATGCAGCGCCTCCTTGCGCTCAGCAGCGTTGCCGCGCAGCAGCCCGCTCCACTGGAACCGGTCGACGACAAAGATCGCCGTGGCCACCACCATCGACAGCGCCCCCCAGCCGACGAAAAACGCCATCACGTACCGGTAGCTGTGCTGGCTCTCGGCCACCGACTTTGGCCCGTTGTCCTGCAGCGCTCCCACTACTATATCCACGATGGTTGACCCGATGTTCGTCGCCGACTTGTAGATCCCCAGCCCCGTGCCCAGCGAGCTCGCCGGTAGCAGCAGCGAAATCGCTGTGATCTCCGCCAGCGGGCCCAGCGCCAGTGATACTGAGAACGTCACCAGCCCGACCAGCGGGTTGACCATCGTGAACCCCAGCAGCACCATCGACACCGTGAATGTCGCTGTCGAGAGAACCAGCAGGTCTGTGCGCAGCCCGAACCGGTCCAAGAACCACCCCAGGAACGGCACCAGGAATATAGGCATGATCTGCGATACGCTGGCCGACCATGCCGCCACTGCGTCGTTTGCACCGAACCGCAACTTGACCAGCTCGCTGTTAATATGCAGGAAGCTGGTCCACCCGCCGCCCAGCGTGAATGACTCCACGATGATCATCCAGAATATCCCGAAGAAGAAGAACACCAGCCGCAGGTTGAAGCGGTGCTTTTTGCGCAGCCGCTCCACCGCCTCCGCTGACATCTCGCGCCGGATCCGCCGCATCGTCACCATGTACACGATGTTGATTGCGAATGACAGCGCACACACCACAAAGTTCGCCCAGAACGCGGCCCCGTAGAACCCAAACCGATCGGCGATCGGAATTGCCGTGCCCATCGACAGGAACGACGCCACCCGCGACGTTGTGATCTGGATTGCAATGGTGATTGCCAGGCCCTTGCCCTTGAACCAGCTGCCCAGGATGGTTTCCTGCACAACGATTATTGTCCCTGACCCGAGCCCGTACAGAATCCGCCCCACCACCATCGTCGAGAACGACCGGCTGTGCGTCGACACCGAGATTATCAGGTTGCCCACCATGATCAGGAACGTCGAGATCAGCGATCCCGAGGTCGTCCCAAACGAGTCAATAAACAGCCCGCCCAGCACCGGCAGGATAGTATTCACCGCCGATACCGTCGACTGCAACGCCCCGTACTGCGTGTTGGTTATTCCGTACTCCTAATGTCCAGCAAAAAAGCCAGCATCAATTGTGGAGTCCTGCACCTGCATGCATTTGAATGCAGAGAGCTGTCGCCTGCATCGAACTGCTTGTGCTCTTACCTTCTTGATTGTTGACTTTAGTGCTCCCAGCGTATGCGCCGAGTAATGGCTTCCAACTATACACCAAGTTGAATGGCCCACCGAGAATCAGGAAACAAAGTGAAATTAATTAATGCATGGGGCTGGAAAGTCACTGATTCACCCAGCAAGCCAGCAAGCCAGCAAGCCAGCAAGCCATCCACTGCCGCCCGCTCTGGGCCAGCTGACTCTGAGGAATTCAAGGTGACCTGCCGAACGAACGCTGGGCATTAAACAGAACTGGGGAGGAGGGAGGGGTAGGAGTTGCGCGTGAGCGAAAGGCGGAAAGGAGTGGCCTGCCTGATACGCAGGAGGGGGAGGGGAAGTCAGCGACCAATGCCCAGTAAAACAAGTACAACCACAGGCTGAGACCTGTATCACTAGTGCCATCCCACCACCAGGTCTCTCCACCACCCAAGCTGTCCTCCTCCCCCCCCCCAAAAAAAAATCCAGCAACATCTACAGGAGCCCTCCCAGCGATAATCGCTCAGCCAGGGGGAGGGATTGCTCTATTCTCTTCAGAGCTGCCTACGATAAGCCCTTAGCCAGCTCCCCCGCAAAGCGGTTGCTTACCTGAAATAAGCAGTGCACACACCAGCGCCAGGAATTGGTAGCCGTAACGTCTCTGTCCCCACGCCTGCTCAAAGTCCGTCAGTTCCTCGGCCGATGCCGTCGATGCACGGTGCTGTGCCAATCCTTCCTCGCTAAATTCTCTTGAGCTCTCGCGCGACGCTATGCTGGAGAACTCGCTGCGGAGCAGCGGCTGGTCGGGCGAGGGTGCTTCGCGGTAGCCGTCAATACGACCCATGTCTGTGTGTATTGTAAGGTCTGTCAGTTCGACTGGACTCTGTCCGCTTTCATCAGGTGGCGAAAAAGGTCTAGAGTGGAAAGTGTTGGGAGAAGAAGAGGAATGCAAAGGCCGAAAGCTCATAGTTTTTCTTTTTTAAGACAGCTGAAGTGCACAGCTGACTATTTATCTGACAACGCTCCTTTTTTTCTTCAGGTGAACAAATAGCTGTGAAAGGTGTTAGAGGATCCCGCTATTCCTCTTGCCTAGCCTACACTCTGAGCGGGAGGGCGATTCGCTCGCTCTGGCCAATCGTGGCTATTGTGGTACGCGGGCAGCGAGTGCCTTTTGCCTTGTCCTTTTGATCGGAACTTCCGAAAATGGTGCGAAATTGAGAAAGATGCGTGGAAAAGAAGGAGCAACCACATACACACAAGGTCGGACATCTGATGAAGCGGCCATCGCCTACCTCACGCACAGTGCATGATAGCTGGCAGGCAAATGCTCTGTTTCCCACACGCACATCCCTCCGGCATTCGGTCAGATAAGCCTGACGGACTTTCCAGCTCGTTTATCCTGTCAGAAGGTGCAGCTGGCAGGGCGCAAGGACCGCTGCATGGCCGAAGTCAATGTCCGATTATCGCGTCTCGCAGAGGGCTGAAGGCAAAAGCAGCTCCCAGTGAATAGTGCGACCGATAGGTGCATCTGGATCGACAAGACATCGTGACTCCTCTCCCGGCATCGGCTTATCTGTTCGACAGATATACCGATTGCCAATACGTTCCATGAACTCCTGGTACCACCGACAATGGCTGTGATAGCATAGGCCAGTCTGAGCCACGGGTTGACTGCACAGACTCACTGATCTGAGCAGGCTGAGGCTGCAAGCTCGTGCTCTCATTGTCTGTGACTGGTAAACTCGGGACGCAGACTCACGAGTCTAAATTAAAGCTGCCCTCAGCCAGGCCACAGTAGTCTGCCAACCATAAAAAAGCCTGCACCAAAACCAGGGCCAAGACGATAAACCAGTAGAATCCTGAGTCATTTCACCTCCTCTTTCTCGCTTTCGCGCCATTACACTTTTGAGCCAATTTACTCCACCAAATGACGAAGAAAGAACCAAACCATCACAGGGTTCCGCGGTTCCCGACTAAGAGGCAGCTGAATTCGTATCTTCATAGCAGCAGCTCGTCCATTTCAGCGCAAATTGAGCTGTTCGAGTTTATTCTGAACTACGTGAAGGAGAACGCAGACCCCACTGTCTCATCGATGGCTATCCTGCGCTACATGGCCGAGCAGGGGCTCGACGAGGAGGCCCTCGGGTGCCCTATTGGCGAGTGGCTGGGACACCCGACGTTCGGCCCGCATTTTGTGCTGACGGAGCCGTGCGGCCGCCACTTCCTGGTTGCCCTGGGCAACGAGTATTCGCACGACAAGATGCGCAAGAAGCTGATCGCTGACACGGCCTTGGAGCTGTACGATACGCTGGCTCCGACTCTAGAGGACAGCGAGATAATCACGTTCGAGATTGCGATGTTTGCCAGAGTAAGAAACCTGTGCTGGTTTGCGGGCAACTGATTCCTTTTTACTGCCTGCTCGGGTGATGCATGAGACACATGGGACAATGCATATTCTCTAATCACATGGCCTCTTCTTATTTCCATAGACGTCTGCGACGACAAGTCCTCCACAGTTTCTGGTCACCGATATCTTGAGCCGGATCGAGAAGGCAGCTGCCACGGTGACCACTCTCCCGGTCAAGGCAAACCTATTTGGGTCATCAAAGTTGGGGCTGTCGGGCAACGGGAGCGATCTCGACATTGCGTTGCAGATTGGCGGCATCGGCCTTGACAAGGTGCTGATGCGCGCCCTGAGTCTTCGTCTGGATCAGTTCGGCATAGCCAACGCCTTCTTTATTTCGCATGCGCGAATCCCGATGATCGAGTGTGTCGATATGGCCAGTGGCATTGATTGTGATATCACACTCAACAACACCATGGGCCATATCAAGACTGCATGCCTGGCAGCGTACCTGAGGTGCGATCCGCGTGTGGGCCCGCTGATAGTCACCATCAAGCAATGGGCCAAGTGCCGGCGCATCAACGATGCCGCCAACGGGATGCTCAACAGCTACGGCTATACGGTCATGCTGCTGGCCTTTCTACAGGAGCGCGGCGTGATACCGCCGCTGCAGCAACTGACGACGCTGGACAACCCCGAGGACTGCCTGTTCTCAGAGAACAAGCTGGTTGCGCTGTACAACGGCCAATGCTTCAACACCGACGAGGTGCTGCCAGATTTTGTCGAGTGCGGCGTGTACACGCACTTTTACGAGCCGGCTGTGGCCGAGTGGAAGAGTCCAAACACTGAGTCACTGTATCAGCTTCTGTACGGCTACTTTTACCACTACGGCATTGCGCACGACTTTTTGGGCTCCGCAGTATCAGCGCGCGCAGGCACCACGTCGTTGCCGATGTCGCACTTGCTGGGCGGAAGACCGCGCGTCATAAGCCGGCCCTGGATTATCGAGGATCCATTCGAGCCGGGTATCAATCTGTGCAAGGCGTCGATGCGCAATCTATTTGGCATCTACCGTGAGTTCCAAACCGCAGCGTACGTGCTGAGCACCAGTGACTCACTGTTCGCGCTGTTTGACGACAATCTCGAGGTCACCGACTCGGATATGTGCTTCATTGCGTACTGCAAGAATGAAATGTACAACAAATTCAAGGCTGAGTTTTGATGATCGTGTTTGTCGCAAACAGATGCGACATCTCCAGCCCCCGCTCTGACCCAGCCACCACCACTCTGCCAGCCCAAGCTTTTTTACAATGATTTTTTGCTTGGGCCATTCACCTCTCCAGTCTTCTTGTTGCTCACACAGCCCAGCAAGTCCACCTTTGTTTACCGTATGGCATCCATTCAGACACTGGTATTTCCCAATAAACAGCACCTACGCCTCCTTCATAGAAAAGTCAAAGCACTATGCAATATTTACCTTCGTGCCCAAATACCGCAACTGTCATAGCACACGAGCATGCCATTCAGAAACCTCCTCTAAAAGGAAGCCCTTTTCCGAGTGGGCTAGAATGCAGCACTCTGTGCACAATATGCGGTTCCCCACAAGCAGCATATTTGGACGAAATTTCGCGCTTGTTCTTAATTCCACAGCCTGTGTCGGACAAAAATCCCAGAACGGGAGGCTCACGCGAATGGTGGCATTTGGATCCTCTGGCGCTTTGGTGGTGGAATTGCCCAGAGCCAAAGCATAGGGATCGCTGCGCTAATAGCAGTGCATTGGCTGGGATATCCACTGGACATGGGAGTGCCTCTTCCGGGGTGGATATTGGTCACTGCACAAGAATAGCCAGGCATCCATACGCAGAAGAGGGGCGTCATGGGCTCATCGGTTTGGTCAATTTGGGCGAGTACAGAATCTGCTGATGCTCAGTCAACGGACGCAAAAGGAGCAACAAAATAGCATGGCCAGTTTTAGGTTGGCCAACGCTAATATCGTTCATATATGGACTGCATTTCCAGATAATAGCAGGCATCTGGCGGTCCGTGAGGTCTACAATGAACAAGGCAAAAGAATTGCAAGCTTGACTGTCACAATTCTCGGGCTCCTTATTCCCAAACGACGTTCGTTTTGTTTCGCGTTACCAAGGCGAACAGTGTGGAGACACAATTGCCGCCAAGAAGAGCGCTTTGGTTGGCTGCACATTTGTTTTCAAACGCCAGTTCATCGCCCACAAGGATTATTTGCGGCAAGCTACGCAACAAAGGAGTTTTTTGTTGTACCGAGCGTTCCAGAGGGGACATGAATAGGTGCTGGTTCATTTCGCCGAAAGGGCAAATGTCAGGCTGACAATTGCTCCCACGCACTCCCGAGAGACAACAAGAGTGAAAATCATCGGCAAGCCAGGCGCTTTGCAGTGCATTTTTGCTTAATGTCTGAACATGGCACGTCATGGACATTTCTGGCAGGCGGAATTTTGCCTCTTGGGCAGCTGAGCAGCCCAGAGCAGAGGGCGATAGCAGTGTCTTGGCTACGGAAAAATGACGCCCACACCCGCGCAAGGTCGAGTTGCCAGACAATATGTGCTCGTTGCAAACAATGCATCGCTCATAATTCGGTTTTCTCTGAACTTATTGCCCGCCCACTGCTAGGTATTTTGCTTTGGAATGAAGAAAATAGCAATAGTGCGTCGCATATTGAGCGACCGAATTGTGTGTGCTGGGAGTGCGATCTCTGAATCGCTCCGTCCTGGAGAGGGCATGTTTCGTAGATGCCCTTGTGCCCCGCTAGTCTATATCACCCTTTCCTAACATGGCAACTATTGATGCCGACAGCACACGATCGCACATCAATTATGCTGGTCAAGAAGAGCAGCCGTGATGGTGACGACGACGATGGTGCTGGTGCTGCTGGCATCAGCTGTGCTCCTTGCGCAAGGGCATGGCGTGGATATTGTATATGAAGTCCGGACCCAAACAACTCTGAGCGCTATGCCTTGACATCAAGCCATCTTGTCCCGGGCCATTTCAGCCTTTCCTTCTTTGCATATCAGCAACAGGCCAAGCTGGGTTATTAATAGAAGCGCTTGCGGATCAAACAAGTCACCAACGATAGACCGGGCAGCCCGTCGATTCGACGCAGCAAGGAAAAAAGATGGCGTAGCAGGCGAAGCCTGGGCTGGGCATAGTCGCTGGTATGCGGATGTGCGTGCCCGTGTATGCATGCCAGCTCGCTAATTGCCTGCGCAACAGGTTTTTGCGCATGTTTACCAAAAATTGCTGCAGCTGCTCCTCCGAAGTGCATACGACTATCATTATCAAATTATTTTTCTAATGCCACCAGCCACTCGCCTCCCTCGTTGCTGCCTGTTAAATTAGCTCTTTTCGGGATCTACCCTTCGCCTCTCCCTCCCCACCCCCCGCGTTGCACATGGCGTCTCAACGACGTGGAAAAACACACCGATGATGCCGCAAGCGATACAAGCCAGCAAGAGAGGAGGCGCGGACCGCTGCTTTCCTGGTGCCTTCCTGGTGCCTCCAAGAGACGACATGCCGAGTAGTCCGGGCTGGTCCAGGGATTGATTGAAAGCGGACATGTTGGCTTCTGAGTCGCTTCTGTTCCTCGAAATGGCAAGGCAGCCAGGGCGTGCAACCAGTGGAGCCACTGGCGTAGGCTGAGGGGCCATGGGTGAGATCATGGTGTGCGAGGTGACTGGCCAGCAGCATGGTTACGCCAAGCGCAAGGCTAGGAGGATGGGAATCGCGCGCGAATGAGGCGCCTGCGTCCTGGCGGGGCCACCCTCGCACAGTGACGGTGAGAAAAGCCGTGAGCCGCAAACATACGACCCAGTTGTTTTTTATTTTGCAGCCTTGGGCCGAGAGATAAGCAACCCCCCTGGCCTCCCCAGAATTGCAGCGAGGAAAATAAAACCCCTCGCTACCCAAAGTGTAGGCGGGGATGCCCGTCCGGATTGGCTCGCTTTCGGAAGCAAGGAGGCTTGGGTGTCACAGTGCAATAATTTACGAATTGTTGGGCGCCCGCGGAGAGGGGAGGGTCCCTCCAGGGCGGGGAGGGGTGTGCCGCACCCGCCCCGTTTGAAATGTGCGAGTTCTAAACATGTCGCCGTCGCCTAACTTTTTTGCTAGCAATAAGGCAAAAATTTGATGTTCATTGTAATCCCGGAGCGAAGCACGACACCAGTGCAGACAATTCCAATAGGGTGGTTGGCAACCCCGGGCGCGTACCTTTTTTAATTCCTCCACAGTCTGCGAAATATTGGGCCTTTTTCACAGGCAAGCACAAAAAATTTTTCTCCTTGCCTTGGTGGTCGTGCTGGTGGGCGCTTTTTGGGCTAGCCGAATAAATCTGCGGACATTTGCTCCATTCCAAAAAGTCGAGCACATTGCCTCTACATAAAGCTATTCCTCTCTTCTCTCCTTTTTTCCCTTTTCATCCACTTGCTCACACTTTTTATCCTCTGCAATATAATCACATTGCCTTTTCTGCACTCGAGCCTTTTTTAGCCCCACCTCTCCCCTCGCACCAAATCCCCCACACTCAGTGCTGGCCTGGCCCGACCCGACCTTTGCACGCACGCACTCACACCACTCCCACGGCGGCTGTTCTATCGCTCGCATATCGAATCGTTCCATCCTAGTCTCGCTTTTATTATTTTCGGTGCTCGATCCACCCGCATATTCTGTTACTACTGCCATACCGGAAAAATTACCAGCACATAGGCTCTGATAGATTACAGCCACGGCCCTGTCTTGTGCCTCAGACCGCCATCAAACCCACATCCCCACACACTTTGGACCGTTAAGCTATACAGCACAAAGGAGGCTGTCCCTGTCTCATTAGCGCTATTCAGCTTTATTTGAAATCAACAGCCCCTCTGTCTGTCCATTTATAGCAGGGTGCGCTCGCAAGCTCGGCTAAACAACAATTGAAATCGAGCCTCTTTTGCTTCTTTTTTCGCACACTTTATTTATTTCCCCCGCTATTCTGTTCAATGTACGGCGCTTACGAACCCAAGGCCCTCGGATACCCTGACAACCTCTCGATTTCTTCTACAGACACAGCAGCTCCCACCCCCACGCACTCGTCGGCAGATCACCACGCTTTTAGAATGAACGCAGCCTTCCCGCCTGAGGACCCGGCCAAGCAGCTGGCCGGCGTCTACCCGAACGATCCAGCCACTGCGCTGCTCTTGGATCAGCAGAACCAGCACCACCACCAGCACCAGCAGCAGACCCAGGATTCATCGCGCACACAGACGCCATCAGCCAAGCGGTCGCGCGAGGACGACGAGTCGGACGGCGAGTCTGAGGGCAACGCGAAGGGCGACACCAAAGACGAGAAGCGGGCCGGTCGGCGCAAGATCAAGATCGAGTACATCGAGGATAAGAGCCGGCGGCACATCACGTTCAGCAAGCGCAAGGCGGGCATCATGAAGAAAGCGTTCGAGCTCAGCACGCTGACAGGCACCCAGGTGCTCCTGCTGGTTGTGTCCGAGACCGGCCTCGTCTACACCTTCACAACGCCCAAGCTGCAGCCCATCGTGACCAAGCCTGAGGGCAAGAACCTGATCCAGGCCTGCCTCAACGCGCCCGAGCTGCCCGACGCCAACAACCAGGTCGTCCAGCCGACCCCGACCGAGTCAAACAGTTACATGTCGCAGCCGCGCCAGGCGTATGCTGCCAACGCGGCTCAGGTTGCGCCTAGCGTCATTCCCAGCGCCACAGCTGCGGGCCACGACGCTGCGGCTGCGGCTGCCGCCGCCGCTGCACAGAGCATGTCGGGTGCTGACAACGGGTTCGATCGCAAGCTGCACTCTGGTTCGCCCGCCGGCGTCAACCATGCCACAGCGTACCTCCAGCAGTACTACAACGGCCAGCAGGCGGTCGTCGCTGCCGCCGCAGGCATGCCTGGCGCATACTCCTCAAACAACTCGATGGGAGCATATGCTGCGGCTGTCGCAGGCTACGGCTCGTACCCCGGCAGCAACAACCACTCCCAGCACCACTCGCCCATCGCTGCCAACGTCGCTCCCCACACACCTCAGCCGGTGAACGGGATCTCCGCTGCAGTGGCAGCCGCCGCGTCCAGCATGCCGACAATGGGCAGCCTCGCCAGCTACCACCACCAGACGCCGGGCCAGCAGCAGCAGCCGCTCCCGAACTTTCAGTCTTCACAGTCGCAGACACCGACACATGGATTGTCCACCCCCGGAACCCCGTCGGTCTCCAACACATCCGTCTCAGCAGCGGTGGCAGCTGCAGTGGCGGTAGCCAATAGTGGACATGCCCAGGGCATGCCGTCACAGCAGCAGCAGCAGCAGCACCATGTTGCCTACATGTCGGCCGCCAACCAATACTGGCCTTCCACCGGCATCCACACGCAGCAGCCGCAGCAACCGTCGCAGGTCTCGTCCGCGACTGTCGCTGCAGCCACTGCCGCTGGTGCCCAGCGTCCCGGGTATTCTAGCTGAGGAAGCGTAAGAAAGGGATTTCAACTCTGTCTTGAATGGTTGTAAATAACTTCAATTTTTATTCACTTTTTTATTGCCTTTTCCATCCTCTCTAACCCTAACCAAAAAATAAAGAAATCTCAACGCACCTCCCGCTTCTGGCTCCTGCCATTTTCAGTACCATTCAGAGCAGGCGACTGTTGGCCACGCTTTTCTGTGAAAGTCCCTGCACTCTGGGCAAGCCCTAGGGTCCCTGTGCCCATTATACTAGCGGATCCTTGCTGTATTCATGGGAAGGATGGGCAAAAACCGCATGCATAGCCATTCTGTGCTCTTTGGATGATCCCTCGGAATATTTGCTTTTTCTTCTTCGTGTATCATCACCAGCCTTGCGTTCGCTGCATTCCCCCGACAAGCACACGCGAGCTTTCCTTCTCTCTTTGCGAGTTCTGCGTTAGCCGCCTTTACCACATAAACCCCTGCTTCTGACGTTCAAAGCTGAACGCTCCCGTGACTATTGTTTTCGTCCCGCCAAAAGACAACCATGCTGCGAATCCCCCTCTCGCAATCCCGCGGCCGGATGCTACGTGCAGGCAAGTCATTATCATGAGTGTTTTTATTATGCACAAAGCCTCAAACAGAAGCCGCAGATTGTGCTTCTGCTTTGGCCAAAACGGGCAACCTGTGCCCTCCACGCCAGCCAATATGTGTTATATGCAAGGTCATATGGCCATGGTGGCATTCTTTCGCCGATGAAAAATCACGAGAAGCCTCCCCACACAGAGCCGGGAGCCATGTCCTCCTCTCCTTAGCACAAAATGATTATGTGTGCACATGCATGTCGCCAAACATCAGCCCCTATTGTTCGGCGTCTCCCCGAGCCCAGAAAGGGAAAAGTGAAAGGGGACCACAGCACTCACATTCTGCCTGCGCACTCGATGCTCGCTGTGTTTCGCGTCTCGTGCGTCATACCCCTGTCCATCGTTTCCTCACTGTAGCCCCGCATGCCCGGTTCTCGTCCAGCCTGGCACATCCGAAACTCGCTACTCACCTGCGCACTCACACCTGCGGCGACCTCACCGCGTCGCACATCGATCAGCAGGTGAAGCTCTGCGGCTGGGCGCAAAACATCCGTGTGCTCTCCGACACGCTTGTGTTTGTGCAGCTGCGTGACGCCTACGGCAGCATCCAGCTGCTCGCCGAGCAGAGCAAGGTGGGCGATTTCGAGAAGCAAAAGCGCGTGCTGGAGCAGCTCAATCCTGACACGCTGATCGGCGTGCAGGGCACCATTGTGCGCCGCCCCGAGGCGACTGTCAAGCAGGACGGCGCCGGCGAGATTGAGCTGCTCGTCGACAACATCGAGGTGCTCAACCACACCGAAAGCCTCCCGTTCAGCCCGTACATCAAGGAAAAGCTGGTAAGCCTCCCCCGACCGCCACCCGTTTTACCTTTACGGCTATAGCGAGGCGCAGCATATGACTAGCCTCCACGATCACTCCTTCGTCATGCTTACCGACGGCAGTCTGCCCACCCCCGACACACCCACACCTCCACACCACTGTAGCCCGGTGAAGACGTCAGGCTGGCGCACCGGTACTTGGATCTGCGTCGACCAGAGCTGCAACGCAATATCCGCACCCGCTCCAAGGCAACCATGGCGATTAGGAGCTTTATGGACGAAAACGGTAAGCTCCTACACTTGCATTTTTCCTTGCTGTACACGGTGGAATACCGCACTGGAAAAGAAACTTCGTCGCCACAGCACAGCGCAATGCAGCACGCATCAACGTGCAGACGCAGACGCAGACACACACTCACCCACCACTCTCCAAAGCTTGTTGCGCTCGTGCGCTGCCTGCCCGCGCGTATTTTCTGACCCTGTCCTGTCGCCCCGATTGCGTCTCTCGCTGTACGCCCCAACAGCAGCAACCAAAAAGACAACACTACATCATTTTGCTGACGATCCCCTTATACCCGGCTGGCTCAGCGCTGACAGACGAACCACAGTCGTGCGTTCTGTAATTTTACATGCAGTTCGACTGAATTCCTAGCCCATGTCGCCAATGAGACTGCTGCCCCAGTAATTGATTTCTCCGTGGTTGCTGCGCGAAGACGGCTCCTGCTGCCCCGAATTTTCACATCCCCCCACCACAGCGCGCTGAATAAACACGCCTGTCTATTCGTAGGATTCGTGGATATCGAAACGCCCACGCTCTTCAAGTCCACGCCTGAGGGCGCCCGCGAGTTCCTTGTCCCAACAAGGATCGACCCTGGCTCTTGCTATGCGCTTCCGCAGAGCCCCCAACAGGTAAGCCCAATGGCCAGCAGCAGGGAGCATGCTGGCGCTTTTGGATATTCGGCGTTCGGACATTAGGTCCGCACTGCATGGCCCCCTTGCTCGCCACGGTTCTGTTTGGCTGGGCGTGGATTGGCTTCTTCTGAAGGCCCGCTAATGAGGCAGTTTTTAGCCGCCTTCTGTTGTTGTTTTACACACGTATTACTAGACCGACTGTTGCTCTGGACTACTGTTCCGGACTGCGCTATCCTGGTGAAGCTTGCCGTTTTTGCATTCTGGTGGTCCCTACTTGCCGCTTCATTTGCCCAACCGCCAAACTGTGCTGCCATTCACGTCTGTTATTGAAATTAACTCGCGGAGACGCGGGCCCGTGGAAATATGTAGTTTAAGCAGATGCTAATGGCGGCGGGGTTCGACCGCTATTACCAAATCGCGCGCTGTTTCCGAGACGAAGATTTGCGAGCTGATCGCCAGCCGGAATTTACACAGGTACGTGGATGCGAGCCGGCCCAGCAACAGCGCTGGGAGCATAGGAGACAAACAAACAGGTCCTTGGCACACCCCTGGAACATCGCAGGCGAACCAGCCTGCTTCCTTGTTTTCAAAATATTATGACGGATCGGCCGTGCATTAACTTTAGCTCCTCTGTTGTCGAGAAACCGACGATATGATTACCCGTTTATCCATGGCGCTCGCCTGTGGAACGCTGCGACGCCTGTATCTTTTTGCTGTCTTGCCTGTAGGTTGATGTCGAAATGTCCTTCATCGCAAAGGCCGACATCCAGGACCTGATGGAGCGCCTGATCCAGCGCGTCTGGAGCGAGGTCAGGGGCATTCACGTGAAAGCGCCCTTCAGGCACATTTCCTTCACCGAGGCAACAAACAAGGTAGGGCTGGGCTTCCAGAAAAGCCGTGCTTGGGTGTACCAAACAGGGGACACCACAGCCGGGAAGCCGCCGATCTGCGTTACACGCATATATCCCATCAACTTTATCCCTAAGAGCCCACCTCCAGCAAACAATTACCCTGCTTCTGTGTAGTACGGCTCGGATAAACCAGATACGAGATTCGGCCTGGAGGTAAGCTGGCGTGGAAATGGCGCCATACGCGCACTGATAAGGGGCATGAGCCAAGGGGATCTGTCGTTGCGGAAGTTCCCGGCACCGTGCAGCCGCGGGTTTTCTGCACGCTCCAGCGCTGGCACGTCGACTAAACCTTCTCTTTCCCTCGTTTCGTCTACTGCATGACATGCTAGATTGCCCAGGTCCCAGAGCTGTCGAGCCCCGCCGATCATGCGATAGCCGAGATACTTGTGGTGCCAAATGGTGCCAATATCTTTTCTTCAAAGGAGCTAGCGCCCCTCGCCGACCTGATCCGCAACAGCCAGAGCAACTGCGAGTCGAGGGTAAGTGACGTCCGGATATTTCTCTTTTGGCTGCCATTCGCCGCCAAAAAAAAGATAATGACCGAATCATGCATATAGTGCCCATCCTACTAACATTGTATCTCTACAATGGTTGTAGTTTACTTCAATTCACAAGGTTAGCAGGGGCACTGTCACTGGGCTCAATAAAGCCACTTTGCTCGCGCGCCATCAGGCAGCGTCTCCAGCAGCTGACCTGTCTTCCATCCTCGCCTCACTGCATGTATCCGATGGCGACCTATTGTTTGTCAGTGAGAGGTCCTCCTATGTTACCCCTGCAAACACCACCCTTGGTCGCGTGCGCTCACTGGCTGCCAAGATGCTGCAAGCCAAGGGCGAGCTGGACATTCCCAAGGATGCTTTCAACTTTTTGTGGGTTGAGGAGTTTCCGTTGTTCACCTGCGAGGAGGACGACGCGCACGGGAGGCTGTCTGCCACCCACCACCCATTTACCGCCCCTGTCCCTGAGGATCTGCCGTTGTTGTACACTGACCCGACAAAGGTAAGTTCCTGGACATTGTCTCTGCTTGTTGATTCCTACAGCACTGTGCTTCTTAACAATTGTCCTGCAATATGTCCCTTCGTAGGTCCATGGCCTGCACTATGACCTGGTGCTGAATGGCGTCGAGCTTGGTGGTGGGTCGATTCGTGTCCATGACCCGGCTGTGCAAAAGTATATTTTCAAGGAAATCCTCAAGGTAAGACCAGCTGCTGCCACAACGTGCCTTGTTCCTTTGAAATAGCCAACTATTTGGAGGATGCCAGCTAACACCTGTGTTTGTTCGACCGTGCTGTGTAGCTGCCCCAGGAAATCCAGGCCAGCTTCAACCACCTGGTCACTGCCCTGGGCCATGGATGCCCGCCGCACGGCGGTATTGCGCTTGGTTTGGATAGGCTTATTGCAATCCTGACCGATTCTGCCAGTCTGCGCGACGTCATTGCTTTCCCAAAGTCTGCCAATGGAAGAGACCTGTTTATGAAGTCGCCTGCCCAGGCAACCCCAGCGCAGTTGGCCGAATACGGCATCAAGGTTATCCCAAAGACCGAGTAGTAGACCTTTTTTCAACTCTTCGATTAGATATCTACAGACATTACTAGAAATACTCTGCTCGCGATGCGAGCTCGGCTGCTAGTCAGCATGGGTTGACACGTCGATAAGGGCATCACGGCGAACCGGTCATTTGAACGTGTCAGATGGTTGTTGGTGCAATGTCGATCATGGACATCTCCCACCATGGTGGCCTGCTCAGCGTAGGCGCTTCAGCGCTGGCTCGCTGCTGCTGGCAACAGAATCGCCTGCTGCTACACGCCTCTTGTCTGGCTCCTTTGTTGCCGGAATGGTGCCAAAAGCATCGGCAGCAATGGCTGTAGAGCGACGGAACCGTTCAGGAATACTGCCTGAATCACAGAGTGACTGGAAAATGAGCCTGAAGTTTAGAGCTGCTGCGAGGTCGCGGTTCAAGAGCCGAGACGAATAGGCCCGCCTGTATTGTGCCATGGCCCGCTTACATGACTCGCTTGTACAGCGGAGAAGGCCATGGCACTTCGCAGTTGGGTTCTTCGATCTCTGGTAGGGCCGCGGGTTGGGAACATGCCGGAATGTCTGCAGCGACTTTTCGCAGCAGAACGGGCACATCGACGATGTCCGGAATTCGTCGATCAGATAGACTTCAAAGCCATGGTGCTTGAACTTGTCGCGCCATCCCTTGCCACGAATCGGCGCATGGTGTCGGGCCATCGGCGCACTCCAATTGCCCATGATCAGCACTGGGTCTGGACCGAACTTGCTCCGGAGTTTCGCGGCAAGCCTGTGGTCTGCACGGGCCTGGTTCATGAATGAATCAAGGCGCAGCTTGCGGTGAAGCGGGTACACCTTGGGACTGGTACTGACACCCGGATGGGCCTTCCAGCGCCTTTGGTGCTGCTTGTTTGACTTAGTGGGCTGCTGCTCTGGTATCCTTTGTGCTGCCATTGTGTTGGCATAAAACGGTGCTAGGACACACTGCACAGATGCACGGGCAGCAACGTAGGCACGGAATTTTGCTGGGCTAAGGGTCCGGCAGCAGTGCTTGGAAAGCTCTGCCTCTGCTCTGTGGACAGCATCTTCTGGGACTTGATCCTTTGTAGCCCAACGAATCCTGTCATAGTGGCACAGCTTGAGCTCCTTATTGCGCTGCTGCTATGTGTAGCGGTAGAGCATTCTCTCACCCTCTTTCCCATTGCTGCTATTTTCGTGCATCATGTATAGCAAATCGCCACGACCTGGATCGATGAATACACAGCGGCCTTTCAGATTCTGCAGCTCTGGCTGTGGGATCCAGTGGATATAGCGACAGTCAGCTGTAGCATCGCCTCCCACAGCATCGCCTCCTGCACCATCAGCATCTACTGTACCATCAGCCTTGGTTATCTTGTCTTGTAGCAAAATGCATATCATTACACCATCTGTTGTTGCCATTCCGTAGAATTTTGTTGGACACTAGCCGATTTTTTTTGGACTAACTGTGTAGTCCATCGATAAGTCACTGTGAGGAAAATCCTGACTAGACAACCCACCAACTATGTGACGTTGAGTTTCTCTCTGAAAGAACTTTTCTTTTTTTCTTTTCTTTATCGGTTTAGCCGCTTAGTATTTTCTCATTTCTTATTTATAAAACTTTGCATATAATGCCTCAGTTTACATTAATTTTTCTATCACCATGCGCCTTAGATGGCTTTGATGTTAGATCTGCGACCCGGCCCCACACATCCCACACAGGTTGTGTGATCCCTTGGACCGGGTCGTGTGCACAGACTGGGGGTACTGGTGCATATGCATTGTTAAGTGCTGCAGTGGCCTCTGTTGTATCTGATGGCATCTTTGCTGCTTCGCGTGCAGCCTTCTTGGCCAATTTTCGCCCTTTTCTACTGCTTTCCTTGCCTCTGTTGCTGCCCTCTTTGCTGCGTTGATCTTGGTAACCTGCTCGCATGTTTTCGAAATAAACACCTGCTTGATTATTTGCTTGTCTAAGCGCACATGGCCTGGGATCCATGATGTCCGCAGAGGCAAGCATTGGGGGGAGACTTGCCAAGCTGCTCATTCTCAATAAGCTGGCATAGGCAAATATATGCATGCAGATGCTTAAGTGGATTTACCTTGGCATCATAGTATCGGCTGTCTTTGGCGAATCTGTACTTGGCATCATAGGCATTAAGCACTGGTGCCAGCTTGTTGTAGATTGCAAGCATCGGTGGGGTGAACACACTGAGATCAGGGTGTCTAGAGGCAACTGCCTGGCAGAGCTTCTGTGCAGGTATGTAAATACATACTTGACATGCATTATTGAACTCAGCCTTGGACACATTGCCCATTGTACTGTGCAGTGTGGTTTTGCGGCTGCGAATATCAATCAATTTGGCCAGAATCCGCTGTAGGCAAGTGCCATAGTGCAACACAATGTTGTTCTTGTATGCTGTCATCAGCTCGGTATCCACGTATGTCGCTACTTGATTCATTTCGCACACGCCATGTAGCTCGATATCGCCATTATGCAATAGATAATCATAAATATGGTATCTAATTATATCACCGAAATCTGCGCTCGACAGTTCTGACTTGTCCTTCTGGTTGACGAAATCCTCGGCAGATATGACAGTCTTCGCCTTCAGGTTGCGATAAATGAATAAATAAACTGAATGAAAGAATCCCTTTTTCACAAGTATTGAAGGGTCAAAAGCATCCCCGTCAGCTAGTTGATGGAGTAATATCCATCGTGCAAGCATGTATGTATGCTCTTTGATGATATTGATGCTGTGTACAAATTGCTCTAGGCGGGGCAACATAGAATCACGGAAGCCAATACCACCAAGTGATGTCTTTATGGCAGTAGTGCTGCGGGTAATATTCATTTGAGAAATTCAATAGGCAAGTAAGAAGAGAAATGATGCTGTTTAGTTTTGCTTTATTGTGTATGCATAGCATTAAGAACTTTTTATTAAGAATGATCTGGATTGGATGGTTTTTGGGGTCCTTAGCACCGATACAGTCTCTTGAATCAGTCTATACAGACTGGGTCCATTGTGGCCCAAATACTACCACTTACGCATGTTCATAAGACAAATTAATTTATAAAATAAACCCACAAATATTGCATAACCACCAGAGGAGCTACATGGCCATATTCAATAGGTGCTCATAAATAAATATCCTAAGGGGGTTGCGCAGCCGGTGATGACCACCATGATGATACCATGGAAGTTATCAGGCCGACCGGCAATGAGAGCAGCTCTTGCGCTGAACCAATGGAGATATATAGTGGAGACCTGTGACCACTACAATAACAACTTGTCACCCTGGTTTCACCGATGAGGTCAGATGCCGCACAAGATCAAAAGGAGTTTACAGAGCAAGTCACCCAAACTCGCTTTGAAGTTAAAAAAGAGATGTATTTTTAACCAGCTAAAAAGATTCTAGCGGACGGTCGGACACTTTTTAGACTATAAAATCTTATATATAGGTAGGCAAAGATACGTGCTACATGTCGCTTTGATAACTGGATCGTTCATCAGTTTTTGGGCGCAAACAGATCCTAGCTGGATTTATTTCTGGAATCACCATGATATCATGCTATCACATGGACATCCATAGCTCTGTAGGAGAGAGGGCGGTACTCCTGCTTTGTCGCTGCCACTAAAAATAGGCTGAGCCAGCTCTAGGCACAGATAGCAGACTGTGGGCAGTAGTGCTTGGCCGTCATGTGCCAGTCGGTGCTGCCTGCAACTCCCCCTTATCCGGAGCCATCAAGAGTACTTAATTTGCGATCGTGTGAACATTTCTGCTCTGCATCTACAGAGCATTTCCGCTATCACTCACATAGACACACTACTCCAACATCTCGGACGACTGCGATGGCTGCTACCGACTCGAATACCTACATCCTCCGCTACTTTGACATCGTCGGAATCGCGGAAACTGCCCGTCTTATGCTCATCCTCAGCGGCGCCAACTGGATCGAGGAGAACCCAGAGTGGCCGGCTGCCAAGGACCAGCAGCCGATGCGTCGTCTGCCCGTCCTAATCGAGAAGAACCCTGCCGGAGAAGTGGTCCTTGAGCTCACCGAGTCGCATGTCATCGAGCGCTATCTTGCTCGAAAGTTTGGATTCATCTCTGCCGAGCCTGCTGCTGCCGCCAGACATGAGCAGCTGCGCGATCAGATGGTCGATATCCAGTTCTCTCCTGTATATGCAATCGAGAGCGAGGGAGCTGCCCGCGAGTACTTCCTTAATAAGTACTCCTCGCTGTCCGAGTGCTTGATCAAGTTCCACACCAAGGTCCTGCAGGCAAATGGCAGCAACGGCCATTACTTTGGAGACAAGACATCTTATGTTGACCTGGCGCTGTACGCATTCGTCAGCTTCCTCCGCACTCTAGCTGAGGACAAGGGCATGCAGTTTGCCGAGGTCTTTGACCCAGAAAACGTGCCCGAGTTCGCCAAGGTTGTTGACACGGTCAGGGCCGAGCCAGCGCTGCAAGATCACTTTGCGGGCAAGCGTAGGCGTGCGTCACGGCTTTAGCTGTTTCTTTGACCTTGTTCCTGAATATGACTAAATCATCCTTAGCTAGTGCTGGTGGATTTTTTTGCCAAAGATAAGGAATTTGTCAGCCATGCAAGGCAGCACCACAACTGCTGCATGATGGATCCCTCGTACATGGAAAACACCCAAATAGAGCGCCTTTTCTTGCTGTCAATTACAGTGTCTGCTACTTTGGACTTTTACATATCGCTCTATGGAATTCCAACTGACTAATGAGAACAGCTGACAAATATGTCATGGCTTTGTGGTAGCAGACATAGGCTTGATTGCCCCTTTGTCTGGCTACAATGGCTGGGATATCCAGGTAGCAGAGTGCTGACGTTGCGGTCTTGGCTGATACGGGACCGCAGACGACGTAAGCAGTCTGGGTTGGTATAAAAGCACAGGATGGCTTCCCTCCATCCCACACCTCATCAATAGCAACCTCCTCAAGAACATATCGGCAACTATAGCCTCTAGCTTATATCGACAATGGCCAACACTTCCAGCTACATCCTGCGCTACTTCGATCTGCCCGGACTCGCCGAGACCAGCCGCACCTTGCTCAACTTTGTCGGTGCCCAGTGGGCCGAGGAGCATCCCGAGTGGCCCGCAACCAAGGGCAAACAGCCGTTTGGCCGCCTACCTGTCCTGGTCGAGAAGGACGCCAGTGGCAATGTCATATTTGAGCTCTCTGAGTCTGTGGCTGTTGAGCGCTACATCCTGCGTACATTTGGTCTGCTTCCCACCGATGCCAAGGCTGCTGCGCGCCAGGAGCAGCTGCGCGACCAGTTCACTGATATTCTCCTCAGTATTGTGTACTATGACGGTGCTGAGGATGCTGACAAGGCGAAGCGGAAGGAGAATGCTGTCGCTCTCATAAAAACTGCTGTCAGCGCATACTCAAAGCTGCTACGCGAGAACGGTAGCAACGGCCACTTCATCGGTAGCAATACTACCTATGTTGATATCGCATTCTACAACCTGGTCAGCTTCATCCGTGCCAACAGCAAGGAGAATGATGACGGGTTCGCGTCCCTCCTTTCAGTCGAGAATGCCCCCGAGTTTGAGAAGGTTATCGCTGCTGTCGAGGCTGACTCGGCCCTGCAGTCCCATTTTGCCACTCGCCAGAAGATGGCTATAGCCTGAGAAACATGTTCCCAACTGTTTAGTTCATTTCAATAGTGACCAACATTCATTTGAATGTCATTAAATTCTGATTAATCATTATCAACGTACTTATCCAGCCAGCGGGCGGAGCTGGCCTGAGGGTGATACTCCCTAATAGAGACTATACCCCGAAGCCGGCCCGTGCATCCTACAACCTATTCCTATACTAGCACCCTATCATTAGCTGCTTGTAGACAAGAGCACTGGCCTTGGCCCTATGAATTCCGCTCGTTGCCAAGCTGATTTTATGCCAATCTTACATTCGGATTATGCTGGCATTGGCATTCCACACCACAGTCCAATTTGCCACAAATCCGCTGTGCATAAGACAGTGGTGGGGTTGGTGTGGAAGAAGCGAGATCCAAACGCATGACTAGTGTAGTGACATAAAAGTGACTGCGTGCCAAGCGGAGTCCATAGTGCTTGGCCACAAAGCCATCATGCCTTGGCACAGCCTCATAGTGCGGAAAGCATAGCACCGCCAGGTGCCCCTTCATGCATGGTTCATAGGCTATAAAAGCCCGAAACGCAGCGTTGGTCCAATACTATACAGCACATCAGCATCGGCTATTGCGTGCCTATACCTCGCCACATACCCTACAAGCATCACCACCAGAAACCTGAAAATGACTGGCTTGAACAGCTATGTACTGCGCTACTTCCCGGCTCATGGTGTTACAGAGACGATCCGCCTTCTGCTTGACTTTGTCGGCGCCGAGTGGACTGAGGAGCATCCTGAGTGGCCGGCGAAGAAGGCAGAGCAGCCATTCGGGCACCTGCCAGTCCTCGTCGAGAAGAACTCTGACGGCGAAGTGGTTTTCATTCTTTCCGAATCGCTTGTCATCGAGCGCTACCTCTTGCGCAAGTACAATCTAATGCCGTCCGATCCCACGCTCGCTGCTCGCCAGGAGCAACTACGTGACCAGCTCTATGACACATATGTTGCTATGGGCTATGCCATGCATTCTGATGGAGACTTCAAGCAGATGTTGGTGCGCAGGCGTGACGAGATGCTCGAAAGCCTGACACGGGTTCATAGCAAGGCGCTTCAGGACAACGGTGGCAATGGTCACTTCTTTGGCGACAAGACCACGTACCCCGACCTTGCTTTTTATGCATTTGTCGTACACATCCGTGCTGAGTCGGCAAAGGACGGCTCCGCTGAGCTCACTGCTCACTTTAACCTGGAGGCAGTGCCCGAGTTCGGGAAACTTGTTGCTGCTATCGAGGCAGACCCGGCTCTGCAGAGTTATTTTGCAACGAAGGAGAAGGTCGCACGCGCCTAGTGTTTTCTGTTTACCGTATCAGCATAAAAGCTTTGGATTTGTCAGATTGTGAACTGTTCCGACAATCTGCTCCGACATTACTCCTCAATGCGCGTTGATCCTCCACCTTGGCGCTAACAATATCAGCAACGCCCCATCCGCACATCGGAATATTGTATTTAGAGAGCGTGTCGGTGTTTGCGTAATCGTCGAGGGGCACCAGCTATAAAAGCTGGAAAAACATACAGCCTGATGCGGCTGGACACCAGGCTCTCCTTTTTGACTGAACAAACTACAGACCTATCTACCAAGCATTTACAAGCCGCTATGTCTACTCAAGATTCGCTGTCCTACACCCTCCGCTACTTTGACGTACAAGGCCTTTGCGAGACCACTCGGCTGATACTTGATCTGAAGGGGATCGAATGGACCGAGGAGAATCCAGAGTGGCCGGCGGCAAAGGCTGACCAGCCAGTTGGCCGTATGCCTGTCCTGCTCGAGAAGAACAGCGATGGCGAGGTTGTGTTTGAGCTCACTGAGTCGATGGTCATCGAGAGGTACCTTGCACACAAGTACGGACTCCTTCCAACTGAGCTCCAGGCATCGGCGCGCCAAGAGCAGTTGCGCGATCAGTTCAAAGATATCTGGACCACGTCCATCGTTTACCATCTTGCTGATGATGAGGATCGCAAAGCCAAGCTGAAGGAGAAGTACGACGAATTGGCAACCTATATGGTGAAGTTCCACTCGAAGGCGCTGCAAGAGAACGGAAACAACGGCCACTATGTCGGCGACTCGATCTCGTACATCGACATTGCTCTGTATGCATTCCTCAAGTTCATCAGGACCCAGTCGAAGGCCAAGAACGACGACCTCTCCAGCTACTACGAGCCAGACAAGGTGCCCGAGTTTGCCAAGGTTGTTGCTGCCGTTGAGGCTGAGCCTGCGCTCGAGCGGTACTTTGCCCAGGAGACCAAGAATGTGACTATTATGTGGTAGTTTTCTAGGTGTAAGGTCAGTGCCATTAGTGTCTGCTCAGAATACAATTGTCCATCTGACTTTTGGACATTCTCACAGTATGCTTTATGTGCAGCATACTTAGTGAGGTTGGCGTGCTGGCAACTCCCCCATGAAGAATGCGGCCTTTACAGAGGCCAAGGGGCCCCAGGGGACACGCAGTGGCAACCAGCCTGCTGACCATCACTGTTGTCCTGCCAGATGTCCGCCATGCGTGGCCTTCGTGGGAAAGCGCGCCAACCACACCCTAATCTGGTATGCAAGCACTACATGTATAAAGCGGCACAATCTGGCTGACGAATACCATGCCTTTGAAATTTCCCGCTCCAAAGTGAATCGCTCTTCAGTCTCACTTTATCAACCATGACGCTTACTACTGACAACAACGGCACATCCTACGTCTTGCGCTACTTTGACGTGCAGGGCTACGGCGAGACCATCCGCATGCTGCTTACTTTCCTCAAGGTTGACTGGTGTGAAGAGCTCCCCGATTGGCCCGAGGAGAAGGAGAACCAGCCGTTTGGGCATTTGCCGGTCCTGGTCGAAAAAAATGCCAATGGCGAGGTCACCTTTGTGCTATCAGAGTCGCAGGCAATCGAGCGCTACCTTGCTCGCAAGTATTGCCTAATGCCCACTGACTTGCAGCAGGCCGCACGCCAGGAGCAGCTGCGCGACCAGCTTATTGGAGTACTAAAGTACCATTTTGAGTACTGCAAGGCAACGGGTGCTCGCAAGGAGATCTTGGTAGACAAGTACACAGAAGATGCTAGCAAGCTGGCTGCTGTTCATGCCCAGGCTCTGCGCGATAACGGCAACAACGGCCACTATATTGGCGACAAGACGTCGTACATTGACATCGCCGCATATGCGTTCTTCAAGTTCTTCCGCTCTGAGGGCCCGCGTGCACTGGAAAAGAAGCTTAAGCTGTTTGAGCCCGAGAACGCCCCCGAGATTGCAAAGCTCAATGCCACTATCGAGGCTGACGAGGATCTTGCACCGTACTTTGCATCCTCAGCCAACAGCACTAGGCCAACAACACTGTTCAAGTAGATCTGCATATGTTTTTTTTGAAGCTAGGCAATAGTACCCTGTGATACTAGTTGGCTGATGAACGGACAGCTGATAGCACTTCGTTGACACTGAGCCCAGGAACTTCGAGCACCGGTTTCTTCTTCTGCTGCTGGGGCGCCGATAGAATGCCGTTATAGATGATGTAGCCGAAGAATACACACAGGCCGCCGACAACCGACCTGACCTTGATTGCGCGCTGCGGGTCAGGCTTGTCAGAACCGATTGGCAGCGAGGGCACAGTCGCAAAACGCAAAACCTGCTGTTTAACAATGGCGCCAAGTCCCTCAATCCAACTCCCGCCTGCGACAGTCTTTGGCTTGGCCATCTGGCTGTGGATTCTGTCGCAGAAGGTAACGAGATTCGGGTACCTTGAGGTGATGATCTGCTTCAGTGTCGATTGAGGCAGCTCCGGGTAGAGGATCAGCGAAATGTAGCCATACACGACTGCGTCCAGCGTTGATGGGCCATCACCAAAGAAGTACTGCTTGCTGCCCAGCTTCCTTGACAGCGCATCCAAGCACCGGTCAGCCTCTTTGTAAATGGGGTGTGCTGACTCGTCCGAATGGCGCTGGAACCCGCCCATCGCCAGCAGGTAAATGCGCGGAATCTTTGACTTTGCACCGGCAGCTGCCTCAGTTACCTTTGTGGTGTCCCTGTCGTCTTTCTTGTCCTGTATATCATGGGCCTTAAGTCGCTCCTCCGCATAGCCTTTGAGCTGCGTTGGGACAACAAGGCTAAGCGGGAATCCAAACAGCTTGGCGAGCCGCGGCCGGATCACGTCAACAAAGTTCTCAGAAACCATGTACCAGCTGAACAGCAGTGCATCGACAAGGCTATCTTGGACCAGAGATATGTAGGCAGTGGATTGTGAGGTCTGCTCCGCATTCAGCGCGCTGTCCAGGTCGTATCCCTCGCGCCTCAGGAACTCGATAACATGCCAGAAACCCGACTCGACGATGTTGTCCTGACATGTTAGAACAGGCAGGCACCCTGTGGGCGATATCCCGCTGTTGTTGACATGGTGCAGTTGCCAATCAGCCTTGGCGAGCTGGAGATACGCCTGGACGCTGACACACGACGGGTCAAACGAATACAAGCCGTCGTGCTCGAACGGCGACCCCCACGAATAAAGAGAATACATTTTGCACTGTGCTGAAATAGAGCCGTCGATTCAAAATGAAGGAAAAAAGCAGACAAATGGAAGTTGCGAATCGAAGGAGGGGTAAAGCAAAGTCCAAAATTATTAAGGTGCAAAGCGATCTGTTCATCACTGTGGACGAGTCGCCAGCATTGCTCGTGAGCCGGATCTACAGTGCGCAGGTTGGCTTTGGCCATGGTCTTTCTGCTTTCTTGTCTGCTACCGTCCTACACTTTTCTGTTTAGCAGCATACGTTTTCTCTAATTTCTATTTTCTAGGACCCTTCTAGCAGCACATCTTGGCGTGCTGGCAAATAGAACCATGAATTACATTCAAGTGCAGAGCGACTTGGAGGAAGCGTGCGCCGACTTCCAGGTACGAGTGGGTCTGGAGGACTGGCTGGCTTGCTGGCTGGCCGGCAGCTTATATTGCCATAGAACCTGGACTTGCAGCGACGGAGATTCGCTTGCTGCTTGCAAGGCCAACCCTCTTTTTGTCCTGGATATCTACGGCAACTAATGGCGAAACAATGCGCTTTGTAGGTCCCCTCAACCCGCTTTGCCGCCGAGCAGCGGCTGCAAGAGTTTGGCAAGCGACCAGATGCAATTCCTGCTGGCAAACACATCCTTGGTAAGTGTTCTCAGCCCCCGTTGTTTGCCTTGTCGCCCCACCTGCTATCCCTGCTGAGCAGTAGGCAGCCGGTTGGGAACACAATATGCATACTAAAGACCTGGCCCCATGTTTGTTTGGGTCGATGTGTACTACTCTTATCAACTAGCAAATTCAAATGTCCCCACTGCACAGTTTTTCGCCCTGCGTGGGATCAAGGATGCGGTGGTTACCAGCTACGCGATGCTTGGGTTGGCAGACGCGCTCTCTCTGCGGGACGAGCTGCTGCAGATGGCCATATCTAACAGCCGCAACTTTGAGGCATTTGTGCTTGATTCGCTGTGCTGGGTCATTGCGGTCGTAACAAAGCGTGCGTGGGTTGAGACACCTGAGGAGAAAAAGACGGCATTTACGCAGACTCTGTACGATGATATCGTGAGGCACAACAAACCCAGCATCGGCATCATCACCACCACATACCTGATCGACGAGTTTGCCGGTGGTAGCAAGTGCTCAGAGTTCCATCTGCCATGGGAGTTCCACTACTCGTGCAAAGCGTCGTTCGAGAACACGCACATGCGCCATCTGTTTGAGGCAGCACTGAATGTCCTGCACAATCAGCTGCAGCAGGCTGTGAAGGCGGAAAGGGAGCCTCGGTCAAGCGGATATGCCATCACATTTGAGCGGAGATCGGCCTTGAATATTGCTGAGAAGGTGCTCAACTGGGATTTTACCTCCAGCGACGCAAACAAGGTCATTTCGGCGTCATTTGGTTATTCTAGAAACGCAGGAAAGCAGTCCACGTCAAGTGGCAGAGGGTCTGACAGCCATGCCAACCGTAGTGGCATGAGCGGGTTTGGCGGTGACGATGACGACAGCGGTGAGGGTGCGTTCCTTGAAAACGAGGATCAGAACCGGTCACCTGCGTTCCCAGAAATTTGGCGCCAGATTCTAGTCAACAACGACGTGATCACCATGTTCTTCTCTGTGTACGAGGTCGCCTTTAAGGATCGCCAGCACGCGCATTTTTCGCCCGGCAGCACACACTTGGCTCTACAGTGCATTATCCAGCTTTCTGGTCTGCGCGGCACCGATCTTTTTGGCAAGGGTGAGGAAGGCGACAGATTGCGCGCGGAATACACGCGGGCAATAATGCGCAGTCAGCTGCAGATGATCCGCCATATCTGCTCGATGAATCTGACATCCGAGGGTGCCGAGGACGACGTCATGGCCACGACGCAGATGGTCCGGCGGCTGATTGAGACGCAGCTGAGCGAACAACCGTCAACCGTTGTGGACAACCAGAGACTGCACTCACTGGCGTTCCTGATCATTGGCGTGCCTGAGGCGATCGAGTATTTTGGCCAGGTCACGGCGTTAATATGTATCCTGCTTCAGACAGCGTGCAATGTGGTGCAGTCTGACATGGTGCGGCAAGTAGATGAGGATTTTGGCGACGTTGACAACTACTTTGTCATGCAGGCATTCGATGAGCTGGCTAACGCGTGGTCGTCGGTTATCAACGAGGTTCGCGAGTGGGAGGAACTCGAGTCTGCCAACCCTGGGCAGAACAGTGCTTCAAGCAACAAAGGTGCGCTAGGCACATTCATGCAGCTGCTTCATTCGACTGCGTTCATGATTCGCAGCGAGTACGTTCGCCTGCGCATGCTGGTATGCGAGATCGGTGTACAGTCGGGCGACAATGACAGCCAGGGGTCGATCATGGACCAGGGGCTGCTGGAGAAGGACTATGTTGTGTATGAGGACCAGCTGCAGTTCTACGCGCTGCTTGCACGGCTCGATGTGAACACAGCAACAGATCGGGCGCTGCAGGGGCTGCGTGGGCGGTGTCAGGCGCTGCAAGAGGAGTTTAGCAAAATCGAGGCCAACGAGAACGATGTCGACCAGCAGGTCATCGACCTTCTACATGAACAGATCCACTGGATTATCCTGATGATCGGGCATACACTTGCAGACTCTGGAACGTCGGAGCGGGTGCTGATTCCTAGACAGATCACAGAGTACTCATCCAGCTGCAGCTCTCCTGAAGAGGACAGCGTCGTGCAGTGCATCATGGTGATTCTAGAGACACTGCAGTTCGAGCTGATGAGCCCGTCGTCGGCGCTGGTCGCGTATTGCAGCCCGCTACTGGTTGAGACGATTTTCTGGACTCTGCGCCGAATTGCCCCAGTGTACCTGTTCCTCGACCACTCTGACTATCGTGATGTCAGCGGAAATATTGTATCGGCATTTGGAGCCGAGCGGGACAGCGGCCGTGGCATGGCCATCATTCATGGCCTGCTTGATCTTGTGCGCCGCACGTTCAACCTGTGGTCATCAGAGGAAGATGTGCTTCATGCGTGCGTGGACATGCTACTGGCATTTGCCCAGCGGCAGACTATTGCGCAAGAAATTACTCGTTCGCCACAGTTCACGCCGCTGATCTTCTTCTTCACCAGCAACCTCAACATGTTCCCCGAGTCCACGCACAGCTCGATTATCGAGGCGCTGGCATTGCTTTCCTGTCATTCATTGTCAGAGGAGCACGAGAAGAGCTTTTTGGAGCTCAGGACCCTGATTATGCTCAGCCTGAGCCAGGTGATGAATGACGCCAACTTCCACACAGAGTACCAAGATGGGCGTGTTATCAGCAAGATCCTTGATGGGCTCGAGATGATGGACGGCATTCTGCAGGCAGCCAGCTTGCGCAACATGGATATGCAGTTTGACTTGTTCTTTGAGGTTGAACAGGTTATCGAGCGGCTGCTAACGATATATAGCCACGAGCACAGCATCATGCTCAAGTCGATCCAGGTTGTCGAGTCGGCCGCAAAGTACCTGGACATCGCTTCGCTGCCAGATAATGAGCACAAGCTGCGGTTCTCGCGCAATATCCGCACTATATTGCTGAAGTATCAGAGCGCTAAAGATGGGTCTGCTACCTACGAGGTTGGCGCCGATGTCGAAGCGATGCTGGAGGTATCTGCGCTGATGACAGTCGTGTCCAACTTGGTGCGCAACGAGATTGGGTTCGCTCCCGACGAGGCGAGCCGCAACATGGACAAGGAGGTATCTGATGACTATGGCGAGACCGAGATGTTTGGTCTCTTTTGCGTGCATGTAACCACAACGCCATCGCAGCTGCTGGCACCAAACGTGATGCGCTCTTACATGCAGCTACTGTCCGAGCTGATCCAGTACCGGACTCCGTCACTGATCCGCTGGCTGCCTGTCGAGAGCTGGAAGGCAGTGCTGAACATGCTGATTGAGGGCATTGACCACGATGTGTATGATGTCGGCAGCCGCACCTACGAGACAATCAGCAAGCTGGGTGCGTTTATCAAGCTAGCCGATCTGAGCAGCATACCTATGGATCTGCAGCTACTGCTGCGTGAGGGGGTGGCGCGGATGTTGGGCAAGCTGCTTAAGGCTCTGCTGTTCTCCCCATTTGACTCGGACCTTGTTGAGTCGGCGGGCACAGCCCTCGTCACGCTTAGTCTGATTGAGCCTGCGCACCTGCAGCAGTGCTTCAGTGAGCTCCTCACACAGAGCGACTCGACTACGTTTGCTGAGCGGCTGTCGGCGACGTTCGCCAAGTTCAACGCCGATCTTTCAACGTCAGAGGCGATCAGCAACTTCCAGAACTCGACCGCCCCGATCCCTAGCCCAATCGACGGAACCCTGCTTCGACAGCCGCTGTTTGAGTTCCTGGTTAATACCCGCGCAGTGCTGCGTGTCAAGTAAACCCTTTTGTGATATTCACTATTGGCAATATCATCTGCTTTCCAACTGGCATCTAAATGCGAAACCAGCGCTTCGTTCCTCTTCATTACGCTGGTCTAGACACGTTTTTGGAGACTTTGCTGATGTTGTAGCTGTTGCCAGGGTGGAGTCCGCGCTGCAATATGCATAAAAAGGGATTCTGTATACCAGTAATGAAATCTAGACACACACGTCAGGGTCCATTCTTATACTCGCACTCCCATCTCTGGCACAGCAGCAGCAAAAAGAAGGTACGCCTGCATTTTTCTGTGGATTTGCAGTTTCTGTGCAATTTCGCTTCTCTCCACGCTGCCCCCATATCAACCTAGACCATCCTGATCGCAGAATTTGCTTGATCGACCTAATATGCGGGTAATTTATTTGGACGGGGGGAGTGGGCACATATGGATAGCGGATTGCTTTTTCTGTTGCGCCTGTGTACCGCAGAAAAGAGGTGGGGAGGGGCAAATATGCTGCGAAACGAGGAATTTGCAATATAGGAGCCATGTGCAATATTCGGATTGACTGATGCCGCCCTACAAGCATAGTCTTCTCTTTGTGCCTCTGCAGCACCCTGTGCCAATTTTGCAATTTATACTACAGCGTGTGGCAAGCCAGCCAGAACATGATTATATACAATTTTCAGACCTGCTGTACAGCTATTCCTCCAGTGCACACGGGAGCATTTATCTCACATACCTCTATATTTTTCTCTCTACCAGTGCTTGCATATTAGGTCGGGTGTTTATACGTAGTGTCTGCCATTCTCCCTTATCCTCTTTCTCCTGCTCTTCATCCCCCGCATTTTTGATCAGTAGATATAGGCTCTCTCTTGCCAGATTTTCTTAGCTGCTCCCACCCCAGCCATTTCTTCCCCCTTTTCCACTTTGGGTTTTCCGGAATTGTAACAGTAGCAAACTGCAAAATTAGTCAGCATAGGGCTAACTAACCATCCTCACCATCGCCGGCCAACACTTTAGCAATTTGCCGAATCTGCGCCGATACTCCTTACCGACGCTTACAAACGGCGAGCCTCTATTTTGACCATATCTGAGGGTTGCACCCTGTGAAAGCAGAGAACGAATGAGCACCGATCTGTCTCAGTCTATCCAAGCCGATATGCAGTCTGCCGTCGATGACAAGTTTGATATGTTCGCCATGTCGACGGGCGTGCCTGACTTTGTCAAGAAGCTGTTTAGGCAAGTAGCAGTATGGAATATCGCCAGACAATGATCGATTTCGTGAATAATGCTAATACCTAGGAGCATGCTCTGTGCTGTTGTCCATTGCTTTTGGCTGCCACCTTTAGAATGCTCGAGGATGAAGCACACCGCGATATTGTGTGCTGGGGGTACGAGGGGGATAGCTTTGTGGTCAAAGATCCAAACGAGTTCTCAAAGTTTGTCCTCCCGCAGCACTTTAAGCACAACAACTTTGCGAGCTTTGTCCGGCAACTAAACAAGTACGATTTTCACAAGGTCAAGGTCACAGAGGAAAACAAGCGGTACGGCGACGAGGTAAATATGAGGCCATATCCTGTCAGGTATTAGCAAAACATCTCGGAGTGTATAGTAAATGACTGGTAGTACCGTGACTTGCCGTTTGTTTTGTAGGCCTGGGAGTTCAAGCACCCGAATTTCCAGCACAACCGTCCAGATCTGCTCGAGAAAATCAAGCGAAAGATCCCACCCAAGACAAAGTCGCTCGGAGGACTGGTCAATGGACGGCATGCTGACGGCGAGTTCCGCGTTATCACCGAGGATCTGCAGAGTCAAATACACCTGCTCACACATGCGCACGCCGAGGTCACCATGTATATGCACCAGCTGGGCAAGCAGCAGCAGGCTATGATTGACGAGCTCAACGGCCTCAAGAAAAACATGCAGACGCAGGACCAATTGATGGAGGAATTTGTCCGGTATCTGGTCAATCAAGACGCGGCCAGCAATGGCAGTCGAAGCAGTATCAGTGCGGCTGCCGCAGTCGCTGCAGCTGCTACAGGTATTGGTGGTCTGGGTACAATTGGCCATGTACCTGGTATCGGCTCGGTCGTATCGCCAGTGGGGACAGTCAATGGAGTTGGGCCCCTGATGGTCGGTAGCGACGCCAATGTCAATGGGGCTGCTGGAAACGGCTCCTTCTTGGGCGACAGCAGCAGCAACGGCAGCGCTAGTTTGTGTGTTGACTCTCAGTTGAAGCAGCAGCAACCACCCCAGCAGACACAGCAGCCACAGCTCTGCGAGCTCCCACACTGATGCTCACAATAAAAATTGTTACTTCCCCCTTCCCACTTGTTTGTTTTGTTGTGTTCTTAGTTGTCCCTCTGGTACCATATAGATGTTTATTTCTTCCAATAGTTCTCTTGGATAAAAACACGATAATGTAGTAAAAGAGTAGCAATTTAGCTTTACGTCTCGCGCCATACCAGCTGTAAGCCTTAGATCCAGGGCACGAGCACAGGCGCTGTGGCGAAGCTGAACAGCACGTTCGGATGTTTTACACACCTCAGGCAAACAGATTCTTGGGATACGCTATTATCACAGGGCCACATTTCTATAGCACGGCCACTTGCCAGTGGTCTCGTTGCGGTTGAAATGTACGCTTTCAAAGAACAAAGGCCGGATGGCTGCTGAAGGGTGCTGGCGATAACGCACGGAAGCAGCGTGCACAATGCCCTGGCCATCCATCCCTTGATACTATGTCCTGGGCTGGCACTATACTAGTCGGTCGGTCGCAAACAAGATGTGTCGGCGAATACCTTCCCCTGTTTGTCTCGCTTAACGAGCCCATCACTGGACCCGGGCCGTGCTGGCTGACGTAAATAGGAAAAGAGGCGGAACCTCATATCGCGCAGGACAATAGAGGGATGGACAATGTGGTCCATATTCCATACATGGGTTGCCAGCGTGCAGAATGCTCCGCGCATGCAGCAGCAACGGCTTCTGCGTCTGCCGGAGACGATCATGGTGCATGTTTGTGTATGTGTTTTTATTTCCCAGTGAAGCAGCCGTCTTCATATCCCAAGCCCCTGTGAACAAAACGCCCAAGCACCCACCGTTCCTGCCTGCCTAGCAGTATTCGCTCGCCCAGCAGCCGCTACTGTGATCACTGACATACACTAGAAGAGGAAGCAGAAAAAAGCGGGGGTGAGAAGCCAGTTGGTGTCCATTAATTGCTTGTTGAGCAGTTACCGCTTCGTTACAGTCAATTTCGATTGACAGCCTTGCCCTATTTAAGCGACGGTGTCTGGCGACAAGGCCTGTTGCTGCTGCTGAACTACTAGACTCCGAGCCATTCCTTCCTTCTATCACTCCACGCCATTTCGCGCATTTCAGTTCCCCTTCCCCTCCCCTCCCTCCCCTCCCCGCTGCGTCCATATTCCCTACTGCTTGTTGTGCGTTCGCAGCAGGCCTAGCTCACCACCTAATTGTCGCAATTTCTATATCACGAAAACATTTCTTTATTTTCCATTTTGTCAGCGCTTTTTGTCGGAGCTGCAAATTGTTGGCAAATAATAGCGTGTCTCAGCTCACACGGCCATCCACACATCGAACTCTTTGGCGCCCACCAATTCAGCTCCAATTGACTATACTGCCTGCGCTAGTGTCAAGCACTTTTGCTACATGCTCTGACTTTTTCCCTTGGTGTAGCAGAGAATCGCAATTCAGCAGTCTGTTTTGACTTTGCAGAACAAGTCAAGCGGCATCCGCCTAGCACAATTGCCGTCTTCTAGCTCCTAGCAGCACCAAAACAAGCCGTTTTGCTTTTACCACTTTTGGCTTGTTTGAATTCTGATTCCTTTCTGCGCCAGCGGAGGTAGCACCAAACGAAACGTGTGCCCTTCCCTCACTTTTTATTACCAGCCCCACATATTCGCACTTGCATACAGGCCATTTGCACGCCTGTCAAGCATTAATACCACCTGCCATCCGGCCCTAGCCATACTCAGTCCCCCACCTCGCTACCACTCCACGCCTCAAGGTCTAGATAAACCGTGGGTGATTATTTCGGCTACTTTTCTCCTTATATTACGCGGCATCCCTTTCTACTTCCCGCGCCCTACCCTCTATCGTTTCTCAGCAGTTATTTATTGCTCTAGCCTGTTTGTGTGCTGTGGCCATGGGGATCGCAGCAATTTTCAAGCGCCCAAAGGCCACGACATCGAGCGGAACGCTGAACGACTCCGAAGTCAGTGCCAACCGGAGACGTCAGGCGAAGCGAAGCTCGGCACCATCGGGCGACATCAAGCAGCGCTCCGAGTCAAAGAAGGGTGTCTCCAGGAGTACGTCTTCAGCAGCCAAGAGGAGACACCGCACCGCCGCCCAGCCCATCGATGACTGTGAGGACCTGCCCACGCCCGACAACAGTGTTAGCGAGAGCAACAACATCCGTGCCCAGAACTCGGCGCTACCGCAGCCGAATCAGCAGCCGAATCAGCAGCCACTGGACAACCTTGGACTGAGCCTTTACAGCATAAGGACACCGCCACCTGACCTGCTCGCGCATCAGATGAAGGAGCTTGATCCATTCGGTAAGTTCACCACTGTCCGCCCTTTTAGCACAAAAATGTAAACAGCCGCACTCGAACAATCGGCGGTTTGAAACTGCTCCTCCCCCTATCTAGGCATATCAGCCACGCGTCACTCTTCTCCATGAGGCGCAGCCGGTTTGTGTTTCGAAAACAGACCGTGGTCCATTGTGTGGGCATGCATGCAGGACTCTGTACTGCATGATCGAATCGTGCCATTTCCGCATCACTGTATTTTGCCAGCACACCCGCTAATGATCGCCAGGCATGGCTGCTGTACTGTTTTTTTACCCATGTAGCTGACAGCCCGCCGCCTCCTGCACTGACCAACTTTGAGGACCCAGTCTACATTCCGCCTCTGACCTTGACCGAGACGCTAGCTTACGAGTACACTGCCCCCAGCCAGCCGGCTACCCAGCCGGCTACTGCCGTCCGTGCTACTGCAAGTGCGTCATACGGCGGCAGCTTTGGGTCTAGTAAGCCAGCCCTGTCGCCGACCGGCAACACCGCATCTGGGGGTATGGATCTCTTGAGCGAGTTTAATGCCACTTATAATTACCTGTTTGGTACCCTGCCCCCCGATACTGTTGCGACTCCGCACAACGTCAGTGCTCTAGCCGATGGTCAGTTCAGCACGGCCACCAATTCTGGGCCCACTGCGCTATCTTGCCAGACGAAGTACCACTCTGGCTCCACAGCGCCAGCCCTTAGTGGTCTCCTGAGCCCTGTCAGCGACAAATCCGGGAAGAGCAACACAAATCATACTCAGCGTGGCGCTGGCAAGGCAAATGCTCGCTGCGATAGCGACTATGCATCATCGGTTGACGAAAAGACCGGTACTAGCGTATCCGACAGGGACTCGTCGGAGGGTGATTCGGAGAGTATGTCGTCTGGGGCTCAACGCGATGAGGAGCGTCGCCGAGAGGATGAAGAGCGCAGGGCTGTCGAGCAGCGCAATCGGCGTCGCGAGCAGCTCAAGCAGCAGGTCGCGTTTGAGCGGATGAAGGAGCGCCACCGCCGCCAGGTTGTCAGTCCTACGTCAGGTCCCAAAAGCATTGCCCGCTGGCAGCAGGATGCATCAATGAACGCTACGATCGGAAATGGGCTTGGATCGGGGAACGACACATTTACTGCTGCCCAATCAGCATTTGCCCAAGACACCCTCCATGCCTCATACGGCACAATCAACCGCGGCTATGTGGCTGGTGCTATCCATCACTCAGTATCAAACCAGGGATACGTTGCACATGGTGGAGGACCGGTTGCAAACGCTCTGTATTCAAATGCGCAAGCCAATGCCTCAATGCCGAATGTCGGTACGAACCTTCACGACACGCAGTTTGCTGCCAACCAGACACCGGCACATGGTACTCCAATGTCACCGCAGAGACTGCCGGCAATGGATCCGTTTGCTGCAGCTACCTGTGCTCGCATGACCGGCCAGCAGATCCAGCAGGTCAACGGCATCTACTATATGATGCCTGGACAGCCAGGATCTGTTCCTGGACCGATGCTTCCGCCGCAGGCTGCAGCACCGCTTTCCACCATTCCGACGCACCCAGAAGCACCTTCATACCCAGTGAAGCTTGCAATGAAGACCAAGAAGCAGAGTAATCCCTACCTGAGCGACTCTTCTGATGATGATGATAACGATGCGTCATCGCTCAACGACTCTGAGTCCAATGATAGCTCCGTCACTGGCAATCTTGACTATGAGTATGCTGCGTCTCCGGTTGGCTTCGATAAAGCCAGTTCCCAGCCGACTCATCCTGCTCCCCTGGTCACCAACAAGAGCGAGAGCGGCTCATCGTCGTCCGACTCGGGCGTTATTACTGTCTCCAGGACAGGCTCGCAACCCATGCTAGCAGATGATGATCGCACAGTTGTGCGTGATAGTGGCACCAGCGATGCTTCGAGCGACTTGTCAAACAACAGCCAGTCCTCTTCAAAGCGCCAAGTGAGGTTCAACGAGACTGTGTCTGTCGTCTTCAACACACGCAACTCGATAACTGAGGATGACTTGGACTCCAAGAGCGCACAGATAATTGGCTACGAGTCAGATAACAGCAGCAATGCCTCCGTCGAGTTTGCCATGTCGGCAGCTAGTAGACCAGCTACTGGCCATGGAATGGCGACCAAGTCGAGCCTGAAGAAGCCGGCTCTTGATGTGGCCAAGTTTGCCAACGACGACGCCTTTGATGCTGGCAACGCTTATAGTAGCCTGCGATACCAAATGCCAATCGACATCTCTCCTCATGCCGCTGCGTACTGGGACTTGGGAGATACAGCCACTGCTTTGAATAGCAATCCGATCCAGCCAGAAGTCCAGTGCAGCTTCGAGCCGTGACATCTCTCCTACACCGCCAAAACCCCGCCACAAGAAGAAGCACCGCATCGAGATGCAGCCTCTGCGTGATCGTGAGGCAGAGCGCGAGGAGGAGCTGAAAAAGGAAAGCAGGTCTGTAACTCTTCACACCATTGCCCCCACACAGCCAGGCCCGCCCTCTGCCGATTCCCTCCGGTCCTGGCCCTAGTCAGCAGAGCATGCAGCATAGACAGACTGCAAATGATGCAGCCTACCCCGCCGTTACTGCTGACACCATGCTTGAGGCCCGGCGTGCACTGATTGGCCACTACACGGCGCCAAATCAGCACATGCCTCTCGGTAACAACATCCCGCGTAGCAACAATCTCCCCACATCTCGCCCGCATGCATCGCAAGGCGTCAAGGTAATCAAGCCTCAGTCGTTCGCTCGCCCCAAGTCCATCCCCGCAAATGTGCCTGCAAAAGCTCCGCAGACCAGAGCCGCGGACTGAGACCAAAAGAGCCCAAGTCAGGTACCCAACAGTGCGCGAGTACTGGAGACCAGGCAAAGGAGCCCACCCAGCAAGCGACTAAGTCAAGGATGGAAGGCGGGAATAAGGATCCACAGTCTGAGAGTTCGCCGCGACTTGGATGGCTTTGCCCAAGAGTTAGACAGCAGCCAAGAGTTCAGCTTTGGAAACGTCATCCAGAACTTTTCGCTGACAAGCTTCGAGATCACGACTGGTAAGCAAGGCGGCATGTATATCCACTACTCTGACAGAAACAGCAGCACCAACAACATAACCGGGACTGGCCAAGGTAACGAAAGCGACGGTGATGATATACCTCTGGCTTCTATCATCAGATCCAAGTCCGAGCCATCTGTCTACCCTGCCCGGCACTCTGTTGATGCGCATCTTGCTCGTCTGAATGCAAATGGTGATGAACAATCTCGCACCTATGACTCGGACAACCACAACAGTGCTGCCGCTGCCGCTGATTTATATCAGCCAAGGCGTTTCTTGAGTAGAAGGCCACGAGCTGCTGACAAGGACTCGAAAGTCAATAACCAGGTCACCAAGTTTGAGAACATAAGGTCCTTCTCTATGGATAATGGCTCGCGCCCTCTCAAGAAGCCTGTGTCTGCTGCAGCTACCCAAGCGCCCCCCAAGCGCAAGTTCCGCAAGTGGGGTGGTATTTTCTAGCCAGCCTATTCTCTTACATTTCATTTCTTAATATACCCTTATTCCTCCACGACAAACAGCATTGGACAGTTATTTACTACACATGAGCTAATTCAAGCAATTACAGAACATTTTGTCTAACATGTAGATCACCAACTATATAGTAGATGGGTCTACTAGCAACCCCAACGCTCAGTCAGATAAGAAACAATCATTTACATGTGACACTGTAAACAGAATTGGTACTAGATATACTAAGTCTAGGTATGGATATATTTTAAACTGCAACAAGAAAACAAAGTACAAAATGCTTGCACATGTTTTTACTTGGGGTCAGCGCGCATGGCTATTTTGTGAGTGCATTATGCAAAAAGAGAGCTGTAGATTAGTACAAACCCCTTAGCAGCCAGATTCTGGATCAGTAGTGGGGACCCGCTGCAAGGCTAGTGCTTGAACAAGTTGATACGTGATATATAACCTCAATCATGCAATTTTAAATATTAAATTCAAAAGTACCATGAACAAGTAAAAAAAATGTCTATGCCGTTATTCAGGCTGTGTGGCAATCATTAATAGGTGTATTTGTTGTATTTACATGAGTGTTAATGAAGATATGTACTGGTATTGCAGGTCCGCGATGCTACTCACCAGGCAGGCGCTGTGCATGTTTGCCAAATGCTACTTTGGCGATATAGTGTAGAGCGTGTGACTGGACACCTTGGCAGCGTCTGCACTCGAGCACACAATCGCACATTCGACATGTCAGACACCATCCTGTCAGGCAGTAGCGATATGGACACCGACAAAGATTGCTGGGCAGTTGTTGGTAGATGCAAGGAAGGAGATGGTTTGAACAAGAATGTGCTTTGTGTCTTGAGGGATGAGATGGAGGGCGAAAATAGCGCCAGACACCGACCCTTTTATATCGTCTGGGCAGGCTTTCTCTTGGTGGGCTGCCCAGCAGGCCGAATAGAACGCGAAAATCATGAAACACGTTGCCCCCTTTTCAGCGCTTCGCCGGGCTCCCACACTGCTGCACCTGCAGCGGCGGTCATTGGCTGGCCGGGGTGCTGCGCATGCCAAATTTGGCTTTTCCTTGGGACGCCGTTGCTGCCAGACAATGTGTAGCTGCGGTGATGGGTGATGGAGCTGCATGCAAGCCATGCATCACTGTTCGGAGTGCCAATTTGCCGCTGACCAGCACTCCTCGCTGCTCGCCTGATGCGCATTAGGCGTTACCAAAAAGTGCATTATTGCTATTTGGCTCGGTGGCCGGGGTCGCTTTGCAAGAACAAGCTCTTTCTGCGTCGGACCAGCTCAGAACAGGTGCGTGGTCCAGGGCTTTTATGGCTATTTTCACCACGACCTGGTCTGCTGACATTTAGGTGGAGTTGGCACGAGTATACGCACATGTGCATGTGGCACCTGGGTCATTTCTGCTGGAGAGACAGCAGTGTAGCACCGACGACACCAGGTAGCTGTGGCTCACTGGCGGTTTTCTTCTGAGCAAGCCGCCCAGCATCCTCCACGTGAATAGAGGCTTTGTGCAGCACGAGATAAGGAGCCTATATCAAGCATAGTGGGGATGCAACGCGTCGTGATAAGCATCAGCCCATTGTCTGCCGTCGATTCCGCAGAGGCTTTGGAAAGATAAGCCAGCTGGCGAACATGACAAACACGTCGACTCGCTTGGCTGCACCACCACACACCCTTGCTTCTAATAATGCCCCATGCTACCTGTTGTGCATCAACAGTCATCTAGAAGACAGCATGTGTACTGAGAGAGACTATCGGCAATCAATTTCAACATCTTGCCTTTCATTTTATCAGTGCTCCATTTTCTGAGGACTCAGCAAGCCGATTGGGAAGATGGCCGAGCGGTCTAAGGCGCTGCGTTCAGGTCGCAGTCAGTATCACTGGCGGTGGGTTCGAATCCCACTCTTCTCAGCTTTTTGCACTCCCTTTTTGGCAACCTGTGACCAGCAGGATCGCCCAACCCAACATCGCTATGCTGAATCCACCCCTAGAGCAGAATTCTTGGTCTCTTTTGTATGTGGATTGCTTTTTTACTGCAATGCCTTGAATGGCAGCTGATCCCAGTGGACCAGCGCAGTAGTCGCTTTTGCTTTCCCCTTCACAGAATTAATTGCGTCCTCTTACGCACCGGTAGCTCTTTGCTCAACCTTTGTTCGTAGTGCTCGCCTTCAGAAATGGGCAAGAGAGCACAGCACACATGTTTAAGGCCACTAGTAGAGTCTAAAGTAGCGGCTGATCTCTGAGTACTCGCATACAACAGCATCCGACTGTATCCGTTCTATATTGCTTCGGATTTCATCGGCATGCTCAGTATCCACGGCAAGTTGCTGGAGTGCCGGAAGAGAGAGAAGCAATCTAGATATGGCTGCTTCATCGAAATAGCCTGTGGCACGCATGCCGAAAACCTGCAAGCTCTTGCTCGTTGTCCGGATGTCGCTCGAAGTCTGTAGATCGTCCAGCCGGATAGCGTCATGACCAGTTGGTGGAATAGCGTCGCAAGTATCCTCCGACATGTAGCTCTCTCTCCAGTAGTAGGAATCCCTATCACCTGGGTCCATTGTTGTGCATGAAATTCGGAGGTATTTCAGTAGGACCAACTGTCCCAGCAGCTGTTTGATGAGTGTCATTGGCGCGATGTCTGTGTCCAACGAAAGACATACGAGGCTCTGCCAGCAAAGGCGTGTTGGAAAGGGCACCATGGTCTGAAGTAGAGCTCTCCGAACCGAGGAGTCAGCTAGATAGAACCGGGTGACAAAGTGTGCAGGATCATTCACCTTGCTATCTCCACCAGGTAAAATAGTCTTTAGGTGAAGGCAGCTAATGTTGCGAATAATGCCAGTGTCGATTTGGGCGAGTTTACGGTAGTTCTCGTTGATCTGCAGCAGCCTCAGCGGCGCGTTTTGGAATGAGGAGTATGCATCCCGATACACACCGGTGGATTGGCTAACCAGCAGCTTTGAGAGTTTTGGAAATGTGCGCAAGAGATGGGCAGGAAGGGCCAGGGTTTGCTGCTGAGAATCAGACCCGCTCTTAAAGTGGAGCTGGAGTTCAGTGAGTCGGCTGAGAGGACCCGTCCAAGTGAAGCCATGTTTAAAGATTCCCACCGGCACCTCGTTCTCTATATTAAGCAGTCTCAACTTCCGAAGGTTCAAACACTCAAAGTATACCTCAGGTGCAAGAACCCGGAAGCAGCTCTCGTCAAGCTCAAGTGAAGCCAGAATAAGAGTTGCTGGCGCGTGGAATGTCAAAGTCGTTGGCTGGAAGCACTGGAGAGAGGAAAGGCGGCGAGCAAATCTCGAGAGTAGCGTCTGGTAGTGTGGTGATATGGTATAGTTGAATGGTTCGGGTGTAGTAGGAGAGGGAGGGGCTTCCAGAGTATCATCGGTGTGTGGGGGAATAGCTGCATGTAGCCCAATTGCTTTCAGGGTTTGGTAGCTGTGCCGAATGAAATCGAAAAAGGCATTGGCATCTTTCTGCATGTCCAAAGTGCGACTGTCGGTTCCTGACCTTAAAATGCCTTTGCCATAGAATTGGATCGTGCTCAGCCTATCCCAGGGTGGTGATGTGAGACCAAGGGCACCAAGTGCGGTTGTGAGTCGGAGGGGTCCAGTGTAGTCGTCGCTCATGATGACACGCAGAATGGTTGGCAAGTGTGGGTTTTGCTGACAGAGGAGCGATGTGATGTTGGAAACCCACACTACCTGCCTGACATCCTTGCTGCGCTGCTCAGGATGGGTGCGTATAATCGTTCGCTGGACAAAAACAAACCGATAGGCATGTGGTGGCATACAAGACTTCCAGTGGCGGCAGACGGTGGCGATGCGCATTGCCTCCCAGTAATCAGCGAGGACAGCATGCTCGTGGGTTATGTCCTGGCACAAGAAAGCTATTATTCTGGTAAGAATGTTGGCAGGCAGCTCGTTAAGGGTGTGAGTAGGCATCTTTGGGAGGGATTGGAGCGGAGGAGGATTGGATGATTCCAGTGTACGCCATGGCGACCACTTGGGTTTTTATACTTGTTCTGTAGCGCTGGATGAGGGCTGTGCTGTCCCCTGGGTATTGCAGCGACACACGTCTTCCTTACTGAGACACGTATCTGGATAAAACAAAAATGCACAGAAGGTCCTGGAGACGTAACGTCTAACCCTATGGCCATCGAGGAAGCAGTGCCGTGGGAGCCAGCTTTTATCCCGCCATGCACGTGTGCAGCACCGAGTCGAGCCATGTGGGTCTTTGTAGGCTAGAAAGGATTGTGAACGTGCTGCAGTACCTGCTGTGTTCATGGCTGGGCGATAGAATGGGAATCAGATTTGATCCAATTATCCCTATTTGGCTTTTTGGTGAAGGAAAGGCTTAAGGTATCCTGTCTCTACCACCTGGACAGCCATAGATGCGTGCCATTTTTATGTGAAAATCGGCAGAGCTAAGTAGTGCACTGGTGCTCTTGCAGTCAACACGGGCTCCGCTGGCTGCATCTACTTGTAACGATCGTACGTCACTCCAAAATTCATGTCTGAGCTATGTGGCCATCGGCTTTCAGGTACCGACTGTACTCTGTCTATAGACACATACCACCACGGCACCACCTGTGTGTGGTATTGCAGAGTATAGAACTACTACAAATGGAGTCAATGTCAAAATGGCCCGTCTCTGTACTGCGACACCTAGAAAATCTGCGCTCAACACAGCAACCGGGTCTGGAAATCTTCTTGGAACCAAAATAATCTGTAAATCCCAAAGTGAAACACCACTCGGCAGGGACATCCTCCGCAGCCATTCCACCGCTCGCGTCGATTATAAAAGACCGGGGGCTGCCGCTTACTCTCACAGATTTGTTCATTATTTTTGTTACAACTTCGTTTTCCTATTGCCTTGCCATGGTTTCAACTTACCTCCCGGCCCACGTTGATCGCAGTGCCATCCGCCCTTGCATTGTTGACATGAGGGTGCCATTCATCGATATTAACAGCGAGAAACAGGCCGTCCAACAGCAGCGAGCGCACAAATCACCGTTCATCGTGCTAGAGAAAGACTACTTCACAGTCTACAATGTAAATGGTGGCCCATTAAAGTGTGACTATATCTCCCGGAACTATATCACAATGATGATGCGGTACTACCCTGAGCGCCCTGGTATGTGGTGTTGTTTTCAGGTGCGTAATGGTCTGACTTTCAATCCCGAGCCACCAGCTATCTACTTTATTCACGAAAAGTCCAGCAATATTTTGATCGAGGACCCATCAGAATGCAACACGGTCTTGATATATTACAACGAGAAGGACATTGCGAGGTTTGCAGCGACAACAAGGGCTGCAGATGGCTGCTGCAACCATTTCTTTGTTGTATATGAGGATGGAGTCGAGCAGTGCTTCGATGCCAATAATCCACAGAGCAGCTACACTTTCCCACGCACCCTCAAATTCGCGTTCTTACCGGCAGTGAGGAAGGGCGTTGACGCGATTGAAAGGTTCAAGGATGAGGACAGGCTGTTTGAGGAACGCCAGATATTCAAGCGCCTGCCAGACGGAGGATTCAAGCTAAGGGACATTAATGGCGCCGAGGTTCATGATGGCGAGGAGTTTTCATTGGTTGTCAAATTCGATGACGATGACGAACGCGAGTTTGATACATATGCTCTCGAGATATACGAAGGCGAACTCATGGCTAGGCCAATCCTTGACACTCTATTCACTTGCGAGACAATCGAAGGCATTATGTACCTGAATTACAATGGGCAGTATCTACACTGCCCTGATGATAAAGATGGTAGCATAGTTGTCTCCCCAGAGCTGCCCGAACGGTCCGACCGTCTTCAAATTAATTATGATGGCGCGGACATCCTCCTGACCAGGTGGGACACATCAGATTTTGCTATCTATGAATGGGTTAAGGCATCGGTAGGATGCATTGCACTCCATGGTAATTGGTATGAACAGCGCCTTTATGGTGCAGTGCGACTTCAGCTCATCAAGGTATAAATAAAACGTATCTTCTACTCAGCTGAACTCTAAGAAAGTGAGGAAGGTTACATGATAGACGTCGTTTACAGCGTAAGCCCCCTGAGGAAATCTCTACGCACACCAACAAACCAACACATTCAAGGTGTTCCGTATAACGATGAGTCAAAACAGCAGAAATGGGTGTGGCAATTCGGATACAGTAGCAATGTGTTGGACACTAGTCGATGGACTACAGTTAGTCCTAAATCGGCAAGTCACTGTGAGGAAAATCCTGACTAGACAACCCACCAACTACGTGATGTTGAGTTTCTCTCAGAAAGAACTATTTCTTTTTCTGACTCTTTTATCGGTTTAGCCGCTTAGTATTTTCTCATTTCTTATTTATAAAACTTTGCGTATAACGCCTCAGTTTACTTTACAATGCCATTAAAGCCTGGAGGATAATAACGCAGTTTATATATCCAATGCCTGGAATGTGAATGCCTCAATATCAGTGTCGCACTTTTGTGCCATCGCTGAAGTGGTATGTTAATATTAGTGTTTATTATTCAGGAATCACGAAACACTGTTCTACACCTTGACAACGCTCTTGCCAAAGCTCTTACCGTCAAACAGGTTCAGAACTGCCTGAGGAGCGTTCTCCAGACCAGTGGTCTCATCGATGCGGTACCGAAGCTTGCCTTCCTTGTACAGTTTGCCAACTTCAGTGACAAAATCGCTCTCAACTTGTGTTCCAGCGTACTTGGGAAGAAACAGCCCTTGGAATATAGCAGCCTTGATCAGGATATTAAAGGTATTTTTGAGACCATATGCCTCGTCAGCCGACTTGACGTTGTACTGGGAAATCATACCACAGGAAACAATGCGAGCACCAAAGTTGATGTTGGCCAGAGCAGCATCGAGGAACTTGCCACCGACGTTGTCAAAGTAGATGTCAATGCCCTCAGGAGCAGCCTGCTTGATTGCCTCGGTGAAGGTTCCGCATGTCTTGTAGTTGAAGGCAGCGTCGGCACCAATGCTCTTGACAAGTTCAACCTTGTCGTCTGAGCCAGCAACACCAACAACCCGCAGACCACGAGCTTTGGCAAGCTGAACGACAATCTGGCCAACAGCACCCGACGCCGAAGAAACGAGGATGGTCTCACCAGCCTTTGGCTTACCAATCGTGGTCAGACCGACAAAGGCAGTGAATGATGCCATACCGAAGACTGTAATAAAGTCGCGGGCATTGTCAATAGTACTGTGTGGAAGCCTGCGCACAGCAGCAGCATCCGCAACTGACTTGGTCTCCCAGGGTGCTACTTTAATATAGACGATATCACCTTCAACAATGTCAGTGCTGGTTGATGCCTCCACAACAGCGACACCAAAGTTGGAAATCGGCTCATTAAGCTCATAGCGGGGGACATAGCTGTTTGTAGCGCCGGTCAGACGACCACGCTGGTACGGATCAACAGAAAGATAGAGGTTGCGGACCAAAACCTGGTTCTCCTTAAGTGAGTCCTTAGTGGGGGCCGGGGCGGACACGACCTTGAAGTTGTCGAGGCTCGGGGCGCCGCTAGGTGAGTACTTGTTGGCTAGGACGCGAGTGATAGAGTTTTCAGATGTCATATTGGGTGCTCAGCTTCGAATTATAATCTTGGTTATGTGAGGTGTCTGGTCTTTAGATGATGTGATGGTGGTTTAAATATTTATTACAAATGAATGTATTTAGATATATGCCTGGAGCGACTGATGTTGTCATAAAACGAGACAGTTCAACAACACTTGAAGCGAATAACAGGCAAGATGTTCTGCTGATGACAAATCGTTAAAGATAAGGGGGTGCAAAAATGCGGTGTTCGGAATGGCCGAGTATCCGCCTGTAATTAGTAATACACACTCCACATGTATTTGCATTCTTTGGCTCGGCACCGACATTCCATGCGCTTAGCTATGTAGTCCGATAAAACGTTAATCGATTTAGTTGTGCTTGTACCTGCCCTGCATATATTTTGTTGTTACTGAGGAGAGCTACACTCATGCTAAGCTTCATTATACTCTTGCCAATGCTCACTGCTCAAGAATCGTTCTCTACTTCCTTGGTTTCATAAACCTTGTACTGGATCTTGCGTTCCAGATAGAGCTGAGAGACTTCATTTGTGTAGCCGACTCTGCGCTGTGCTGTGTGGTGGTCCAAAGTAAGCAATCCCTGGATCGTGGCACGTATGTGGATAAGTGCGCCCAGTCTCTTGTTTCCATACACAGCATCGGATAAGCCGGCGCCAGTTTGTGAAATGGGCACACGCTATCCAATACTTGATTTATTATCCAAGACAGACATGGCCCCCTTTGATTACATGCTTACTCGTGGGTGAAGTTAGGCTTGCGCTTCTCGGCAAACGCACCCATGCCCTCCTTCTGGTCCTTAGTGGCGAATGTGGCCTGGAACAGACGACGCTCAAAGTGCAGACCCGACGAAAGGTTAAGCTCGTACGCCTGGTTGACAGCCTCCTTGGCCATCTGCACCGAGACAGCGCCCTTGGACGCAATCTTGGTTGCAGTCTTAATAGTCTCCTGCAGCAGGGTCTCAGGCGGGAACACGGCGCTAACCAGTCCCAGAGTCTTTGCCTCCTGGGCATCCAAGTTGACTGAGCCCGCCAGGATCATCTCCATGGCCTTTGACTTGCCCACAGCGCGAGTCAGGCGCTGGGTGCCGCCAGCACCCGGAATGGTGCCAAGGTTAATCTCGGGCTGGCCAAACACAGCCTTCTCGCCGGCGTAAATGATGTCGCACATCATGGCTAGCTCGCAGCCGCCACCAAGCGCATATCCGTTGACTGCGGCCAGCAGGGGCTTGCGCAGCTTGTTGATCTGCTCGACCCAGTGGCCGAGGAAGTTGGACTTGTAGTTGTCAATGAACTCGGTATCCTTCATTTCCTTGATGTCGGCGCCCGCAGCAAATGCACGCTCGCTGCCCGTCAGGACAATGGCGCCGATGCCGGAGTCGTTATCGAAGCGGGCCAGCGCGTCGTTGATCTCGTGAAACAGCTCGCTGCACAGGGCGTTCAGGGCCTTTGGCCGGTTCAGCGTGATGATCGCGACACGACCTTGCGTCTCAGTCTTGATCATGTTGTAGGCTGGAGCCTCGGTCGACACTACAGGAGATGTGCGTGTGGGTTCAGCAAGCATTGTCATGTTAATTAGCACAAGTACCGTCCGAGGCGTGTAGAACTGACGTCAAAAGAGAGAGATGGGTGTGCAGTAAACCCTAATATCAGCTATTGCTTAACGGATAGAGCCCCCTTTGGTCCTTACCAAAACGCATGGTGCGAGCAGCACGCATGGCAGTCGACGCCACAGCGGCCTTCCGGGTGAGCGGGGACGAGACGATAGAGCGGAACATGGCAATCGATTGAGAGTTAAAGCGATGGTTGCAAGAGTTTGAGAATAAAAGAGGTATACCAAAGGAGCAAAGGCGATGCAGAGGCGAAGAAGGAATGCGTTCAGTGATGCTTGTCAGGCATATTCCCCTTGTCCCGCACTGGCCATTCCCACGGAATTCGCTATCCAGTGCTTATCTCGGAGGCACCAAAAAATTCACACGTGCAGATGCATTCAAGACCCGCGTGGTAGCGCAGCCAGTTCTGCCATCGTCATGCACCCGCCTGCTGCACAAATCGGTAATGCAGTCCAGCCGCGCAACACCCAAAATCAGTATCATGCAATCAGCTGATCTTGATCTAGCACACGCAATTTCGCAAAGACACAGCGAACAGGCAGCAGTTTGGCTGCTGACACCAGGCGCATACTTGCACGAAATAGCTGCATAGCCAGACGGGACCTTTCTCTTCAAAAAGTCGACTCTTCGAATAATCCAACACTATGAAGTACGTTTTCGATGATGATGGATACGCCGCTGCTAGGGAAAATAATGCGGATCCGCGAGTGGATGGGGTCATGCTGCTCGAGAGCAGGAGAGGTGCCGCCGAATTACGGGAGGGCAGAGCATTTCAAGAATGAGAGACCGAGTGAGAAATTGACAGCTTGAAATGAGCAAACCCGACGCATTCTGACATTCGGAATTGGCGCTCAGCACGGAAATGCACACCCTCCCATTCCGCGGCACCTTCCGATTTCAGCGAGCAATTCCCGCAGCAGCTAGGCAGCAGGACCAGCGCCGTGAGACGTGCATTCCTGCCAGCGAATAGATAGGCATACACGGGCGCTTATAAACGAATTGTTGTTAACTTTTTGTAGGCTCGAGATTTGCTCCTTCTCCGGGTACAAGATCTACCCCAGCCGCGGTCGCACCTTCATCCGTGGCGACAGCCGGACCTTCCACTTCCTGAACTCGAAGACCGAGTCGCTGTTCCGCCAGGCGAAGAACCCGCGCAAGATCGCGTGGACTGTTGTCTTCCGTAAGATGCACCGCAAGGGCATCAGCGAGGAGGTCGCCAAGAAGCGCACCCGCCGCGCTGTCAAGTACAACCGTGCTATCGTCGGCACCTCGTGGGAGGCCATCAACGCCCGCCGTAACGAGAAGACCGAGGTCCGCTCGGCTGCTCGCGCCGAGGCTGTCAAGAAGGCTAAGGAGCAGCGCAAGAACGAGGCTGCCAAGAGGAAGGCTGAGCGCGCCAAGGTAAGATGCTGAACACAACATGGCTGGTGTCTGATGTTCCCAAAAGACGGTGTGGACCATACTGCTAACGTTGTCACTTGCTGCATTCCTTTTTGTAGAACCCCACTGCTGACCAGAAGTACAGCAAGCAGCAGGCTCGCGGTGCCTCGACCAAGGTCCACGCTACCAGCCGTTAAAGATCTTTTTTGTAGCTCCCATGGCACAACATGCCCTCCTTGCTTGTGTTGAACAAATTCCAGCAATGTGGAAAAAAAAAACATACTCTGTACATGTGGAGTGCATATACGGCATGGCATATAATGTAATACGGGCAAAGCTGTCCGCATGTATTGCATTGAATCTGGGAACAAAGCGACTAGGCGACAACCTCCTCCTTCTCGTCGACAATCTCCTCGACAATCTCCTCGACAATCTGGTCGTCCTCGCCGGCGGCCAGGGGCAGCTTGTAGCCGTTGGCAAGGGCCTCCTCGGTCTCCTTGGCAAGCTGGGCCTCGACGCTCTCGCGCCAGGTGTCCCACTCGCTGATAAGGCGGCGGCGCTGGGAGATAAGCTCGGCGTCGGCAGCGTGCAGCTTGCGCTCGTCCTGCTCGTCGAACTCGGTTGAGTAGTTCTTGAGGTTCTTGCGGATCTCGCGCTTCTTGTCGTCGGACAGCAGGGTCTTGGGGCGCGGGCGCCACAGGATCTGCTTGAAGCGCTCGACGACCTCCTTGCGCAGCTGCTGGCCCTTGAAGTCCCACAGGATGTAGCCGTTCTCCATCGTGTGCCTCCACGATGACGCCGACGTGATCACGTAGCGGCCGGTCGGGTCCCAGTCGAGATCGGTCACACCGTAGTGCTCCGCAGCGCCCAGCTGAGAGATGGCATCGCCAGCCACACCGCTCTTGTTGGCGGCAGCCTGGTCAAACTCGACGTCGTAGAACTCGAGATCCCACGCAGTGGTGGTGCGCAGCGTGGCCAGCACGATGTGGCGACCGCGCGGCGACCAGCGCAGGGCAGTGGTGTTCTTGCGGTCAAGCGTCTTGAGCAGCTTGAAGCCCTCCTTCTTAACCAGCTTGCCCTTGCGCTCAAAGGCGTAGAAGCTGACGCTGGTCTTGGCAGCAACCGAGGCCATGCCGCTGGTGTTGGTGGGCGGCGGGGTCGGGTCGTCGGTGTGGATAACGGCGAAGCGGAAGTTCTCCGAGGTCGGCTCCCAGTCGAAGGCCACAGCACAGTCCTTGAGCTCGATGACGTCGACAGGCACGTCGCGCTCGCCGGTGCGGAAGATCTCGAGGTTGGTGAACTGCGACTTCTTGGACTTGGTGTAGCGCTGCACGCGCACACACAGCATATTGCCCTCGGGATGCCAGTGCAGCGATGCATTGGACACACTGAACAGGTTCTTGGTGCGGACCAGGGCCTTGTCGGGCACGCTGATCAGGCTAACGCGGGCCGGCAGGTTGCCCTCCTCGGGCGTCCAGTATGCCATCAGCTCAGGCTTGCCGGGCTTGGTGCGCGGGCACCACGCAAAGTCCTGGATGCCCGGGACCTTGATCGACTTCTTGTCGAGCAGGCCCATCGAGGGGGCCTCGTAGATGGCCACATGCGAGCCCTGCGACATGCGCGCAAAGTACTTCTCGCTGGGCGACCACTTGAAGTGCGGCCAGCTGACCTTGGCGGCCTTGCCGTCGTCAGTCTTTTGCGGTGCAAACGAGCGCAGCAGCGCACCAGTGTGCGCATCCCACACGCAGAACGTGTTGCCCTCGTCGGCCTCCGTATACGGGTTCTGGTGCTCGTTGCCGGCGCCCAGCAGCTGGTTGACGGTCTCGACGTTGATGGGCTCGTTGGACCACGTGACAAGGTACCGCTCGTTCGGGCTAAAGTCAGCGAGCTTGACGCTCAGGTGCACGAAGCGCATCAGCTTCTTCCACGAGGGACCACCCCACAGCACCAGACCCTGGCGGTGGAACGTGCACATGTACGAGCCCAGCGGCGACCACTGCACGTACGTCTCGGTCCAGTTCGACCGCGAGATAATCTTCTCGGCCGGCTGCGTCTTCTCGTTCCACAGCACCGACAGATCCTGGTCAGCGTACATGGCGAACTCGTCGCGAGCAAACTCGTCGCCAAGCCACGACTTCAGGTGCTCCTTCTCCACGAACGGCTCCTCGGGCGGGTCCTGGTACTTCTCGTCGACCTCGCTGTACTTCTCAATGTCCATGAACGGGTTGACCACCAGAACGTGGGTCTTGTCGAGCTTGAAGCCGCTGAGGTTGCGGATTGCGTTCTGCGCCGACTCGGCGGTCTCGAACTCGACGAAGGCGAAGCCCTTGGTCTTGTTCTTGCCCTTGACCTCCTCGTGCGGCATGTGGATGCCGTTGTCCTTGACTGCGCCCGCCTGCTTCTTGAACAGCTTCTTGAGCACAGCAATCAGCTTCTCCTCCTTGCTCTCGTCGACCACAGGCAGATTGTCCACCACCACGACATTCTCAAGCGTCTCCTCCTGCTCGGGGACGACAAACTCCCTTTCCAGATCGCTGAAGTCGATGTCAGCCTCGCTGGCTGGCAGATTGGCAATAGTGAATCCTGCCATTCTCTCGATATCTGTAAACTAGTTATGCGACGGTATAATCTAGGACTGAAATGATGAAAGAGATTGAAATCTGCCCTCTGATATTTTTTTGCTGTCCTAGCCCATGCCCGCAAAATTTTCTTTCTCAGCACCACCTGGTTCAGGCACACGGCCAAACGACCAAGATCAGTAAATGTTCGGATTTCTTGATCAATCAAGGATGTAGCTGGAATTCGGAAGCACATCTATGTATAGTTGCAGGGGCGAGGTTGTAGCCATATGCCATCAAGACCAGTTCCAGCGACAACCTGCTGTCAGTTGGCTTGTCGGCAGCGAACAAGAGCTATCCATCAATGTCTCTGATGGCCAGAGACAGTGCCTCACCGCGCCGAATAAGCCGGTATATTTTGGCAGTAATTACTCTTTTTATGAGGATTCGCTTTTAAGTAGCGGCTCCTGCAACAAGGATTAGCTCCTACCCAGCTGGTGCTGTGCGGTTCTTGCCGCTTCGCAACGCTTAGCCGAGTTGACACAATTCGTGTTTATCAAAAGGTAAAAATGTGCAAGGAACTAGGAAATCTCAGCAGTAGTAGTAGTTGGTCAGGTCGTCGTCGTTGTCACCGTAGCCGGTTTTGGCCGAGTAGAAGTGAGACACCTCGTCATCGCAGGCATTGTTGCTGCTGGAATACCCACCGCCATAGTGGTGCCTGTCGTCATCCATACGGTCGTATCCACCGCGGGATGTGCGCGACAGCTTCGAGTGCATCTCCCGCTCCCACACATGTATCTCACACACAGCTGAGTTTTTGAAAATGCCCTCATCCCGTACTGTCGAGGAAACGGAGCCGGAAGGTGACGGCGATTTAGATGCAGTGGGTGAAGAAACCTTGGTCGAGCACACAGACTGCCCAGCACAAGCTTTTGACATGCGGGCACTTTCCACAATGTCACCACCCCCAATGTCTTCGTCGTCGTGGAGTGGAGATGCGGTAGTGCGACTGGCACAGGCCACACACAGCCCGTCGTCCTGGGACAGAGCCATGATGCGTGAACTTGCCTTTGTGGTATTCAGCAGGCGGCATACTGGCACACCGACGCACTCGCTGTCAGCATGGGCCCCTGCCAACGGTGGCTCGTAGCTTGTTACAGCATTGTTGGTGTGGCGGCGTCGGGGCTTGATCGTGACAGATCCCAAGAACGGGTGCTCGAGCGCCTGTGAAGCCGTCGGCCGGCACTGGGGCTTGGCCTGCAGGGCCCAGCGCAGTAAGTCGGCGGCATGGAGGACTGCCAGAGGCACACGACCGAGCTTGCGGGGGGTTGAGGAGCCCGTCGAGCTACTGGACTGCGTCGACGCGGTGGGGCGTATAACCGAGACAGCAAACGCTGGCTTCTTGGACTTGGAGCACGCGTAGCGGCTGCTGGAGTGGGTATTGGGGGCCGACTCCAAGATCTCCGGCAGGCTGTTGCCACGGGTGGCACCATACGTGGTTGGGTCGCGGGAGGACAAGTGTACTGGGGTGGTACTGGGGGACAGGTAGTAGCCAGTGCTGTTAGGGTAGCTGGTCTCTATGCCGCTGTCAATGTCAATGTCGCAGGCGCCAATGCTGTGTGCGTACCGGGGCTCGTTTTCTGCCTTGCTGGTGCTGACGTAGCAGCCCAGCTGTGAAGTCGAGTAGCTATTGCGGCTGTAGAACGTCTGGCCAGTGGGGCGGCCGGCATCAGGCAACATGTCCGTATCATCCATGTCGCAGTATCCGCTGTACATGGATGACCCGCCGCCAACGAAAGCAGCAGCAAAGGCAGCAGCCTCGTTGTCCTCGTCGGAGTATGTGTGTGTGTGGCGTGGCATATAGGACCTGGGTGAGCTGGACGGATGTTGGGCAGGCAGCGATATAGTGGTGTGGGCAGTATGCTCTGCCTGCGGCCGTGGGTCCTCGCCAGCTGCCTTCTTTGCTGGCGGCTTCATATCGTTGGGGATGCTTGACCGGCGGTGTTCTGGCACAGCCTTGGGAGTGAACGTGGTTTGGCGCTCGATGAACTCGGCCTGGCCGGGGGTGTACTCGTAGGCATCAAGTAGCTCGTCTATCTGCGAAATGATCACGTCGGTGGTGTCGGAGCGAATCAGAGGGCCGCCCAGCAGACGCAGTTCAACGGTAGGCAGGTAGTTCTGTAGCATCATGCCCAGGACCACACCGGCGCTATATATGTCTGCACGCAGGTCCCAGGCCTCACCCGACAGAACCTCAGGCGCAACAAACCCGCATGTGCCACGGCTCGGCAGCCTCCCGCTCTCAGTGGCCGACAGGTCGCAGGCCAGGCCAAAATCAATCAGCTCAATGTGCGAGGGGTCCTTCGGGTCAGCCATTAGGTTGGTTGGGGTGATATCCAGGTGCGCAATGCCGAGGTGGTGCAGGTCCTCCAGCGCAATGAACAGCTGGCGCGCCAGGTACGCAATGTCAAACAGGTCACGGCCCTGAATGTTGAGCGGGTTCATGCGCGGGAATACCATTACATGCTTGCTCGAGTTGTCGGCAAATTCGTCCAATAGCTGCATTACATGCTCTGACTCGGTGCCTGCCACCATGTGATAGAACGACAGCTCGCGCTGTGCTAGCATGCTGTCGTTGACTGTCTTGAAAACCACACGCTTCCAGCCGTTGACGCGGATGCCAAATTCCACTTTGGAAAGGTCGGTCTACATGGAGATGGAGTTGACTCGGGAGAACTAGTTAGATCGGGTGCTGATAACAGGGTAGCCGGGGGAGGTCATATGGCTTTGTGGAGATTTCTGGGATCAACAGGCCCACCACACAACAGCAGTCCCAGGACTATTCACGCCAGCCCATGGAAACAGCATGTGACACGAAATGGAGCATTGTGAAAGGGCATAGATGAGGCCAGATAAGGACGAGGGCGGCTGTCGCTGTGTGGGATGAAAGCTGCACTGACGCAAGCACGCTGATAGCTGCGCACGGATAGATGCGGGTCGTGCATGCCCCATTGTGGCAGATAAGCCCGGTCCAAGCCAAGACATAGAATATCCGCTGGCTTGTGCGGATATGTGGGAAATGCACCGTCCATGTCTTGCATCCTTTTTGGATATTCAGCTGTTTTTGGGCAGGGGGCTGCCAATGCAGAGCCATGAAACGAAGCGAATATTCCTTGCATGCTGCATATGAAACATCATTTGAGCAGAGCAGCAAATGAGCAGCATGGGCTGGCGAAGGGGTAAGGAAAATGGCAAGGGGTAAAAGCGAGGAGAGCTAGCGCCGATGACGTTGGCAAGGTTCAAGCAGCAACTTACAATAATTTTTGGCTGGTGTGTGTGTACCAGGTATTCGCCCTGCTTCTCGAGCGGACATTCCAGGCGGCGCTCGAACGGGGCAACGTAAACACCATTGCGTCCGTTGCCAAGGTTCATGCGCAGCCCGCCATTGGGCAGAACTGTATTGATAATCTGGCGAGCTTTCTCTGATGACATCGGGGCCTCATGGCTGTTGGTCTGAACTGCTTTGGCTGCCTCGTGGCACAATACTGCCGGCTTGCTCTGCTTGGCCCACCCGAGATGCCGCGCATGCGCTTCGTGGTGGGAGGCGATTGAATGCGTGCGTCCAAGGTGGATAGGTGGTGAGTCATCGCGGCCGATCTGCTTCGAATCCGCGTGTTCCCGCATTGTCTTCGATGATAAGAGCTTCACGGGATATAGTGGCTCGTCGCTGTCAATATATGTGAGCGATGCGTCAGAGTTGCGACGGTACCGGCGACAGGATGTGGGCACCGCTTTGGTGCTGCCTGATATTGTTGGGGCTGATTCCATTGGGCTTATCTGTGTGCGAGGTTGGGCGTGAAAAGCTTTGCGCTTCAGCAGACCCTTGAGAACTAATAAAGTACAGAGTTAATAGGGTAAAATACAGAGAAATAGAGAAAATAATGAGCTGAACACGAATAGCTGCTTGTTAGTGTAAAAGAATCAGGGATTGGGAGAATGGAGGAGGCATGGACCTATATGTCCATTTCTAAGTATAGCTCGAGGCGCCTAGTTGTGCCAATGGTGTGAAAAATGGGGGCTCCAGCTGCGTGGAGGAATTGGAGGAAAGAGAACTAAGGGTTATTTGACAGGAAGGAGAAAAAGGAATCCATTTGGAATACAGGGGACAGGCCTGAGCTTTATATAAACTTCTGCTGATCGCATACTGCCCCTTGCTTTGCATTGGCAAAGCAAAATGAAAATTGGTGCGGAACGGGTTATCGGGCCACACTTGGAAAGCAAAGCGACCTCTTAATGCTTGTCGATTCGCTCAAAAAGCCAAAAATAGAAGGCGCCAGTCCCGGGTTGCTGGGGAGGGTAATCAGACACCCCGTTCCCGCCATGTCTTGGGAGGCACATAGTGGCCTCTGCACATATTTCTGTTGACTCTTGGAGGCTGTGGCCTGTGCCAAGAAACATAAACAAAAGGTACTAGTAAACAGTGTCGTAATGCAAGGCACGAGGAACGGGTGCTGCAAGCGCTGACAAACCGAGGCGGAGAGGTCCCGAGTGCAGACGGCTCTCGGTCAACATACCTTTGGCTGTTTGGCGGCGTGGACGTCGCTTGGCAAGACGCGCTAATGAGCTAGTGAGAGTGAGAGCGAGAGTGAATGACTGAGAGAGCGAGAGCGCGGAATATTCCAAGCGAAGCTAGTGAATTATATAAGTCGTTCTTCTTATTTGCGGAGAATGTGAGACACTATCCTTCCTCCTTCAAAGACATTGGGTGAAAAGCAGGCAAGAAAGCGATGCTTCCTGGAAATAGAGGAGAATGGGCTCGCGGCGCAGGCAATGCCCTCTATGCGCTATATTCACCCACCGAGGAGTCAGTGCAATAGTGGTCGCGTGAAAAACAGACGCAGTGAGCGCATATTCCGGAACAGCAGGCTGTATCAATAGGAGGTGTGCTAAGCGGGCCTCAAACACCAGCATTGTCACGCACATCCTCCAATTTTGCGATTCGGGATGGCTACGGATGACGGCTTTTGGCCGAGCATTGCCTAGGGCAGGCGGGCATCGGAGAGGGCTGGCCCGACCACACATCCCAGTCGGGGGATTTTTCAGCAAGGTCGCGTGTGTGAAAAATCAGAACAAGATGCACCTTGGATTTTTTATTTTAAAGTAGACAACAACAGCTGGGAGTATGGCCACCAATCACAGTCAAGGCGATCAAGCACTGATAGCGCGCTATCTTTCGCGATCTCGGAAAGCCAGGGGTCACACACCCAAACTGCTCTGCGTGGCGGCAATTCGTGCCAAGCAGTAAAAGCACAAAAATTGTAAAAAATTCCGGAGCTCCCTAACTTTCACCTGGTTGCCTTGGTGAGCTGCTCGACGAGCTGCTTCCGGCGCATGGCCTTTGCGGCAATGACAGCGTGGTTGATGATGATCTTGAGGTGAGCCTGGCTCAGCGAATTCGACTCGCGCAGCTCCGCCAGATGCTGGAGAATGGCAGCCTCGTCGTAGTGCGCCGGGTCGGCCTTGATGCGCTTCTGGAACCAGGTCTTCTCGTCAGCCACGCTGACCTTCTTTGCTACTGTCAGGGGCTTTGGCGGGCCGGGCTGTTCGGGGAGCTTTGGAGGTGAAACCGTGTTTGATGGCGACGACGTGGGTGGTTGCTCCGCATTGGTCATTGTCGCATCGGCACTACTGCTGGTAATAGCGGCCTCCACAACGCGCTCAGCCGGCGGCTCAGGCGTGATCGAAGGCGTAATCGAAGGCGTAATCGAGGCGGCAGTGCTTGTGCGGGAGATGGGAATCGGCTCGGCAGACGAGGGACTGGCCGGGTTCAGGATCTGCGCGGTGTGGCGGTTGATGACAACAGCGTCGGATGTGAAGGTCAATGCGCCCGGATCAAGCTTGCCTTCAAGCATAGCCCACGGATTGACATTCCACGAGTTGTCGTTTTTGCGCCAGGCGGTGCTGATCGAGCGGCGGCGCGGCACAGCCTTGCGCTGCATCCAGCCGAACCTTCCGCTGCCCTGGGCGGCATTCTCGCTGCTGCCTCGGCCCATGGGCATATCTTCGAGCATTTTGTCGACAGCCATCTCGTTGAGCTCGGCCTCGCTCTCCATTTCCAAGCCAATGGCCGCCTCGTCCTCTGATTCAGATCTCGGCGGGCCAGTGTTGATGTTGCTGGCAGAGCTGCGCGTGGACGAGCCGCGCGAGAGGCCGAGCTTGGCTCCCAGCATCGGATTGCCAGCAAGCACATTGTTGGCGGGACTACGGGGCTCGCGCAACGTGCGCTCGTAGGGGTTGCCGAACATGGTCTTGCTGCGCTGCGCGGCCACACGGCCATCCAGCAGCGGATCGCGCAGCTCAGCAGATTTCTGACGGTTCATAGCTACAGCGTACTCGCTCATATCGCGAATTGACACCGAGTGGCGCGAGTCGCGGTCGTCCTCGCTGGCCACATCCACGATCCCACCCATGGGCGAGAGCTGCGTTCCTGGATCCATGTTGCGGAGATCCTGCTCGGAGACTTTGGCCCTGGGTGCCATTCCGCCCAGATGCGGCGATCGGCCGCCTTGGTTGGCGGATCCAAACCCGGATGAGCTGTCGGGCCCGCCAAAGCCGTAGAACGAGTACTCCATGCTGGCCACAGGCGGCGTGTACTGTGGACTGGCAGGAGCCTCTGCCTGGTCGCTGTCGTCGACATCCATAGTGCTGCCAGCCGAATCAAGGGGTTTCCACTCGCTGATTAGGGATGGCGGCACCATGGCGTTGGGCCGAGAGTACGCTCGATGCGATGCCATGCATTCGCGCACAAACACGCGACGCATGGCGCTCAGCGTAGCCAGGCAGTGGCTGCGGTCGACATCAAACGCGTTTGTCACCAGATGGCTGACATCTGCGGCCGGATCAAAGTCAAGCAGCGCCGATTGCAGGCCCTCAGCTACCTCCATGGGCGGCTTGCTGGCTGGGTCTGTGGTACCGGCTACCGGCAAGCGGTCCCACTCGCGACGAGCAACGGTGTGCAGCTTGATCGAGTAGTGCATGATGTTGCGCATTCCGTTGCTCTGGCCAAAGTTCCTGGGGAACACGTGGTGAGGGATTCCATACAGGTTGAATGCTCGCTTCAGGGGGATTGCATAGTATCCGGGCGTATGCTGCAGATACTCGTCCAGTTCGGCCTTCCACTGCGACGAGCTGGCTGCCTCCGCACGCGTCACTCGCTGCGCCTGCATCTGGGCATCCAGCTTAGCCAGGATCTTCCACAGCGCCGTGAAATTGTACGGGAACACAAACAGATTGACTGCTGTACGTGCAGAATTGGCTCTCAGGATGCCGAAGGGAAATCCGGCGTACTTGGGATTCGTGTATGAGCCGTTGATGAATACGTGCCAGCACACGGGCTTGGACGGGCCCTTGCCACCCTGCGCTTCGTGCGCTGCCTGTGCTGCATGCGCTGCTGCCAGCAGCTTCTTGGCCACGTTTGTGTTCCCGTCGATCTGGTATTTGTCGAAGGGGAAGTTTGCTGGTACCGACCACTCAGAGTTGTTCTGGCTGTAGCTCAGGATAGGGTGCGCTGCGCGTCGCGGGATCTGCCAGCCGCTAGGGCCGGGTGGCGGTAGGTTGGCTTGCTGTGGGTTTGGTGGTGCGCTGCCTGGTGCGCGCGGCGCCTGGATCGCCTCGGGCCAGAACGGCTCTGGGATCGGAAAGTACCCGCTCTGCCCATTGATCAACGCCGAGACTCCGGCGCTGGTGCCGTAGCTTGGTCCATTGGCTTGCCGCCCTTGCCCGCCTGGCACGCCTGGGTCCGGTCGGCGGCGGCAGCGGCCCACTGGCCAGACTACCTGGAGCTGCATGGAGCAGCACTCGTGTGTCGGAGTTGCCTGGGTTCGCAGGGTTGTCGTCGATCCGCTCAAAGCTGACCAGCACGCCCGGTGGTGGCATTGCCGATGCAAACGGCCGTTTGCTGTTGCCCACACGCGCCTTGGTGATTCCCTCGACGAACCGCATCGCCAAATGCATGCTGTTGAGGTGGTGGACCGAGCCGCCCATGACGGTGCACATGGGCATGAGCATCGGCTCGCTGCTGTATTTCTTGCTCATGCATGCGTCGCTCGGCTCGTGGAGCAGAACCAGGGTCATGCGCTGGTCCCACCGGAACGGCTCAATGTACGACTCCACCCACGGCGTATTGTTGACAGGCAGGTTGAGCTTGGTCGTCATGCCCGTGTTGCCAACTACGCTGGCACCGTCTGTCAACCACATGATGTGCACTGGCTCGTTGAGCTGTGGATACCGCCCATACCCGTACGTGTCCAGGTCGTATGCCCCGCGCATCAGCGCCAGCTGGTTGAACAGTGCTGTCAGCGAACTGCCGCCAGCAAACTTGTCGTCGGCCCGTAGCTTTTTCAGCTCGCGCAGCAGTGTTGCCCGCGAGTCCTTCAGGGATGACCGGATGCAGCTGGTGGCTGTGGCGCTGTGATATGACACTAGCATGTACCGGTCGTGCTCGTAGTTCTCGCGACTGTGTACGATCTGCTCCACAATGCTCTTGGCGCAGTCCAGCCGGGTGATCTTCCCGGTCGTGTCAGTCCCCCGCGTGCCCTTGCGCTGCCACCGCCGGCTGAACCGGTCGGAGGTCTCGCCAAACAAGCTGTCTGTGGAGCCTGCGTCGGGCCGTTTGGAGCAACCTAGCGGCCCGCCAAACCTGTGCTCCATGGACACGCTCGTGTCAACGAGAAACACAAATATCATTGCTGGTGAAGAATTTGAATGCAAAAGAAAAAAATTGGGATGAATGCGGAAACAAAAAAAAAATTCAAGCTGAGGGAAGCAAAGCTAGCGGCGTCTTAGATGCGAGCTGCCTCTCGATTTTTCGTTCGCAGACAGCTCCTGCATCATTTCCTGAGAAAAAACGCCTCCCCAAGCCCACCACTACGCGAGCAAGTCGCATAACCCACAGCTAATTTACCGGGGGTTTCTTTTTCCCTGCTGACGTGCCGTTAGCAGCCGACGGTGCTCTGACCAGCTTGAACGAGAACTTTGTCTTGCACGTCGAGCACACAGGCGCCATTTTGCAGAAAATCGACAGGCACACCGAGCACACATATCCAATGTCCACCACCCGCTTGTGGCAGAAGCACGTCGCCCGGAAATCAATCAAGTCGTTGTGTGGCGAGTACAGCATGCTGCGGGTAAAGTGGTCAGCCAAGCAAGTGAACATCAGGCTCTGCAGCAGCGACCCTCTGTTCTCCTGTGTATCAACCTTCAGGTAGTTTCCGCCGGTGATCTCGGCTGCCTGCTGCAAAAACACCGAGTCGCTGCCCACCACCTTGCATACATCGATGAGCACGCCGAGCTTTTGTGCCGCAAAAATCGTGTTCATTAGGGCAATGTATTCACGCGGCGCATCGTCTGCCACCGACACCACCAGGATGCGCGGCCAGATCTTGTTCACCGACGCCTTGGTACCTCGGTTAATATAGCAGAGGGCCTTGGACAGTGCCCGCGATACCTGGCTCTGCCCCTGCTCGATGCCTGCTGGCGTGTCGCTGCTCATGCTGCCGCTCTCAATCATCTTTTGCACGCCTGTGAGCACTTTTGTGTCGACGTCGCGGAACTGCTCGTATACCTGCATCTCTGGAATCGTGGTTTCGTCTGTGAACTCGGTTGGGTACAGATACCGGCACTCGGACTTGTTGGTTGCAATGACTGCCAGCTTATTCTCGGGCTTTAGGGCCAGGTATGCGTTCAAGAAAATGACCACTTGCTGAAGTGCCCGGTCAAACTGCAGCGGGCACCGCTCCCACGCCGCTGTGTTTGTGTCCAGCACCACCACCAGCAAGCTGGCCTCTGGTTCTGCTGCTTCTGACATTACAAGGCTACTCATTGGTACAAGGCAAGAGAAGAAGTGAAACGTCCTCGTAAACCGGAAATTGCAAGCATTCACATTTCAATTTTAAACCCCACGTGATTCGGTGGTGGTTCTGGGATCGTATATATTGACATTTGGAAATGCTACTGAAGCATTTAGAACTCGTTCCTGCGATATACCGCTTCAGATCTCTTTCGTCAATACCACCTGGGGTTTCCGCGACTGATGGTGGTCGCTCGATATTGCCCAGTGTCCAGTTGTTTGTATCGGGGATCCGCTGAATCACCTTGTATGACCACATAAACAAGAACACAAGGATACTACACCCTATATAGCGGAGCGTGTGTTGGCAAGCTGCCTTTCTTGCCACTAGTGCTTCGATCGCCGACTAGATTAGTGATTGATTGTACAGATAGTATTGTGCCTACGAGCCATCCGGTCACATCGATGTGGTTGGTCAATGTACCAACGATACATGTGGTGAGCACGAATGAGCATGGTGATGCCATCCCGCTGAAGAATAAGCCCGAATAAAAGAGACCACTGTGGTTGCTCAACTGATCCATATTGATCGCTGTAGATACTGAAAGTGACTCTGTCAATACGAAAATGGCACTGTTGACATCCCTACTACTAAGCACGATAAGCAGCACCACTGCTACAACGGTAGCATGTAAATAAATTACAAAGCCATAAATGCCGCGCCGCTGCCGTATAGCCGAGCCAATATCCAAAACTGACCCAAGAGCCGGAGCAGCTAAACAGCCCATGTCAGACACGATACCGGACAGGTTATTTGGCATTAGGATCCCATACGCAGCGTAGATGTACGGGAATGTGAATATGAGCGGCACAAGAAGCCATAGTCGTGGGTTCACAAGTGTATGCAGGGCCATTTCTAGCCCCATCGGGATAGTTGATTTGCGAGTCTGAAGATACACGCCGTTGTCGCGAACAGCCCTGTCAGCCGGAAGAAGCAGCATGACTATGACTGCACCGATACACAGAAACGCAGTCGACACTATTGCAATATGGTAGTTTCGCTGTCTATGCTCCCCCCCCCCTTTGTAGATAACGTCGCCGAGTGCCCTAAATATACAAAATGTGATCAGGAGAAGCCGCCAGCACCCGTGCCTTTTGCTGCTCGCACGGATAGGTTAGAATCATTGTATATCCTGCGAATGTAGCCAAGGGTTGTGAAAATATCAACCAGAACAGCACCGGCAATATAAAGGTGGTGGGGGTCTCTCTTGTAGCTTGCCAGGAGTGCTCCACTGTCTACGATGCCGCTGAAAATGGACAACAGCAACGAAATCCGAGGTCCAAGTATGTTAAAGACAAACACCCACGCCAGCCTAGACATTGCGATAACCATCTGACTTTTCCACAACAGCACGTACTCAGCTAGACATTCTAGTGGAACGAGTGCCACTGCGGATTTCCCAGCCATAAATGGCACTGATGCACATAATTGTGCAAACACGTAAAAAAACATTATTGGCATGTTGTTGCCGTCGCCGTTGGAAATTGGAATGGGGCGGTAGCGACAATAGGGAAATTGTCAATGGAACAGCCTGTTGGAGAATCAACTAACAAATAAAACATCTAAGGCACACAGTCACCACGGATTCTGAACCACCTAATACACGAATGTATTTATTAAAGTCTGTCTGGATTAAAACTGGAGGTGGAGTATCTCGTAGTGCCCAGCGAAACGCGGTGAACATGGTGCCGGTGCTCTTGGAAAACGGGACGCTCCAATTCATCCATGAGATCCGCGATATAGAATTGTGGTGTGTAGCAGCTGAGGCAAACTCTGCTCAGCGACGGAAGCTTTGTGATGGCAAGGATCAACGTTGCTGGATGTGTCCTTTTGATGCATACATCAAGGCGCGTAAGTCTGCGGCTGAATGGCTCGCCATTGGTGAGGAACTCTTCGATAAACTTGTCTGGAACTGCCATTTCCTTATCGTTGACAGCAATGATATTGTTAACTGTCAGCCTGATAACCATGTCGGCATGCACCAGCAGCTGTCCAATTTGGCTGATGGTAAAGTTGGTCTGGTGTAGACACAGGTAGGAAAGGCTGAAGCTGATTCCGCAATCGAGGAGTGCATCCGGGATGTTCGGAGGGAGATCATCGAGATAGCCATAAAACTCGATCGCTTCGGCGCTGGGTGCGATCTCAAATGGCAGTCTAATCGTATCACCTACTTCGTATGTGGGATTCTCGCTTTTGATGGAACCGCAGGTTAGAACGCAGACACGCTTCAAATTTAGGAACCGGTGGTTTCTCAGCCCTGCAATGGCCATGTTGGTCATATTGAATGAAAGGTGAGTCAGCGTGCTTGTAGCTCCTCTGACCAAGATGTCAAAGGAAGCGATCCTATAGCAATCGATGAGGGCCAAGTGCGTCAAGGCAGGAAATATAACGGCATCCTCCTTTACACCCTTAACGTCGGTGAAATTGGTGCAGTAGAGCGTGAGCTTCTTGAGAGAAGGGTACCTATGCGGTTCCTTGTAGGCGATTATTTCTTCAAGAGCCTCAGGCGAGGGCTTATACAGCCTCAACTCCTCGAGCGATTTGCTGCTTGCGCGGATGAGCCTTGCTGCGGCTGAGGAAGTTGGCGAGGAAATGTGGATCCGCCGAAGGCTGGTCAGGTTTGGCGCTAAAAGAGTACTGCTGCAGGGTGATCTACTACGATATATGAGCGAATGAGGCGAGGCAGAGCTCTTGCTGGCAAGGCCATAGAAGGCTTCCACCTCGCAGTCCTCCAAGTTTTGCAATGCAAAAAACGAGATAGCACGGCTGTTTGGGAAGAGCTCACGCAGACGAGCGGAGAGCCTAGCAATCTGATCATCCAAATGAACCTCGGCTCTTTCCAGCCACCCTCTTGTTTTTGACAAACGAAAGTTTCAGGTCGGCGACGTTAGGGAATGAAGCAGAACCAAGTTGGCCGCTGCTCAACAAATTCACCGCTGAGTTGTCTTCGATTCCCTCAGTAGTTAAGAATATGTGCGCAAAGCGAACGTATAGGTTGGCATTGATATCCGCAGCCATCCTCAGGGTCGGATGGAGATGTTTTGGCTGCACAATCATGTTCTCGGTGGGGACCGGGTAGGTTTCGGTGGTCTGGTAAAATAGCCCCAGGGCCACTGAGCGCCAGGACACGCACACATGGGTGAGCGGCATGAGCGAAACAGAGCGCAGTGTAGCCCTGTGAACCCACTCCTTTCCCACAGCCCAGTAAGAGTGTCGCCATCCTCGACATGCAGAAAAACCAGACCGAGGATATCGGCCGGGATGTTTTGAGATAGGCTATGTGATGAAGCCATGGTTAAAGTAAATAAACAGCTTATGTTGCAAGTAAGCAAGCAAATGTGAAGGCAAGGGAGCGTCCTGTTGTTTACCTTATTTTGGCTCACATTTAACGCAAAGCTGCTGCTGCGCCACCTGATGCCTAATTAATTTTAATTTCGAGAGCTGCCTGGTTCGGGCGCTGGCCAATGTGCCCACATACTCCCACTGATACACAGCACAGAGCACTTATCTGCCACTAGTGTGGCCGAGCAGCTCCAGGCTCAGAGCAGCCTGTCTGGATCTTGTATGTTCATCATGGTAGTGAGCATAGCACGTGATCGCAGCAATCCAAGTTGGTGGAAATGTAATCACTGGATCAGCAACTATCTGGGGTTTTGGCGTTATCTGAAAGCAGTCCGCTATTTTTTGGGACAGGCTAGCTGTAGGCGAATTTGGCGCTGAATTTGCGGTGCTCAGCCCAAGGAGCAGGACGTGCTATTGCACCCTCTTTCTTCTTTCAATTCTCGATTGCCAGTTGAATTTTGGAAACACCGCTTTCACATTTGTTCTTATTACTCGACGCATATCATGTTCCGCCAGGCTCTCAACGTTGGAAAGGCTCAGGTACGAAGGAGAGGGCTTGCTCAAATGGGAGCGATAAGACGGCAAGGAGGAGACCGTTAGCTGGCCCAATGTCCTTGGCGAAAAGCGCTGGCAATCGGCAGACTTCATTTCTACCAAAACCCGACTAAATCACAGCCGGCCCGTATTTATTTTTTACAACTTGTAGCTCGCTCGCGGCTATGCCACTGCTGCCCCCACCAAGGTACGGCACAGCACTTTGGAACGTGCGGTTTTCGCAGGCGCGGCCCAGTAAATGGAAGGAGATTCAGCTAACCTTGAGCAATTCATGCTAATCCGGTGTGTAGGCCCCTCTGACTCTGTTCGGTATCGACGGCAAGTACGCCACTGCTCTGTTCCAGGCCGCCGCCAAGACGAACGAGCTCACCGCTGTCGAGTCTGACCTGACCAAGATCGAGCAGGTCATCGCCAAGGAGCCGCGCGTGGAGGAGCTGCTTGGCAGCCCGCTGCTGAACAAGGCTGCCAAGGAGCAGCTGATTGAGTCGCTGGGCAAGAAGTCTGCCATCACGACCAACTTCTTCCAGACGCTGGCTGAGAACAACCGCCTGAACGAGACCCGCGGTGTCATTGCTGCTTACAAGAGCCTGATGGAGGCGCAGCGCGGCGTTGTTTCGGTCACGGTCACATCGGCCAAGGAGCTGGGCGCTAAGGAGCTGAAGCAGGTCAAGGACAACCTGACCAAGGGTGGCCTGATCAAGAACTTCAAGGAGGTCAACGTTGTGAACAAGGTAAGCAGAGGATATGTGTACTTGCATGCGGATATGATGTATGTGGGCATCACACGGCTAACTCGCATGTGCTCGTTGTAGGTCAACCCCAGCCTGATGGGCGGTATGGTTGTTGAGTTTGGCGACTTCACCATCGACATGTCCGTCTCGAGCAGGCTCGCTAAGCTCGAGAAGCTCCTGACTGACTCGATCTCCGTCTAAATGCAAAGCGGCGCGAACTAGTTTAGAGCTCAGCACGGCCTCGTCCTTTTAGTTTCTTCCATACTCCTTTCTGTTTGCTCCTGTTCTTTGGATTACAAAGTCAAATACTCTTTCTCGCCTCCTCAGCCCTGGCGGGGAAGCACCGGCGCATTTGTGGCAGGACACGGGCGGAGCTAGTGGACACCTGAGCATGAACATCCCACAGACAGACGCGGGCTTTTGAGGACAGTGCGGTGCGCTTTCCACTGCGCCTTCAACCCGCCTTACCCACGGCCTGCACCGACAGCTAGCAATTTGCGTACTCTTCAGCCCCGACACAAAAGAAGTACTTCGTGGAAATGAACCCGCTGTTTTTCTCTCCTCCACACTCGCCTGGTATTCTAGCTTCGCCTACTTCCTTCAGATTGAGAATGTTCGAAAAGTCGCTGACGGACCTGATTCAGGGCCTGCGAGCGAACAAGCGCAACGAGTCCGAGTACATCAGCAAGTCGCTAGAGGAAATCCAGAATGAGGTGCAGCTGAGCGACATGCACTACAAGAGCGCAGCAATCGACAAGCTCAACTACCTGCACATGCTTGGGTATGACATGAATTGGGCAAACTTCAACGTGGTCGAGGTAATGTCGTCAGCCAAGTTTAGCGAGAAGCGCGCCGGGTACCTGGCGGCCTCGCAGTCGTTCAACCAGGACACGGACGTTCTGATGCTTGCGACCAACCTGATCCGCAAGGACCTGGCATCGACGAATTTCATGGAGGTCAGCGTGGCACTAGATGGGCTGGCGCAGATAGCCACGGCGGAGCTGGCCATGGACCTGTTTGACGACGTGCTGGCAATCCTGGGCCACTCACGACCGTATATCCGGAAGAAGGCGATAGCGTGCTTGTATAAGATGACGCTGAAGCACCCGGAGGGCCTGCATGACTTTGTGCCACAGCTCAAGGAGCGACTAGACGACCCGGACCCGTCGGTGGTGTCATCAGCGGTCAGCGTAATCTGCGAGCTAGCGCACACGAATCCGCGCAACTACCTACCGCTGGCGCCCAAGCTGTACCACCTGCTGAACTCGTCGAACAACAACTGGATGCTGATCAAGATTGTGAAGCTGTTTGCGTCGTTGACGCCGATTGAGCCGCGGCTGGCAAAGAAGCTGCATGGCCCGTTGAGCAGCTTGATATGCACAACCACAGCGATGTCGCTACTGTACGAGTGCATTAATACGGCGGTGGTCGGCGACATTATCAGCGTGCCACTGCCCGTGACCGACAGCATTGGAAGAGAAATTGACTTTGCCGAGCTGTGCGCGCACAAGCTGGAGGTGTTTTATGACTCGTCTGACCACAACCTGCGGTACGTCGGGTTGGTGACGCTGGCGGAGCTGCAGGTGCGGCGGCCAGACCTGGTTGTTAACCAATACGAGACGATCTTGCGCTGCCTGGACGACCCAGACATGGGGATCCGTATGCGGGCGTTGCAGGTGATATCGGGGATGGCGACGCGCAGGAACCTGTCGCAGATTGTCAAGCGGCTAATGTCGCAGCTCATTCTGTCAAACACAATCGCTCTGAAACCCGGCAACACCGAGGGTGGGCCAGACGAAGACGAGCTTGAGAGCACGCCGCTGATTGACCCCTCAGGGGTCAGTCTTGTCAGTGCCAAGGGCTCGTTTACAACGCCCAAGAAGGCTGCCAGCAGCTCCGAGCCCAATGCAGCGGACAACCCTGAATACCGGCTGGCAGCTGTCGAAGCCATTATTGATATGTGCAGCCGGCAGTCGTACGCAAACATGACCAATTTTGAGTGGTACGTGGCGGTGCTGGTCGATTTGGTATATATTGCCGGCGTCGATGTCGGGCAGCTGCTGAGCCAGCGGATCCTGGATGTGACGGTGCGTGTGCGCCAGGTACGCGAATACAGCGTGCGGATGATGCGACAGCTGCTGTCGGATGTGCGGCTGACTGACTTTGTGTCTGGAGAAAGCCCACATGCGGCAGTGCTGAGCACAGCGGCATATATTCTGGGCGAGTATTGCACTCTGGTGCCCGCCAGCTGCGATGATATTGGGCTGCTGCTGTTTCCGTGCCTTCGCCAGCTCACCAGCGACCAGCAGGCGGCGTTTGTGCTGGCGGCTATGAAGGTGTACACAAACTGGCTGCAGGATGTTTCTGGATACTGGAACGACGAGGTTTGGGAGCTGGTGCGATCGACCAACACAACCACCATGGACTCGATCACGTCGCTTTTCTTGGGGCAAGAGGGTGATGACCTGGACGTGGTTGTGGCAGAGCTTCCGCTGCAGGTGGAAGGACTGCTAAGGAGTTTCATTGAGATCACCAAGGCGGTGTCTGTAGCTACATCCAATATGAGCGCCAGCGAGCCTCCGGTATGCCGCGAGCTGCATTCGCTGTTCACCATGTACGAGCTCAACCCCGTGTCGGCAGCCGCCCAGGGCAAGGTTCCTGTGCCTGATGGTCTGGACCTCGACTCGTGGATCGGCGACGAAATCCCTGACACTTCGCTCAGAGTGCTCCCGCCGCCGCCACCACCGCGCCAGACCCGCGCTCCAGCACAGAGAAACTATGCGTCCAAGGATCACAAGGCGAACCGCAAGGACCAGCCGTTCTATCCTGGAAGATGCTGCCGACCGGCCACGTAGCCTGGGCATGCTGCCTGATGTCGACAGTATCCCCGTTATGCAGCTCGACCTGGGGGATCTCGCCACCGCAAGGCCCAAACCACGCAAGAGCGACAAGCCGAAAAAGAAAAAGAAGAGCAAGTCTAGCAAGCGGCACAAGAAGCCGACGCCTGAGCCATCGCCACCTATGGTCCCTGTGGATATTGTTGGAGATGAGGACATGCCAGACATCCCCACAAAGCCGCTAAACGACACACCGGCGCAGCAGCCAGGATCTATTTCTGGTGACACTGACAACGCCGGTGCCGAGCAGCCTGCATCGCCACCCCAACAACATTAGCCAAAGATATAGAGAGGACGCATGGCGCCCGGGCTGCCAGCATCGGCACATACCAGGTAGCCATTGTATCCTGGCCTGCTTCTGTCGGGGGGATTTGTTGCGGTTTTGAATAAATGTGGTTTTATGAGCTGCTGCTTGCTGCTGCGCCTGCTTGTTTAGCATCGACTATAGGCCAATATAGCGTTTTGTATTGACGCCATTTCTCGGAACAAGACAAGCCTGAATAATGGCTCTATTTTTTTTTGTCACCAACCTTGATGGGTGATCGGAACTGTGAACTCCTGCTGCTTGCTTAAAAATGCAGCAGACCCCAGGCTGGGCTGCCGTGTATGAACCCGCACTACTTTTTTTACTCGAACGCTTTCACGCTTGTTTACATTCTCGCTGCACCCATACAACTGGTAGATCGGCAAAAAGAATGGCGGTTGGACTCAAACTCAGCCCGCGGTCGCGCAGGTCTTCTTCGTCTGGCCGGCTTTTCTCCCACCGCACGACTTTCCAAGCACCATATCGTACATTCCAGCATGCAGGACGGCGTCGACGAGCTCCAAGGCTATCTCCAGCACGAGATTGAGCTGAACGCACAGCACAACGACCCGACCTCATCCTGGTTCTGAGCAGTACCGGACGGAGCCGCCGCGGCGACGCGAGTCGATGGGCCTCAGCATGTACAATAACGTGGTGCGGCCTGTGGGGTTGTTCTCGGCGAGCAACAGGAAAAGCAACGACTTTAGCTCTCTGCACTCTAGTGGTGAACACGAAGCATTTCCCGCAACCCTCCCATTTCACCTTCTCTCTTCCCCACCCCTACCAACCGCCTTGGCACACACCTCAATGGAAGAGGCAAATTTACGACGCAGCGGGGAATTCAGCGACCTCATGGCGCAGTCGCCGCCCGCACTTCTGCCAGCCAGCCCGCCAAATGACCAGGAGCTTAGCCCAAAGGCTAATTCAGTAAAGCGCACAAGAGCAGATATTGCGACGCCCAGGAGACCTGGCAGCGACGAGGCCAGACGCCAGGAGGAGATGGAGTATATTGAGACACCTGCGCGGGCACCGCCGGCAATGAAGCGGTTTCTGCGGTCAGAGTCGCCGACGCGTGTGAGTCCGCGACAGCCGCTGAGCCTGATCTTCAGCCAGGAGGACGCGTCAGATCCCGATGCCCGAGTCGCTGTGCCGAGACGATACGCCGCCGCCGCCGAAGCTGTCGTTTGGCGAAGAGGCCGAGTCTGTATTTGAGGTGACACAGCGGGTCGATTCAATGCAGGTTGCAGCACGCGAGTCTGCACATCAAAATGGCTATGAGACTGTCGATGCAAAGCTGGTTGGCATTGCTAAACCCGAGGTTGAACAGGCAGCGTTTGAGCGGTCAACAGAACCGGACGCCATGGCAGGCGAGCACCAGGACTCGCATATGGAGGAGTTTGTGCACAGCGCATCTCTGCCTGCCGGGGAGGCTGACGAGTCAACCCACCCAGCGCCCACAGGAGCTGTCAGGCTGTCAGACAGCGAAAAGGCTCAGGTTTCACACGCAGAAACAGTCACGACCAAGATACTGTCGGATGCTGAGCTCATGACTGCTGCATCGATGCCGCTCCCAGACACACCGCAAACACAGGCACTGTCACCAGGCAGAACGTCGGGCGAGTTCCAGGGACAGGCCAACGGCCATGGATACGCCCATGTCGGCCTCAAAACAGCCAGAGTCCAGTGCTGAGGACGTGCGCAGAGAGTATGAGGAGAAGATCCAGCGCCAGACGGAGCTGCGTGAGATGCTCTTGCAGGCGCTGAAAGACGACTATGCGGGTAACATGGAGAAGCAGGAGAAGAAGGCCGAGGCAGCGCTGCGGGCAGCTGAGAGCAGCTTTCCATGAGCAGATGGCAGCCAAGGAGCGCGAGTTCGAAGCACAACTGGCTGAGGAACAAGCAAGGTTTGCTGAGGAGATGCGGCAGCAGCGCGAGCAGGCATCTGCCGACGCTGGTGAGCTGATCGCAGCAGATCAACGAGCTTGTGAGTGAGAGAGACGAGCTGCAGGCGATGTTGGACGAGTACGCATCGACGTCAGCAAAGCTGCTGGAGCAAAAAGAAGCCGAGAGCAACGGACTCAGCCGCGAGCTAGGCAAGCTGACGCTCGAGCGAAACCGGCTGCAGGAGAGCCTGGACGAGGCTACAGCACGAGCCGATGCCCTAAGCGCCGAGCGAGATGAGACACAGAAGCGGGTTGACACGGTGATGGCCGAGAATCTGCGGCTCGAGGAGCTCAACACGAATCTGCGCAACGACGTGGTGGTGGCCGAGGAGCGCAGCACCAAGTTCCGCGAGTATGCCGAGGACACATTGGGCAAGGCGAACAACGAGCTTGGCCAGCATCTACGACGAGCTGGTTCTGACACAGCAGGACTTGAAGACGGCGCGCGCGCAGTTGGCCAAGTCCGACGCCAGGTCGCGATCGCAATCGATCCAGCTCGAGTCGACCAAGCGCCAGAACGCAGAGCTGCTGGAGCTGCTGGACAAGGTACAAGGCCCCTTCTGAGTACTACACTGCCTAAAAATAAACGATTATTAGCCGTTCTCTGTCGGCCTCTTCGCCAAGAGCCAGTGTGGAAAGGAGGCGGCATGGGGTGCGGTTGGGTGTCTCACTGCACATGCAGGAGCCTATTTTTGACAGTGACAATCATGTACATCAAGCAAGCAAGATGCCATCATTGAACACCCTTGCCAGCGTCCTTCAGACCGCACGCCATCGACCAAGAATAGATTTTGGAGAAAAGTTGCATTCGTTGCTGTCAACGCAAACGAGAAGAAACAGCCAAAAACGATGATTAGAATAAGAGTTTACCGAGAAGGGGGTGTGGAGAGACGGACTGAAGCCGAGAAACCTTGCGCCGGGCAAAAAGAAGCAATTTAGAACATGGCGACACCAGGCCATGGCCACAACCGCCAGCATCGAGCCAGCAATCTGCGAGGCGCCGTTCGAGCTCGAGTGACCCTTGGACGACGAGTGCCCGGACGCGCTCTCGACATCATCCTCCAGGCCACCCAGATCATCAGATGCGGTCTGGTGGTGGGCAGCTACGCTCTCGCTGTGCAGGGCGGCAGCCTGCGATGCGCGGTTCGCGTCGACGTGGGCCGCGGCCGCAGCGTTGATTTCAGCCTGGGCAGCGCTCAGCGAGGCCAGAGCAGCGGCCTGCTGTGGGTTCAGGGTCGCCGAGGGGATGGCAACAGCGCTGTCAGCGGCGACAGCAGGCAGTGGCGAGGGCAGCGATGGCGATGAGCGAGTTCATTGTTTTGGCGAGATTTGTAATGTTTCTTGAGGAAGAAGGTGTTTTGCGGTCGTATTTTATACGTGGAGGGGGTATGCGAAGAGTCGTGCTTGCTACGCTTTGGGGAATAGGGGAAGGGAGGAAAGAAGGAAAGGGGAGGTGAAAGAAGGGAAATTTTTGTGCAGGATGCCTGGCGCGCTCACTGGCAAGGCGTTCTTTAAGTAAAAAATATCTGCGTGTCCAAAAATAACAGCTCTTGAGCGCTCAAGTTCCTGTTCCATTGCGCCACTAGTGGTCTTTTTTCAGCCGCCCAAGTATTGTCCTGGAATCACCATACACGGAAACACCCATTCACGAATCTGCACAATGTGCGCTGGCTGTAAATGACACTGCGAGATGTTTGTTATTCTTTCGACCAGCTCAAAATATATGCTACTGTCCAGGGGTCCATTTGAGTGCTTAGGAAGTAGAAGACATGCGTCCCTGGTTTCCAGATTGTGCAAAATGTGCAAGAGGATGTGCTTGGCTAGAAAGGATGGCTCGGCCTGTGAGATCCCTCCGCTGCGGGCACCCATAGCATATATGGACAGGCATCATATATGCACGCTGCATCACATCTGTGCAGCACAAAATAATGCAGCTTGTTTACGGGTTGTTATATATAATTAAACGTCGGAACCCATTTAGTGGTGGAATTGTGCCGGCTGCGATTCTGTTGTTGTCGAACACCGCCGTGGAAATTCCTGAGGGAGGGAAACAAAAGAATGACAGGATGCACTTGTTCCGCATCCCTACACCGGCAGTGCCCTTGTGGCTGTGCTGCTAGCTTAATCCCCGTCCGGGATATGTCTGATTCAACACATGTGCGATTAGCTAAGGGCCGTGCTGGTGGTAGCAGCCGACCGGGGAGCCTTGGCAGCTGCACAGCAAGAGCGCGATACCCGTCCACAAATGCAGGCAGTACCGGCAACGAGGATCCATTTCTTGATTCAAAGCTCGCCTTTCTCAGATTGCGCACACTAAAAATAAGTGTGTTGAGCGAACCGCCTATTGTTAGCCCTTCGTGATTTTCTTTCTTTTCCACCAGGCACTCGGCTTTCCTGCTTTGTTTAGTATTGTACATTTTGCCAATTTACTCTTCCTTAATTCAGTACGTACCAGCCTGCGTGTTTGTATATAATCACACGCTCAACGCCACTGCCATACCACAGCGATAGCGGCGGCGATATGGCCAGCGAGTACTGGAGTGAAGGCAGCGACCGGACAGCCTGAGTCAGGCGCCGAGGCTGCGGATACTACTACGTCTGATGAGTCCAGTGATAAATCCAGCATATACAACATGGGCAGATGGTCAGCAGGCTTGCGCAATGCAAGGGGTGGAGAGACAGACTGGGACTCGGCGCAGGGGTCACAGGATTCGGCGGTGTCAGTTCCACGACGTGTGCGCCATCTACGTGGCGTATGGAACCGGCTGGACGATACTCTGGCAGAAAAGCCCGACATTTGTGCCGCCACTATGGCATGCAGAAGATTCGGAAGAGACGCAGGTCAGGTGGGAGCACGGCTCTCCGCGACGATGTGTTTGTTGGATTTGCAGGCGCAGATGACAGCAGCGCACACAATGCAGAGACATTGCATGATGTGCGTGGCGGCGACGCTGACGAGCAATATGCTCCAGCATGGGCTCCCCGTTCTCGGCAGCAGCAGCAGATGACATCCGAGAATGGAGTGGGTGCAGATAACCAGGAGGGCCTGGAATCGGGAGAGGACGGCGGGAGACCACTCGGCGGATTTGCTAGCGGATTTGCTAAATGGGCTGGCAATTGAGCCGCCCAGGACTGTCACCGACCCACCGATGCTGCGCACGTCAACGCCGCTTGGGTGGTACGACGGGGATCTGGGCATTGGGGAAGACTTGTCGGTAGTGGACGCTGATGCTGTGCCAGGCATTGATACACCACATAGTGAGATAGCAGCCATGCCGCTGCCTCGGGAAATCTCTGACTGCCACTCAAACAAGACACATTATCAGCCCTGCAAGAACAGCTTTACCAGCCAGCCAGCAGCAGCAGCAGCAGCAGCGACCCTGTGTGCAATACGCCTGCTGTAACGCGCACCACGAGCACAAGCGACGCCACGGTTGCAGCATTGAAAGAGCGTGTCAATGCTCTGGAGGCCGAGGTGCTGGTGCGCGACAGCGAGATTGTGGAGACCAACGAGAGACTGAAGCACCTCGAAACGTTTCTCCAGTGTGCCATATGCATGGAGACCTTCACACGACCCCACACGCTTGCATGTGGCCACGTGTTTTGCCAGACGTGCCTGGCTCCGTGGCTTGAGCACCACAAGAACTGCCCGACATGCCGAGCACCAGTCGGGGACCGCCCTGCTGTTGCATTCGCTGTGCAGGATATCGTTGATGCTCTCAATATTGGCAGCAAGTCCAAAGCGCCTGGAGATGCCTGTGTGGATGGTGGCTTGTCGGCTGATCCCTGGTCGGAAATGTTCCCGCGAGACTTCCCCAGCTTCCTGGGCAAATTTGTCCGATGCAGTGGGTGCTCGTCATGGGTTCTCGAAACCAGCGAGTGCCGATTTTGCTCGCTTAGAGAGCCGGTAATGGTATCGTTCTATGACCGGTTTATGCGGCCCAGTGGAGTAAGTCCCCGCCGCTTTAGTGACCGAGCGCAGGCTAGAGGACGGAAGTCGCTTAAGCAGAAACGATGCCACTGACATGCCACAAGCGCAAGATTACACCGAGCGCACTCATCGGTTGCGGGACATGGTTGATCGGCTGCGCACCGCGCATACAGGCCGTTCGGATGACCATGGCTTCTGCAAACGGAGCTGAGCAAGGGATGCCGCTGGCACAGACAACACGGCCTGGAGCACGGACATTGAGAAGACGCCGGATGTCGCTGTCGGCATCTCCACCCGAGTCACTGTTTGGTTCACCTGGATTCCCCTAGCGCGGCTCGGACCCGCAGTTCCGCCTGTCCGCTGGATTGACCCTAACGAGACCAGTCAGTCCAGCACTGGCTGGCAACGCCGTGGGGCTGACCAAGCGACTGTGCGTAGCCCTACCAGCTACCAGTGGCACAACCCATTTGGGAACCCGGACCACGAACCGAAACTGGGGCAACAGAACGCGAGAACCCAGTAGACTGCTGACTAGTCCCATTGTTACTAACAGCTCGAGTAGTGCAAACATCGATCATCCCCATGGGGACAGTATTGTGGCAGAGCTGCGTCGGATGCGCCAGCTACGCTTCGATCATAGGCAGCGCTTGGCTAGATCGGCCAATGCGACTGCTTCGGCACCCGGCTCAGCAGCGCGGAATCCGATTCGCATCAGCCATATATTCGGCCATGGCCGGGATGCCGTTGGGCTTCGGAATATCAACACCGAGCGGCGAGCAGAGATACAGCCAACAGTAAGCAGCCCGTCGCTCCAGGTAGCCAGTAGCAATCGCCCACGGGCCATCCAGTCGCCGGCCAGGCCATTGCTCCGCTGACGCCAGCTGGCGACACCTTCGCACAGTGCGCTCGAGCAAGTAGATAGCGCGGACAGTCTTCTTGCTGCCTCTATCCCAGATGCCTGACGATGCTTACGGACACCAGACGCAGCCAGCATATTCCATCCATACCGAGCAGCCTGCTGATAATTCACCCAGCGACTCTGAGCCGAATGAGCGTGTGTCAAGTATTCTTGATGACATCATGACAGCACACAGGCCGCCCGAGTCCATGGATAGCATAGATTACAGCTACATCTACATGCGGCTGCGGTCGATCCGAGATCTGACGGAGAGGGCACGGCTTGAGGCTGAACAGCGGCGACAGCAGGAGCAAGATCAGCAGGCGGCAGTGACTGATCAGCCGCCTACGGCCCGGCGGTCGCGAGCTGAGCATGCCAATATTGCGGGAGGTCAGGCTGCAGGCGAGCTGCCCAGACACCTGCGCCGGCGGGCGACGCTGGAACGCGAATCGGCACAGTCACCAACGCAGCAGCTGTCATTTTCCACCTTTTCGGCATGACGCGCTCACCCAACAGCGAGCATCCCGCCTTCCTAGTTGCCCATAACACCACAGTCAAATAAATGCGCTGGACCTGTGTATCATGGCGCCACGTGATTTGTTTTGTTTTCTCCGTGACGCCAACTAGCACTGAGGCCAGTTTTTTTTTTCTCACCAAATTTCTCTTCCCTTCACACTTCAATTTCCTGCTTTTCAATTTTTGTATTTCAATTCTGAACGCACCTCTTTGCATTTCCCCCTTATTTCGTGGTCGTTCTAGGTACGGACAGTCTTTTTATTTGCTCAATTCTGTGTGTCCACCAGCTACATAGTTTATACACTCCCCGCCTCGCAGTCGGTGGTAAGCTCATTCCTGCTCCTTACTCCGACTACTCTTCTACCCCCCCCGACACTCTGGTTTCGTATTTTCATTGCCTCTGCAGGCTCCGCTCAACTACTCTGCGCGCCAACGCATTCATTTCACTGGTCATTGTAGCCCAGTATAATTTGTCTCACAGAACATACGCACGACTATAACGGTCTTAAGTTCGTGTACAGAGAACAGCAGGCCCAGACAGTGCCTATCACTCGCATAATGTAAGCCCTGTCCTTTAAGCTGATGTCTCTTTCACACTTGGCATATGCGTGAGCTAAAAGATGTATATGCCCACACTGGTTTTATAGAGCAGCGCGTACACTGTTCCACTAGTTTGTAAAGTGTGAAAAAAAAACCGGCTCTTCGTGGTAAGTCCCGCCTTCACTTTCATTCCTTTTTGGCTGAACCGAGGCAGGAAGACTGGCCGTGAACTGTGCTCAATATTTTTCAGTGGCCCCACATTTGTTTGTTTACTAATATCTTCGCTCGTAATAACGCAGTAGAGCAAATGGACAGAGACTCAGAAGTAGAGACCGTATTAGCTGACGACGACTGGCTTGATACATCTCGGCGCACGCCTGAGCGTAGTAACCAGAACCGCGGCCGCATTGCCGCAGCATCCACAACACGGCGCGACTGGCAGTGGAGCCAACAGACTATGACTCGTTCGACGAAGAAGAGTTGTTCTCGTCGAGCGGTTCGCTGAGCAGTCTGGACGAGTTTAGCGACAGCGACACAGGCGGGCTCAATTCCGACAGCACAAACCAGAGCGGCGACGGGCCAATTATCCGAAACGGGTCAACGACCAGCTTGTACGAAGCAGTGATGCTGGCCAGGGACGTCCGACACACAGTCAGCAGCTAATTCTGAAAGCGAGGTCGACGTGGATGTCGACAATGACTCAGAAGTATGTAAGAGTGGTGGCACAAGGCGGGGTGGTGTGCACAGGACCCCGAGCGGAACACGAGACGAAAGCCCATCCGCATGGCTTGTACATCGTGGGCGCAAGGTGATTGCAGATGATGACGACGATGATGGCGGTATGGATGATGCCGATACGGGCGGCAGCATGACACGTGCCAATGAGCCCAGCAGCAAGCTGAAGAAGCGGCGAAAGGAGCAAGCACAAATCGCATGAAGAGCCCTTTTCTCGGATGTCACCTGACGACGTGGTTGTCAAGCGCGAGTCTGATGCCGGGGGCAGTAATGGCAAGCACACCGCAGTACCGGAATCAACACCAGCTACTGTGCGTACAGACGACCAAACAGAAGACACCCAGCGGAGGAAGCACAAGGCAAGGGAAGCGGCGGAAGATCCGGTATGACTTTCCTGACACAGCGGATGGCCGTGGTGTGCCGCAGCTAGTGTACTTTGCCTCGAGGGGTGACACGCTGACCTGCCGCAAGCTGCTGACTCGTGGCGCTTCGATAAACATTTCAGATCCTCAGGGCTGGACCGCACTACATGTTGTGGCAAAGCTCTGCGACTCTGAGACTCTGGAGATGCTGCTCAACCCCCCGATTCGTATCACATTGCCGCCATCAGACTCGGAGCCCAATAGTGACGTCGGCCAAGATGGCGCGGCCAGGGCTGTGGGAGGACCTGTCAGCGAGGCGGATAGGGCGCCGACACGGCTGAGACGGCAACTGCACTCGCCATATCCGAATGTCAACGCAACTACCATGCGGTCATGCACAACACCCTTGCACCAGGCAGTTGCCGGAGACGATATTCGTGCTGTTCGTCTGCTTCTTGAGCACGGAGCGCGCACAGATATAGCTAACTCGCGACAGCTGACACCCCTGGACACATGCACAAACGAAAAGATCGCGCGGCTACTCACCGACACAGCCAAGACGCAGCGAGGCATCTCGATCCGTGACAAGGCGGGGCAAGCCAAGTTGCACCGAGCCTGCAATGCGGGCGATCTGGAGCAGGTCATTTCGCTGTTGAATCAGGGATCAGACATCAACATGAAAGACAATGCTGGCTGGACACCGCTGCATGAGGCGGCACTTGAAGGCCACGGACCTGTTGTTGTTGCTCTGCTACGCCGAGGAGCAGACTATGCGGTGCAAGGGTTCGGCGGGGACACGCCATTACATGACGCCTGTGCGAACGGCCATGTTGATGTGGTGCGCAGTCTGTTAACAATCGGCGCGGACCCGATGCTCAAAAACTCGAAGGGAGTCACACCTATAGACATGGCTGAGGACGAGGATGAGGTCCTGGAACTCATCGACGAGTTCTTGCGCAAGCATTCTCGCAAACGGCAGACCAGACGACTGGTGAAATCTGGTAAACCTGACAAGGGCAAGCGCATCTCGCGGTTGTCTAGACAGCGCGCCAGTGGTATCGACAGCGTCAGAGGTAGAAGCGTGAGTGCCGAAGTGGACGTGGAGGTCGACATTGATGGACGAGATAGCCCTATTAGCGCTGAGGTATCGAGGATCGATGGCAAACTGTTAGGGAAGAAGCGCTCCAGGACATCATCGCCCCGCCCTACTAAGCAGCGCGAAGGACCAAACGTCGTCATCTCGCGCCAATGGTTCCAGTGAGGTAGGCAAAGGTGGATCAGCAGGTGCTCACAAACGCGAGATTCATGCTCTGCAGCGGTTACGCGAGGAGGCCGAGAAGCCACAAGTCAACTATTACTTTTCGTCAGCCAATTCCACAAAGATGTCGCGCGACGAGCGCAAGCTGCAGGCACTGATGGGTGCATTCGAGAAGCTCGAGAAGAAGAATCAGCCCAGGCAAAAGCGCCGGTTGTCAGGCGAGCTTCCCAATACCAGGCAGCCGCGGATTCGCAAAGATGGAGGTGGCTCTTCGATGTCACCAACCAAGGCCGATGCACGCCAGAGCAAGATGTCAAATGCAGCCACTGGCGGAGATTACGAGGTCGATGGAGTGCTTGTCCGCAACGGTGCGACAACCAGCTCAAAGACATCCCCCAAGCAACGAGGCACCCGGCCGCAGAAGAAGCGTATTATTGACGACGATGACGAGGAGGAGTGGCCTGTCAGCGATGGCACTGATGATGTCACTGGCTCACGAATGCAGAAACGCCAGAACCGACATACAGAACGTAACCTACCGCCTGTTGCCAAGCGTCCTAGGCACACTGCTGAGCATACCAGTGGTAGCACCAGCGTAGTGAGCACTGTCGAGGCCACAAGTGGCAGCGTGATTGTTACAACGGTCGATGGTACTGTCCAGGAGCGGAGATCCATCACCCCAAGCAACTTGTTTGAGCCCACACATTCGACAACCAGCTCGCCCACGGTGGAGATCAAGCGTGAGCCGCTTTCTGCATCATCGACCCACCAGCAACCGCTGTCTGCTGGAAACAGGGAGTCAGCAATTAGAAGCCCGTCCCGTGGTAACAGCAATGTGCGCAAGGAGCATCGCTCAAAGCACGGCCACACCGAGGGCGGACGGACTATTGTCGAAGATGCAGACCCGCAGAGCTCTTCTCCGATGACACCGTCGAAAATCGCAGCTCAGGCCATCAGGTACCTTCCGTTGTACACGATTCAGCTGCCATCAGAAAAGTCGGTGCCCATGCTTGATTACTATGTCGTCGATCTGCAGATTCGCCTACTGCTTGGAATGCCCATCTACACACCATCCTCTACCAAGGCCAAGACCAAGGTTGGGGCAGACGGTAAGCGACCCTCCGAGTGCAATCCGCTGTTTGTCGCATACCCACACCTGCACCGGCAACAGATCAACGGGGCGCAGAAGGAACGGTTGTGGCGGCCACTGGCTGACATGTTTGTGTCGAATATGCGCTATCTCCACAACACATCGGACAGGCAGCCGCTGTCGGGGAAGCCCACCACTGATGGCTCTTCGAAGGACCCTGCTGATAGCGAGATCGTCAGCCAGTTCACGTTGCACGAGAAGAAGCGCTTTATTGCCTTGAGCCTGTCCTTTGTCAGACTGGACGAGGTCGTCGAAATCATCAAGCGTGACTATCCGCAAGTGAGCAAGCATCTTATCACCCTCACCCTCGACATTGACAGCCTGGCGTCCGGTACCGACAGCTCTGTCGACACTCCTGCAACTGGTGACGATTTGGCAAGCGCGCCGCCTGCAGGAGTAAAGCTGAGGCGCATGGCCAGCCTGGCTCAGGAATCAAAACCCAAAGAGTCTTGCCCAGTGTGGAATGGCCCACAGAAGATGCTGCCGCTCAAGTACGCGATGAAGCTGCACTATCGAAACTACACCGCGTTTGTAGATGGCAAGAGGGCTTGAAGTGTGATAGTGGCCATTTGCCATTCCCCAACTCGACTCTTGTTTATTGTAAATGTTACTAGAATTTCTCTGCTCGTGATGCGAGCTCGGCTGCTAGTCAGTATGGGTTGACATGTCGATAAGAGCATCATGGCGAACCAGTCATTTGAACGTGCCGGATGGTTGTTGGTGCAATGGCGATGATGGGCATCTCCTGTCTTGATGGCTTGCTCACTGCGGGTGTTTCCGTGCTGGTTCGCCACTGCTGGCCAGCAGAATCGCGTGAAGCTGCAGCAGCTCTCTTGAGCGGCTTCTTCGTTGCCATAGTGGTGCCAGAACCTATCAGAAAATTATATTACTTCTCCTCGCCCTTTTCCTATCCTTCCCTTTATTCTCGAATCGGTCCAGTCATCCGGTCTGTTCTCTCTGCTTCCTTTTTTTTTTCGCCAACTCCCTATTAATCTCTTCAAGACTGCCTTGGTCTGTCTCCTTTTCCAATATATTCTCTTTTACTTGGGTGCTACAGCCCGAACCAAACTTAATAGCTCGTAACCTCAAAACATGCGGTGCGGCGTCGGGATATGGTGCCCTTTGCATAATTTTTTATTTTTACAAGCGCTAAATTGATTATTAATACACTTCCAATATCAAAGCCCACGCATGTATTCATAACCACACCGACAAGGAAATTACTCACATAAAGCAATTAACTACTTTATAACTTGACAAGATGGAGAATTAATGGAAAGACCCATGTCAGCTGTGAATTCCCAAGGTGCGAAGTTTATGTATCCCATGCGATCATCAATCCAATCCTCAAAGCCATATCCAGACCTATCCCAGTAGGCCAGGATCAGTGCGCTGCCGTCGTGCTGAAAATGCAGCCGCGCTTTCTTCCTTGGGAGCTCTGGTGTAAGTCCTATATCAAAATCACCACTTTGCTTGTAGTGGAGATACTGGTTATCGAACTTGATATAGACAATGTCGTCGATTGTCTCGCTGGTAAAGATCGAGTCATCACCTGGGTACATCATCAAATAGGCATCTGTCATGTCTATTCCTGCATAGCTGGGTTCGTCATCATGTCGATTTTCGTCCGCGTAGTACGAATGGTAGCTATTGATATCTCTGGTCAGCCGAAACTGTTCGCCATCAACAACTTCGTTACCGAGATAGTCTTTGAGTCTAAACTGTCCGTCAGGTAGGCGCTTGAAACCATGCTCTTTCATAGAACGCGCTTGCTTAGCGCACTTTCTAATATACTCTGGCTTATTCCAAGCTTTTAAGAGGAAAGCACCAATACCACACGCATAGACATCCATGCTGTTGTCGGTATCCTCCGCCTCAACACACTTGAACTTGTTGTCATATGCCACGACAAACAATCCTTGGAAACAGCTGACCATCCTTTTAACGGTCTGCACGAAATCCCCGAGATCGATATTGTCGTAGTAAACCAGAACGCTGCTGAATTCAGGTACCTCCACTAGGGGGATCAATGGAAGAGCCAGTCGGGACGAAATAGACAACTGCCGGGGTTGTAGCTGTCTTCAATCCATCCTGTTCGCGAGTGTATCTATTCCAGAGACCCGTCATAGTTTGGGTGGACCAGCTGAGTAATACAGTTCCTGGACCAGTAGCTGCACTTGACCTGTTCCTTCGGGTGAGTTGTGGAAGATAAAGTGGTCCTCTTCAAAGACGAAGAACGGGTCCTTGTTAGCCGCCTCGAGGTCAACAGCCTCCTGCTCGGTCGCCACATCGATGAACTCGGTGTTCTTGTCGACGAAGCACCTGACAATGCTGTCCCGGTTGACATGCTTCGGGACGTAGGCGCGGATACTCCAGTGAGGTAGCATGTTTCTAAAACAGAGAAAGGAGATGGGGGTGAAGGAAAGTGAGAGAGACTCCAGATGCTGCGGACCTTTATAGCCAAAATCCAGGCCAGTGGCTGCGCAAAAACAGGAGGATCAGTGTGAGGCATTTCAGGTGAATAGTTGGGGATGCAAATCCTATCTCCTAAAGCAATCGGATTTTCTCCGCTCCAAACGCTGCCAAAAGCCGTGAATATCGATTTGCCTGGCGTGTGCTGGGCGCGGCGGTCAGGTCGTGAAGAGAGCCGGTGGCGGCAATGCCTTCTGGCAGGACGACACGGGTGTGGACAAGAAGCGCATGGGGTGCAGGGGCAACAAGAAGTCCCAGGGCACTGGAAAGGCCATTTCTAACCACAGGCCAGCCCAAAGCAAAAAGCAAAAAGCAATGGAATACATTAACTAGCATGGATAAATAATAAAGATATTTTCAGTTGTATTTTGGTTCGCGGAAGAGCTTCAGCGACAGGCTGCTCATCATGACCGTCAGGCTGCTGGCAATCATCAGGAGTCCAGCGATAACTGGTGGCAGTCCGCGGTTGATGGCTGGGTACAGGATGCCTGCTGCGATCGGAATGCACACGACATTGTACATGGACGCCCACACAAAGTTGAGCTTGACGCGGCGGAACACAATGCGGGACAGGTCGAGCAGTGTCAGCAGCGAGAGCAGCGTCGGCCGCATCAGCAGCGCCGGCGCCGTCTCCATAGCAGCAGCCGTGCCTGACCCCACAGCAATTCCGAACATCAGCCTGCGCCAGCGCCGGCGCGTCGTTGATTCCATCGCCAGACCATGGCGACCTTGGCAAACGGGCGCTTCTGTGGTCCCCTCAGGCGACCAAACAGGCGAGCAGCAACTGACGACGTAGGCTTTCACAGACTGCCCCTCCTTGAAGTCGCTCTCGCTCGCATCATCGGCCGACTTGCCACGGCGCTGCAGCGTGCGGATGGTCTCGGACTTCTGATCGGGCAGAACGCCGGCCATGACATGGTCGATACCGAGCTGTGCTGCAATGGCATTGGCCGCCGCCTGCTGGTCGCCGGAGATCATCCAGACCTCGATTCCGCGACGCTTCAGCTGGCGCACAACCTCGCGCGACTCCGGACGCACCTGGTCGGACAGCGCAAAGGCTGCGACGACCTTGCCGCGCATGCTGCGGCCAACTTGGCACCAATGCAACAGCAACCGATGTGTAGCCACTGGAGGCCCACTGCGCGCGTGTGCCCATGGGGACGTCCATCAGGCAGCCCTCCTCCTTGGCCCACGCCTCCTTGCCAACAAGCAGATGGGCAGTGGTAACTCCAGTCCAGCCAAGCGCGTGGGCAATCTCTGCTGGGAGCTCGACAGTCGCCTGCATGCCGCGGCCAGGCAGCTCCTGGTGCTCAAGCAGCTGCGCACGCACCGAGTCCGACTGCGTGTGCTCGCGGATATACGCACAAATGGCGGCGGCCAGCGGATGGCTGCTCAGCGACTCGATCTCGACAATGTGTGCATAGAGCCAGCCCGAAATGGCCTCAGCGCGCGACTGCTCGATAAAGTGGTCCGAGACTGCGGGCTTGCCAATGGTCAGGGTGCCGGTCTTGTCGAATGCGACGATGTCGATCTTGCTCGCAGCCTCCATCGTAGCGCCGCCGCCCTTGACCAGAATGCCCATGCGAGCGGCCAGCCCTGTGCCGACCATGATCGCTGTCGGCGCCTGCCAGTCCCAGCGCGCACGGACACGCAATGACCAGCACGCTGATGGCATTGAGGAGCGCAAAGATCGGGTACTTCATCGGCGGTGCATCGTCCATATGTCCCATGCTGTCGGTGTGCGAGAGCTTGCCGCCCAGTCCGCCCATAAGCTTCGACGCCAGCCAGTCGGCCTTGATATTCCCCGTGGCACCGATGATGAGCCAGACAAAGAACACCAGCACCGACGCCAGGACGACCAGCGGCACAAACCGGTTGGCCACCCGGTCGGCAACCTCCTGGATCTGCGGCTTGCTCGACTGCGCGTCCCGCACCAGCTTGACGATCCGCGCCAGCGTCGACGACTCGTTGATGGCTGTTGCAGCGCATCCGCACCGACTGCGACAGGTTCAGCGTGCCGCCGGTCACTGCCGACCCCTCGCCCTTGGCCACCGGCAGCGACTCGCCAGTCAGCAGCGACTCGTCGATCTCGGTGTTGCCGCGGACGATCACACCATCGCACGGCACGCGCATGCCGTTGTTGACTTGCAGCAGGTCGCCGAGCTGGATCTTGGCGCGAGCTGATCGTGGCAAAGTCGTCGGCACCGTCCTTGGACTCCGGGCTTGACCAACAGGGCGTCGTCGGGCTGCATCTTCACCAGGGCCTCGACAGCGCCGACAGTGCGGCCCTTGGCGATTGCCTCGAGCCAGCGGCCGAGGAACACAAACGTCATCAGGAACACAGCGGTTTCAAAGAACTGCTCGCCAGCACCCTGCTGCAAGACCACGCTGATGATCGAGCCAGCGTAGGCGGCGGTGGTGCCCAGCGCAATCAGCACATCCATGTTGGCAGTCTTGGCACGCACCAGCGACTTGTATGCGTGCTTGTAGAAGAACAGGCCGAGCGTGAACTGCGTGGCTGTGGCGATGAAGAAGGTGCAGATGACCGAGACCGAGTACTTCTGGAACACCTTGCGGTGGAATGCCTTTGCCACAGGGTTTCGACGACGGCAGCGCCATGTCAATGATCATGGAGATGATGAGCATGGGGATGGCAAACACCAGCGACCACAGGAAGCGCAGCATGGCCTGCCTCCGGTGCTTCTCGAGGATTCCGCAGGGCCATTGTCGACGGATCAGCTGCGCTGCTCGAGTCTGCCCCGTCCAGCGGCGTCGCTGGATACCCGGCATCCGTCAGGGCATCGGCAATCTCGCGCACGCCAATCTCGCGCGGAATGTGCTTGACCATCGCCTGTGCTGTGAGAAGCTGCACATCGGCAGCCTCCACGCCCGGCAGGTCATTGAGCAGAGATGTGATGGTCGCCACGCATGACCCGCACGTCATGCCCTCGACATTGAACCACGACTCGACTGCGCTCTCGCCGAGGATCGCCTTGGCGTCAGCCTTCGTGGCATCGCTGACAGGAGCCAGTGTCTTGGTGCTCAGCACGGCTGCATCATAACCCATGTCCTCGATGGCTGTGCAGAGGTCGGCGACGGGCAAGGCGTGTGTGTAGTGCCGCACTGTCGCCTGTGCTGTCATCAGATCGACGCTGATGCTGACGGCGCCGTCAAAGCTGCCAATGTGTCCTTCAATGCTGTTGACGCACGACGCGCATGTCATGCCAGTGACACTCAGCACTGTTTCGGTCTCGGGCTGTGTCTCGGTATGATGGTCCACCGAACCTGGAGCCCCAGTGCAGCTGCTGCTGCTGCTGTAGCGGAAGTCGATAGTTTGCTTGTCTGAATTGAGTGACATGGTGGAGTGGGTTGTAGCGGGGGTGTATGTAAGGTACAATAGTCGGTGTAGTTGCTGTTGAAAGCAGTAGATCTGCAGAAATAGGCAAAGCCCTTGCACCTCGGCTAGTCTGGATGGAAGGAAGCCTTGGGTGATTTATAGACAGCTGCGTCGAATACTCTCGTCGAGGAGCGCAGTCTGGGGTACAGAGTTTTTAGAGATAAGCACAGAAGAGTGGCGTGCGTACAATTGCTGCGCCGTTTCGATTAGACAGGAAGCAAGGCGGACGAATAGTGGGTGTTGCCGAATGGTCAATAGGGCAGGTGCGTAGGGAATATACGGCGACCGCGATGATTTTTTGGGTAGTGCTGCTGTGAATATACAAGTAAAAGCCACCGTGTAAGGAAGGGCTGGTGAATGAGGAAATACAAAGCGTGTGTAGCGGGAGATGATGTTGGATGCTGGGACTACCCGTCCGTATATATAGCGGGTTTGCAAGTACGCTGTGTGAATGGCTTGCTAAATGGCACCATTGTGATGTTGCAAAGCCAGGCATGCACAGGTCCCTGGTTTCTGGAGTCTGTGCTGCCAGAAGGAATTGAGCCATTATTGCCCACCAACAGAAAGCATGGAATCCGCACCGAGCGCCTGCAGATCCTGAAGTTGAGCGGTTTTCGCCACCGGTTTGCTCAGCGCAGAATGCGTGTGCCTCTTGCCAAACGATCCACATGATGCAGGTGAGCGATTTTTCCCTGCTCAGTCCGCTGGGACACAGGGAAGTGGCACCTCCCTTGAATGTGCGTCTCCCTGTGACCAGCTCCGCCCCCTCATATACTGCAAATTCCATTGTCTCCACCCTGGGCAATATTGCCTCAGTGCTTGTTCTGGGCAACAGCAATGTAGCGGAAACTGACGCAACTGGACAAATGCAGAACACTATATTGTGGCCTAAAACGAAGGCCAGCTCTCCTAGCACCTGGAATACACAGCCAGCAGCGCATGCACCCTGGCATAAAGAAGTACCGCAAACAGAAAGCGACACAAAGATGGATATGTCAGACAAGGTAGGCACAACACCAGTGGTCTGGTAGACCAGCTCCTGCTCCTCTGCAGTTTCTGATGTTCTTGTTCACCTTTATTTTGTCCTCAGAGCCACGACAAACCAGCAAGACCAAGTCATCCACAGCTATTGATCCTGTGAACCAGACTCAGTCTTGTGCCTTGATACATGACTTCTCCAGAACAGTGCACATTTTGTAAGCCTTTCCTCCAACTATGCAACGGCTCTTCCTATATCTGGCAGCAATCTAACAGACCTGGAAGGCCATTAAACTAGGTTTATCTCTATCTCCCTGCCCACGGTCTCATATATGAAGCTTTTCGCAGTTCAGCATCCCTAGAATATCAGATGAATCTGGCAAGTGCGCCACTGTAATTTTAATACTAGAAATACTCTGCTCGCGATGCGAGCTCGGCTGCTAGTCAGCATGGGTTGACACGTCGATAAAAGCATCATGGCGAACCGGTCATTTGAATGTGTCGGATGGTTGCTGGTGCAATGGCGATCATGGACATCTCCTATCTTGATGGTCTGCTCAGAGCAGGCGCTTCAGCGCTGGTTTGCTGCTGCTGGCAACAGAATCGCCTGCTGCTGCACGCCTCTTGCGCGGCCTCTTTGTTGCCGGAGTGGTGCCAGAAGCATCGGCAGCAATGGCCGTAGAACGACGGAACCGTTCAGGAATACCGCCTGAATCACAGAGTGACTGGAAAATGAGCCTGAAGTTAGAACTGCTGCGATATCGCAGTTCAAGAACCGAGATGAATAGGCTCGCCTGTATTGTGCCATGGCCCGCTTACATGACTTGCTTGTACAGCGGAGAAGGTCATGGCACTTTACAGTTGGGTTCTTCGATCTCTGGTAGGGTCCCGGGTTGGGAACATGCCGGAATGTCTGCAGCGACTTTTCGCAGCAGAACGGGCACATCGACGATGTCCGGAATTTATCGATCAGATAGAATTCAAAGCCATGGCGTTTGAACTTGTCACGTCATCCCTTGCCACGAATCGGCGCATGGTGCCGGGCCATCGGCAAACTCCAATTGCCCATGATCAGCACTGGATCTGGACCGAACTTGCTCCGGAGTTTCACGACAAGCCTGTGGTCTGCACAGGCCTGGTTCATGAATGAATCAAGGCGCAGCTTGCAGTGAAGCGGGTACACCTTGGGACTGGTACTGACACCTGGATGGACCTTCCAGCGCCTCTGGTACTGCTTGTTTGACTTAGTGAGCTGCTGCTCTGGTAACCTTCGCGCTGTCATCGTGTTGGCATAAAACGGTGCTAGGATACACCGCACAGATGCACGGGCAGCAACGTAGGCACGGAATTTTGCTGGGCTAAGGGTCTGGCAGCAGTGCTTGGAAAGCTCTGCCTCTGCTCTGCGGACAGCATCTTCTGGGACTTGATCCTTTGTAGCCCGACGAATCCTGTCATAGTGGCGCAGCTTGAGCTCCTTATTGCGCTGCTACCGTGTGTAGCGGTAGAGCATTTTTTCACCCTCTTTCCCATTGCTGCTATTTTCGTGCATCATGTATAGCAAATCGCCCCGACCTGGATCGATGAATACACAGCGGCCTTTCAGATTCTGCAGCTCTGGTTGTGGGATTTTGTGGATATAGCAACAGTCAGTTGTAGCATTGCCTCCCACAGCATTGCCTCCCGCAGCATCGCCTCCTGCAGCATCGCCTCCTGCACCATCAGCATCTACTGCACCATCAGCCTTGGATATCTTGTCTTGCAACAAAATGCATATCGTTATACCGTCTGTTGTTGCCATTCCGTGGAATTTTCTATCACCATGCGCCTTAAATGGCTTTGATGTTAGATCTGCAACCCGGCCCCACACATCTCACACAGGTTGTGTGATCCCTTGGACCGGGTCGTGTGCACAGACTGGGGGTGCTGGTGCATATGCATTGTTAAGTGCTGCAACAGTGTCTGCTGCTGCTGCCGCCGATGCAGCAGCAAGCGAATCAGCCGCTACTGCTGCAGTTGCTGCAGTGGCCTCTGTTTCATCTGATGGCATCTTCGCTGCTTCGCGTGCAGCCTTCTTGGCCAATTTTTCGCCCTTTTCTGCTACTTTCCTTGCCTCTGTTGCTGCCCTCTTTGCTGCGTTGATCTTGGTAACCTCCTCACGTGTTTTCGAAACAAACACCTGCTTGATTATTTGCTTGTCTAAGCGCACATGGCCTGGGGTCCATGATGTCCGCAGAGGCAAGCATTGGGGAGAGACTTGCCAAGCTGCTCATTCTCAGTAATCTGGCATAGGCGAATGTATGCATGCAGATGCTTAAGTAGATTTACCTTGGCATCATAGTATCGGCTGTCTTTGGCGAATCTGTACTTGGCATCATAGGCACTAAGGACTGGTGCCAGCTTGTTGTAGATTGCAAGCATCGGTGGGGTGAGCACACTGAGATCAGGGTGCCTAGAGCCAACTGCCTGGCGGAGCTTCTGTGCAGGTGTATAAATATACACTTGGCATGCATTATTGAACTCAGCCTTGAACACATTGCCCATTGTACTGTGCAGTGTGTTTTTGCGGCTGCGAATATCAATCAATTTGGCCAGAATCCGCTGTAGGCAAGTGCCATAGTGCAACACAATGTTGTTCTTGTATGCTGTCATCAGCTCAGTATCCATGTATGTCGCCACCTGATTCATTTCACGTACGCCATGTAGCTTGATATCGCCAGTATGTAATAGATAATCATATTTATGATATCTAACTACATCACCGAAATCTGCGCTCGACAGTTCTGACCTGTCCTTCCGGTTAACGAAATCCTCGGCAGATATGACAGTCTTCGCCTTCAGGTTGCGATAAATGAATAAATAAATGGAACGAAAAAACCCCTTTTTTACAAATGTTGCAGGGTCAAAGGCATAATCGTCAGCTAGTTGATGGAGTAATATCCATCGTGCAAGCAAGTATGTATGCTTTTTGATGATAATGGCACTGTGCACAAATTGCTCTAGGCGGGGCAACATAGAATCACGGAAGCCAATACCACCAAGTGATGTCTTTATGACAGTAGTGCTGCGGGTAATATTCATTTGAGAAATTCAATAGGCAAGTAAGAAGAGAAACGATGCTGTTCAGTTTTGCTGTACTGCAGATGCATAGCAATAAGAACTTTTTATTAAAAATGATCTGGCTTGCATGGTTCTTGGGGCCCTTAGCACTGATACAGTCTCTTGAATCAGTCTATACAGACTGGGTCCATTGTGGCCCAAATACTACTGCTTACGCATGTTCATAAGACAAATTAATTTGTAAAATAAACCCACAAATATTGCAAGACCGCTAGAAGATCTATATGGCCTTAATCAATAGGTGCTCATAAATAAACATCCCAAGTGTTGCGCAGCCGATGATGACCACCATGATGACGCCATGGAGGTTATCAGGCCGGCCGACAATGAGAGCAGCTCTTGCGCTGAGCCAATGGAGATATCCAGTGGAGACCTGTGACCATTACAATAACAACTTGTCACCCTGGTTTCACCGATGAGGTCGGATGCCGCACAGGATCAAAAGGAGTTTACAGAGCAAGTCACCCAAATTCGTGTTGAAGCTTAAAAGAGCTTTATTTTTAACCAATTCAAAAGGTTCTAGCGGACGGTCGAACACTTTTTGGACTATAAAATCTTATTTATAAGCAAATATTTTTTTTGGACAACCCCCACGAACCCGGAGTGATCAGGACCGTCGGTCTACAGTGCGACCCAACCAGTGACTATTTTCTTTGTCAACCTGCGGAACTCCACCAGGCCGTGCTGTTTCGGTTCCCAGTGACACCCTTGCTGAGTAAGAAGGTATGGTCCAAATAACCAAAATCCAAGGGCTATCACGGCTATGTTGGACACACAGAAACTCCGCGCAGTCCATTATTAATACCCTTCATAAAATACTGAAGTTGCTTGCGCGGCTATAAAATGAGCGCAGCTGGCGCGCGTCAAGTCTCTATCCAAGAAATCCATAGCCTATACTTTCACCAGAATTCTAGCAGGCCCTTGAAATCAGTCTAAAATCATGTCGTCTTCTGACCTCATCACTCGCGTCCTGGCCAACAAGTACTCACCTAACGGCGCCCCGAGCCTCGACAACTTCAAGGTCGTGTCCGCCCCGGCCCCCACTAAGGACTCACTTAAGGAGAACCAGGTTTTGGTCCGCAACCTCTATCTTTCTGTTGATCCGTACCAGCGTGGCCGTTTGAGCGGCGCTACAAACAGCTTCGTCCCCCGCTATGAGCTTAATGAGCCGATTTACAACTTTGGTGTTGCTGTTGTGGAGGCAGCAACCAGCACTGGCATTGCTGAAGGCGACATTGTTGCTGTCCCGAACGCGAGCTGGGAGACTAAGTCGGTTGTGA